AGTCTAGTAGCTTGGCAACTTTGCTTTCTTCAGCGTGTCTGCCAGAGAAGTCGCAGACCCACCCAACGACCTCAATGCCTGACATAGCAAATTGTGACTTTTCGGCTGAAATAGCAGCTCCGGCAAGCTCTAGGAGATATAGCGTTTTGTCCAAATTTTGAAGGTGCTCCAGGACGTACTTGCGGATTCCTGGCCTGGCAAATTCACCGTCGTACTTTGTTCGTGGGCCATTGATAGCAACATCATCAAGAAATGGTTTAGCAACTATGCCAAAGATAGATTGAAGGATCCATGATATCACACGTTGAAACTGCGCAACAGAATTTGCGCCTCCTTGTAGAATTGTAGTTTGCCGCAAGAGGCCAATCGGGGTTTGAATGGCAGTGAGATCTCTATCTTCCTCAGCTAGCGTGATTTGGTCATACCCTGAGTATAGGTCAACAAGTGAAGAGAGCGCCATGCCGGCAAATTCCTCGGCAAATTCATCAACGTCCGGAGGCATGTTTGCATCTCTTCTGGTGACCTTGTTGATGAGCATTGCTGCATTGATCAGTCGGTATTTGCCGATACCTTTCTTCTTGACCAAGAACCAGGGGTTTCTGTATGGTCCGTCGCAGTGTTCGAGGACTCCCTTCTTTAGCCTCTCGCGTAACATCTCAATGATAACAGGGCCTAGGGCGCGGGGAATCTTGAACCCAGGATGTTGCCATGCTTCATGGGGAACGGTCTTGATACGCTGAGCAGGCATGACCTCTGGTCGAATCCGGCTCATATGGTCCCAGCTCCAAGCCAGCACTCCCTCCCTCTTAAACAGTAGTTCGCGTAGCAGCAGCTTCTCTCGCGGCAATAATCCGTTTCCCACAAGCATGGTTGCTTCTCTCTCAGGGGTCAGTCGGGCACCTCTCGCAATCGTAGCAATTCGCGGATGCAGTAGGTCATCGAACTCGGATTGGATGTCAGTTGCGCGGTACCGGGTGTGGTATTTCTCCAGGCAAATCCTCTGCCAGTCAGGGTTCCCGGCAGGAATAGAGCCATCGGACTCTGACGAGCTCACAGGTTGAACCTTATCTGCCTTTCGTTTGTATAGCGTGTTCACAGGTGCAGCGTGTAGCGCGCGTAGATCTGGTCTGAAGGTTGCCCAGCGCGATCCTTGTCGCGGCAGTAATCTTCTTCGCCACTTATTTGGCAGTCCATGGCGCGTCTCAGTCCTTGCAAATGACGTCCTATATTCAATGTCGGGGTAGGTAGGTGAGGCATGGCCGGCGTAATGTTTATGGTTCGGGGTAGGAACCCAGTTAGGTGCCTCAGGTTTTTGGGGAGACGGTTTTTCGGCCGAAATACCACCCCTCTCTAAACTAACGTCGCTCTCAGCTCGTCCGCTCTGGACAACTTCTTCTTGACAACCACCAGCGACGTCTCTCTTCTTCTTATCCACCGTCCTGAGCAGCTTCTCGCCTGCTGCTACTGACAGTGCAGAAAATGAGCTCTGTCTGGCATCCGGGTCTTTGGCAGATGCTGCGATGCCACTTAGACATCTGCCTGAGCATTTAAAGCATCACTCTTCGCTTCACCCGGCCATAGCTGATCCTCATAAAAGGAGCCTCCCCCTCGTGGATGGTACGCCAGGAAAGAATAGCTTGTCCGTCGGTCTGGACTAGAGATAGTACAGATGACGCTGCCGTCTCCTTTCTCGGACGTCTGCAGTAGAGAGTCCTTCGCCCAAATCCTCCCTAGCAGCAAATCATTCGTGCATCCATCACCAACCATGGTATGCGTCCTTGTCGTGATTCCTCCGATGCTGATTGGCAGGTTCTCCACACATGCGCCTACCGCATACTCTCCTCCATCAACAGGCACTAGCTTCAATCTTGGCCTCAGGCGCATCTTTGCCTGCACGGACTGCGCGATCTCTCGTCGAACAATGTTAACAGATGACCCGGTATCGATACATGCTCGCACCTCTCTTTTGCCGATCACTACCGTGGCGAATAACAAGTCTCTGGAGTATTCTCGGGACACGGGCCCGGCTGCCGAGTCCGATAGCTGCACTTCCTGGAAGTTAACGTGAGAAGCCAGGGTGCTGGATTGCAGTGGGCTCCCAGTGACTGCGTGATAGTCTGCTACATCGCTAGCAAGCTGATTGATCTGTTTCTCGACTTTTGCCGGCATAGATGCCCCTGTAAAGTTGGACTGCGTGTGCGCTTGCGAGAGAACGTCTGTGATCCGCTGATTGATAACATCCATGCTAACTCCTTTCCCCATGCCAATCCTGATCTTAGGGGCAGAGCCAGCAAGTTCTCCAATGGTGAGGGTGACTTCCGTGTTCCATATCTTTTGCATGACGATGTCGGATAATTGTGACTTTCTTCTTGCAACTTCAGGGTCCACGGGCCCCCTTCTTCTAACAACTTGTTCCTGAGATATATCTTCCTGTCTCTGGGTTTGGGAATCCTCAGGCTGAGCATCTTGCATAACATCATCTTCAACTTGTGGCTGATACCTTCCAGCGTGAATACTGCGAGTCCTTGCGATATCAGGTTCACGTCTCCGCTTCGCGGCGCGTCCTTCAATCGCGTTCACACTTCCTATTGGTCCAGCTAGATCCTCATCGTCCTCGTCGAGAATTTCCCACACAGGCGCCGAACCTAAGAGGGTAGCCGCAACAGATTGAACCGGCGCTGAATATGACATAGGGATAGCACTATTCGAAGCTATAGCAGTGACCCTGCTAGAAGGTGCCGTTGCCGTGGTATACCCCTTCCACTGGTCATACTGTTCTTGGAAATACTCACGATTCAACCTTCCAGGCGTAACACGTAGGCGCGGCCCTGGTTGGTCCGCAGTCCCTAGTATCATTTGATTCATCTGGTCATAATGCATGATGCCACGTCCTTGCATATCACGGAGTGCCTCGCATTTATCTGGTCTCGAAAGATGAGCTCCTCCGCACGTCCAACAGCTTATTGGCGGGTTCACTCCAAGGTTGTTTGTCGGCGTACGTCTATCAGGCTCATACCGGTAATCATTTCGTAGGTCTTGGCTAGCCTGCAGTTTCAGAGTGAGAGCTTCCATTTGCGACCGTATATCGCGGATTTCTTTGCTCTGATCATGGTGAATTCGACCCTGTGTACTCTCAGCTGTGACACGATGCTGGTGTCCATCTAACCGTTCTTTGCCTTCTCGACCACCTCCTTGGCCTAGGTATCTCTGGAGATCTTCTTCCTCACGGACACAGAGCCTGATCGAACCCCAGGCTTCGGAATACTTGATCAGCGTTCCTCTCGGTAGTAGTCGCCGTGAGTGGCGTCGTACTACCTTCTCTTTCAGTACCTGGGGCAGTCCCTGGATCAACAAGTTCGCTCGTTCGCTGTCGCTAATCTCTCCATTCTGGAGAACGCGGTCCGAGACTTCGTCAAACTCTCTCAAGTACGACTGAATGTCGTCCTTCATTGTCCGAGTTTGTTGGGCCAGAGATTGGAGATACGTCTTCGTGTATCGAAGGCGTTCATCATCGGTCTCATAGAATCGCTCTAAGAACTCTTCTCTAAATCCTTCCCAATCCTTTGCGACCCACAGACTTTGTCTCTTAACCCATAGCTTTGTGATGCGGTCACAGTACTGTGGCAAGATCTCTAGCATCTCAGTCTCTGAGCGCAGCCCACAGCGACGACATGTCTCCTGTAACTTCTCCAGGAACAGGGTAGCGTCAGACCCGTCAAAGTACGGCGCTCCCAGAGTTCCTGGAGTAGGCAGAGGGGAGAAATATGGCATCTGCTGTTGCTGGATAGACGCGAGTTGCGCAACTGGCGCAACGGCTATACCTGACTGAACTGGCGCTGTCGGCTCAGGGTGCAGAGCGCTACGCCTGCCTGTCGTTCTAACTGACTCCGATCTCTCCCTAGCAGGCTCCCTATACTCAGAGAACGATGCTAGTCCTTCATTTTGGCTCCTTCCGCGGTCACGCTCCTCGGCGAAGTCCATTGTTGGTGAAAGCGGAGACTGTTTTTCGGCTGAAATCAATGCTAGCGGGGGTTGTCGATAGAGCTGGTCAAGGGCTTCCTTTTCACTTCCTCTTCTTGAGCATTCTTCCTTCCTTTCTTTTAACTTATAACTCAGGATAGCGTGAGTCAGCATTTGCTGCATGGTCATACGCCATAGCCAGCTAATGCCTGGAAATCTCTTCTCTGCCATCGTACGCAGCGCTGCCGGTCTCGCCTGTAGCAACATCAGCAGCGAATCCGCACTGCCAATGCACGAGCTGGATAACAGATCGCGATATAACTGGGTGAGTTCCCGTGTTTCCTGCATGTTAGCAAGCCCAACTCAGGCTACCTTTGCCAACAACTCAGCTGATAACACAAGGAACAGATGTGACCTGTCTCTCTTCCACGCTTGCTTCTCAGGGTCAAATGCTATCGCCACTTTCCTGCTGCTGTAGGCTCTGCCAGTTGTCAGACACCTTACGATCGTGAGCCTTCCCGGGGACGCCAATTTGAAATGGGAGATGCTCGATGGCAGTCTGGTCAAAACAGACGGGTCGACAAATGGTGGCAAGAAAACCGAACAACAAGTCAGGTCTGTGAGCTCTAGACAGATGATGCCTATCAGGGATAATCAGATGCTATATCAAGGAGCATAATGATCATAAATCTTGAATCAGGAAATGAGTGGCATTGTTGTAACTGTCTATCCTTCTCTACAGTCGTAGGTTGCCCATAACCCGTCCTCGAGGATATCACTGCCTGAGGCAGTAATCATACAAGTGTCGTGATTTCCCCACTACAATATTTAATGCCGTGTATATATAATGGTCTACTACACTGAGGTGGGCTTGAAATAGATCCCTCAGAAAAGTAAAAGATAAATAAACCGAACAACCACGATGTCAGTGATAAAATCTGAATGAGACTGTGGATTACCCGGAGACCCATTCAACCAGACCCCAGCATCATGAAAGACCTGGCGAGCAACCTGCGACAAGGTATTCGGACCGACACTACTCATTTCCTGGCCCCTGCAAACCAAAGTATATCAACTATCTCAGAATGACCCCTTGACACTGCCGCATAGAGTGCAGTCTGCTTATCCAACCCAAAAGGTGGGGCGTGAACATCTGCTCCTGCAGCAATCAACGTTTCCACGACCTCAACATGTCCTCCCCGGACAGCTGCCTGGAGTGCAGTATCACCAGGACCGAAGAGAGGTCCATTAACATTGACTCCTGCATCTATAAGCACTTCAACCATCTCCAAGTGACCCCTTCCAGCAGCTTCGTGTAGAGCGCCGGAGGTCTCCAGGCCAGGTGTACTATTCAAATCCACACCTGCTGCAATCAGCTCTCTCACCCGCTCCAGGCTGCCCTCTGCTACTGCCGCGCGGAGTGCAGCTGAGCCATCTTGGGGACATATTCTAGCTGCTCCAGTGGCCATTATCATACTCCTTACTGCGTGCTGTGAGCAGTCCACTGCTATTCTGAGGGCTGTTCTTCCGTGTGTCTTTTATAGTCAGGTCCGCATCTGCGGAAAGCAATATCTCCACGAGTATGATGTGGTTCTTAGAAACTGCAGCATGGAGAGCAGATTGACCAGAATCATGCTTTGATGTATAATTGACGTTAACGCCTGCTTCTATCAATGCCTTCACAATTATGCTATGACCACGTGCCGCAGCGGCATAGAGTGCGTTGTCTGCGTCGTAGGGAAGTAAATCTGATAAAGGTTGACGAGCCCTCCGAGCAGCAGCAGTCTGGTGCTGCATGATTCGATTGAAGACCTTGTGGTGGCTATTTCTGGCCGCTAGGTACAATGCGCTTCCGTTGACTGGCGAAACTTTTGCATCTGCACTTGACTTCAGAAGTATGTGGACGATTTTGAGGTTGCCCGCTGAAGCGGCTTTTTGAAGTGGAGTCTCATACAATACACCGGTATCACTCCTGGTCGATACTTTCGATGTTAACTCAAGGCGATTCCTCGTGTTGGGATTGGCACCGAAGGCGAGGAGTATCTCTACAGCCTCCAAGCGATTGTGGAGTGTTGCAGCGTAGAGAGCACTAACCCCTTTGAACGAGGCATTTCCATTGAAGCCATTGCTCAAGAGCAGATAAAGCGAGCGACGACATCCACACTACGCAGCAAAGAATAAGGCATAGCTTAGGACACTGTAGCTGTTGTTCTCAAGTCGAGTCATTGTGGCTGTGACACGGTACCTGCTGTGTGAGGACACACTGGCTAATATGCGGTACTTTGTTTGATCGCCCATGAGATCTCCCTGGTATTCAATGACATACTGTATCAAAGAACAATGGTCGGTGGAAAGTGCCCATCTTAGGATATAATCCATGAGACGGGTCCAATGTCCTCCGAAATCCTCTTCGGTCACATATAAAACACCATATCTGTCGGCAAGTTGGTGAGCCATATCGTGGGAGCATGTTTGATAGTGACTGTGAGATTGACGGATATTTGTGTCGATGACGTCGCGAATGTTGACATCAGTGGTAGGTTGTGTCGTAACATTGTAAGCAATATGTTCGATAACTTTGCAGAGTGCACATGGTGGAGCTGTCGCGTCCTTGATACCAGTAGCAGTGTCCATTGTCATCTGGGATTCGCGTGTATCAATCGTGTGGTCGTCGGATTGAAAACATTTCCTTCGGCCTGCGTATGGGGAACTTTGAAAGAATATTGAGCTTGAGATGTAATAGAATCGGTCTCTATCGTTTTGATCGGGCTCGTGGCTGGGAGGCTCTGGATAGGAGAGATTGTAGAGAAAGACATTTTGGCTGCCGCTGGATAGGCTTCTTGATACTAGTTTCAATCGGAAGGGCGAGAAATCACACTATTCTAGCAAGTTCATCAGTGATACAGAATTCAGCGTCCCTAGCAGCCTCCTGCGGCCCATTGTAACGATACCATCTCGTACGCATTGCCTCAACACGGACACCACCAATGGGCGCCGAGGAATGCCAATGCCAAACCACTTCCTTGCATGATGTTGGATCATGCCTTTCTGTGAAAACTAATGTGTGGTTCAGATAACCACTTTGGTATTAAATTGATCAGATTCAACAGCTCATAGCTCCATGCTCGCTCCATCTCAGAAATTCCGTTTGAATATCCCCGTTCCAGGGCATGTGAGAATGATCACATTGTAAGATTTAGGTTAACATATTTCTAGTTCTCGTAAGTAGTGGTCAAGATTCGTACATAATCATCCTCCTTCCTGTTCGATAGGGGTTCAGAGAAGTTTAAAGATGGCAGAGGTTGAAGAAAAAGTAGAATGATTATCTACAGTCTGTGCTAGGCAGCTCGAAATCACACCATGTGGGTTGATACAGACCAATGCGACAGTGAATGAATACCTCATTAGATGACCGAGCGGAAACACACCATGGGTGTGATACAATCCAGAACAAAAAGGTAAATTAAAGACCTATACAAACAGACCAAGCTCTGAAGGGGCAGATTTTACCTGGTCAGCTTGAATTTCCTGGAGGAGGGAGTTGCCAGTGTAATCCTCCAAGTCGAGGTCCATGTAGCCTCGAGGGGCCCATCGCCTTGGACAGATGAAGAATGAACGGCCGTTTACTGTGCGGTCGCTCAAAATTCGCAATAAACAATCTCCTGCGTCGGTTGCTTCCGCAAATTCTACCCCGACACCAGCAACATGCGCAAATGCCTCTTCGGATAGAATTTTCGTCTTCACATACCTGTCTGGTATTAGTTGCGTTTGTTTTGTCTGTTTCGAATGATGGGAAACTGACCATGGTGAGATAACATTCACTCGGCTGCCGTAATAGACAGCAGTTCGTCGCAAAGAATGCATAATCCCTCGCATGGCCCACTTGGAGGCACAGTACTGAGGAGCACGCGGACAATCTAAAAAGGCCGCTCCAGATCCGATGAGGATCAAGCATGTGTCTTCTTGAGATGAAGATGACACCTGTCCATTCTGCTTGATGAAATGATGAGATGCCAATTTGACCGTGTAGAGCGTCCCGACAAGGTTAACGTCAATGGTTTTCAAGTCGGGCCTCTCCGGTTCGTTACCGTCACCAGCATACGAGAAGACTTGATCGTTTTGGTGAATGCCACAATTGGCGACGACGTAGGAAATCTTCCCATTCGGGGAAAACGAAACGGCTTCTTGAAATAGTCGGACTTGGTCTTCCCATTTCGAAGCGTCACATTCAACGAATTTCACACTTTCTGCATGTCAGTGTAAACCCATATGCTGTTCTTTTGAGGCATACCCTGCAAACTCTGCTTCGAGTTTTTTTCCCCTTTGATGTCAAGATCACCGATGCACACAAGAGCCCTGTTGAGCATGTAAGCTATAAATCCTCGCTTTGGAATTCGCTTGGGGATGCGGACCCTGCACTAATGAGGGCGCGAACGTAGGCTTCACCCAGTCCATTTGCACCTGTTTCGTAGTTAGGTAGGTCTGGATTGTGGTTGAAGGATATGAAAAGGCTTACCGCCGGTGATAATAGCTGTATTTTCTTTCAACTTTGAATAGTCAAAGTCAACGTCGCAATTCACCTGACCAGTGGGCGTGTAGCTGGCCATTTCCAAATTTGGTATATATCTATCTTGGCAATAAGAAATGAGAGTTTCCTTATGTTTGTAGGTAGAATAGAAAGTATTGCGACTTATATAAGTTATTTTTGTCGAACCGCAGAGTCCGTCAATATGACGCTAATGCAGGTTGCTTACCCGTCACCCATGGATCATCACTTGAACCAGATTATCAGTCAGCAAATATTAACATGAGACTGTTTTTGGGGCGCTAGACGTGTTATGGGTCTCATGTCATACAGTACTGCCAATGAAGAAGAAAAAGCTGACAGCCCTGGAGATAGGGTCGCCAGTAGTAAGCCGTCAACTGAGTCCCACAATGTATAAGGAAAGCTTTGTTTTACAATAGTAGTATGATAAGTAGCCAAGGAAACATGAGAGTATTTCAGACAGAAACAAAGCTCCAGTTATCGCAAAATCTCCCTCCAGTTCAGAGGGGGCTCAGCTCTCGACTTCCTCCAAACATTAGTTGAAGCCAATAGCCCCGGGGAGTCAAGAAGCAACCATTTCCATTTCCGTGCAAAATTCTCCGTAACCTCCCAATTCTTCGGCTCCCATGAATTTCCCCATACAAGCAATGTTGCGGCCGTATTTCGCGTATCCCAGAACGCCATCAGATCATGACACAAGTCGTCATCATCAAACGAATCACCCGCCAGAATAAGACGGTCGCGTATACCTTGGAATGGAAAGAAGTCCAGCCAGGGATGGTGCGGTATATTGGTTTGGACAGCAGTCGGCTGTAGAGCAGGTGGTATTCCCTCTACTGTGAAACCCGGCTGGGCGAGATTGAATATAGAAATGGAATCATCGCTTTTCATCCAATCTGTGGTCATACCTATTGCAGCAATATTCTCGTTGATGGCGCGGTGAACGTTGACTCGACTGAGACTAATGAGTTGGTCTGTTTTGGGACTGCCATGTAAATAATTGTGGTAAGCCGTCGTCTCAACCCATTGCCGGAAGTGAAGTGCATGAGGTGGCGCATTGGCGCATTGGAATGTGTTCTCGAGCCCTGTATCACTTGCATTTATGAAGAAAGGCGAAGACACGGTGGATGCGGATCTGACTAGGGCTGTCGTGGCGGATATAGGCGCCGCGGCATATGAACTTGTTGTATCACGCTGCTTCAACCCTGGGGAGGTCAGCATTCAGACCACATCAATGTATCAGCAGTTGCTATACACACTATAACGTCGCTGGCTCAGCCGGTTCTGCAATTTCCTGCGTTCCTTCCGGTCAATGACCCCCGTCCAATCATCCTCGGCACATCGAGCGCCTGCGCGTTGGGGCATCGTTGCTAGCGCAATGACCCTTGATTCTGGAGTCTCTTTCTCCATCACGGCGATCATTCATGTATGAGTCGGCTGAGTTCTAGAGATAGAGATACCGTACGTAGTGGCAAAGGTATGCTGACAATGATCTTCACCTCCAATTCTAGAATTTTCAGTTCATTGGGTGTTGTTTGGTTTTGGGGCCGGGTAACTAGTCTGATTGGTGGAGATTTAAAGGTGGAGGTAAAGTGGAGATCGAAGTCTGCGCTAATGCAAGTTGCTTATCCTCGACCATGGTTCGAGTCTTGGCCTTGTGCTGTACGCATTCATCAGGTCTCGATGTTGATTATTCCCTTCTTTCGAATCCTCTCCTTGCTTGGAAATTTTAGAAAGGTGCGGCCTCTCTCGTATATTGCAGCATGGTTATTTGTCCATTAGCAAGGCCATCTTCACCTATTAGACTCTATGCCTGTACACTTTAGACAGTGCCTTTATGATTAGATGGAACTTCTTGTTACATGCTTTAGTAGTTCGCGTATACCTCCGCCGTAGACGGACTAACCTATTAGCTACTAGCACTTATTGTCGAAGTCGGCGTTCGACCACTCGACCGGCTTTGTCCACGGGTTTAATCCTCAATATACTCATCCTCATTGGGCAATGTCTGTCAGACAATGAATATCTTCAATGATTACAGTGGAGACATAAGCTGCAGAAACAAGGTTAAAGCGTCAGCACCTGACATTAGCGCAAAACCTTGCATGAAGATTGGGAGCGTAAAGCCGTTGACGACATGTAAAATGCGCCAAGCAAGACTTCAAATTTAGCGATATCAGTGACGCGTAGTCGCTGACAGAAGTGACACAGAAGGCAGTGCAAAATCACTCCAGCGCCAAGTATAAAGCAGTAGTCGATCGCTCGCAAAGTTGCGTCCCCTCATTCTCAAAGTTCTCACTACAATCTCCCTCTAGAGTTAACTATCAATCGACGAAAAAATGAAGATAAGCAACGGAAACGCCCTCGGCACCATGATCATTGGCAACGCAATCTCCGCAATGGCACAGAATATGTCTTTTGGGGCCGACAATTTCTACCGCAGTGACAACCTGACCGTTCATGCGATAACCTTTCCAAGTCAATACCAGACAAACGTCGCCGGTAACCTATTTATGCCCAACAACATCAACCGCAGTGCCGATATGCCGGCTATCGTCGTTGGTCACCCCATGGGTGCAGTGAAAGAGCAAAGTGCGAACCTGTACGCGCAAAAGCTAGCCGAGCAAGGCTTTGTCACAATTTCTCTTGACCTTCCATTCTGGGGAGGCAGCGAGGGAGAGCCACGCAACGCAGTTTCCGCCGAACTTTATGCAGATGCGTTTAGCAGTGCGGTTGACTACCTCGGCGTACAGAACCTCACAACAGTGGACCGCTCGCGGATTGGCGGTCTCGGAATCTGTGGCAGTGGCTCATTCATGATCAGCGCCGCAAAACTCGACCCACGCATCAAAGCCATCGCCACCGCCAGCATGTACAACATGGGTGCTCTTGCCCGGCATGGGCTCGAAAACTCGCAGAATGTCGAGCAGCGCAAACAAGTGATCTCCGAGGCTGCAAACCAGCGTTGGATCGAGGACGAGGGTGGCGAGGTCCAGTACACCAGTGGAACCCCGAATCAGCTTACTGCAAACACAACAGCTGTTGGACGTGAATTCTTCGACTACTATCGCACTTACCGTGGCGAGTTCACGCCCCGGGATACAACCGCAGAGCTGACAACACACCCTACTCTCGCGAGTTTCACGCAGTTTATGAACTTCTACCCATTCAATGATATCGACACGATCTCGCCCCGTCCGATGCTGTTCATCTCTGGTGACCAGGCTCACTCACGTGAGTTTAGCAAGGACGCCTATGCGAAGGCTGGTGAGCCGAAGGAGCTTTTCTGGGTTTCCGGAGCTGGCCATGTTGATCTCTACGATCGCACTGAGCTTATTCCATTCGACAAGCTTACCCACTTTTTCCAGACGAACCTCGTCTAAATTATTCATATAACATGGTGCGTCGAGAGGTCAGTCATTGTGTTCGGGTCTTCATATCCAGTGTTGGAATTGAATGTATACGGGATTAGAATATAAAGGTGGTCGGTCTGGCTAGTTGATTCAAAGGGCTATGCTGGCTGATATCTTGGATCTTTCATTGATGTACGATTAGTTTTCAGTATTCGGATTTCGCTGAAATACATAAGTTGGTTGAAATTCCTACCTATGAAATGCCTATCGACATACAGACTTTTATTTTCTAGAAGCTCATGTAATACATACTGAGTGGCTTATTTCAGTCACTCCCGAGGGAATGTCAACAAAGGGACACCGAACCGAAATCAGTTTCACCTTTTTGTTCTCTTCACTTGAATCTCAAACTGTATTCCTAAATGCCTCTTGGCTAGTATATTTTCATGGTCATAAAAGGCTATGTAACCTTAGATTACTTAAGTTACATGTCTACAAGTTTTATGATTTAAAACTGGGAGATTGATAGTCACTATAGTTCCATTATATGGAAGAAGCCTTTGCATTCGCATAACGATGAAGGGAAACCTAACTAGTTAGGGAAAACCTTAACCAAGACTTATAGAAACTCCTATAGAGCTCCAAAACCCCACGACTTGTTCCATTTGGAGAGCCCTGGGTCATTTGGGTATGGTTATAAATAAATATATCAGCTTGGCGGCAACCGGAGCATGATTCAGAGGTTCTTCATCGGTAAAGTTTTCTCCAATACTCCAGTAACACATATATGCCACATAAGGAATCGTTTACTAGGTTTCCTTGATGTCAATAGATATCCAAGTTATGTCACCAATAGAAGGAGTCAAACACTTACAAGCTTTCCACGTTCCATCTCTGTCAGCTGTATACTCAAAAGTAATTTCTCTAACAGAGCTATGAAGCACTTACAATCTTTCCATGTCCAATCTCCGTTAGCTATATACTTCAAGGTCATCTCTTCAACAGAGGGGTCAAGTACTTACTTCCTACCCACGTTGCATCTTCGTCAGCTGTATACTCAAAAGTCATCTCTCCAACAAAGGAGTCAAGCACTTACAATCTTTCCACGTCCCATACCCGTAAGCTATATACTCCAGAATCATCTTTCCGGCACAGGGGTGAAGCACTTACATCCTACCCGCGTTGCATCTCCGTCAGCTGTATACTCAAAAGTCATCTCTCCAAAACAGAGAGGTCAAGTACTTACACTCTTTCCACATCCCATGGCCGTTAGCTATAAAATCCAAAGTCATTTCTCCAACAGAGAGGTCAAGTACTTACTTCCTACCCACGTTCCATCTTCGTCAGCTGTATACTCAAAAGTCATCTCTCCAACAAAGGAGTCAAGCACTTACAAGCTTTCCACGTCGCATCTCCGTTAGCTATATACTCCAAGGTCATCTCCCCAACAGATAGGTCAAGCACTTACACTCTTTCCATATCCCATATCCGTTAGCTTTATTCTCAAAAATCATCTCGCCAACAGAGGTATCATGCACTTACTAGCTTTCCACGTCCCATATCAATTAGCCATGTAATCGAAAGTCATCTCTCCAGCACAGGAGTCAAGCACTTACATCCTACCCACGTTCCATCTCCGTTAATCATATATCCAAGTCATATCATGAATAGAAGGAGTCAAACACTTACAAGCTTTTCATGTTCCATCTCTATCAGCTATATACTCAAAAGGCATCTCTGCAACAGAGGGGTCAAACACTTACTTGTCTTTTTTCGACTTGTTCTACACCTCGAGTATTGGCTTGTAAGGGTGCTGCTACCGCAAAAGCGGCAAACACGGCCATAGAGAGAATATTCAAGAACTTCATGTTGGCAATCGTTGTCTTCGTAAATTGGCTTTTAAAATAGTGTTAGAAAACAATATTGAAGATTACAGTAAAGGAAATCAAAGAATAACCGAAGACTTCCTTATATACCAAGATGATCACCCTAGTCACATGTATAGTACGGCTGAACAAAGTATGGGGCAAAAAATATTAGCGGCGTAGATCGATGCCTTCTTTGTTTTGGTTTGATCAATATCTACATATTTGTGCGACGCTGCAGCTACGCCAAAGCACCAAATCTGCAATACTCAAATAGACCAACTCTACTGTACATAGCTCGGGCATAAATATCCTTGGATATACTAGCCAGACTTACACCTACCCCAATCACTTATAATTTATTCTGTTGAGATTTATGGTGGCCGGCCATGGTTTATGCCATGAATGAGCCATGACGGCAACCGCAGTGATTCATCACCTGGGAAATCTAATCAGGACTAGCTTAAGGCAGAGTTTTCTGGTATATAAGGAGATTCTCACACAAATGAGAATCTCCAGACTTAAACACCTCGGTAATCTATTGTTAGATTATCTATATTGTACGGTCGTACCAGTCGTCATTCCTACTTGCATCGTAGCCCTTTTAACATATTCTAGGGGTATGGGTTGTCCTACGGAGTTCACAGATATATATACGCCTCGTGGCACGACAACACAGCAACAATATTGATTAGACCTCAACTCTGTCCGCCGATTGCTGTTGGTGGTGAATAGGGGCATTGGGCATAGGCACTTTGATGACGTATTAGTTCCCACTGCTTGCAGGCGTTCATACAGGTCTAATGTGCTTGAGCTTTGTGATACATACATACACACACATTTTATTAACGCCCGGCGGCTGAACCGAAAGGGCCTCGCATCCCGTATCTGCTGTACGCATCTTGGATGGACGGTCGCACTTTGAGACTCTGTAAAACTTATATACACAATGCTCCACAATTACGTGAGAGTTGTTTGACTCTTACATCGTGATTAGTGCGAGGCTTAGGCTCCGTGGGACATGGGACAAATGAGTTGGGATCGGCCCGAGCCGAGCCCAAATAAAAAGAATACATAGCCTTTCCCCGATCTCACAATCAATCGTAAATGTTGGCAACAGGCCCATCCTATTCAGTTAGGCTTACATCGGCGGCTTTACAGTACAGCATGGTGTATTATGCATGAGCCCTGGTGTGTTGGTCACTGTGATCGGCACTACATGAAGGCCCGCAACTTTCAGATAGGCCAGAAAGTACTGTAGTCAAGCTCCCAGGAGGCACGACAACCCTATGTCACGTGCATTTCCTAATACCCCAGCGTCCCCCAGCTCGAGTAAACCCATTTCAATCTGATCACTGAGTAGAATCATGAAAAACCCAGCACAGAAAGAATCTGCTGCTAATGATGCATCGAAGTCCTCCCACTATCGCTCTTTCAGGCACTCTCTACCACCTTGAATCTTCCACCACCCTTAAAAAATGGCGCCGAGACTGCCTCCCTCAAAACTAGCAATGATCCGTGATATAATCCTTGCCAAATCACTGACTACCTCGCAGATGACGGAAGCCGCCAAATGTAGTGAGCGTTCCATCATCAATATCAGCAACAACCTTCGCCGGTTCGGAAATATCAGAGCACCCCCAACTCGCGTGGGCCGACGACCAAGCGTGACCCCTCCGATGCTCGAAACGAGCTGTTTTTATGCGATTGTTTATTACTGTACTAAAATAATGCCGAAATTGGGGGTCAGGGGTAGTGTACAGTAACCGTGATAGGTCTGGCGATATAAGTTACAAGATAGAGTTCGACGAATAACTACAGAGAGTGAAGTGGTGGATCTGATTTCGAGCGCGTCTGTAGATTCATACTCCATTATCCATAAAGAACATCCTATATATATACCAACCCTGTCTTGGGGGTTTCACACTCGTACAGAGAATGATCAGCATACCATTGATCAATTCGAGTTCATCAGCTGGTCCTCGTTTTGATAAGCATGACAGAAAGCCAACTAAGACCAAAACACAGAAAACATACGCAAAGACCTACAGTATTTTCGAAATACTGCGAAGACATAGTTCACATGAGATTTAGAAAAAGTATATAGCAATGTCGGTTAATCGCGCTCTTGAAACCCATTCCTGGGAGCAAATGTTGATTCAAACATTGCAGGATAAACCGATCCAATCGCCTATATGTTCTCGAGTATACCGAATCCAGTCCCAGCTTATCCACATCTTTACTTCACTGGCTAGCAATCAAATGATGATACTACTGCTCAAAGCTAGTGCGAGGAAATGGGCTGTTTAATGAGTTGAAGATGATACCATCGGAGCAATAACAAGTTCTTTGTAACTGCCCACGTATTCTTTGACGGGAACATATGGTTGCGCCCGGAGCCAGTGGCCGACTCTTTTAGGGGTTCGCGAAAAGCCCACCGATAACCACACATTAGAACACGTTCTTGCCATATATTATAATCCTAAGAAGCTCTTCAAATATACGATGAATAGCATTCAGCCCCCCCGGTGATAACACATTCGCCCGAGCTCGGCCATACGGAGCTTTGACAAACGCCATCGTCCGAGCCCTAAGCAACAAGCCAAGAAACGTGGGGATCTCGTTTATTATTCAAAAAAGCCACTGCGGAAATAGCCTTGCCCAGCCAGCCAAGACGGAATAAGCATTACGTGTCGAGTATAAGTTATCCGTCAGAGAGAAGACCTCGGGGAAGTTACGAGGGTATTCTTCCATCACCGCATCACAGTACCACTAAATCAAGAAGACTGAAGACAAACTTGCAAGTCAAGCTGTCACCACTGACAGATCTTGACCCATTTCTCCATCCAGTTAATCCAATTCTCGACTCTCTCCACACCCCACACTCTCAAACACACACCTTGACTGGTGCGGATGAGACTATACCCGCCAGCTCATATCAACGTCGGACTTAAGAAAACCAACCACTGAGAACGCATCCTGATGCAATCTTGGCTTTCAATCGCTGGTCCATCCCTGGCTCTAGTCTGGGGGTGGAGATGAGTCCACGTCTCGTCCCCACCCCCAGATCCCCGGAAAGATGGAGTACGGGGAAGGCGATGCATAGAGCTGGTCTGTCCGCGGTGAGTCCGCGAGACTAGGGGGTAGCGTATATAAAGAGCCAGGGCTTGAGTGAGATCGCTTTCTTCCCTCACGGCCCTTTCTGAGATTCTCTTTCTTGGGTTCTGGTTGGCTATACGTTATTCGCACTCGCAATGGAGAAGACTGATAACCATCATATGCATGTCGAAGGGGCTGATCCCAGTCCCCAGGGAACAGAAGCGGGCAAGCAGTCCGACTTCTATATTGAAGACAGGGTTGCTCATCTGTCTGAGGAGCATCGACAGTATCTCCTCGCCCGACATGGCACTTTGGATCTTGATCCCATCCCTGACATGAGTGATGCGGACCCGTACAACTGGCCTCGATGGAGGGTAAGAATATTCCATTCATTCCAACATAAACAATGACAAACACCATTCTGACACATGGCTGCTACCTTGTAGAAAAACATCAACCTCACGCTCGTCGCCTTCCACGCCATGATGGCCACCTTCACCGCAGCGTCCATCCAATCTGCCTTCGAAAACATCTCCGAGGACCTAGAGGTCAGCATGCAACGCACCAGCTACTTGGTCTCTCTGTTCATTGCCGTGCTGGGCGGCGCACCGCTCTTCTGGCGTCCACTGTCGAATCGGTTCGGTCGCCGGCCGATTTTCCTAATCTCGCTGGTCTGCAGTTTGGTTGGGAATATTGGTTGTGCGAAGAGTCCGTCCTATGCGACTATGGGTCTCTGTCGTGCTATCACTGCTTTCTTTATCAGTCCGGCTGCGGCTATTGGTAGTGCGGTTGTCGCCGAGACTTTCTTCAAGAAGGATCGTGCGAGATGCATGGGGGCGTGGACATTGATGGTCACGATTGGTGTCCCTGCTGCGCCGTTTATTACGGGCTTTGTTGCTTTGCGGGTTGGATATCGGTGGATTTATTATATTCTTGCTATTGTGAGTTTATCGTGATAGGATGGGAAAAGGGTGAGCATCGCTGACACATTATATAACTTACAGGTCAACGCAGTCCAGTTCATGCTCTACCTCTTCCTTGGCTCGGAGTCACTATACGTCCGCGGTGAACAGGCCTCGCGGAATGTGGCTCGGGTCAAGGAGAGTCTCTTCAAATTTGGCCGTATTGATAACACTCCTCTGCGGATTTGGGACTTCTTCCAGCCCTTGAGCTACTTCGCCAAGCCATGTGTGGTTCTTCCAGCTGCTGCATACGCCATGATCTTCCTCTGGGGTAGTGTCATGCTCACAATTGAGATTCCGCAGCTGTACCCGGCGATGTTCGGCTTCAACACGCAGCAGGTTGGACTCCAGTTCTTGGGTTTGGTGATTGGGTCTGTGATTGGAGAACAGATTGGCGGGTTCATCTCCGACAGGTGGATGTTGATGCGACAGAAGCGGATTGGAGAGCCTCCTGCGCCTGAGTACCGTCTCTGGCTCAGTCATATTGGTCATGTGTTGACCATTTGTGGTATTGTGGTGTTTACCATCCAGCTGCGCGATGCGGGCAGTACTTGGAGTATCACTCCTATTATTGGTGCTGCTATCGCGGCCGGTGGAAATCAGATTGTGACTACGATTGACATTACTTATGCTGTCGATTGTTATCGCGAGGATGCTGCGAGTGTGGGCGTTTTCATTACTTTTGTTCGTCAGATGTGGGGATTCATTGGACCTTTCTGGTATGTTCTTCACCATACATCAAGGATGGACGTTTGCTAACTGGTGTAGGTTCCCTCAGATGTTCACGACCGTTGGGTGGGCTGGTGGTGCTGGTATTATCATTGCTTTGATAGTAGCTGTCAGTATCATTCCCACCATCTTGGTTCAATGGCGAGGTGCTACATGGCGATAGTCACAGAACGTATACTGGATCAAATATTGGACCAGATAATTGATAAATAATACACTATTCACATTTACTTCATACTAAAAATCCAGATCAGTCCTCCAAGAAAAGAAAAGAAACATCATAACATCATATCACATAAACAAAAAGACCACCACCAACCCAAATCACCACTCATCAACCCTCTGCATCCTCAAATGCATACCCTCAACCGGCTTCGTAGTAACAGCACCAGCAATATGAATCTCCTGCTTCGGATCCTGCATCTCAAACCAAAACCTACCCACAACGCCAGCAACCGCACACCTCAACTCCGCCCGCGCAAAGTCCTTCCCAATACAAGCCCGCTGGCCATGCAAAAAGGTAATCTGCGCGAAATTCGTCGACGCCCCTCCATTATTATTCGGCACCTGGTTACCATTCTTATCTGTATCAATCCATCGCTCCGGAATAAACTCATCCCCGTTATCACCCCAGAATAGCGGTGATCGGTTGATAGCATACGGACAGAGAATCACCCTCGTCCCCTTTGGTACGTGCTTACCGGCGACGACGGTATCCCGGATCGATTCGCGGATTGTGGCTGGCACGGTTGGATACAGACGGAGTACTTCTTGGCAGACGCCGTTGAGGAGGGGGAGGGATTCCAGGTCTTGGTAGGTTATTGGGCTTGCGCCGGAGGGAATCCGGGTGCGGATTTCAGCGCGGAGTCGGGTTTGATATTCTGGATGGAGGGTTAGGAGGTAGCAGGCCCAGGTGAGAGCGCTGGCTGTTGTTTCATGCTGGGAGTTGTTAGTAGAGTGTTTTGCTTGTGGACTGGAGAAAGTGGTATGGGACATACGCCTGCGGCTAGGAATGTCAACATCTGATCGACTAGCTCGGTGTCTGAGAAATCTCCTCCAAGCATCATTGTGCCCAGGATGTCGGCCTCGAGGTCCTTGGCCGAAGCCTTGGACGCGGCTAGGGTCTGGCGTTTCTCGCGCACTATGTCGTTGCAGAGATTTCGGAGGAAGTTCGTCTCGTTGGTGATGACATCGTTCATGCGCCAGGGCACACGTTGGGCTATCCATTGCGGCAAGGTGAAGTTCATGGCTAGGAAGGCCATCTTCTCTGTGGTGGGTTCGAGAATATTGAGGAAACTCTCCGCGACGCGGTTATCCTTGTCCTGCAGTGAGCAGAAGTCTCTGCCCATAGCGGCAGGTCCAATGATGTCGAGTGTCAGACGACTAGATAGTGTTAGCATATATATATACAAAAGTGAACTATACGGTAAATCATAAAGCTAGAGCCCGCTCGAACAAACATACCTCGCCCATTCCCCAACTTCCAACTTGCCAATCTTCTCCTCGGCATTCGTACCCTCCATCGGATGATGAATCAACTCCTTCTCCATCTCATCCAAGAACTGCCCCGTCTTCTCCCACATCAGTGAATACATAGAGCGGATGTTCTTGATGTTAAAGGCAGGCGTGAGCGCTTTCCGCTGCTTCTTATGCGCCGCGCCCTCGGACAGAATCATTCCAAAGCCGATGATGCGAGCGAGAAAGTTCCGGAATCGCCACGGCTTCTCGAAGTCGTAGGTGTTTGTGCTCATGATGTCTAACAGGGCCTGATGGTTGGTTGCGATCACGTAGCTCTTGCAGATCATGTCGCGCATGTGGATGAGGCCTTCATTCGGGATGGTCTTCATCCAGTGCAGAGGCATGCGGCCTCTTGGCGAGTCGAAGATGATCGAGGCATGGTTCATTAAGCCCTGACGGGGCGTTAGTAGTGCAGTGTAGTGATGGAAGTTATATAGTACTCACCGGCACTCTGGGTAAATGGCGCAGCGGGTTCAGGAAGAACGGCCATATGATGATCCCGTAGAGGGCTCTCATTAGAAAATTTACCCCTAATGCACCCAGACATACTGTCTGGAATGTCTCCTCTACAAAGACAGTGCGCTGTAGGAAGTAGGCTTCCACGAGAGTCAAGGCCGCCAAGGCTGGTATAGTATCGCTCATATTTGCAATTCACAGGTTCAGAGAAGAGACTATGAACGGAGTGTCAAGACGCAAACTCCAGTGGAGGAGATGATATTTAGACCCATTCGGCATGTCATGACTCCACAAGATCGACATCTCGTTGGGGGAACCACTGCGACCTCGGCTAGAGTGTTGATGGTTCATATGAGATGAGAGTTGTAATGGCTGTAGCCTGTTACTGTACTTACTGTACTGTCAGTAGTAGGCGATCGAATAGAATTGGCTCCAGTAGGGCTATATTGAACCATGATTGCATGGTTAAGGGGTTATGACTTCATCCCGAGAGCACACACATGCACAGCACATCCCTGTCGATCACATCGCTTAACGAACAAAGTCGCCAGAGTCTGTGAATGCGGGGAAAACATGTGAAGAGCGAACCCTAAACTTCGAGGAAAAAGGAAAACCGCGTGAAGATCGGCCGATCAACGTGGAGAGCAGAAAGCCCTCGCATTGGTTTCCCAATGGGCAAAGATCAACGCGTGAAACCGAGGTATTCCCGTCCAAAGTGATTAAAAGCGTCACGCTAAGATGGAGCTATTCCCAGGCCAAAACAGCTAAAACCATAAAATTAGTGAACGACATCACTTCACTCCTTTCTCTGCACATCATGTCTCTCGATCTCATTCAGCAATATACCCAAACAGCCATTGCGGCGCTCCCCGAGCCAGCGCAAAATATCCTGGGAAATAGTGTCGCGCAGAAAGCAGCCGCGCTCATCGTCGCGCTGAGCCTGACTCGCTCCGTCAACCGCTTCTTCTCCAAGTGGACATTACAGAACTGGACAACCAACGCGAAATGGGAGTCGTCGCGCGAACTCATCCTCCTCACGGGCGGATGTAGTGGAATTGGCAAGCAGGTCATGGAGGATCTGTCGGCCACCGGGGTGCGCGTGATCATTCTCGATATCAATGCGCCAGAATTCCCATTACCGGCGAATGTCGCCTTCTACAAGGCGAATATCACTTCCTCGGCGGATATCGCAGCTGTCGCGGCGATGATCCGGAAGGAGCACGGCGAGCCCACAGTCCTCATCAACAACGCGGGCGTCGGACACGATGGCACGATTCTGGAAGAGCCCGAGGCCAAGATCCGCCAGACCTTCGAGGTCAACACTCTTTCCCATTTCCTGATGGTGAAGGAGTTCCTGCCGGCCATGATCAAGACGAACCACGGCCACGTCGTGACCATTGCCAGCATGGCTAGCTTTGTCGCTCTCGGTGAGATGGTGGATTATTGTTGCTCTAAGGCGAGCGCCCTTGCTTTCCACGAGGGCTTGCGCCAGGAGTTGCGGTACTGGTATAATGCGCCCAATGTGCGCACGAGGTGAGTTTCAGATCTCCCCTTCCTCCCTTCCTCCAGAGAACAGAATGAAGTGAAATTGAATTGAATATCCGCTGATCTCGCAGTGTCATTCATCCGATGTGGGTTCGCACCCCTATGATTAAGATCCTGACCGACAACGAGCGCCATTTCAAGCAGCCGATTATGACCCCCCAGGTGGTCTCTGCTGCGATCTGTAAGCAGATCCTGGAGCAGCGCAGTGGACAGGTGATCTTGCCCAGTAGTCAGTCTGTGGCTTCGCTGGTACGCGCCATGCCTACTTGGATGCAGGAGGGAGTGCGCGCATTCGCATCAGGTGCTTTGAAGAAGATGCGTGCTGCGCAGCAGGCTGAGAAGGATGCCAAGTAAGATTTTAGTATAATTCCCTTGTCTAAATGTAAATAGAACGATACCTATATGCACATAGTGATTTTGCCCACTCCTGATTCTTCATGTCAGTATAATTCTTGAACTGCCTACAGTATGTCTGGGTCTTGAATCAATCATTTCAACTTATATACGTCTGACACAGCACAACATATCTTCATAACAAAAGTAATATAAACAGACGATAAAAACTATTTCTAATACCATCCCACCTAAATACAATCAAACCATCATCTCCGTCAAAAACGCCTCCACCTTCTTCCCCTGCTGCGTTTTCTCCGTCGAACCCAACTCCAAATTATAAACCGGCGCCACATGACACTCTCGATGCCCAACAAACAACTCAACCTTCCCAAAGCCCTCCTTGAAATTCGCCGCGAACTCCTCAATAATCGGTAACATAATCTCATTCCCGCCCGCGGTGATCAGCACCGCTTCCACAGGGAAACTCGCATACCAATCCACCGGCGCCGTCGACAAATCAGTATAATAATCACGCTTTGCACGGCCAAGGTACGCAGTCGACCACGGCCGCGCAACAGCCTGGGTAATGAGATCCCCGCCGTGGTAGATAACCCGATCCGGGAACTCTGCATCCATGAGCGTCCACGGCGCGACCAGGACTGCGCCGCCCAGCCGGGTGGATAGCTCGAGCGGAGCGATTTCCGGGTGTGGGTGTGCCAGATGGGAGAGCACGCCGCCGACGAGATTCCCGCCGGCGGAGTCCCCGCCGATGAAGACCGTTGACGGGGAGCGGGTTGGCTGGGCCAGGACGTGGCGCAGACATTCAACGGCCTGTCGGAGCTGGGTTGGATACGTCGCCACTGGGGAGAGCGTGTATGTCAAGCTGAAGACGGCGACGGTCTTGCCGCGGGCGTGCAGGTCGGCTATCAATTGTGCGTAGAATTTGAAGTGGCCCATACTGGCCGGTAGGCCGAACCCACCCCCTGAAAGCGTTAGCAGGTGCTTCGGACTAGTCTTGTGTCTTGTGTCTTGTCACATACCATGATACCACACGAGGACGTTGTCGGCATTGCGATCCCCGATCCAGTGGCCTAGTGCGCCGTGGGCGAGTTCGACGGATTGATCCGGTGTGTTGGTCTTCTTGGTGTGCAGTTCATAGATCTTGTGTGAAGGCGGCGACACGTATTGTAGCTGGGTTGGGGTTAGGCGCGCTGTTGCTTTGCGGAATACTGCGTATCCCAGATGCAGGAACAGTGTCTTTGCTTGGCGCTCGGTGCGCCATAGACCGGTTAGGAGGGCGTAGAATCCGGCTAGCAGGATGGATGCTAGGGCTGGGAGGAAGTCGAGCTTCTCTTGCAAGGTGAGGGTGACTTGGCTGACTTTGGAGAGAGACATGATTACTTTCCAGGTTGGAACTGGAATCCATTGGGACTATGATCATTGACTGATACTTGACTGATAATTGAAGACCGAGGATGTCCGCACTGCTATCCTGTTTGAGAAAGGATTGGCGTGGATCGGCCTCGGCAGCACATGGGGGATTTTGTGAATGGTTGGAGGATGAACAATAGTGGCATGGAGTGAGTTAGGCTAACGAGGTATGGAGGGCATGGTTTTAGTATCGTGCATAGTATCAGTTCAGTTACATACGGACTATAACTATTCAGTGCCATCGTGTGAAAACAAGGCATAGATTGTACAACCCATAAACTCCCCTAAATCCCTAAAGTCTACTATATTCTCCTAATCCCCGAAATTCCCTTCAGATCGACAATCGCGGAGACACAGGATCTCCCCGACGTCAGATATGCACAGTTCTCCAAAGTCTAGTTCGCATGCCTTACTCCATGCAGTCCGCCGATCATCGTGAAACCGAGGCATGTGAACTCCGATCTCTTATAAGGGAAAATCGACTCCCCATGTTTTCTCGTCACCATCATCATGAACAACACACATTCCTACGATGTGATCATCGTCGGCGCCGGCATTTCAGGCATCAATGCCGCCTATCGCATTCAAGACCAACTCCCCGGCTTCAGCTATGCCATCCTAGAAGCCCGCGACGACCTAGGCGGCACCTGGGATCTCTTCAAATACCCCGGCATCCGCTCCGACTCGGATCTCTTCACCTTTGGCTTCCAATTCAACCCCTGGAAGAGGGATAACCCCATTGCCGAGGGCTCTGCCATCAAAGAGTACGTGCGCGACACCGCACACAAATACGGCATCGACCAAAACATCCGCTTCGGCCACCGTCTCACCGCAGCAGACTGGTCCACCGCACAGAATACGTGGTCGCTCACAGTCGACCGCGGACAGGAGCACACCTCCACCTTCACCGCCCGCTATGTCATCTTCGGCACGGGGTATTACAACTACAAGGAGCCTCTGCGCGCCGACATCCCCAACCTCGACGACTTCCAGGGCCAGATCGTGCACCCGCAGTTCTGGCCCGAGGACCTGCACTACCAGGACAAGAAAGTCGTGATCATCGGCAGCGGCGCAACAGCCGTAACGCTCCTCCCCAACCTCGCCGATAAAGCCGCGCGCGTGACCATGCTGCAGCGCAGCCCAACCTACATCCTCTCCCTCCCGAACCGAACCAACAGCCGCTGGCTGTCGTACCTCCTGCCGGCATCGCTGTACAGCCGTGTCCAGCGCCTCATCTGGATCTACACCTCGCGCTTCTTCTTCCTCTTCTGCCAGCGGTTCCCGGGCTTCTCGCGCTGGCTGTTGAAGCTGAACGTGCGCAAGCAGTTGCCCGCGCACATCCCCTTCGCCCCGCACTTCCAGCCCCGGTATAACCCCTGGGACCAGCGGCTGTGCGTCTGTCCCGACGGCGACCTGTTCCGCTGTTTGAGGACCGGCAAGGCCGATGTCAAGACTGATACCATTCGCGCGGTGACGGCGCGGGGGATCACGCTGGCTTCGGGGGACACGCTGGACGCGGATATTATTGTGACGGCGACGGGGCTGAGGCTGCAGATTGCCGGTGGGGCGGTGCTGTCCGTCGATGGGAGTAAGATTGATATTGGGGACAAGTATCTGTGGAATGGGGTCATGTTGCAGGATTTGCCGAATGCGTCGTTTGTCATTGGGTATACGAATGCATCGTGGACGTTGGGGGCTGATGCGACGGCGCTGTTTGTTTGTCGCTTGTTGAAGACGTTGGAGTCGCGGAAGTTGCTTGCTGCGACGCCGCGCTTGAAGGCTGGGGAGGCGGCGACGTTGCAGGATCGGCGTTTGCTTAATCTCAACTCGACGTATGTGTCTGTTGCGGAGCGGGCTCTTCCTAAGGCTGCTGATCGTGGGCCCTGGCAGCCGCGTGATCACTACTTGAAGGATCTGAAGTTTGCTCAGAGCGGTGATATCGACACTGGATTGGAGTTTGTACAGGGGCCTGGTCTGCGACTGCGTCCTAAGATGTCTTGATTCACAGTATAGTACCTTATATGGTTATGATGATGATGCGAGTTCTTGTATAGTTTCAGGTTTCGACGAATATGCACCCTTAACACGACGTCTTGTCTCTTGTTTCGACAATTCATCCTCCAGAGAATGGTTGATTTTATATATTCATGGTGATGTAATTCTTGTTGCATTTCCCAGAGCTTGATTTGATTCTCAACATTCTCCATGATGTCACACATCATCACAATCGACATGTCATCGAGATCCAACTCCCAAGTAAGCTACGCCAAGTGTAGGTGTAACTACAAGTACAAGTATAAGTATAGTAACTAAAAATCATTTCCCACTCGGAGTATTCAAACATCCAATATCCAATTCCACCACTACATTCCACCAAACCTACCACCGACCCAATGGCGCCAAAAGACAAGTACACAGACCCCGAATTACGGGACCAAGTCAAGGAAGAAATCCACAACAGCGACAAGGGCGGAAAACCAGGCCAATGGTCTGCACGCAAGGTACTTACTTATATTCGGCTTGCATCAATTCAAGCCATCCATGAGCCTTGACAACAAACCAATACTGACCAATACTGGCCACAAAGGCGCAAATGATGGCATCGGAGTATAAGAAGCGCGGCGGGGGTTACAATACCAATGAAGATGGCAAGGATGAATCTCAGAAACATCTTGATAAGTGGACAGAAGAGGAATGGCAGACGAAGGAGGGGGGAGGGGACTGCGAAGCAGGATGATGGGTCGCGAAAGAGGTATTTGCCGAAGAAGGCTTGGGAGGAAATGAATGAGGGTGAGAAGGAGGAGACGGACGAGAAGAAGGTGGAGGGGTCGAAGGGGGGAGAGCAGTTTGTTGGGAATACTGAGACTGCGAAGGAGGCGAGAAGGAGGGTTAGTTTTGAGGGTGAGAATGGTGAGAATGGTGAGGAGGGAGATGAGAAGGGAGAGAAGGGAGAGAAGGGGGAGAACGGAGAGAAGAAGGAAGAGAAGAAGGAAGAGAAGAAGGAAGAGAAGAAGGCAGAGAAGATGGGAGAGGCAAATGGTGACAAGGACGAGTCGGACCAGACTCAGGGCAAAAAGAGCCAAAATGGCCAAAATGGCCAAAATACTGGCAAAGGAACTAAACGCAAGGCCAAGGCTCAGCCAGCTGAGAAAGACAACGACAGAATCAAAAGTTTGAGAAAGAGAAATTGAATTGACAATTATTTATTTTCATGGCTACTGTTCAGCGGTTCAACATCATACCGTAACACGTCTCAGACATCAAAGACTCATTTAACCTCCTCATCTCTCTCGTGACGTCCCTCATAATTACTGTTAGGCAACATATTTAGGGAATCCTCCTCCCGATCGGTCTTGTAGTTGCTCAGCCAGAAGCCGGCAGCTCCAACGAATGCCAGAATCGCCACGATGGCATAGTTCCACACCAGAAGGGGATCTGCCGAGAGTCCGACGAGGGCTTGACCGATAGCAGAGGAGAAGGCGTTCATCACCAGGGCCACAGCCTGCACCAGAGATCGCATGTTGCGGGGAGCCTTGGTGAAGGCGTACTCGAGCGAGGTCACCGAGGCGAAGATCTCAGAGATACCACCGAGAATATAGGTCAAGGCTTGGATCCAGACGGAAATGTCGGTGTATTTGCCCTCTTCCTCCAGACAGTAGTTGGCTTGCTTGCCGCAGGGACCCATCTTGTAGACGTAGTACTGGGTGACGGTGGCGACAATCATGGAGAGACCGGCGGCAATGAAACCGGCAGTGATACGCTTCACAGGAGTAAAGTTGAAGCCCATTCGACGCAGACCAGGGTACACGAACCGGTCGAAGATCGGGATGAAGATGATCAGTGCAAAGGGATTAAGATTGTTGATAATGTCGTTGGGTACACCTCCCAGGCGCATGGTGGCGGCCTGCGAAGTCAAGTTGTTAAGCATCTGGTTATATGCCAGCCCTGCAAGGTCATTAGTATATGTTCCTTGCTCATGGCAGAATCTCACATACAGTAAAGAGGGTACCAGAGGAACACCTTGCAAGCCAAAAGTCCACGGCGAACTTCGTCAACCCATTCGTCGTCAAAGTCCATCCAGGCTGGCTTGTTGGCGCCAAGGTGGCTGGGCTTCACACGGGACCAGAAGTCACTAGGACCACTCTTCTTGAACCTGGTTTGATCAGCGATATTCTCTTCCAAGTCTGCAATTTATGGAGATAGAACGTACAGTCGCACGGGGTTGAGAGACCAGCGGCCCTGCATGGCCAACTTCCACAGCTTGAATGCCTTGGTGTAAACGCTGCCGGTTGGCTCCACAAGGTAGTACTTCTTGCGGCAGAAGAACAGAATGGTGGGGCAGATACAGAACATGGCAGTGGGCAAGAGGTAAGACAGCCAGAAGCCGACATAACGTTCCGCGTAGACCATTGAAATTTGACCAACGAGCGAACCGATGTTGATCATCATGTAGAAGTAAAGATAGATACGGGCCACTGTGGCAGCTGGGTCGACAATGATACGCTCTCCACTGGGCAATGTCTGGATATAGGGCTTCTCTTCACGGTACTGCTCCGCAATCAGAGGGGAAATGTTGGACTTGAAACCACCGGTACCAACACCCATGATGATCAAACCGATAGAGAAGCATGCAATGGAGCCGTTAGGGCTAGCAATGACTGGAGGAATGGCGGAGATGATGAGAATAGTGTGGCCGACCAAAGCACAACCAATGGAGGCAAAGATGGTGCGGAAACGACCCCAGTACTGATCAGCAACCATAGCACCGAATAGAGGCATGATATAAGACCAGAAAGAGTTGACTGTCCAGGTTAGTCCCGTGTCATGTGTCCTGTGCGGACCTCTGGAACTTCACTTACACAATGTCAATCCAGTAGAGGCCTGTTGGCCCATTCCCAAGGCACCTGGCACACCATTGCTGAAGTCGGACCCGGGGACCAAAGCACCAGTGGTAGATCCGGCCGGAAGAGGACGCTGAATGAAGTTGACGACTGTTCAGGGTTAGTCTCGTGATCAGTTTCTGGAATTGGGCAACATACAAACCGCAGTTGTTCCATAGTAGGAGAATCGCTCGCAAAGTTCCACAAAGGCGACGGTGTATGCAGGCCAGGGAACCTTGCCCGCTACTCGACGAAGGTTGCGTAGATCATCTTGACTCGGGTATTCTCTGTCGACTTTATCCTCCGAATAGAATGTTCCCTGTTGAACAGGAGCTTGTTCAATTTTTAGCTCATCCTTCTCGTTGATGCCCACTTGAGAGATGGCCTTGGACTTGGCAATCTCGGCCACATCGACTGGATCGGAGGCGTTCATGGTGAAAGAGGGGATGAACTGGGAGCAGGGAGAGAAGAGAGCAAGGGAAAGAGAAACGTGAGGTTTTAAAGAAAGCAAGCAGGCAAAGACCCTGACTATCCCAAACGGGAAGGAGCGAGGCTCTCTATCAGCCACTCCGCCACCTCTTCCTCTTCTTCTTCTTTTCTTGTCTTCTGCTGGCCTCTCTCTGCCTCTCTTCGCCTTCTAGAACTCCGGAGCAATGCCTGAATCAGGATATTCCACAAAAACCGTCGATAGCCGGCCAAGACTTCAATCTGAGCGCATCCCAACCTGTCAGTATAATCGGCTGAAACCGACTGCCCTGTGGTCACCCAGCCCATCCCAAGCAGTCCTCATATCACCACCTCACCAAATCACAACTCGACAAAATGCTAATCTTTGCCAAGTCTTGCGATATCCAATCACTCGGCGGCACCGAAGCGGCTTGAGAGTTCAACTTTCGCCCCTTGGCGCATCTTGGCACACTATTCCCCCCGCGCCATCAACTTGGCTGGTAGGTTACGCTGTAACATCAACCTCTTGGCTACTCGGATTCGCCTATGGGAGCGAGGAAGAAGCTGATAACCGAGGCGGAGAGATAAGTGGTCCACCCACATGGTTCCGAAGTTAATGGCGAATATGCAGGGCCCTCCACAATGATTAGGCTCGGGACTAGTCTTGCCACTGGCTTAAGGTCTGGCTCTTGGACGCTCATGTGATATGAAGCGAACTCTGGGGTTGTCTTGGACCGTCGGGCTCCGGAGAGAGACCTCGTATAACTTGATTGATCGGACTATGGAACGACTTGGTGATTATACTTCATCTAGGCGTCGCGCGATTGGGCCTCTTTGTTGCGCTTGGCACTGCCTTCCAGTCCATATAGGACATCATCCGACATGCCGGGAATAACCATCTCGAACGTTTCCTTCACGACGGTGTACTGATAATACCCGCAGCGGGCAATGGGCTGGGTCTTCTTGATATCCAGAATCCCATCAGTGAGCACCTCGTCTTTGATGTGAACGGCGATCACCCGGCCGATCACGACGTCGACCGTGCCCATCGGTGGGTTACCAGGCAGCCGGACGGTGGAGTGATATTCACACTCAAACTTGACGGGTGACTCTTGCACCATCGGCACGTTCATCAAAGTGGCCGGCTCCTTGGTGACCTTGGCACGCTCAAACTCGTCCACACCGTACGGTACTTGCTCAGCAGAGATATTGACCGCTTCGCGCAGGTCCCAAGTGGCCAAGTTCCAGACGAATTTGCCGGTTTGCTCGGCATTGATCACGGTATCTTTACGAGTGCCTTGGACAGTCTGATTGGACGAGAACATCACATAAGGTGGATCAAAAGTGAGGTTGTTGAACTGCGAGTAAGGGGCCAAATTGGCTTGGCCTTGGGAATTCTGGGTGGAGATCCATCCGATAGGACGGGGGACCACGCACGCCTGCATGGTCAGCTACTGTATTATATGCATGAGAATGGAGAAAAGCCCACCTTGAAAGGATCGTGGGGAAGGTTATGTTCTGTGATTCCTGGCTGATAAAACATTTTGCCAGAATGCGTCGAGTTTGTTGGCGCTAAACCCCTCCTTTTATATGCGTGGGTCTCAGCCGACACATTTGCCGAGTGGTTGACCCATAGCGATCTCCAGATGAGATGCAATCAAAACATACCCTGCCAAAGATATCGATTTGGCTACCGTGATAGGACTAGCTATCGACCAAACAACAATGACCAGATCTGAATTTCTACCGTACCGGACTCATTCGCGCAAGACTCAGTGAGCTTGTCCTTTATACTGCAGGCTGCAGGGTTCTCGGGGACAGGCTGTGGTTTGCCATAAGTTGGCTGACACCTGTGAATTAATCATCATTGATGCAAAGCTAACTACCGACAATGCAAACTATGTAGCTCGTAAACAGTATAAACAAACGTAACTCGTGAAACATCCAAACCCAAGGACCTAGATATGGAATGCTGGCAGGTTGGCAACAATAAAGTCATAACTGTCCTTTCGGAAATCGTCCGGCAGCAAAGTAGCATGATTTTGAAAGAAATTCATCAACGACTGGTTACTAGCCCACTGGGGCCAGTCCATATAATTCCCAGCTTTGGCATTAGGGTCCTGCTCATAGACGAATGAGAGGTAATAAGTGTGCAGAGATTTGGATGCATAATTAGGTTGAACTCCCTGGAAGACCTGGCTCACATCTGATCCATGGAAAGTTCCCAAGAAAGGCGTATGATGGTTGTAGGAGGAAAGGTATGACCAGAATGGAATGTCTGGTTTGACTTTGATGGCAAAGTTCAAGAAGACTCGACGGGTCAGAGTGAATGAGAGATCACCGAGGATGGCGGCAAGACGCTTGAACTGCGGATACCAGTTGTATGAGCTGCCTGTGCGGAAGGGTGAGCCGTCTTCGTCGGTGGTTTGATATGTGGCGACGAAGTCGGTTAGTTGTTGGTGGCTTGCGTCGACGAAGAATAGACTGTCCAGGTAGTCCACGATATCGTCTGTCGTGGTAAAGTTGGATTGGTACAGGGCGAATATGGTTCCTTCGTCCTCTTGATCGCCGACAATGAACGGCACAGAGGCGTATTTGCCTTCGGCGGCTAATTTGTCGGCGGATTCGGTCAGAGCGGTGCCATCTGGTCGGATGAGATACGATTCGGCAACAGAATTATAGCCCAGAATCCCTGGGACTGAAGTTGCGGCATTGAGGAAGTCCTCGTATTCCAGACCACGCAGACATTCAAGAGAGTCTTTCGCGCCTGCACAGTCAGCTGCCTTTACGACAGTGTCGTATACATGTTGACCCTTGGCGCAATCAACTGGGTTGGCGGGTCCAATGCTCCCCGAGTCCATGATAGCCCCATGAAACAGGGGAGAGCCATTGTACGTATTGTTGCCGTCGTACATGGACATCTGAGCAAAGACCGAGATTGATCCCGCCGATTCTCCCCAGATAGTCACCTTGGAGGGATCTCCTCCAAACGCTTCAATGTTATCCGCCACCCACTCTAGAGCGAGGCGCTGATCCAGAAGCCCAAGATTGGCAGAACCGTCTTTCAAGACTTCCTTGCCCGGCAGGAATCCAAATCCCCCGAGACGATAGTTCATGGCGACAAAAATGACCGGCATTTTCAGGTCCACTGAGCTAGCCACAAAGTTTCCGCCGTCGTAGCTTGCGGTCGAACCTTGTTCGAACCCTCCACCATAGATCCATACCAGGACTGGTAGTTTGGCGTCGGGTTTTGTCCCGGCTGGACGGCGGACATCCAAAGTCAGACAGTCTTCACCTGCATTACTGATCTCTTGGAAGATGGGGATATTGCTCAGTTTGGCGATAATCGATTCCGGGAGGTTGCTTGCATCGGTACTGAAAAAGAACTGCGGACATGATCTCGCGACCGATGCTGCATGAATAGTGTGCAATGGCGTTGTAATCGGCAGAGGAGGTCTCAAGCGAAGTGCCCCGGTCGGGGCCATTGCATATGGTATGCCATTGAAGTTCTCGACTTTGCTCACACCGGCAGCACCGATGATAGTAGCCTCGGGCTTGGAAATCGTCACAGTCGGACCAGCCGCTCTCTTGGTCGCAGGGGCAGCCAAAGCAAGAGGCAACACGAACAACAAGATCAACTTGTATAGTGAAGGCATCATGGCCGGCATGAGGGCCCGATGACAGCTGTTTTAATTGAGCTAAATTACCTCCTTGCGTGGGAATGTCGCGCGACGAAGGGATAGATATAGAATGTCAAATTTCCCCACAGATGAGTTCATGGACGATCTGGATGGTTGGGTTTCGCTCTCATGCTCTCCCTTTCGTCGGGTCAAGCTATTTATGAATGTTTTTGGTCGAGTCCATGGCGACTGAAACGGGACATTCGACCGGTGAAGTGATCATGCGGTGGTAATGCATCAAAACTGCCGAACCCAGGCCATCCGGCACAAGCGTGCAGGATTTCAGACACGCGAGCGGGTCTGGTTGGATGCACGCGCAGCTTCTGGATGGCAATCCACCGAGAAGGTTTGCAAGTGGTAGTGCGAGTGCAGATCTTGGGTTTTCAGAATGTAGAATGCGATGTTGACGATCAACTGACGATGTAAGGGCGCTGAGCGCCTTGTCTGTTTGCACGCTTTTCATGCATGAATATGCAAGATGACATTTAATTCGCTCTAGTTTGGATTAGCTTGCATTAGTTCGGCTGGTTGAGGCGGGTGGAGGAAGATCTCTCTTTTCTGGGGAAGAGATGAAGCTGATCCCGGCTTGTCGGTGTGATTCGATCCAGCGGATCTCGAAGCACTTTGCTTAGCACTGTCCGCAGTTCTACTGCTTATATTTTCCTTGTTTGTTTGTTCTTGTTGGGTTATCTTGTCCTGCTCGGACAATAAGGTCCAGGGTGGCGTTGTGACAGTTTGTCACCCCCGGATATTCTCGGAAAGACAACAAAAGCGAAAAAGAAGGTTCATATTCGAGTAATTTCCCCGTGGTCCTCATTGCAGACATTAAATCAACAACTTGGGTGGTGGAGCTGAAACTGCAAGGGCTTCGTACATACTCGAAACCTTCACGAACGTGGCCTGTTACTCGAAACAACAAAACCTAGAACACGACGTTAATGCTTGAATTCGATGTCTAAAACAGCTCTAATCCTGGTCTCTTTCTATATGCGGAAATGTCACCAACGCCATGCAATGCAAAAATAAATCCATCCATGTCCTTTCACAGAGAGCTTATTTCTCCCAACCTTCCCAGCGGGCGAAATCCCCCGTCTCCAGATCAAACAGGTCCAGCATTCGGCCGACACTCTGATCCACCAGCTCATCCACCGAGGCAGCTCGGATGTAGTAAGCCGGCACAGGGGGGAAGATGACAGCTCCACTGCGAGTGAGCTCCAACATATTGCGCAGATGGATATCGCTGAGCGGAGTCTCCCGAGCGACGAGGACCAGCTTGCGCCGTTCCTTCAGCATCACATCGGCCGTTCGTGAGATCAGATCGTCACAGAAGCCGCTGTGGATTGCGGCCAGGGTCTTCATACTGCATGGAACGACGATCATGCCGTCGGTCTTGAAGGATCCGCTTGACACGGGCGCTGCCATGTCGTTGATGTTGTAGACGTGGTCGGCGAGTGCTCGGACATTGGATGGGTGGTAGTCGGTTTCGTATTTGATGGTTGCTTCCGCCCATTTGCTCATGACCAGGTATGTTTCGACGTTGAGACGGCGCAGGGCGATGAGCACTTTGATGCCCAGAACGGCGCCTGTGGCTCCCGTCATGGCGACGACGATGCGCTTGCGGCGTTGTGTTGGCGGGTGCAGGGCTGGTTGAACGTGTTCGACATGGGTCTCGGCTGGGGTGGAGGCTCCAGTCTGGCTACCAGCTGGAGAGGCTCCAATGGAATGGGGCGTGTGAGTGCCGGAGAGCATCGACAGCATCTTGAATTGTGGTTGGTGGATTGTAAATTAAGGATTAAGGATTCGGGTGTTGATCGAGGTTGGTATGCTGAGTGTAGTGGTAATGTAAGGTTTGATGATTAGATCTGATCAAGGCTATGTTTCTGGGTGAGCGAGACGCTTTATAAAACCCCGTGGCAAGAAAATTGATCTTCTTCAAGGCATGCCGATTCCCGAGTCCTCCCATCGGACCGTTTTCTGTATACTCTGACCCATTCCGAGCCTCCGATCCCGAGCCCCCGAGCCCCCGAGGGGTGGTGCCGAGAGCCGCGATTTGACAGCAGCAAAATTTACACAGCAACTGGGTGTTGGTGGATCATTAAATTGGCTATTTTAATACGGAGGACTCGGCAAACCGATAGTTTACTTGTCGATCATGGAGATAATATCCGTTTCGAGAATCTATAGAGCTATATGTTCGGATATGCACATCCCATCAGCTCTTGTCACACCTGGCACTTTTACTATAAGCCCTGGCTATGAAGAACCATCTGAAAGCAACCAGTAATGGATCTATCAAGAACTTCTGTTACATGGTTACTTTAATGGTCCACCGAACATCGAAATCTTGATTATGGTATATTGGCTGACGAAATTTGCTTCGATTGCTAGAGCCGGAACCTTTTTCTGGGACTCTTTCACATTTTGGAAATAATTATCTCACGATCCATCTTTTGACATAATGGTCGGTCATTGGGCGTCTGAAAATAGGACTCTAGGGACCTTCTAGAGCTTTTCTGCCAACTTGGAGTGAAGACTGAAGATCTCAATATAGATTCGATGGGCAGCATGATCTACCACACCATATATCTCGTACAGCGATTTAAACGTGGACAGGGAATCGAATTCACGGCAACAGTGCATCAGACAAACAGGCACCGGTTCATAATGCCTCCTGATCAAGTGGACGGTATCATCATTACGCGATGCCATTCACAAAAACGCATTTTCCTGTGTAAAGTCGAACATTGGCACTGTTGTGCATAATGTTAGCATATTTTCGTGATCTATCTACTTACACCACCTACCATTCATTATTGAGTCCAAGTAAGATAAAGGCGACGTATCGAACATATTTCCTACGTCAAACATTCCATCCGACATACTGCAAATGTTAAAACTGATGATTCTTCGCGAGAGAGATACATACCTAGTAGAAAATTGACCAGGATTGACACCATCGCTTGTCCAGGCCTCATTCTCTTGAACGCTCACATCCTGTTGTCGATCCAAAGCACTTCGCAGAGTGACGAGCGCCCGGATATGCCGCGCAGATAACCACTGGCCTTCATTCTCAGACCCGGGATTTCCCTCATCGGACGCTTTCCAGTCCGCGGAAGAGAACACATCAATAACCTTTTGTTGAAGATCTCGACACTCGGGATCATTCCGAGTCTCCTCCCATATACAAAGAAGCAAGGTGGAGCTCAAGACAGTATGTACCATGGACCAGCTCCGGAGAGGAACCACGCTGAGAGCTTGGAAGTCCAGAAACGCGCGCGATGCATCAATCAAGCTTCCCTTTGCACGGGCGCGAAGAAGGTCCTGTTGCATGAGGAGAGGCTGGCCCTGTGACTGTTTCATGGCAGGACGGCAGACCACTGATACGCAGAAGGAAGAATGGATTTTTAATGCGAGGTGTTCGAGATGTTCCTGGAAGGCTATGCAATTGTCTCGTGCTTGCAGATGGGGTTTCCCGCGCCGGTAGAGGTTATCTATCTGCTGTAAGGCATCGATTGATCGATCGTTTTCGCTCGCGCCGGGGTTTTCAGGTCGCATGATGTCCAGACCCAGTCGAGTGATGAAATGCATCACTTCCTGATATGATAGGTCCTGCTTTTGTAACAGGCTGTTATCGGGAGACCAACCGGTGAGGGTCACGATTGGAGGGCGATCATAGCAAAGACATAGCAAGCTATCCTGCCATACGATAGTCGACCACAGCTTTCGGACTTTGGTTTGCACGTACTCGGGCCAGTGGATTGTACCTCGCTCAGTGTGCAGACCCATTGTCTGAGCAAGTCGAACTGTCGTTCCTAGGAATGCCCAGGCAGCATCTGATTGACCCATGTTCTGTATTGTGTTGCCGAGGATAACGAGTGCTTGGATGATATCGAGTGAGGGTCGGAACAGGAAGTTTGCTAGGCGGAGAGCATGGAACGAGCGACGAGCTGGATGTTTATTAGTACGTACGCAAATACTGGGCGTGAGTCAAGGTTACCGAAATCAGTTGCGAGTTCCAGTCGCTTTGGGTATTCAATATCCGAGTAATGTGCCCCTGCAGCTAACGTAGCCAATAGAAGACTGATATGACCGACAGACTTATCCGTAGCCCATCGCTCAGTAATATGATCCTGATCCAGTAGCTCCCCAGAAGCATGTGCATTGAGATATGTGCATAGATCCGACTCAAACCGATCCATGTCAGCCAGAATGGGATTGAAGGGGTATGCCGTGACACGATAGTAATGGAAGAACTTCAAGACTTCATTCCTCTGAGGCAAAACACTGAGCAACGACTTCCATCGTTCATGGGGTGTCTTCGGATCCATAAATGGATAAATACTGAACGAATTCTGCAATCCTAGAACCGACCCGACCTCTCGAGCCATCGATTCATTAGAACCTGATGCCCGCGAACGCAGGATCGAGACAAGAGAGTTATCTCCCGAATAGCTATAATCCTTAGCTGTATCATCTGGCCGTAAGCCTATCGAGGGCGAAGCTGATGCATGAGCGGCCCTCGCCTCTGGCTCAATCCTTTTAGGAGAGCTCACACCGGCCGATTGGACATTGGCAGCCTGCGATCCCTCTCGGCGCCTTGGCGCTCGTGATGGATCAAACGTGCATATCTGAGGATGATTGCGTTTCAGACAAGTCCGACAAGGCTGAGTGCCATCACACTTGACTTTTCTCTTTCGACAGGGGTAACACGCTTTGGGTTCCCGTTCTTGGCGCTTCAGACGGAGTACTCGGTCGACTTCGTCTTGATTGACGCTCATATTGCCGAATGCCGAGATCCGAGACCGAGATTAATTTATCAGGCTAACGGGGTAATGAGGGGTTGAGATTCCAATCGAAATTAAACAAGATTAATGTAATTGCTTAATGTCTCAAGAGAAAGCCTACGCACATCCGAGACAGCCGTTTGGAAGGCCGTTGTGCACGGACCAGAAAGCTATGGTCATGGTCATGTGATGTTCGTTGAGTGTTGAACGAGTTAACGGACAAGTTCACTATTTACTTGTAGTCGGGTTTCTCACAAACATACTAAAGGCTGTGTATCTCTGGTTTAGGGACTAGTGGCGTGGGGAAGATTTTGATAGTCCCTAGCATGCTTAGTGTTGTAGTGGGGGAACTGCTCACTGCATCAAGTAGCAGTCTACGGATGACACAGGCATGTGTGATGCTAACATTGAAGATATGAGATTGAAGTTATTTAAGATCTCTCTACACATAGTGAGCAAAAGATACAGACTCTTCCCTTTAGACCACCCCTATGTGATCTCCTTTCCTATAGTCCTACCCGAACTCTTAGTAGGTTTTGCCTATGCTCCCATGGCTAGTATCGACCTATCTGCTCGACCAGACTACAGTTGCGCCATCCCCACTTTACTGTATAAATTAATAGAAGGGTAGTGCTAACAAGCCACCCCCGATTGCTACTAAAAAAAAAGCGCTACAAATCTACTAATTCTCTAGCGCTATTGATAAGTGGGGGGTGGCTTTGTAGCAATACCCTAATAGTAATAGAACAACGTTGAAGGAGAAATCCAGTTGTTTAGGCTAGAGGTTCAACAATGTATCGTGAACCTCATATGTACCCAAATCACCCTCCTTAATATAACCAAATTTAAATTCATTCTCACATGGTGAATAATTATGGCATAGGCCACAGGTATACAGACAAAATTCTCAACAAAATATTTTTCGCGTTTGAGCCTGGTTGAGGTTTACGTCAACCCAGACACATTTTGGAAATCTATCTCAGACTCTGAATGTATGAGTACTCGGATATGGCACTCCATTCTTCACAATTTCAAATCTGACGCGTGAACAAAGCAAAGCAACAGAATCAATGAATCGCCCCAAACCATGACTTGGCCAATCTCAGAACAGAGAGCCAACCCGCTCGATGAGCTTAGTGACGAGTTCTCGAGAAGGAGTGGTCATTGCCTTGATCTCGGCTTGTACCCAGCCATCAGCCTTGACTTTGACCAACTCCCACACATCCTGAGACTCAGCTTCATTTGTCTCCAAAAACCGGCAAACCAGAGATGTAGCAATCAAACGCGACCATTCATCAACCGCAGATGCTTTGCTCGCTTCACTTCCTGCCAGGAGGTCATAGTTGGTTTGTATGTTGCCGTAGACAGTTCTTGGGTCAAGGCTCATGATCTGCAACAGTGCATCGCTCATCTCCCAGTATCCTTCGAAAGTCTGGAGCAGGATGAGCTTATTTAGCGGAAGGGTTGACGAAGCGTCTGCGTCTTCGAACCTGTCGTCGATGTCGTCTTCCTCGTCTTCATCCTGAACAATCGGTGACACAGGTGAGTACCCTGCAGATATACCAATAGGAGATGTAGGGGTGTATCCCGGTGATGCAGCGCTGTAGCATTGAGCCATTGGGGAAAATGATGCCTGCGCGTCAGGTACATACGGCGTCTGGTTCATTCGGACCTTTTTGCACTTCGGCTGGAATTCAGAGGCGTCGTTATCGGTGTTCATGAACGTGTCGAAGTCAAAGTCTTCTAGGACGTCTGTGCTGTTTGCTGCGCTGAAGTCCAGGTTGAATGCCGTGGCCTTCAACAAATGATTAGTGTGTGCTTATGCAAACTAGTGTTTGGAAAGGAAGGATAACCTACCCCTGGGGCGCTGAGGTCTAAGGATGCGGCCGGGCGCTATCAGAGAAGTCAGTATATGAAGTTGCGACAGGTTACAGTGATCCTCCGTAGAGTAGCTAGGGGGTTGAGGTTTGTTTACTTTGGCATCCATTGAGATACTGTCATACTCAACCAGGCCCTCTTCGTCCACCATACTGTCATACTCAACCAGGGCCTCATCGTTCACCGCGACAAATGAGCAGTGATTTCCTGCGACTTGGAATCTCACCCCCAGACGCTCGCATTCTGTCTGAGCCAGTTCATCAATTCGACTCTCCCATTTTGTTTTGATCAACTCGCCTTCGGCATCCTTTGCCGAGTATATCCAGCCGCGGGACTCCTCAAGCTCGGTGATCGTCTTTTTGGCCGCGAGCTGATGGACAGTTTGGCCCTTGCCGATGTCTTGAACGGGGATTTCCAGCTCCAGGAGACCATGTTTGCTGTTGGCACGAAGAGTGATCGTCTCCGGGAACGAGTCTATGGATTGTGAGAGAAGCAAGTAGATATTAGAGCGTATGAATGGGAACAGAGCTGGAAGGTCATGTGGTGCTTGCAACATGCTAGGAATAGTAATTTTTGGCAGTGGCTCACGCACATCACCAATTCCTTCTCCTTCTTGATAATCTTGATCGAATAGGGAGATTTTCTTCGGTGGGGGCTCTGTATCTGTCGTATCATCACCAGGAAGATCAACTTTCACAAAGCTTTCTTCATCCTCAGTCTTGGGAATGTCCACATCCAATCTGCTGTTGTGCAGTCGAGGCATCAAAGCACCCTTCAGCATTCGAACTACTGTTTTATTGAGATCCTCATTGTTCAGGACTGTCTGAGTAAAGCCCTTGCCTGCTCTCGAGATACCATTGATAAGAGAGTGGGAAACGAAACTCCCGATGCCGAGAGTGAAGAACCGAGCAGAATGCTGCTGGTTAGCCCGATTGACCAGGTCGAAGACCTCGGACTGGTTCCAGACCTCACCGTCAGTGAGAACCAATACCTCAAGCACCTTGTCTTGGTAGCGATTTTCCACAGCTGCGTTGAGGCCAGACAGGATTTCAGTTCCACCGAGATTGGCCTGCATCTTCTTTGTATACTGAAGAGCCTCTTCTAGGCTCTCTCTGGTACTCACTTTGCTTCGAGCCCAGAGAGCTTCAGTCGAGGAGCCAAACGAGATCAAGTTGAAAGGCACACCCAGCGGCAGCGACTTGAGAAACAGCGCAAGGGCGGAGCGTAGCGTACGCATCTTGTCCCCCATGCTGCCACTGCGGTCAATGACGAACACGATTTCGGATGAGTCCGGCGGCACACTGAACTTTGGTACCAGGGAGACCATTAGTGCTTTCTGATTTGGCAATGTAGGGTGTGTCTCCAGGAGAGCAAATGGGAGATCGTGTTTGTCTGCATTGACGGTGATCACGAAATCCTCCTGGATCCTTATAAATTCACCAATTTTGATCGAGGCATAGTTGGGCTCAAAAAATGACTGCGGCATATCGGCTGTCCGGCCCAAGTCCACCTCGATTGGATGGCTTGGTGACCGAACATTGCGGATATGAGATCCCTTTTCCATGACAACGTCCACCTTGATTGATATTTTTACAAGAAATCCTTCGGGCGGATGGGGAAGATCGACTCCATTTCCATATCGAGGTCCAACAGTGACGGGGATCATGTATCTAACGCCGTCTGTTTTGGCATCCTGGGCCAGTTCTTGGATGAGAGTGATCTCGACGAGAACGGTACCCCCCGCTGGGACATTTCCTAGGCGCGTGCTGAAGACATCGGCGGCACTAAGTGACTGATCGAGAATAGCAGCAGTTTGCCCCTTAGACTTGGCTTCTTGATAAATCTGATTTGCTTTCGCTTTTGGCTTGACTATTCCTTCAATCACAGTATCGGCCACGCGACAAGTGAAGCCGACGATACTGGAGCTTTCATACAAGGGGAACGAGTAGAAGACTTCGGAGATCGCTTCTGTAGAAGAAGGGTTCACAAAGGTCTGCGTGATTACAGTTCGTGAATTTCTAGCGAGAACAGTTGCATGCGCATCAAGGCCAATCTGAGGCAGGTACTTGAGCGCTGACAGGTTTGCGGCCGGTCGGTAAAAGCAGCCGTGTGCCATGATGCAGAGAGTAGAGAGTTGGAACAAAAGAAAAGGAAGACGGGGAGGAGCGAGTTTATATAGACTGGTGCACATGACAAACGCTAGGCTGCTTGGCGATGCGGACATGAGGTTACCCGAGGCTGTGCTCTGATTGGCTGGTTCGATGCGGCTCAAGTGGTTCCGAGTCAACACACGTTCGGTTTCTTTCAACCTGCAGATTGTTCATGGATGTGACTCCAGTATGATCGGCTTGACCAATCGCATTTAGAAAAATGATCCAAGCTAAAAGCCATACAGAAACAGCACAAGATGACTCAATTCATTTTGATCAAGATTCGGGAATCCACCTGTATGTCCAAAGCCACAAAAGGACGGGGAGGGCAGTGCTCCACGGGTCCACCCTGGGAGCCGCTAACATGATTACTAAGGCGAGTAAAAGAACACTAGATAGGCGGCTAGCATGTTTTTGCGAGGTCGTATATAGCACACTTAGACAGTAATGAACCCCGCAGCAAAGCTAGCCTTCCCCGGCAGATGAATATGGGATAATGTGTGTAGAAATTTGGTCCATACCTTGAACTTATGTAGTGTGAAACACTTGTCCGAATACTCGAACTCGAGATAAGCAATTCCCGTTTCATTCATTCATCCTGTAATTTTCAGACCGGAGGGGATCAAATAGCTCTTCTTTGACTTGAGGAGTTCGCTGAGACTGAGCGACCGCCGAGGGGCTTCGCCATAGTAGCGCGTGTCTGCAGATCGCACCGTGGGGTCCGCACCCGCGTCCAGTAGCATTTTGACGATACTGGACTTACTGTCCGGACAACATAATGCAGAGGAGTGCCCGTGCCCTATTCGGCGTTGAATTGATTAGGATCGAGGCCCTGAGCCAGAAGAAGCGAAGTCATAAGCTGCGGTTGGCGTGCACAAGGATGTAGTGCATCAACGAGAAGATCTTGCTCAAGTTTAGAACCATACTCGACAAAGAGTTCAACCAGAAAAATTTCTTCGCTGCCTATGACAGTGCCAGGGAGAAAAGATACACCCCGCACAAGTAGGATCTCACATCGAGCCACAATCATTTAATTCAATAACCAGTCGCCGAACTTTTCATTTGCCCTCTAGCGAGTGCGTGCAAAATATTGGTCGACATTATCGTGTTAATGTTGAACCTGACTTGCGTAGATGTGTGTTGATCACAATCTGACAGATTTGATCTGTGTCCTCACATACTTGTGGACGGCGAGGAAGTCCCTTTTCTCAATCCTTTCACTTGCAACCCTGTCTTGGGAGATGCTCTTCATCTATATAACGATTAAATAGTAACAGCCTAAATCGGAAATGGTATCGGTGTGACCAAAGCCACGAATGAAAACAGGAGAAGAAAAATCTACACGTCGGCGATGGGGTTTCCAGGCGGAGAACGGATTGCCAAAGAGAATGTACTGCCTGCGTTAAACCTCTCATCAAATCCCACATGCCCAAGCGAAACGTCGTTAATCTCCCCCGTACTTGTTTTGACGGGCCGCCTTGCGAGTGATCTGGATTTGGCCATGTGAGCCCATTTGGCTTTAAAAACAGGCAAAGTAGTCGAGGTGTAGATAATGGCGTTCCAAAACCCTTGGAGAGAGAGGACAAATGCACCCGCCAAGTTCAAGCCAAAGATTGTTTTGGCGGGATCGATAATTCCATAGATTCGATTGATGAATGACGGCAACTAGTTATGATGTTAGTAAAGTTTTGGTAGGTCCGTGTATTTCAAAGCGAAGTCATACCCAAGTAGCGACCATGGCTATGAAGAAGATAAAGGAGTATCTGAAATAACTCCGCATAGAGTGATTCTTCTTGGCCTGAATGTCCAACCCACTTCCAGAGCGAGACCTTTGAGACTCGATACAGGCCGAATATGGTATTGCTGGCTCTGTCGTTCCCCCTTTGTCTGCGCTGGCGGTTACATCAAACGAAACTGATCGAGTCACGTTGATCGCTCTGTTTGCAGGTGGCGCATATTGGGTCCTCTGTAAAGCCTTGTGCTTTCGATAAATGCGAACACCCGCCGTAGCGTATATCACAAAAGTCATGCTACTTATCACCCTGTAAAAGGAAGTCAGGTCAAAAGTTGCGAGAAGTTAGAGTACGACGTACCAAACTGGACCGTAAAAACACACCAAACGTAAGAATTGCCATGGTTCCGTGATCGAACACCATATCTAAGCAGAAGTCAGTCATCCTATGCATAACTTGACCCGTTCGCCTTTGCGGTACATACCAAAGCCGGCCCATAGACCCTCCCTCTTTCGGCAGTCTTTATGACGCTCAGTACAATTGCCAGGATCAACGGTAACCCATAGCAAAAAGCAAAGTACCACTTCTCAAGCTTCTTGAGATCTTCTGCTGAGTATCTCCGGTAAAAGGTCAAATATATATTGACCGCCATACAAAATGACCACAACGAGTCCGTTGGCATCCAACTTAAATCAAAATATTAGATTTCATAATCCTGAAGATCATGTAGAAAAGAGTGGCAACATACTATTGGATAAAGAATGCCTGTGCTATGCATAGGCTGGAGTTTGGACCCGCTAAGACACCATCTCTGCTGATGATAGTCGCAACGCCCGCGAAAGCATTCCCAAAGGAAGCATAGAAGATCAGTCGGTTGACTGGCTTGCGAAAAGCGGGCGAAGAGCAATAGGTCGTCACAATAAATGCACAGCCCAGCAGAGAAGAGCTTCCCCCACTCTTTCTGCTATTGAGATAGCCCGAAGTTGCTCTTCTGTCAAGGACATGGATTATATGACTCTTGAAATGTGCAGCTTGGGTTCAATGAGGTCTGTAGACTGACTTCCTTCGAGAAACATTCTCCCACATCTCACGTGGACGGATGGCACGTGGTGGCGAGAGTAGATGGACCTGAAAAGCAGACCATTCGCTCAACCCTTCTTTCGATGTTCTATTCCAGGAACTCGAAAGCTTAGAAAAATTCTATTTAGAAAGGTTGCTGAGATATGGGGATCTTATTGAAGGATTCGTCTGCGTTTCCCCACAATAATTGTTCCGGCTGAGATATGTAAACGTCATAACCCTACGTAGAGTTCTGCATCCCCATGGGCCATTGAAAGCTAAATATATAAATCTCCGTGACGTTTTCCAATTTATGCGTATCCCTACCATTGGATGGAATTTGTGGGTATGCGTCAAATATTATTACCTAGAAAATCCCATGTATAGTTATATCTTGATTGTGAATAGTGTCTTGTCAAGTTCTTCATGTGTTCAGTAAAATTGACGTGGGATGTTCGGTAATCGAACAACATGTCAAGCTATTCTTTGTCTACGGGTTAATATCAGTAACGATTTACTTGAATATCTGGAAAGGAAGCCGATTGACTCAGGAAGAGAGAAATCCCGGAGTGTACGCTCCAACTGACCGTTTTGACTAGTTTGATGAATATGCTTCCAACTCCTCTACCGGCCATCTCTGGCGCCGGACCCTTGATTAAGTCAGGTATCTCGTCCGCTGAATACTAATATCGGTGCCTCTTCTATAGCCTGGTTTCTTGCCCTATGCCTATCTTGGGGGTATAAGCAGGTAGCCTTAGTATACTGATATACTAATATGGCCCTAGGCCTAAATTCTAGAAATAGGGCTCCCCACTATCGTTCTAGCATGTTTGAAACATATTATGCATAATCTAGCTTGGTAACCGACCCCGAACGCTCAGAAGTCCGAGAAGAAGATCAGTGGGTTCGGCAAGCCGGCTAACCAAAAAGGGCATACTGGTCCGATTCATCTCAACCCGAAACTCCAAGAATATTGCGAGCACGGAAAAAGCGCTTTGAATTGGTACAAACATTGCGTACTTACATGAAACGGTCGGTGGTTTTTCGGAGACATCTTAACATATAAATAATGTGTTGGGCTGCGAGCCTTTTATTTATCCATATTGATTTATACGATTTAGTTTGTCTTCATCATGCGCCTTGCGACCATCACAGCTTGCCTACTGTTTGGCTACTCGGCTACTTCTACAGTAATTGAGTCTTCAGCCCTTTCGCTATCAAATAGCACCATTTGTGCCGATGTACACATTTTGATTGCACGCGGGACAACGGAGTCTTACCCCGGTTCTCTCAGCACTTTGGCAGAACTGATCACTTCGAAGAACGAAAACACGACTTATGAGAATCTCATATACCCAGCTACAGACGAGACAACAACCAACAGCTATCATGTCGGAATCAAAGCTGCACGAAAACAGCTAACTAGTTTCGTTGAGCGGTGCGGTCACACTGGCTCTAAGCTCGTCATACTTGCCTACTCCCAGGTACATGCTTCCTATGATTTCATCAAATTTGAACCAACTTCTGACTGAGATACTCGATCATCTAGGGAGCAATGGTAATTGCAGACACTCTCGCCGGTGGCGGCGGCGACTCGACTTTGGGCAATTTGACTGCCCCAATTGGATTGGATCTCGGCAAGCACAGTAAGAGATTTGGAAACAGACACAGATACTCAAAGTTGACCACGTCGTGACAGTCGATGCTGTTGTTTTTTACGGTGATCCTCGCCACGCCCCTAACCAGCCATATAACCAGGGCCTCGGAACCTTCAATGTCACTGGAGTATGCCAAGCCGATTACAACCTTATGGGAATCGTTTGACTGATTGTGAATTTTAGAAATACCCTCGTCGAGAGGATCAAGTGCAGTATTTGACTAGACACTATGGGCATGTCATCCATGACTTTTGTAATGTGGGCGATCCTGTGTGTGCCAGCGGGTCTAACCTCACAGCCCATATGGTCTATCCTGATATTTGGGACAAGACCGCTGTGAGCTGGGTTCAAAGTGTTCTAGAGCGATCTTAATAATGAAGTTTAGAAGGAAAATCTGGTATTACCTTGCTGACTTTGTGCCATTCCCAACGTTCTTCATACTGCCAAGAACTTGCATTGAGATCTTTGTTTTACATGATCTTAAGCCAAATAACTATATCATTTTCCAAAGTTGATGAGAAAATACCATCGAGACTATGTAAGGAATGCATGTAAATCTGCCTCAAAAAGTCTCTCCTAGGATGGTTGTTTACTTGTGAGCCCTGTCACAAGACAGAAACAGTCAGTCCTATGACTGTGATATAATAGAAAGGCTTACAGAGAATGACGTCCAAATTAAGTAGAAAAGACAATGATGTGTTATATGACCTTTCCGGTCACCTAAACTAATCTTCTCGTGCCATTAAACTAATGTACGCTACGAAAATGTAGATCTGAGCGAAAGTCTTGGCAGTGAAAACGTACAAAATTGAACGCATTTGTTGAGTTAAATACAGAGAAAAATAACAATGATGTAACTTGACGTATGCAGAATACAACCATTGTTGTATTCAACAGCCGCTCTACAGTCTGTATATAAAGTATTACAGAAGGTTACCCTCCTTGACCCGGATCAACGATCAGGTGACCGGTACGGCCGTGCGTGGAAAGATGTGCGTGTGGCAGGACTGTACCTGGGTGAGATTACTAGCCCCACTTTTGATGTCTGCCGATGGTCGTCGGTGCTCATTTGCAGTCATCCCCTACGAAACCCACAAACCAATGCGAAGAGGAGAATTTGTAGCGTCGAAAGAGTGTCAACGGCAGCGCTGACGCCGAGAGTCTGCAGCCTTCTTGTTGCCAGGTTAGTGAGTCTGGCTCCTTCTGTGTTCAATGTCCATTTAAAGGAGGCTGTGACGCCAGTTGACACATCTTTGAATTACGCGTCAATTGTGTAAGATGTTCACAAAAAGAGGTACATTTGTCTATTCCTCCTCATTGGAGTCGTTCATGCTCTCACTTAGTTCCCTCCCAGGTCTCTCAGATCTCTCAGATCTCTCAGATCTATCAGATCTCAATTTGAATGGTCTAAAAACATGTGCTCCACTGCGATAGATTAATCATTATACCACGTACATGCCAGCTGCTTCTCGAAAGACCGACCAAGCAAAGGGCCTGAAACCATATGCTCTGAAGTTTGAACCGGCGGGGCAGGTAAGACGAAGATCCGTCTGAGATGTGGGACAGAGACAATCTGGATCTTTGCAGCACTTGCCCCAGTGTTCTCCATCCTCTCAGGCGCCATAGTGAACAAACGATGCCCAGACGTTGGGACTCTCAGTCTCGCGGATCTTTAACACAGCATCGTGCAGAGCCTCGGCAATCGATCGATTGCTGAGTGGCCTGGTGGTCTGCTGGGCGAGATGATGATAGAAATGATATGCTACAGGTGCGCAGACAGCGTCCTTCACAGACCACAATGACGCAATCACGTGTCCGAAGCCGGCCACCTGGAATGCGCTGGCCAAATGGATCGCCTCGTCGGTGAAGTTGCCCGCCGTGATTTCAGCAGTCGAACACGCTGATAAGAAGGCAATGCGCGCACGTTCCACCATTCGATCAGAGATTTGTTGCACCGTCAGTCGGTCAACTAACGGGCCAGTTGGTCCGTCTTTCTGGAGGAGTAAATGGCTCTCGGATGGGTTGAAGGCGTTGGAAGAGCCGTGGCATGCGAAGTGGATGATGTCAATCTCTTGCATAGCTCGCAGCACAGTCTGTGACTGGGGATATCGATGCACTTGGAGAGTGAATTCAGAACCAGCAGCAGCTTCGATGGCCTCGATCTCGGACACAATGCCTGGTAATGATGTTGCCTGTGGTGTAGTAGGCATGGCCATGATAGCTAACGATGTTCGTGGATCGCTGGTTGGTAATTTAGACAGCTGAGACCGTGAATAGGCAAGTGCCTTGATGGTTGGTATATATGAAGAGATGGCACGGGCCATGGTGCCTTGGAGTGGATCGTCGTGATATCTAGCGGCATGGAACGGAAGAGAGCTCGCTGCCCCGGTTCCCATCCACCAGATGCGATACTTGTCCTTTGACATACATGCTTGACAGTCGATGAATTCCAGAATGGGCTTGACATAGTAATCCCATAGCCTGAAAAGAGCATCATCATCATAGTATAACTCAGTAAGTGGGACGACTGGGTGAGAGGCCTCCAGCTCACTTTGGATATCGCGCGGGCCTCGCTGGCCTACGGCCCGAAACCGAGCTAGCGCCTCGTTGATACCAAAGTTATAGTTGCTTGGTATTAGGGGTAGCTCCAGCGAGTGTATTTGGCCTCCCACAACGATCGAAGCATGACTACCAAGATCCGTGATATTGACCGCGACCAGTGGGCCCTCCGCGGCCTGAGCAGTAAGTGTGTGAACTTCAGGCTCCAGGAGAAAGCGCGTGAACCCTGGCTCTTGGCGAATAGCATGCAGGCAGTCTTCTAGCTTGCGGGAGGCCTGGTATTTACGCTCGACTAGATGTGCAGTGTCTTCAGATTCCGCTGACGGTAAAGGCTGGGACAAAGTGCGCCGAAGGTAGTCGTACTCGGTCGCCAGGTGGGGATGGTCCTTGTGGAGCTGATCAACATTGCTACGACTGTCGATCAGATAGCCAAGGATCAGGCCACGACCGAACTCAAGATGCTGAAGAGCTTGGTTGGGCTTCTTTTCATGGTGGAATATAGTGCAGATATCAGCAGCTAAGCCTGCGGTCTGGGTGATGGCATACTGCTGATCCTGGCGGTTGAGGTGACGGCCGCAAAGAAGAGGAAGGAGCTGGGTTGTGTGTTCGGCGATAGAGGAAGCTTTGTGCCAGCGACCGTGATCCGTCAAGGTGCGAAGAAGTCGACGGGCTACTATAACGCGATGAGACGGAGGGGCAGTTGTGGAAAAGAAAGCATCCTCAAGCGTTGTCAGTACGAGTTCAAGATCGTCAAGATTACGTGTCCGTCCATATCGACCGGACAGACATATAGACAGGTTGCTCAAACGGTGTGCGCGGTCGGGATGGTTGACTGGAGTAGCCTGCACGGCGTACTGAGCCCGGCTGATAGCAGCCTCGAGATCATCAAGATTGCTCGTTCGCTCATATCGACTGAAGAGGCGAATAGACAAGTTCTGTATAATGGCTGCGCGGTTGGGATGATCGGCTGGAGTAGTATCCACGGCGTCTTGAGCCCGGCTGATGGCAGCCTCGAGATCGTCAAGATTGCCTGTCCGCTTAAAACGACTGGATAGACGAGTAGATAGGTTGCTTAGAATGGCTGCGCGGTTGGGATGGTCGGCTGGAGTAGCCTGTACGGCATCTTGAGCTAGGCTGATAGCAGCCTCGAGATCCTTAAGATTGCCTATCCGTTCATATCGACTGCCTAGATGGAGAGATAGATCGTTTAAACGGCGTACGCGGTTTGGATAGTCGACTGGAGTAGCCTGCACGGCATCTTGAGCCCGGCTGATAGCAGCCTCGAGATCATCAAGATTGCCCGCTCGCTTATATCGACTAGATAGACGATCAGATAGGTTGCTTAGAATGGCTGCGTAGTTAGGATGGTCGACTGGAGTAGTATCCACGGCATCTTGAGCCCGGCTGATCGCAGCCTCGAGATCGTCAAGATTGCCTGTCCGATTAAATCGACTGGATAGGTGATTAGAGAGGTTATTCAAACGGCCTGCGCGGTCGGGATGGTCGACTGGAGTAGTATCCACGGCGTCTTGACCTCGGCTGATCGCAGCCTCGAGATCGTCAAGATTGCCTGTCCGATTATATCGACTGGATAGGTGAGTAGATAGGTTGGTCAAAGTGCTGACGCGGTCGGGATGGTCGACTGGAGTAGTATCCACGGCATCTTGAGCCCGGCTAATGGCAGCCTCGAGATCCTTAATATTGCCTGTCCGTTCATATCGACTGCCTAGATGGAGAGATAGGTCGTTCAAACGGCCCGCGTGGTCGGGATGGTCGACTGGAGTAGCCTGCACCGCGTACTGAGCCCAGCTGATAGCAGCCTCGAGATCATTTAGATTGCCCGTCCGCTCATATCGACTGTATAGGTGATTTGAGAGGTCGTTCAAACGGCCCGCGTGGTCGGGATGGTCGACTGGAGTAGCCTGCACGGCGTCTTGAGCCCGGCTGATTGCACCCTCGAGATCATTAAGATTGCCCGTCCGCTCATATCGACTGGACAGACGGAGAGACAGGTTGCTCAGAATGACTGCGCGGTTAGGATGGTCGGCTGGAATAGCCTGCACGGCGTCTTGAGCCTGGCTAATAGCAGTCTCGAGATCATTAAGATTGCCCGTCCGCTTATATCGACTGCCTAGATTGAGAGATAGGTTGTTCAAATAGCCTGCGCGGTCGGGATGGTCGACTGGAGTAGTCTTTAGGGCGTCTTGAGCCCGGCTGATGGCAGCCTCGAGATCGTCGAGATTGCCCGTCCGCTCATATCGACTGCATAGGTGATTAGAGAGGTTATTTAAACGGCCTGTGCGGTCGGGATGGTCGACTGGGGTAGTATCTACGACGTCTTGAGCCCGGCTGATTGCACCCTCGAGATCATCAAGATTGCCCGTCCGCTTATATCGACTAGAAAGGTGACTCGAGAGGTTGTTTAGATATATCGCCTGGTCGGGATGGTCGACTGCAGTAGCATCCACGGCGTCTTGACCCCGGCTGATAGCACCCCTAAGATCATTAAGATTACCCGTTCGCTTATATCGACGAGATAGGTTATTAGATAGGTTGTTCAAACGGCCTGCGCGGTCGGGATGGTCGACTGGAGTAGCCTGCACGGCATCTCGAGCCCGCCTGATAGCAGCCTCGAGATCATCAGGATTGCCCGCTCGCTCATATCGACTGCATAGGTGACTAGAGAGGTTGTTCAGAATGGCTGCGCGCTCAGGACGATCGGCTGGAGTAGTATCCACGGCGTCTTGAGCCCGCCTAATGGCACCCTCAAGATCGTCAAGATTCCCTATTCGCCTATATCGACTAGACAGGTAATTAGACAAGTTGCTTAAACAGCGTGCGCGGTCGGGATGGTCGACTGGAGTAGCATCCACGGCGTCTTGAGCCAGGCTGATCGCAGCCTCGAGATCATCAAAATTGCCCGTTCGCTCATATCGATTGGACAGGTGAATGGAGAGGTCGTTCAAATAGCATGCGCGGTCGGGATCGTCGGCTGGAGTAGCCTGCAGGGCGTCTTGAGCCCGGCTGATGGCAGCCTCGAGATCGTCATTGTGGCCGGTTCGTTCATACCGACGGCACAGACGATTGAACAGACGTCTAGAAACAGTACTGAGCATGACTTTCTGGTCGAGAATACTTCATTCACAAAGTGAAACGGAGTACGTGGCTCAAAATCTTTCCAGCAGTGTGTGTTCGTAGAGTCTTTTGGCTTAATGATATCGATAGTAATTCCCGGGTCGCCCTGAAGGGTTAAAGCACAATGAACAAAAATATGGAAGTTATCGTGATTAGCCCCCTTGTGGATAGCCGCCGTACCTTGATATTCCCGCAGGAGCTGGACTGTGCAGCGAACACGCATGAATCCCTCCCATCACCCGAATTTCCGGTCCATCTACCTGTCTGTCATTGGGTCATTTCTGACTAGCTGTGAGAATTGAGGCATGTCTCAGCGCCTGCGGTGCCATTTCAGCCAGCCATCCTCCTATGACCCCGCTTCTTGTTCTGATGGAGGTGTTCGCAATAATCAATCAGAAGTAGATTACGTGGGACCTTGGCTTAATCTGGGTGGAAAAGAAACCTGTAGTGACAGCTGATAACTGTAGGTCTTACTGGTCGTGAATGCGGATTTCTATCGATTTCCTTCAAGCCCGCGCTATCACGTACAGTACCTGAATACGGTAATAGAGGGGTAAAGGAATCCGGCGACATTAGTTATGGTGAACTCAGCATATCTCGGAGTACCCCAGTGACTGCTATCATCAAAACCACCTCAATCAGCTCAAGACGCCCACCGTGTGACACTTCCATCTTACCTTACTTAGTCGAACCAAACGTGATTTTCCCAATCAAAATTTACTCCAAGCTTTCGTCAATGGCGGAAGAAAACATGCCCAACGAGCCTCCGCGAATCTCTAGGCGAGCGCTCCTCATTGCAAGTCCATATGGTACATTACAAGGGCCAGAGGTGGACGTTGAGTCAGTCAACAATCTGTTGAAGGCGCACAAGTTCGAGACATTATTGTGTGCTGGCTTGCATGCGCGACGGGAGAATATATTGAGCCAATGGAACTCATTCATTTCGCAAGTTCAGAAAGACGACACCGTTCTCATTTACTATTCTGGGCACGGTGGCTTGATTGAACCCTCTAAGGATCAAACTAACGAGCGACTTTACCAGTTCATTGTGCCTATGGACTATGAATCTGGTCAGGAGACTTTCAACGGCATTCTCGACATCGAAATCTCAATTCTTCTCCATCGTATCACCGCAAAGACTGCGAATGTCACCACCATTTTTGATTGCTGCCACTCAGGTAGAATTGCTCGCAGCACCCACTTTGGTGGAAAGGCAATTGCCAAAAATATACCCAAAGTTGCGCACACAAAGATACATGCTCACTTGAAAAGATTGTCGGAAATTGGAGATCTAGATCAGTCTGCCATCACCAGCGTCGAAGCCAACCCAAATGTCGTGAGAATTGTGGCTTGTACGGACCGTGAAACGGCATGGGAATACCAAAATGAAGATTTCGAGAGCCGAGGCGTGGTGACTGAGCAGCTGGTATCCGTGCTGCAAAAGACCCTCGAAGCAAACCACAAAATATCCTGGCGAAGTGTGATGATGAGTGTTTCGGAACAGGTGGCCATCCGATTCCCAGACCAGCATCCTCATGTCGAGGGTCCTGATCACCGGACGCTCTTCTGCCTGGAGACAATTGATTTTGACGGGATATCAGTCATGGCCCAGGAAGATGGAACTGTCATTCTTGTTGCTGGATCTGTAGCTGGAGTGCGGCAGAACAATGAGTATATGATCCTGCCTCCGTCCTCACATGAAGCAATGGAAAGTCAGAAGCTTGGCCATGCCAATGTATCTGCAGTCTCAAGTTTTAGCGCGACTCTCGACATGGAGCCGTCACGCTTACCTGGTGGGATGGGAGTTGCATTCCTGGTCACTGAAACGCCCCGCCGCGATTTGGTCATATTGTCACCAAACCTCCAGGAGTACGTGAGCTTGGCAAATAAACGGCAGCTGATCGAATTGATCCCTCATGAGAAAGAAGAACCGGCATTTGCTTATATTGAGAAGCAAGGGGACGTTACCTGCTTACTGAACAATTCCAGAAAAGTTTGCGCATGTTTCAAAATCGAAGACAATGCTGGTGGTATGCAAGCTACCGTCAAAGATGCAATCCAGCAAGCTGAGTGGCTGTCACGAGCAAAGCGTGTTCTGAGCCTGCAACCCCTCGCGGCAGAGAAATTACGTCATGGGTTCCGCTACAAGTTCAAGACTGTGCCAAGCCGTACAGAGATCCAATCCGATGGTACAGGCAACCTCCGCAACGGCGATCGCTTGGTGATTGAATTGCATAATGAAGGTGATAAGCCGATCTTTGTCTCGGTATTCAATATCAATGCTGCTGGCAACATATCATTGGTGTCTAGTGCCAGTCCGAGAGGAACCCATCTCCAAGCAGGAGACACTTATGTGCTTGGAAGGAATTCATACACGTTGAAAGAGAACGGTCTCGCGATGTCTTGGCCTAGGTTCCTGCTTACTTTGACACGGGAGGCCATTCCTGAACACTTTGTCTTCTTTGTTTCCAATCAGGAAGTCGACCTCCGAGCACTAGAGACAAATAGACGTCGTACTATTCGTCGAGGTGTTGAAAACCGCCTGGAGAGGAAGATATATGACTTGTCTTACGGCGAGAGCCGCAACTGCAAGAGTGAAGAGGGGCCAAGCATTCAGTGGGAGAGTATTCACGTACCGTTTATGTTACATTACAATACCTTGACAGATGACGCCGCAGTGCTGCCGCATGATCCATATGGATAGATTAAACAAGTACAGAAAATCTTTCATCCGATGGAAAAACTAATAATGCTTCCTTTTCGTCATTCTAATTTTCCTCTTATTTCTGCATATTTAAAACTGAACTTGCTTAGAGGATACCATCTCACTGTGCCTGAGATATTGTTTATGTCAACAAGTAGCCTATTCAATCAAAACGTGAGACGGAAGGCAATCAACATGATAAAGTGCTGATGGGGCATCTTAACTTGATAAATTACGTAGATAGAAGCAAGCGACTCCCAGGACCCTTCATCTTCCAGCAAATTACTCTTGGCTGCCCTCATCCCCGCACATTGATGGCTGGTAGTGACGAATAATGCGCAAATCTGGCTTCCCCGTGAAATAGGCCATGGCACCGAGCGGAATCCGGTCGTTCTCGATGAAGAGGGTTCTTTCAGGGCCACTGAATATTGTGATTACCCCAAAGCCCTCTTTCCGAGTCCACAGAGGAAACACTGCGGTACTACAATCCAAACCCTTCGCCCGAGGGGCGAGTGTTTTCTGCGAGGCTGGACTCTTGAAGGTCTAGGCAGCAATGATTGTCAGTAAGCAGATGATACAAAATTGGCGATGGGTATGAGAGAAAAATTTACAGCGGCTGAGAATTCCAATCCTGCTCCCGTGGGCGAGGCCGACAACCCCCCGCCCGTGAGAATTCGATTTGGCCTATACTTCGAGACCACAACGGTGATTTCCTCTGAGTGTTGATTCATGACCCATACGCAGGACGGAACATTCTTCACAGTCCTGATAAGTGCACCAATGTATCCCTAGAAACAGAAACGATGAGCAACATCTAGGGTCGAGAAGCACGGCCAAAATTGGGTTCTTACTCTCGAAGTCGGCTCGGTTCGGGGAGGGTAGCGGGGTAAATCCGTCACATCTGCCACTTTCTCTGGTTCTGGGAGATCGGAGGCAAATACACCATCTGTGGCATCCTCAAGTTCATCTGGTCGATATGCCTCACTATGACCTTCCATTTTGCGGGATTCCAGGATGTTGCGTTCTCAAAGAAAAAAGAGTTCAAAATCTTGATGAGGTAGCCGTAACTAACTAGCGCTTAAATAAATTATCTAATCAAATGTCGTACGTTGCTGGAGGCATGTACGACCATGTACGATGCGCGCACAAGATTTTGACGGGCTGAGACATTGTTGTCATGTTTTAATCCAATTCCTCATGCATTCCTGCTTGAAATGCATTCAAGCCATGAGAGGGTGGAGGAGTACGAAATCTGCGGGATAGATCAGTAGCCTATGGTGAATTCCAGAACACATTGTATATGCTCAATTTGTTGTATTTGAATCTTCCCGACTGGTTTAAACCAGGTTCTTTGGAAACTAATCTCAGCAGCCAGACCCACCGATCCCTTCACAGTTTCAAGGATACCAATTAGCATTGAATCTCCAGACGAAGCTTCACGGCCACGTCAAAGTTGAGAAAAAATCCGCTAACCGGTGTAATCGTGATGGGCGCTGGTGTAGGTTATTTGCCTTGAAACCGTCTTTTTGGACCGTTGAACCGCAAGACCGGACATGAACCCTGCGATTTGAGCATGTTTTTTTACGAAAGCTCACCTGCATCTGGAGCTGCTCGGCCTCGTCCCACGGGCCCTGGTTCCGTTTCGGTTCACATTGCATCTTGAGCTTCATGTGTACTTCCCATGTGTACTTCTCAAAAAGATGTTCCGTCACAGAATGACTCGGTGCGCATATATCGAGATTGATTAATCCCATAGCTCTATCAAACATCAGGGATCAAAATATTGAGATAAGTGGAAGGAATCTCAACGAGCTCTGCCAAATGTTAGTATTCTTGGTACGAGCCTTACAATTACGTTAGTTTATAATACAGCACGTGATATTGACTTTCAATACGATTTAATACTTGAAACTGAACTAGGGCAGAAACGGATTAGCGTGTTTCTGACTAGGTTCGAGGTAGAATCTCCGTTTGCAAGTGGTGAAATTAATTTCGATAAATCTAAACCTTCTAGGGATGCTCCAGTTAGATCATCTAAATGGGGATACCTTTTTTGATTCTAACATATACAGCCTATGGAAGCGCGATAGTTTGATTTGCTATGATTTCACATAGTTAAAACGCATACCAAATGCCCACCAAGTCCAAAATGTGTAGGCTAGCATTGATAGTTTATCTGATAGATTACAAGACCATGAATTTGATGCAACTTTTAGATGAACTATGGGGTAAAATACGACTTAGAATATCAGGTGAAATTCGGGATGAAAGATAACACTGAAAATGCGTCAATCCTAACGCTAATCTTACGCATCCAATTTGGGAGTACAACTGCATCAATTGACTCCTCCATTCGAACCCCCCTCGATACCCTAAATTCACCCGCAACCAAGCCAGAAATGGCCTCAAAAGATGAACTGGAACTCGCTTTTGTGGACCTTGGGCGAGATCCTGAAGAGCTTGTTGGGGCCTGTCTTCGTCCCGTTTGGAGCTGTGTTGACGGATATCCTGGCCCCCCAACTACCGCCTCGACATCGCAGAATACATCGATCTCGAGCCTGGAACAACCGCAAGATCCATTGGGCCAAGGTGGAGCCTTTTCCGACTGGCAGAAGTAGACGACCTAGGGCCGCAATTGATAACCCAGTTATACCATGAACGACGAGATCTTCGATATTCCGTCGAGTTCAGCAATCCCGTTGATGTTATATATGGTTTGAGAATGGGACAGATTGCTTGCGTGGTAAAATAAATTTAATTTGATATTCTTTAAGGCCCAATTGTGGCCAATCCGTTGAGACATGAGATTCCGTCGATTGTAACGGGTTCTGTTTCTTATCATAGGGTCATGTTCAAAGCCTCACCCAAATGCACATCGGTATGACTTTGAGTAGTTAACTGAGCGAACCAAGGACGATCAGGGCAAAGTGGCTTACTTTGTGGATGGTTCCAGTTAGGTTCATTGCACGTTTGGAGCGTCTTCCACCTCTAACTTTCTTCTCTCGATAGATAGGAATGCCGTTTCGCCGCCGGTTCGTGATGGCTATTAGCTGAGTTAGTTTGGATTAGAATGACTTTGGGGGGTTTTCAGTTTTTACTTGCAAGATGTTGACTACGAACTATGTCCCCATTGTCGAGATCGATAATATGGAAACACGATAATGAGAATGGTCGTCAGGTACCATCCGCTAGGCCTTAATGAACCACCCAGTGGCTGCAGATGCATTGTGACTTTTCAGCACTGCTATGGGTTCTCCATAACTTCATGAGCATCCATAGTTTCCTCTTTGAAACCTGTACCTTGATTCTGTCCTTGATATTTTTCACGGCTACCAAACAGGCAGAGAAAGGTCAGTCAGAATTTTGGTGATTTGCTCGCTTTTAGCCTTCTAGCTTTGACGAATGTTAATGTCTACTATCACAATGACTGCTAGGCATTCTCACAAGTGTCTGACCTTCTTCCCCGGTACCATCTGATAATGAAAATACCCCTAAGTTCAATATTATTCCGTATTCTTACCAGGATCATCGCTTGCAGCCTTAGTCCCCAATTCCTTGTTCCTTCGTCGTGTGTGAATCCTGGGCGGTGTATCTTGCTGTTGTATTGTTTAGCTGCCCGATCTCATAAGGTAGAACTTCTCAGCAAAAGTCGAGGGGGTTAAGCTGCAACTTCAGAATAACGGGAGGGGTTAGTCAGTTGCATCACAGAAGAGGACGATCACTTACCTCCTGATCCACTGAGATAAGCTGCGAACGGTATTTCCATACCGATCATCCTCGGGGCGATCATTCTCACGCTGGTACATGCAGAACATATGTCCCAACCAGGAAGAAAAGAAACATGCCTGTTGCATATCTCTTCCCAAGAGCTCTGTTGTGGTATTTGACCGGATATTTTCGAAAGTTTCGAATGTTTCACGAGTATAGTCTTCCGTTAGGACCAGCTGAGGTACCCAAGCCGCCTTTGGCCTCGAGAATCATTGGCGATGCGTACACAAGGTCAAAGTGCGATCTCTGGGGGTTCGAACCGGTACTGCAGGGCTCATTATGAGTCCGGCACCAAAGATTGTGCCGATGGAATGGTGCGAATGATTGAAGACGGATGAGGAAAGGAAACTGGTGGATGGATGGATGTATGGGGGAATGCCGTGAAGCCAACTTGGAACATTTATATACACTTTTCTCACATTTCACCTGCAAAAGTAAATGAGATTATTACACTTGGATACTTGGGGTACATGATTTACCTAGAACTTAGGTACCCTAAGTGAGCGCTAAATTCAGCGAAAATTAATGATTTATCGGATTCATTTAAATGCTATTAATTTGACTTCATGTTGGAGGTAAAACAAAGTACTGTGACAAACGCTGAAAGAAGTCCAATTTCTCAGTGTCTTTTTAGTACGATTGGTCGCGGTAGCAACCCAGATAATATTTTTATCTGCTCTCCAGTTCTTCTTTCCGTCAAGTGTCACTCATCTGCTTTTCTATACGCAGAACCGTGACATCTAACCCTAATGAAGTCTGTCATCTAGCAGAGGTCTATCAGAGTAAGTCACCTGATGAGATATCCTAACATTATCCACTGACCGAAAGAAAAAATATCAGTTTGAAGAATGCCTCACCCAGATCTCCTGGAACTCTCCAACTGACATTACAACAATGACAGAATCTGGAACCTCTCACTGATTTGCGACGATATACCCGCGCCTCATCGCGATGCTTCCATTGCATGGGGAGATCGAAGTTGACACAACGGAGCAATATCGGTCTTGAGGGCGCTAGACCGAGAATTAGCAATCATACCTCATCACCGCGAAGAGCTTGAATACCTTGTGCGGAGGTCACATCAAGCGTTCGTTGAAAGCCCCCCTGATGATTACTGGAAACCTATTGCAAGAGACATCATCGGTGTCACATGGAGAGTAGCCTACCAATGTCTGCACCGTCCGCGGTTTTACATATTGTACCACCGTGCAGGATTTTCTCAACCAACTGCGAGTACGAGTGACTCTGAAAACCGAAAGTATGGTGCGAGCCGATATCCAGAGCTGCCTTTGTGAAGGTGCGCAGGAATGGCACAATCCGGAGTTGTCCGATCTGGAACGAATAGCACTTCGCACGTATCAGCTTGAAGATGAAGATCGCTGGATTATGGCGTCGGAGAACTGCTTCAAACAACTCGCATCGACTGCACTGAACCAGTTGCTCGGCATGGAGTACGGATGGAACGACGTGAGTAACACAAAGTCTCATACGGCGTGGACCTAACAAGTTCTATTGCTTGCGCAGGATCAAAAATTCTTAGCTTAGGCAGACCTCGTCAGCCCGAAATCTTCAAAGTGGACGGCCCTACAAGATGTATAAATCAGACTTTATCAATTTAGCATCCAACAATCAGTGTAGAAAACGATAACAAGACTTACGAATACTTTAAGAACCTCTAAACTAGTCTAGGAATGCGAGGTACCTTGAGATTAGAACGATTACCGATGGGATTGAACTCAGGTCGAATACGCGTCCGACGATCGTGTTTGCAAAATAACGAGACTTGCCAGTGTTGTGGGACCATCGTGCTCGCTGCTTATTCATATGATCATTTTATATTTTGTTCATGCCCATTCAACTCGACTGATTTGCATTGTGCTCTTCACATTTGCCTGCTCAATGTCACTTACTCTATTTACGCAGGCCAAGAGCTCTGATATGTGTGCTGTAACTGCTGCGTAGGTTCTCACCTAGGCACCCCAACTTTGTGTCGCGCTTGTTTCTGATTATGGCTCTAGATTTACCGCAGTCATGATGGTTTTTGTTGGGAGTGGAATTGGAAGCGGCTGAAAAGACGGCCTCTTTTTCGGACAGTATTGAACCTTGAAAATTGTGACCACGGTCATTCAAGTGGGCAGCCATACTGATATTACATTATTGATGCCTCGTCTTTTCTAGTTCCGAGCCCGGTACAAAGTGCTCTAATCCTCTCAGTAGCGACACTGAAATGTTGGAAGACCTCCAACCGCAGCGCTTAGCCTTAAGATTGGTGCAGCGACGGCTAATCGACCATTCCTAGCCGTGAGACTAGGCTAGTCTCCCGACTAAGAAAGGTAAGCGAGATAGGAACTGATGATAGCATAAGTTATACAATATTGATGATTAATTGTAGGGAGTACGTAGACCGAACACTGATTCCTAGAATCCGCATGGGATCTAGTATTTAACTACCCTTACGTAACTCAAATAACATGATTAATGCAGAGGAACTAGGTCAGTTTCTGTGATCGATCACAGGGAGTTCATGTATCAGCTTACATATAGGGGACTCAAGGCTCCCAACACCCGCAGTTGGGAGGTTCTCCTCACAAATATCACCTGTTCGAGTAGCAGAAAAAGCAGTGACCACGGTAGAGCACACTCGACCGCATTTTCGCGCCATCAAAAATCTTCAGGCTTGCATTCTATGAGACCTCCAGGTTGGCAGTCTCTCTAGCCTCGTACATCTTTATTCGTATATCAGTGGGGAACAGTTTGAATACTTTTGTCAAATATTCAAATCCAAAGTTTATCAAGTTGTTGAGAACAACGCTTGATATGGGGTTGAGGCCTACCTAGGTATAACCTCGGAATGGACATTCTGATGCGCCAATTTCAACCTTGTTGAGTGGGCTAGTACCGAATCTGTAGGTAAGCAACAGCAGATGCGGTTAATGGCGTAATTGTTTCATGGTAACTTCCTGAGTCGGAGCCAGCTGGTATACTTGCTGTTTCCTGCTTGGGAAGTTTCCTCCGTAGTGCACCTGTGAGTTTTGTCATCCGCTGCGCCTCGTCTGTTTGCTTTCCTTTTCCAATTCTCGAAACATAATCTGTTAGGACGAATGTGATCATTTCATATATTTGAGGGGAAGTTCCACATGAGTCTTTTGGTTCAAATTTGATAATCATTCGCCAGCTTCTTTTTGGGATCGAACAGGTTCACATTGCTCCTCAGGGTATACTGCACAGTTCATCATCGAGGCAAGTAATTTCCCTTGTTACGATCTGAGGCCACCACCAGTGAGGAACGAATCCGGGTTTGATGCTCAGCTCAGGCTGATTTCTTGCTTTTTGGGATCGGACAGGGTCACATTGCTTCTCAGGATGTACTGTTCATGCCATCATCATCAAGGCAAGTGATTCAACCTTTCACCAAATGATGCAAGACCTCGGCGTGTGAGCAACGCTGACAATACACAAGTGCAGGCTTGAATCGGTCGGTCGAGCGTCCAATCAAAGACCACCAGAGACAGGTAGACAAGGAAACACAAGGGGTATTCCATTTGAATCAAGGGAAGACTCCATCGTTAGGGTGTTTGTTCGTTGACCATGGGACTTGGACGGATGGGTGTCATTTGGGTTGTCGACATGTTGAACAGGGGAATAATATACAGAGAGGGGCATCGAGTCAACAAGAGGCGAGGATCAGGGCCCCATTTTTCATCTGGCCTGTTTCTCTTGCCAACTTAGTTATCAGTTTGAGCCTCGGAAAATCTGACTCATCTTGTCTCTGTTGCAGCGCAAGCCAATATTAGGGTGCTTAGTCTTGCCTGATCAGTCCCCGAGGGTCGAGTTGAACGTTTCGGTATTCAAGGTGCCTTTCATGGACAAAAATCGAATACCGGCAAATCAGAGGGCCAGGGTATCCATGCAGAGATCGTGTTCTGAGCTGAGTCTTGAGTGTGATACTTTCTAGATGAGTGAGGAATACGAAGTGGATGCCCAGGTACTGATAGTGGAGTTATGACTCTTCAGCCAGTGAGCGAAAAGAGAATCGGAAGAAGTGGGGTAAAGTCAGGTGACCCAGCCCTATGAGAGAACGGTGGGTTCACATGCATATGATTGGTTCAATGTTGGCAAGAGCCCCTCTGGATCGAGTTTCGTTGAAATTTACAGTGTCTTGGCATTGTCACACGTATGACATTCCCCAGACAGATGTAAATTACATGGTTTGCCGGAACAATCCATACATTTTGGGAAACAGCTAAATCACTTGACCAGTAGTGCTGCGATGCCTCCGTATTATAATGTTAATTAGTGCCACAGGGTCATGACGAGAGGATAAACGGACGTGGACCTATTGCTCGTCTGTCTGGATGCCGTTTTGCACGCTACCCGACATCTCGCCGCCTCAATTTTTCGCGTCCCATCGCATTGTCCCTTGCCCAATGCAGTCACAGCATGAATGAGATTGACCCCGAGTAGGCCAACGCGTCCTCCCAGGGTGATTGCTGCGTCTGTTGCTTCGTGTCATCACGTGCCTTCTGAATAGTGATGAGGTGTGATAAGTAGGTCGGGCCGATGGCTCAGCTGAGTGAGGCCTGAAGAGTCTTCTCAAAAGACGCTTGACATCTGCTGTGATGTGGGAAGCATTTTGAAAGGTGCCGTATCTTTGAATGTGCTCGTCACTCATTCTAGCCGAGTGGCATCACCGTGTGGTACTTTGCACTGGCTACTCCGGGTGACGAGTCCGACCCGCTATTGAGCCGAGATCAGTGCTCAAGACGTAGGCTATGAATGGATTTGTGTTGTGTTTCGCCTTGGTCGCACTCCCGGTCGTCGTTCTATACCCGGTGTTTGGCAAGATTCGCCGCCGGGGAAGGACGGACCGCCCCGATGGTCTTTACACGGTCTACCAGCCCAAGAAGGGCGAGGATGTTACTTTCGAGTAAGAGCCGCCACCCCCACCATGACACTTATGCTAACCACTGCAGGATTGTTGCCGTCCATGGCCTTGGGGCACATCCGGAATACACCTGGACAGGTACCCCATCGGCATCGGCTGGTATGGACCACGGGAAACGTATTCACCTGCTGAAAGACCTATTGAAAGACGACTTTCCGACCGCAAGAATCCTGTCGTTTGCGCACAACTCGGACTGGTTGATCGATGCCCCGATCACGTCAGCGCAGCAAATTGGCAATCGGTTGCTAGACGACTTAGTGGAACATCGGTCAAAACATCGGGCAAGGACTGCAGAACCCAACAAAGACAAAGCTAACACAGGCCACAGAGCGTTCCGATCGTCTTTATTGGGCATAGCTTCGGGGGCATCATCGTTAAAGAGGTATACTGCAACACGGTTTCCCCTTTTATATAGGCCTAACCCCTTCTTCAGGCCTTGTGCAAGCCTGAGGACTCCGCGAGAGACATCGTGGACAGCACGTGTGGCATCATTTTCCTCGGGACCCCTCACCAGGGATCACCTATCTCGATTCCAGGGTCAATTGCAGCCCGCGTGACCGGCTTTTTAGGGTCTAACACAGGGCTGCTCCTTTCCCTGGCGAAAAATCGAACACAGCTCTCCGACTTGGATGTATGTTTTGTTCAGTGTATGAAGGAGAAAGAGGGTCGACGACAGAAGACCGAGATTGTAGCTTTTTGCGAAATGAAGGCTACACGCATTCTGGGATGGCTATCGGTCGGGTTAGTAGGTGCTGATGTGCCTCCGTGGAAGCTCCCTAACATCCCTAGATTGTTCCTCTAGACTCAGCCCGAGGCGGCCATGGTGCTCAAACTGTTCCTATCGATACCGACCACTCTGGACTGAACAAGTGTAAGAGGCGGGACTACATTATTTAAATTATTACCTTTTGTATTTACAGTTTCTTTAAGTATTATTTCAGTATTATTCTCTGAATCCTTACCTAAATTACTTATTAACTTTAAATTCTCAGATACGTTACACCAAAGTCTTCGGGAACACTTGCAAAGACTCAAACCGTATGTCGCTTTGCTTTATGAGTGGATGGTCCAGCTAACAGAGAAAGAACGACCACACCCACGCTAAACGGCAACCAGAAGTTTGTTCATGACACACTCCGCACCGTAGAATGCGCCGCATTCAACTCCCATGCAAATCAACACGTCGCGACTTGCCTTAGAAATACGCGCCAACAGCTGCTTGGCAATATCAATCAATGGACGGATGGCCCCATAGCTTGCGAGCATGTATATTGGCTTCAAGGAAAGGCTGGCACCGGCAAGTCCACGATCGCTCGTACCGTGGCGGGTGAACTTGCCGAGCAGGGTCGTCTCGCGGCCAGCTTCTTTTTTAAGAGAAATGAATCCGATCGCGGGAGTGCCCGCTACGTGTTCAGCACTATTGCTGCCCAGCTCGCCCAGAAGTTGCCCGCGGCTGCTGAGCGCATGCGAAATGCTATTGAAGCCAACCTAGGTATCGCCGCAACGGCGCTTGGAGAGCAGTTTAGGAAAATGATCCTACTGCCAATGGAGGCCGTCCCTTACGATGCTCCCTAGACTATGACGGTCGTGATTGATGCCCTCGATGAATGCGAGGGTGATGAAGATGTCACAACGATAATCAAGTTGCTGCTGTAGAACGATCGTTCAGCAGTAGTCCCTTTGAAATTCTTTGTCACCAGCCGGTTTGAGCCTCCAATACGTCTCGGGTTCCGGGGGGCTCAAGGCAAATTCATAGAGTTTCCCGTTCACGAGATCCCACAGGCCGTGATAGAGCGGGACATCACAACCTTCCTGAGGTTTCGATTAGATGAAATCCGGTCCAGTTTCGAGCTCGGTTCTGATTGGCCAGACCCAAACCAGTTCCGCAGACTTGTAAAAAGTTCTGTACCGCTTTTCATCTTTGTGTCTACTACCTGCCGTTTCATCGAGGATAATCGGCTAGTCGGTGGGCCAGACGATCGGATTAAAAGGATACTTGAACACAAGGCCGGTGGGACCTTTGATGCGACATACCTGCCTGTCTTAAGCCAAATGGTCGATGGACTCAAGGGCTCGGTACGTAGCGATATAATCACAGAGTTCAAGAAGATTGTGGGATCAATAGTCACCCTTGCAAATCCTCTTGGCGCTGCACCACTGGCATGTCTCCTTGGCATTCCTACTGAACACGTGAAAAACAGATTAAAGCTACTTCACTCTGTTCTAGATATTCCAAGCGACCCGGGGAATCCGCTGAGAGTCTTCCATGAATCGTTTCGAGACTTCCTCATTCATGCAGACCCGGATGAGACGCACGAATTTTGTGTTGATGAGAAGGCCACCCACCAGATGGTTGCAGGCAGATGTCTTGCGTTGCTTTCCCACGGTGGCTATCTAAAATAGGATATTTGCGGACTAGAAGCGCCGGGGCGTCTTCGCACTATTCTCGACAGGCAAAGGATTGACCGGTGTCTGCCATCACATATTCAATATGCGTGCTTGTACTGGGTACATCATTTGAAGAAGAGCGGAGTCAAGTTGGATGACGAACACCTAGCTCTGCCGTTCTTTCTTGATCATTTCCTTCACTGGCTTGAAGCCTTAAGCCTGATAGGAATGATATCCGAGGGCATCGTGCTAATCAATGAGTTACAGGGGCTGGTTGATGTAAGTTCCTCGTTGGAGGTTGTAATGAGGTCCTGTACTGATAGACATAGCATGAACATAATTCTCAAATACGTGCATTTCTGCAGGATGCAAGAAGATATACTCTTCAAAACGCACATATAGCAAGCATTGCTCCACTGCAACTTTATCATTCTGGACTGGTTTTTGCACCAGTACAAAGTGTTATACGAAAGTCTTTTCTCCACGAAAAGCCAAGACGGATAGAGATACTACCAGCGGCGATGGAATCTTAGAACTCGAATCTACAGACCCTCGAGGGGCTTTCTGATTTGGTCCAGTCGGTGGTCTTCTCCCAGGACGGCCAAACGGTGGCCTCTAGCTCGTATGATAAGACGATCAAGCTCTGGGATGCTCAGACAGGCAAGGAGCTACAGAGCCTCGAGGGATGTTCCGACTCGGTCTCTTCCATCGTCGGCCGAATTTCGAGCCAATCTAACCCTCACATTTCCGTCGCAAATGACTGGGTCGCCTTTGGAAACGAAAATCTGATATGGCTTCCTGTTGAGCATCGCTATTTCATCTGCTCAGATGTACGACACGACAGGCTGGCTCTCGGTTACTCTAGGGGCAATGTCTTGATTATGGGTTTCCGTAATAATTAAATTACTTGCCTTTGCGCTAGGCCTCCTTTTCGTTACCTTCTAATACAGATCCATGGATGCATTAGCTGATTTAGCACTTTGTATAATACAGAGGCATCGTAGTACCACTGGGAAAGTAATTTAGCTATTCCCCAAACCGTATGGATTGTTCCGGTGAATCATGTAATTTATATCTGTCTAGGGAATGTCACATCTGTAACAGTGCCAAGACACGGCGAATTTCAACGAAACTCGATCCAGACTAGTTCCCCACTATGGCGCTGAGAAAGAGAGAAAGAGTGTAAATCCCGCGGAAACCGAACTTGTCGTCTACTGTACTTCTTAGTGGATATATTACCTTCATATCGAAAACATTAAACTCTTATAGTACAGTACCACTGTTCCGTACAACTTCGTCTTCAATTATAAATATAGCCTGACCGACAAACACTATTTAAGAAAGCACTACGATACTATATGTACGCTATAAAAGGCAGGTAGCAGAGAGAAAGAGAAGCTGTGGAGAAATGGGTCTACATAGAGCTTTCTAGTAACAAAATTGAAAAAGAGAAGATCTAGATATAGATGGTCTTATTTAATAGGTAAGCGGTGGAACCTAGAAAAATCATCTTCACTAGGAGGGCAAGGTAAATAAGACCTTGCCGTTCCTCTCTACTTGATTCGGCCCTTATTTCCTCCCCATGCTCTTACTTCAATTCCTATATACTGTAGTGGTGAAATCATGCGACATACATTATTAGTGCCTCTGGCATTGATTTCCTCGAGGAAGTGATATAGGCACGACTATAGAGAAAAACAGACAGATATAACAATGCCAATCATTTTTTGATTCATGATTTACGACACTTATGCTCCTTGATATAGCATCTGATTATACCTGATAGGCGTCAGTTGCCTAGAGCTCCCTGACCTGACTTATTGTTGGGTTTTTGCCTTCATTTATCGACCCGTCTGTTTTAACCAGACTATCATCGCGCCGTTCCTATTTCAATACCTAAATATAGATTTATGTGTCCTAGAAGTCTTATATATTGAAATGGGAGATGCTCGATGGCAGTCTGGTCAAAACAGACGGGTCGACAAATGGTGGCAAGAAAACCCAACAACAAGTCAGGTTAGGTACTCTAGGCAAATGAGTCTTAACAGTGATAATCAGATGCTATATCAAGGAGCATAAGTGTCATAAATCATGAATCAGGAAATGAGTGGCATTGTTATAACTGTCTATCTTTCTCTTCAGTCGTAGATTGCCCATATCCTTTCCTTAAGGATATCACTGCCTGAAGCAGTAATCATACAAATCTCGTGATTTCCCCACTACAATGTATATTTTATACTAGATAGTAGTAATAGGCTTATTAGGCTATACGTTAGAAATACTTAGTATTCTTAACCTCCTCTAAACTATAATATGTTAAAAGGCTACGATGCAAGTAGGAATGATAGCGGGTACGACCTTACCATATAGATAATCTAACAATAGATTACCGAGGTGTTTAAGTCTGGAGATTCTCATTTGTAAATGAGAATCTCCTTATATACCAGAAAACTCTGCCTTAAGCTAGTCCTAATTAGATTTCCCAGGCGATGAATCACTACGGTTGCCGTCATGGCTCATTCATAGCATAAACCATGGCCGGCTACCATAAATCTCAACATTGTATAGATCTATCGTCTTTCTTGAAGTAAGCTTTGTAGTGAAATATATATCATGTTAGCTTACAAAAGCAATGAATCCATTGAAGATCTTTATCTAGCAAGTAAAAAGCAACCAGACAGCATTGCTTCACCGGTATGGGTCGATTGGTTGTCAAAAGAAATGATATAGCCCATGTTGTGTCTATGGGTAGACTTAACAATGCCGTGCAAATATCAGAGCTTCAATCATTGTCGTTCTAAAATTGTTGAACATATGAAAAAGTGACACATTTATTGCGGGTTCCATTGATGAAAACCTCGAAGACCACGAAGAGGAAGAAGAAGGAGAGAAAAGAGGCGAACAATCCAAACCTGAAGTGGGCCGGTGCACTTCCAACAACGAGTGCCCAAAGCTGGTGAACTCAATTTAGCTAAGTCATGCCAACACAAGGAGTAAAGAAAAACATAGCCCAATCCGTCTCTGTGAGCTCCCACTCGGCCTGCCGACCCATTGTTTCTTTGGAATTCTTAAAGTGTATGTACCAAAGAGCCGGGACGCAAAGTTGCAGACGAGTCCAAGATCTGGTTTTTGACAGTCGGTCCATCGGCTCAAGGATGGACTTCATCTTGGCCTCCCCGAAATCCTCGACAAATGGGTCATATGCTGGCATTCGGAGCTCGAGTCGTAGAGAACGTAAACCACGGAATGTCCGATCAAATAAATCGAACATCGCACAATATGTTCCTGCTAGATCATTTTCCGGCATCTCGGTATTCCAAAGACCAACCGGAATCGATATATCTATCGAGGTCAGGAGCGAGACACATCGAGATGAAAATTTCCTCGAAATCGTGAAAGGCGTATCCAATGCATCGTTCATCGCAAACACGTTTGTCCCATAAAGCACTTCCAATGCTTCCTCGTAGCTGAAGAACGATGTTAGATAGAATCTGATTTACAAAAAAGGGCCACTCACCCGATTTGACAGCTCCTCAACCATTCCACGCCGTTGATTTTCGGCGCTTTCTTCTTCTCGGCCGCCTCATCAACCCAAGTTCTACAGTAGTCAAATCTTCGGTCCTCTGGAAAAGTATCGGAATCGGCACAGACGCAATGCCACCAATCCCACTGAAGTCCTTTGTGCTTTGGTCGCGGCCTGAATGGCGAAGGGTCTTTCCAGACATGTCGAATATGTACTCGTCGATTACCCATGAGCTCAACATATACCATCCGTCTTATTTCGACTGGTAGGCGAAAAAAAATACTCTGATTCTGAGGGTTTCGAGGGCGAGCGCCAATCTCGCCCGTGCGATATTTTGGTGCCGGTATAGGAAGCTTCCATCGATTGGATACATCGCCGTTGATCTCGCAAGTGGAATCCGAGATTCCGATTGCATTTGGCGCCCATTCTTTGGGTGGGATGCCGGGGGGCTGCTCCTTTTTGCGTTTGAAAATTTTTGAAAAGATCTTCGGGGCCATGGCAATGTTCTTTTCGAGGAGGTAGTGGCTGGGGTCTTTATATTGAGTAGGGTGTGGGCGAATATCAGAGTGCGTGGCAAATACCCACCACATCAAGTAGCGCACTCCGTCAGGCTACACGTGACCGCAGCCATCAATATACCGTTTGGTGCAGTCTCCTTATGAAACCAGTAATTCCATACAAAGTTCTGATACTTAACTAATAGGAGCGAGGTAAAGAACCGGTCTATATATAGGACTTAACCGAATTGAATGAGACCATTCTTCGAATCTAGGAAAGGCGGTTACATTTTAGATACGAGCGTAGTTAAATATATCTCTTTAGCATACTTCACATTTACACCGTGAATGGACTAATTTGTTAAAACTTTACGATGCAAGTAGGAATGATGACCGGTACGACCGTACAATATAGATAATCTAACAATAGATTACCGAGGTGTTTAAGTCTGGAGATTCTCATTTGTATGAGAACCTCCTTATATACCAGAAAACTCTGCCTTAAGCTAGTCCTAATTGGATTTCCCAGGTGATGAATCACTGCGGTTGCCATCATGGCTCATTCATGGCATAAACCATGGCCGACCACCATAAATCTCAACATAAGTACCCTACTTTCTTTATAATTGAAGTATCTGTAGTTCTCTATATAGAAAGATCCTTAGGGTGGCCCTTCTATACTTCTAGTGGAGATTAGGTTTGAGTATACGAAGTAGTTCCTCGGGTCTAAAGCAATGTACGTGTACTTTATTCCCCAATCTAGAAGGCTCGGCGATTAAATTTCCTAGTAACACTTTTCTATTGCCTAAAATCATTAATGACCCGTCTCTTATCTTGAGCCTATGTATTTTTATATTGAAATGGGAGATGCTCGATGGCAGTCTGGTCAAAACAGACGGGTCGACAAATGGTGGCAAGAAAACCCAACAAGAAGTCAGGTCTGTGAGCTCTAGACAGATGACGCCTATCAGGGATAACCAGATGCTATATCAAGGAGCATAATGATCATAAATCTTGAATCATGAAATGAGTGGCATTCTTGTAACTCCCCCATTCTCTACAGTCGTAGATTGCCTATGTCCCTTGAGGAGATCACTGCCTGAGGCAATAATCATACAAATCTCGTGATTTCCCCACTACACGATATAGTTTTAAGAGTTACGTTAGCTATCTATTATTAGAACCGCTTATCTAGGGATTTACTTTTATCTCTTAAATAGAATATGTAGAACTTAGGGGCGATAAGTGTATAGCGGAATGTTAAAATACTATATCGGGAATAAAGATTATCGAGATGGCCTCTATAATTGTTACGACCCACTAGGAGAGCTTAGCAGTTCGCACACTGAACGAAAAGGTTACTATGACTGCCGTCAGGCAGTCAGCTCTCCCACCACATCAAGTAGCGCACCCCGTCCGGCCACTGTGTCCCGTTCGGTCGCAGTCTCCCTGTCAAACCAGTAATTCCATACATGGTTCTGACAATAACAGCTTAACTATGAGTTTCCGTTGTAGAAAAACTCTATATAGAGATAGTAAAACTGAATCAAGTTACGCTGAACGCGTCGACAGGCACGCTTTTTATTGCTATAGCGTTACTAGTATTATAGTCTACCTAAAGATCTTCTTCAGCACTATAAGATATACTTAGCTCTTCCCTATATCGTAATACTAATATAGTTAATACTAACAACTAAAATTTTATAGGTATGACGGGTAGATATACTTACTTGGATATATACGTAGAAAAGATTAAATATCGACCGTCTATAGGTAATATCTTTAGGTAGTAAGTGACGCGCTCTATAGATATATAGACCTTAACTATATTACGTAGGCACTATTAGCTAAACATAATAATAAATAAAAGCTCTATAAGCTAGGCACGTTCCGGTTGATACTTCTTATACATATCGAATATCAGTGTTCTATCGCATTCTAAGAAATTATTCCTAGAAATATATTCGTTACATACGGAGACCTACTGGGTATTCTCCCAATTCAAACATCGGTGGGAGTAACAAGGGCAACTACGAGTCTCCACTCACGGCTACCGTTCACGTGAATTCACTAGAAAATGCTGGGACGCTTCTGGCAAGTGGTATCGATCCTATAGGTATCCATACGTGGGATTTATCTGAATACTCTACGCGGTTTATGCGTGGTCGAGACGCCAAGGTCCATATCTCGAGTTTTGGCTCGTACTCTTCACGGTTGCAGATTCTACTTCCAGTTGGCCAAGATCCTGAAAAGGTCGGGAATGGCAGCAGACTTTGACCTCGACGTTGATAAGTGGGAAGAGGTCAAGAATAGAGCTCGTACTCAGTTACCTGAGGGTGGTGTTTTTGACATTGGTCACGCTTTACGTGTTGGCCTTGAACTGTCTGGCTATGCTGTTGGGTGGAGGGATTTCATTAACTCTCACTCGGTGATATTTTCGCAACTTCTGTCTACTGTATATATTAAAGGTCGACATACCTTGATTGCGAAGATGGGAGGTTTTCTGGCGCTGTTTCCCTTGGATGAGGACTATCATCTTCAACCACGAGAATATCAGTAGTCTGAACACCCGCGTGGCTTCGCGCCTTGACTGGTTCGTATGAGACATAATTCTATTTTCTCAACAGTAACTCTTTATAAATCTGTGATATTTCCCCTCGAGCCAGGATCTTTGACCTAGCTTGTAGATTTGGTATAGAGGATCTCTTGATTATTCTGAATCCATAGACCCATGGTTACGCAATGGCAAAAAGCTATCATTTGGCTATATGCCGTGGCATAAACATCCTGGTCTTTATTAACCTAAATGAAAAACACAAATACTGCAGAAAAACGTAGTGACAGAATTGACACTGTATTATGCATTGACTAGAGTCTCTCCAGCCACTGATACACCCGATCTGCGATATCAAGGTTATTCTTTTCCATGAAAAACATATGTCCATTGCCATGAATACCCTCCTTGCCTAGATCCGCGAACTCAACATCTACACCAACCTGCTCCAGATACTTGACAGTACAGTAATCAATAGGCGCATGAAACGACGCTTCGCCCGTAACAACCAGTTCCGGGATTCTGCCCAGATTCGTCAACTGCTTCGCAGGGGACTTCTGCATAATGCACTCGTCGTGGTCGGCGTCGATGGCTGGCTCGATAGTTGTCTCAATGTTCTCGGCATTACTGCCCGCAGACGGCTCGTATCCGATTTCCAGGTCGGTGAGACCGAATGCGAACGCTGGGTCATTTCCAATTGGTGGGCGCAGCGTGAATGGTGGGCCTGATGGCTCGAGTTGGATTAAACCTTTTACGAGGTCGGGGCGCATGTCTCCGACCCTCCAGCCTAGGAAATGGTTAACTGTCTCGGCGAGTCATAAGTTAGTGTTTGGCTTGTGTTACCGTATGCACCCGCTTGTGAGTGACTGATGATATAACAGTCGCCTATGAGGTCGACTAGGGCTGCATATGCTTGCGCATTTTGTTCTTCGCTGATGAAGCGGTCGATCTGGAACTGCATTTGGCTCCTGTAGAAAGCGTCGAAAGTTGAGTCGCCAATGCGGCCGGTGCCGGGCCATTGCGTATGAAGCTTCGCTTGTGGCCATTGGTCGTTGTTGTTTGCTACGTCCGTGAACAGATCAGAAACAGCATCGGGGGAGCCAAGGTACCCGATTCTGCCCTGTGTGGGATACCAGAAGGACCGGCCGCGTGCAGGTTGGTCGGAGAGATAGACTGTGTGGCCCTTGGAGATGAAATACGATGCCCAGCCTGGCCGGCCGTCTGGAGTGTCCAGGAAATTAGTGCCAGTTTGAGCTGCGCCTGCAATGAAGATAATGGGATGTGGTGGATTGGCTGGAGCTGGCTTGGGGGAAAGCTTCTCCACGTAAATCTGCCCTATCATAGCCATGGATGTAGAGTTGGTTGCATCGTCCTATTTGCAATTAGTCTTGTGTGCCTATACTTAGTAGTAGTCAAGACTTGCTGTCAAGTTCGTGTATCGTCCGCCAACGTAGAAAACCTCACGTTCAGAAACAATGTCCCTAAGCTGGGAACTAAGAGTTTGCACATTTCCTCCCCAAAAAGCGACTATCGTCCACCAGGTAATAGATTTCAAGATACCAAATGTGGCCATTATAACCCAGCTCAGTGAGAAAGGCCACAAGACAAACATGCGTACGAGAAAAGAGCTCCGTGAGTTTGTTGACAAAGTATGTCCGTGCTCTACCATCGACCCACACCGCTTTCATGGGGAAATTGCGGGGTTAATGCTGAATAAGCGTGTGTAAGCACAAGTCACCTGACTGGGTCAGCTGATGCACCTGAACGGGTCCCAAGATTTCCCGGGATCCGGCCAACTGGTTCCCGTGACTAGACCAAAGCTCCGTCAGTCGGGAAGAGGGAGAAGGTTGGGAAGCTACATCTGGCATTGATCTCCGGTTATGAGGACCCTGGCTGCCCACAGTGCAACAAATATGACATTTATGATCTTCTTTTTATTTCTCTGTTCTATTGTCAAGTGTACGCCAAATCGTTATATCAACATCGCTTCCGTTCAGACATTCATAAATCGTCCCAATGAATCGATCTACTGATCATTGACCAACACATAGCGGTAACGAGCATCACCGTTATCCATATCAACAACAGCCTGGTTGGCATCCTTCATGGAGCGCTCCTGGATCCAAGGCTTAACACCCTTGGCAGCAGCAAGTTCGAGCATCTCGCGGATCTCGTCAGGGCTACCGATGAGCGAACCACCAAGCTTGATACCCTTGATGATCAGAACAAAGGCGGGGATCTCGAGGCCGCCGTCCTCCGGAGCTCCGAGCTGGATGAAGGTGCCGCGGTAGCGGAGCAGGCTGCAGTATCCAGCAATGGGCATCTTGGACGATGAAGCAGTCGAGATGATCAAGTCTAGGGATTGGCCGTGGCGGGTAACCCAGTCCTCCTCCTCGCTTGTGGCGATGAAGTCATCCGCGCCAAGCTTCAGCGCATCCTCCTTCTTATCGGACTTGCGCGAGATGGCGACGACGCGGTCTGCGCCGAGGGCCTTGGCGAATAGGATGGCGAAGTGTCCCAGGCCTCCGATACCGACCACTCCGACGGTCTTGCCGGGCCCGCAGCCGTTCTGCTTCAATGGGGAGTAGGTGGTGATTCCACCACAGAGCATGGGAGCAGCGTCAGCGGAGGAAATGGCGTCGGGGATCTTGATCACGAAGTGTGCAGGCGAGCGGTTGTATGTGCTGTATCCGCCGTAAGACTTGCCGCCATTGGCGTACACGCCGTTGTAAGTGCCGACCATTTTGTTGCAGAATTGCTCGAGAGAATTGGCGCAGGCTTCACAGTCCTTGTTCTTGTTTTGACAGGCTCCGCTCTGAGCACCTACACCGACACGATCTCCGACCTTGATACCCTTGACGGCTTGACCGACTCGAACGGCCTCTCCGACCACCTCGTGTCCGACACAGCAGGGGTAGTTGGTTGGTCCCTGTGAAAGAGAGCATTAGCCACGACATCACAAAGACAGAGAACAACATAGCGCAAACATACCCATCCGGAGCGAAGAGTGTGCAAATCAGAGCCACAGATACCACAGTGGGTGACCTTGATATCGACATCGGTCTCCTCCCAGGGCTTGGGCTCAAACTCCTGCCAGACCATCTTTCCCTCGGCGGCCTCAGGGCCGAGACCGCACCAGCCTTCGAACTTGTAATCAGTCATTGTGTTGATATTGAAGTAAATGGATTTCAATTGATGATCTACCATGGTCCCCGGCCCTCCCAAGCTCCCCTTTATACTGGGACCCTCATAATCGACCTGTTTCTAGAAAACTCTTGTGAAACTGGATTTGTGATCCTTTGTGGATATCGGGTTGGTTCTTCATAAAATGGTTCCACTTGACCCATTGAAGTGGGTGGTCATCACGGCCTTAGGATTATGTCCGGGAAGAGACTTTGCCTCCCATCCATGACGAAGAGACAGCATGTCAAGTCAAACTTTACTGGAAGACATTGATTTCCATGGTACTATACAGCACAGGGACCACTTTGACGCTGACAGGGTTCAATTAAGCTCCTGCAGGTCCATCTATGCATGCTGACTGGATGACGTCACACGGATTTAAGAGTGCCAAGCATTCTTCACACCGGAGCCTCGGGATTGTTTGCTCAGTTCTGTTCTGTTTCACATTAGTTGCACTTATTGGAGATCATACGTTGGATGGTGCCGAGAAAACCGGATGACTAAAGCTACTTCAGTTAACTTTGAAGTTATTAACGTGATTCATATATTTACGACTGGGATATTATATACAGCTCTGCACTTCCGACGCTTTATATCGTACTGCTATCCTGAGCCACCGCCTTCCTCCGACGGTAATAATACTGCGCGCAGAGGACAGCCGCCACGACCCACGATGCACCAGCCAACGAGCAAATTGCGGTGAGGCCGTGCAAATATTTAGGCGCATCGGATGTGCGGAAGATCTGAGAGCCGGAGATACCGGCGCAGTTGGCAGCCATAACGACCAATCTGGACAGCTGTCAGCACGGCACGCTAAAGATAAAGATAAGGGATGAAAGACTTACGCCATGGCGACACTCCGTTCCTGGGGGTGCGGCAGTAATACGATAGCCAGCCGACATTGAGGATACTGATTGGGTTAACAGGGGTTCTGACATACAATCAATGGTGAACTGAAATGGTCGGACTTACTGCATGCTGCAATAGGAGATATTGGCTACGGCGATGAGTGCATATCCATGCCATTGACTGGAATGGACGTTGCTTGTCCGAAGACACACATACGAAATCACATTCCATGTGATGGCGAGAAGCACAAATGGTCCTCGGTGGCCTGTCCGATCACTATAGTATTTCAGTCAGTGTCTTGTCGGTAATCACCTACCCCACTCACAGCAGGGTATAACAGAACATACCTAGCAAAAGACAGAATAGCCAACCAAACCATACTGCAATACACCGGCACCGAAGCCAACGCATTAGCCCGAACAGAACTGAACCCCAAAGACTTAATCAAACTCGGCGTATACTGAGTCAACCCCTGGAACCCAGACATCGAAACCAGAGTCAGCAGCGCATGCTGCATAATTCTAGGCTCCTTGATCGTCTTCCAAATATCACCCTTGGTAATCTGAATATGACCCCTCGCCTTACGTGGATCATCCAACAGAACCCGATTCCGAATGATATGGGATTCACGCTCGGTGAAATAACTCCATTTACCCATGGAGATCAGAGGCCGACCATCTCCAACGGCAGGCGGCACAAACAAAGTAAAGACAATCGCAATGAAGATCGTGATCAGTCCCTCGACTAGGAAGATCCAGCGCCAGCCTTCCATGCCGTGGCTTCCATTCAACTTCAACAGACCGGCGGAGATGAGGCTGGACGTGGCGGATGCGAACATCTGGCCGTAGAAGAAGAGACTGGTGCGCAGACTCGTCTCGTCTTTCTTGTACCATGTTGACAGGTAGTATAGTGCGCCTGGGATGAATCCGCCTTCGCAGAATCCGAGTAGGATTCGTGTTACTAGGTAGGCTGGGTAGGATTGCACGAAGGCTTGGAATGTGGCCACAAGGCCCCAGGCGAAGAGTTGGCCGGATAGCCAGACGCGGGGTCCGATGCGTTGGAGGATGATGTTGGAGGGGATTTCGGAGAGGACGATGCCGGCGGAGAGGAGTTGGGTGCCGATGTTGATTTGATTGGTTGTTATATGCAAGTCTTTTGTGATGGATGAGGTTAGGACGGCGCTGATATTTCCACGATCCATTTGCAAGGCGAAGAAGGCGAAGGCGAGGATGGGGATTAGGATGAAGTCGACTCTGTTGATTGTTGATTGTTGGTTAGGGTATGTTTTAATCAAGCTATGGGTTGCAGGTGAATACATACTTTCGCGTCACGGCACTCTCCTCCTCATCCCAGTCTTTGATGATAACCTGATCAGTCTCGCTAGGAGCCTCAACAACCCGCTCATCGACTAAATGTTTCTCATCAAAGATCTCTTTCGAGACCTTATCGGCCGAAGAGACAGACGACATCTTGCAAGCCAAAGAAGACAAATTCTACCACAAAGAAAGAAGAAAAAGTCTGTCAATATCTACCCCATCTCCGCGACCAATCCACCATTCTTATAGAAAAAAACAAGAATAGAGAAAGAAAAGACCAAACACACTAGACTCCACCTCTATCACAGATTGCGTCGGTCTACACGAGGCCATATCGACGCTCAGCCGATTCCTGTCCCTTTCAGCCAATGCGAAGAGCGGAAGTATGGCGCAATCATGGCGCATTTGACAACATTTCAGGTTGGGAATTGCCGATTTGTTAATACTTCGCTTGCATTTGTTTACTTCCATTTGCATTTATGCTATTTATTGGTACTCGGTTTTTCCGATGTCCACGTTTTACTGTACTACTATGTACACTGTACAGTGTCGCGATCCGATGTCTGAGAATTCTTGGCATGACAGCCGATCTATGAAATAACCTATCTCCGTTCCAAATTCAAGTTTTGCGCATTACTATATGTACGAAATGCTTTTATTCATTCGATATCAATTATAGATATCATAGGGTATCTCATCTCATAGTTACATGTATTTCTACACCCACACATCCCAAGAAACGCCATACCGACTAATCAACGGCACCTGCTCTCCCTCCGCTTCAATAATATACCCATCCGCGCACCAGTCGAATGAGACTTGCGGCTGGGCGCCGTAGAATCCGTCGTACTTTCTATTTAAAGCGTCGGAGAGTGTGCTCACCGAGTCCTGCGGCTGGAGAACGTTCCAGGGTTGGATGCAGGTGGTTCCTTGGCAGGACTTGAGGACCATGAGAAGAGCGTCTAGCCGGGTGATTGCTTGGCTGATGCTGCGACCGAGGATTTGGGTATCTTCGGTGGATAGAGAGGTTCCTGGATATAGATTGTGTAGTTGGTGTGGGTCGGTCTGTAGGAATGTTAGTAGATGATTCTAATGAGTTGTGTGGTGGTTGCTGTGTACGCACCGACAGATCATATAGTTCGTGTTCGTTGTTGCACCACACTGAGTAATATAGGTTATATCCTTCGCCTAGAAGGCGAACTGATTTGTAGGTGTTATTTGAGATCATGGTTGAACCACCCGGCCCTGAATTGATGTCAGTATGGTCTTTTCTTGGGCATGTGGCTTATCTTGTAACTTGTAAGGTACTCACCAATTCCACTGAAAACCCCCTCCATAACCGACCGACCCCAATACTCCACCGTAACATGTTCATGTCTCTCAGCGTCGAAATCCGGCGTGATCGGAATGGCAGTACCATCAAAGTCCGCTCGCGCCGGAATCCCCGCAATATGGAAGAAAGTAGGCGCCAAGTCGACATGGGTCGTGACTGCATCCTGCTCCAGGCCCTCAGCAACGCCAGGACCACGGATAAACAGCGGCACCCGGATATCCTCTTCAAAGCCGCAGGTCTTCCCGGGCGGCAATCGGTGCTGACCGATATGGAAGCCATTGTCGGACGTATAGATGATATACGTGTTGTCCAGCTGACCACTCTCTTCCAGTCTGGTGACTAGGGAATCGACCAGCTCGTCTACACCCTGCAATGCGCGTAGGCGAGAGCGATAGAAGTGGTCGTTGTATGCGACGACCGATTCGTTCTGCTGGGGTAAATCCCGGACCCAACTTACTCCGCTAGCCTGGGAAAGGGTTAAAATTGCCGAGATGTACTACATTGACTGGATTGGCTTACCTTGTCGGGATTGAAATTCGCTCGGCGGGGAACAGTCACATTCTCAAAGAGATGCTGGTGGCGCTCCAATGGAATCGGCTCCGACATGATGATCTTTCCTGAGGAAATTGCATGCGGGTCGACATTGGAGTGCGGCGCCACCGGCGACACCGCGAGGAAGAATGGGCGATCCCCTTCTAATGCATCGTCTAGGAATCCGAGTGCTTTCCCGGTGATCACGTCGATGGTGTGTTCGCCCTCGTGGCTGACAGGCGGCTCGTGGTTCCGCTGATATGTGGAATTGAGATAGGAGTAGGTGTATGGGTCCAAGAGGAAGTCGGACCCGTTGAATCCGTTAATGTGCGGACTGTGGTAATTGTCGACTGTGTGCGAGTTGAACATTTTGCCCGTGTAGTAGGTGTCATAGCCGGCCTGTTGTAGCCACACGGGGAGGAAGGCGTCGTTAAAGCCGCGTTCCACGAATTTGGGATATCCGCCTGCGCTGTGAGCTCCTCTTCATGCACTGTTTTCGGGTTGCGACTCACCGTATGGCGGACTGACATCGGTCACATTGGTATTATGCGCCTGGCGACCGGTCCATAGGCTCACCCGTGACGGGCAGCATAGTGCTGTTGTGACAAAATGATTGCGGAAGAAGGTTCCGCGGTCGCGGATGTGCTTGGTGATCTGAGGTGTGTAATTGATCGAGTTCAGCTCCAAGTCTTGATCATCGGTGATTACGAAGAGGATATTCGGTCGCGTTGCATGCGCTTCGTTTGATAAGATTGATTGAACGGCATCTTGTAGCTGCAAGAGGGAAGCACCCTCTACTGCGGCAAATAGACTGAACGCTGTAAATAACTTCATACCTGCATAAGTTCATAACATGAGATGAAGTCGGGGAAACGGTTGGTTAAGAGGACATCGGGAGTGCAAGTGGAGACATGATGCAATCCGTGGCTGTGATGGCGGTGGTCGAATTGCCGAGCAGATGAGAATCACTGGAGTATCCAATTTATGTCAGTTAACTTATAAGTCAAGTTATAGTCAAGTTGTAGTTATTTAAGTTATAGTTAGTTCAATTCTAAGTTATAGTTACAAGTATCAACTGCCATTGACACACATCGATACATTCATCGAACTGCCTCAGGAACCAAAGTCAAGATAATCGCAGTGGGTCCATTGCGTGCTAAACATGTGGAATGAGATCAACGCCGACTCCGAACTAATTCAACTTCTTCCAGTGATTTTATAGCCGAAATGCAATCACGTCTTTGGAGGATGGTGGCTGACCCCGTCTGGACCCTTATATTCGACCCGGACCAACCCTGAACCACTTCCAGCATCCAGTCCACAGCTAGGAGTTCAAAATGGCCGATCCCATCTCGGAAGCAGACATATCACCAGCTGCGAACGAAATCGAGAACAGAAATGCGCCCGATGAGGAAAGCCCGCTGCTCTCTCCATCTCAATCGGAGAGTGCAGAACCAAAGGCTAAGGCGATAGCGGGTGTAGCGACTATCATTGCGGTTTTGTTACTTGGTAAGAACCTCGTACAAAGGACAAACTTATCACCATGTCAAACATCTAACGCGCGATAGGCGAGTTCATTTCTAATGCCGATGCGACGCTAGTCATGGCGGCGGCGGGACGCATCTCGTCCGAGTTCAATCGACTGCGCGATGCGAGTTGGTTGTCGACGGGGTATACCCTCGGTCTCTGTGCGGCTCAGCCAATGGTATGTGGTATCCAAGTTCCAAAATCCTATCAGTTGGGTTGGATAGCATCTAATCCAGCATAGTACGGCAAAGTGAGTGACATCTACGGTCGGAGGCCACTGTTGCTTATTTCGTACTTCCTGTTTGCAGTGGGATGTATTCTCAGGTGAGTCGGTGCGAGCACCTGCATCGCAATATCCATCTAACGGGAAGAAATCAGTGGCATTGGATCAAACATGTGGGTGGTCGTTCTGGGTCGGGCCATTAGTGGCAGTGGCGGAGCGGGCATCATGACTATCAGCTCGATTATCATCACAGATATTGTTCCCAAGCGGGAGGTTGCGAGCTGGCGCGCGTATGTCAATGTGGCCATGACGCTGGGTCGATCGCTTGGGGGTCCGATTGGGGGGTGGTTGAGTGATACGATTGGATGGCGGTGGTGAGTTTTGTGTTCTGTCCTTTGAAATATAGAACATGCTGACAAGGTCAGGCTGTTCATTCTGCAGGCTCCGTTCCTGGTCCTGGCGGCGATCTTGGTGGTGCTGAAGCTGGATCTGAAGGAGAAAATCGACCTCAACGCTAAAGGGAGCAAATGGGCTAAGATCGATTTCCTGGGTACGTTCCTCTTAGGAACATCCATCACTGCCATGACTCTTCTGCTCGATCAAGGTGGAAAGTCGTTCCCGTGGTATTCCTGGTGGACCGTCATACTAGGAACCGGGGGCGTCTCACTCCTGGTAGCATTTGTGCTTGTGGAAGCCTACGTTGCCCGCGAACCAATCTTCAACCTGCGCATTCTCCGAAGACCAAATGTCTCTGCGGCATACACCATCGGAGCTCTGCAGGTGACCGCCCAGCTGGGCATGCTGTTCTCCGTCCCGCTGTACTTCCAGGTCACGCAGCGAGCATCGACGACCGCAGCGGGCGTTCATCTCGTTCCAGCCGTGGTGGGAAATACCCTCGGCTCACTGCTTGCGGGTCTGTTCATTCGGCGCACAGGCCGTTACAAGATGTTGCTCGTAGCAGCTGGTCTTGTCGCGGCCATTTCATATGTCCTTCTCTTTCTCCGGTGGGAGGGAAATACCGGGTTCTGGGAATCCCTCTACATTCTTCCTGGCGGAATAGGAACGGGAATTGCTTCTGCCTCGGCCTTTGTGGCAATGACGGCCCTTCTTCCCCAGGAGGAAGTTGCGATGGCTACGGCAGGCTATATGCTTCTTGTTGGGTTCTCAATGACAGCGGGAGTGACGACTTCTAATTCCGTTCTGGGGATGGAGTTCCAGCGTGAGCTAAGGAAGAATCTTCAAGGACCGGGGTCGGACAAGGTATGTCTTGCCTGTCTGTCTTTTTGGCTGGATATTGCTAACCGTGCCGTATCAGGTCATTCGACGCGCTATGGCGGATACGAATTATATTGCGCATCTTACTGGCAAGATACGAGATATTGTCATATCTTGTTATGTTGGGGGACTCAAGCATACCTACCGTGAGTGACAACATTGCTTTTCCAAATTGCTGTCTCACGCTAATATTTTCTAGTCGTTTCTCTTGCTTGTTCTTTACTAGCTTCTTTCACTGGGTTGTTCATTCATCATCATCAGCTGTAGATTTGGTCAAAATATATATCCTAGCAATACAATGTTCTTTACTGCTTCTATGGGCATAATCAAGGTAGATGCTAGTAAATTGAGTCATGCCTGAAGAATTCCCAATGCACCGTAAAAGGTCTGAAAATACCGAAATATATAATCGTATTCACATTGAACTAACCCAGGCCCAACCCTCTTACCAAGCCATTTAATCCCTTGATAACAGTCATGAGTATTTCACAAAATCAAAACCTCACTCCTCATCTTCAACCCAAGAAAACAACCATGATCATCTCCAGGTATCACTGATAGTAGCAGAAGTAGTCCCACAGGCCGCAGGCACAGTGTAGGACAGATTAGGGTCACTCTCCCATGTGATAGTGCCATCACTAGCCAGACGGATATACTTATAGGAGAAAGTCGTGCCAGCAGGCAATGTGACAGCAACATACCACAGATGATTACTGCTAGTGTAGCTTGAAGCGCTCAAGGCAATAGCGCTGCTAGTACTCCAGCTTCCAAGTTGGGAAATGGAGCCTACGAGCTCGATGGTCTCTCCGTAAACGGTGGTGGCAATTACATCGAATGTCACGGCGACGGCGGTGGGGGTGGTGCATGCTGTGGTGGTCGATGTGGTCTTTGTGGTTGTAGTGGCTGTAGTGGTTGCTTTGGTGGTCGTTCCGGTGGCTGTCGTCGTTGCAGAGCCTGACGCGCTGGTGAGGGTGGCTGGCCAGGCGGTGTTGGTTGCGGAGCTAAATGTGCCAATGGCCGAGGTGGAACTGCACTGGGCTGGGACGCTGCTGGCGGTGGTTTCTCCCCAGCCGGTGGGGACGACGGCATTGCGACGCTCGTTGGCGGTGAGTAGTGCTGCGTAGGACCAGGTGAGATCGCGGGCACTCAGCTGTGATCCGTCGGACTTGGAGAATTGCTCGGATAGGGAGCCGTTGGACATGGCGTATGTTTCCTGTGTGGCTGTTAGCAAGGGTTCAAATATCGAGTCGAATAATTATTATGGGAACTTACCACAATGCCGACGTATCCATCTGCGTATGTCTTGACAGCGCTGACGATAGCAGAATAGGTTGCGCTGGAAGAGGCATAGGTACCGGCAGCAGCTGAGCTATATAGATCCTTGAAGAAGGGAAGAGAAACACTGGTGATGGTCAATGATCCAATCCTGTTCCAGGTGTAGAGAGCATCATAAAGCTGTTCTGCAGCAGCCAAGGTGCACAGATACCAAGGATTTCCGTTGTAATACGAATCCTCGGCATACCGACCAACCGACACAGCGACACCCGCAGCAATGCCGGAGTTGAGGGTGTAAACCGAGCGGAAGGAATCCGTCACGGCTTTGTGGTTGGCGAGGGCTCGTGCAGAGCAAGGCTGGAAAGTCGTATCGTCGCATCCGGCCTGGGGATCGAAGGTTTGAATGCTGCCAAGCAGAGTATTGGCATCTTTACCGGTTCGACCACCGCCAAAGTTGGCCAGAATGTACGATCCTGTCCAGAATGACTGCAGGAAGCATAGAACCTGGGGTGCCTGTGAATCGCAGTAGGAGCAGGAAGAGCCGACTTTGCTGGCGAAGCTGCTTCCTTCCACTAGGGCTCGGTGCTGAGCTGCGATGGTAAAGAACGAAGAGCCAGAGACTTCTTCCCATAAATCTAGGTTGTATTAGCACGGAACTGTCTCGGGGAGAGAGAAACTGACCGTATCCAGTTTGGTTCCAGTACTGGGACACGTATGAAAGGTCATTTCGCACGATCGGCCACACAATACTGGTAGCGTAGGTAGTGTATCCGTTGTCCTGAAACAATCAGTAAATATTTGGTTATGGAAGGTATAGGTTCTTACAATGAGCCATTCACCAAAGGAAATGAGGGCAGTGGCTCGCAGAGCAGGCCCGTCGCGCTGAGGACGACCCCAGGAACCAGTGAAAGCGGTCTCATCGACGTTGAACTTGGGCTCGCCTAATCCAGCACCACCAGACAAGCCTCCAGATGGATTGGAGACAGTTTGCACATAAGCCTGCGCACTAATGTACTCTTCGATAACTGCAAGCAAGGCAGTATCACCGTTCTTGAACATATCAATGAGGGTCTTGAACACGAGGGCTGAGTCACGAGTCCACGTATAGTAGTCTATCACATCTGTTAGCCTTTGTCATATCCAAGGAGCAAGGGGTTAGGGCTGCTTCGTACAATCAGGACTCGAGGTACTGGGGCTAGCGATGACAATTCCTGGCTTGGCAGATGCCGCATACGCCCCAGCCGATCCGATATTATTCAGAATACCCTGTCGGGCTACAACAGTCTCGGATGCTAACCAGCTATCGACACTGCTGGCGCGAGGAGCCAAGGCCTGTGGCGCGGCGAACACCGCTTGGCCAAGAGTAAGCGCCCAAAGGGCAGTCCAGATGGGAGCCATGATGAAGAAGATGTGAGGGATGAGACCGAGAGGATCGTCCGGGCTGATCTACCTTTTTATAAGTGCAGTTGAGTTGGAAATCACGGTCGCATGGTGCATTGTGCATGGTGCATGGAATATTGCATTGTATGCACTGGGGCGGAGAACATGCGGAGATCTTTTTCCTCAACTGCTCTTCAGCAACTTCCAAATTAATCCCTCGATGCTAATGTCAGTGGCCTACTTGCAATATCTGCCGATACACTCCCAGTGTTTAGCATCACCATAGCATAGCGCCTTAGTCTCCCCTCGTCATCTGCTCTCATTTCCGTCACCCCGCAGATTCCCCGTCCCTTGTCTAGCGCATCGGCTAAGCCGTGGCCAATCAACGCGTGGGACCAACTCCGTCTGGCACGCAGCCTGCGCAAAGGCGCAGGTTGGCAGGAAATGACCTGCATGTGAACCTGGCTGCACTGGCTGGAACCTGCATGCTCATGGCCACCAGTCGCAGTCAGCGCCATCCAGAGTCCGGGGGTGAAAAGCCGATGATTTGCCTTGGACCTGCGGGGCCGTGAGGAATTCCGGTGCTAAGACTCGGAGGATCGACCGTTTGAAGACTGGCGCCGACTAGCGTCCTGCATCGCAGGTGCCTGCATGATGTTTGCTGAATTGCCGGACATTGTTCAATGCGCGAATTAGACATCTCGGCCCGGCATGTAGTCTAAATTCCCTGCAATGTGAAATTGCATGCGCCAGCATTAGCGAGATTAAACCCCCGCAAGGCGACAAGCATGCGTGGGTTCAATTGACCGATTGGAGTGGAACGACGGAAATACTGTGTGAGGAGAATCTCCCTCCGCTTGCATGAGAACGGGGACTTCTTCACGTCCTGTGATGACCGGGTGGCTTGCACAAGCAGGGCAGGGTGAAGATATAAACCCAGCAATCTGGCTATTTTCCCGCTCTTCACGGGAACTAGACATCGCTTAACGTCGATGCCTGCTCCATCGATGGCGCTGAATTGGAAAAAGCTTGCATGGACGGCAGCCTTGCTGCTGGGTGAGACAGTCCTGGGTCTCACCCCTGCAGAATGGCGCAGTCAGTCCATCTATTTCCTGTTGACCGACCGATTTGGTCGTAGTGACAACTCCACTACCGCCGCGTGCAACGTTAGCGACAGGGTATGCTGCCCTGGCCAATTTACATGAAGATGGGATACTGACCAGGATAGACATACTGTGGAGGCTCCTGGCAAGGAATCATCAATCATGTGTGTATCCCTGTCTGCTTGGGATGTTAATTGCTGACATGCCGGTTAGCTGGATTATATCCAGGGAATGGGATTCACTGCTATTTGGATCACCCCGGTCACAGAACAACTTCCTCAAGATACTGGCGATGGTGAAGCCTACCATGGATACTGGCAGCAGAACATGTATGTCAAGAAACTACGGTCTCGGAAAGTACTAATCAAATTGTCTAGATACGAGGTTGACGCGCACTTGGGCACAGCTGCCGATCTGTTGGCCTTGTCAAAGGCATTGCATGCCCGCGGCATGTATCTCATGGTAGACGTTGTGGCCAACCATATGGTAAGTGATCCTGGCTCTCAATTTCGAAATCATCTAATACCATGCAGGGCTATGCTGGAGCTGGCACTAGCGTTGACTACAGCGTCTTGAATCCATTCTCCTCGTCGTCATATTTCCACTCTTACTGTCTCATCAGTAATTATGATAACCAGACGAATGTCGAGGATTGTTGGTTAGGAGACACCACTGTATCACTTCCAGACTTGGACACAACAGAAACAGCAGTGCAGACTCTATGGTATGATTGGATCGGAGGCCTTGTATCAAACTACTCCAGTAAGTTGGCTCTCAAATCTGGAGACCACGCTAATAAGATCAGTTGATGGGTTACGCATTGACACGGTGAAGCACGTCCAGAAGTCCTTCTGGCCTGGCTATAATGACGCTGCAGGTGTCTATTGTGTCGGTGAAGTCTTTGACGGAGACCCAGTTTACACTTGCGACTACCAAAACTATGTGGATGGTCTTTTGAACTACCCTATGTATGATTCCCCTTCAACTTGGCTGAATTATACTAATTGGCCAGTTATTATCAACTACTGTACGCATTCGAGTCCTCTAGTGGCAGTATCAGCGACTTGTACAACATGATCAACTCTGTTAAATCTGACTGCGCTGATTCGACGTTGCTGGGGAATTTCATTGAGAACCACGACAACCCACGATTTGCCAGGTGAGTTACAGCTACGAGCTTACTTTCCCAAAAGGAAATTTACTAACTCCTTTCTAGCTATACAAGTGACTACTCGCAAGCAAAGAATGTCATCTCGTTCTTGTTCTTATCAGACGGCATTCCCATTATCTACGCTGGTCAAGAACAGCACTACAGCGGTGCAGCCGATCCTGCGAACCGCGAGGCGACTTGGCTGTCAGGATACTCCACGACCACTCAGCTGTACCAGTACATTGCGACCACCAACAAGATCAGAAAGGCCGCTGTATCGGCAGACTCCACCTATATCACTACAAAGGTACGTAGTCACATCTCTCATATCATTTCTTGTTCAAGGCTAATAAGTTATAGAACGTACCGTTCTACCAAGACAGTCATACCCTAGCCATGAAGAAAGGTTCCAGCACTGCACCCGTGATCACAGTGTTATCCAACTATGGATCATCAGGAAGTGCATACACATTGTCCTTGACTGGAAGCGGATACACATCCGGCACCAAGCTAATGGAGATGTACACATGTACCTCCGTGACAGTTGACTCCAGCGGAAACATCGCAGTCCCAATGACATCCGGTCTACCGCGCGTGCTCATGCTGGCTTCTTCAGTCGGTAGTCTCTGCTCGTCCGGCACTACGACAACGACTGCAACCGCGGCAGCCCAAACCACGACGTCGACTACAACTGGTACGAGCTGTACACAGGCCACAGCCCTGCCTGTCCTGTTCAAGGAGCTTGTTACTACCACTTACGGCCAGAATGTGTATATCTCTGGCTCTATCAGTCAACTTGGAAGCTGGGACACTAGCAGTGCTGTTGCGTTGTCGGCAAGTAGTTACACTTCTTCTAACCCTCTCTGGCAGGTTGCGATTACGCTTCCTGTTGGCACGTCTTTCACGTATAAGTTTATTGAGAAGACGACTGGGTCGACTACAATCACGTGGGAAAGTGATCCGAATCGGTCGTATACTGTGCCAACTGGATGTGTTGGTACGACTGCTACGGCTTCTGCTACATGGCGATAGTTGAAGTATTATTCTACGTAATATATTCTCAGGTTAGGTGGAACCTGTTGTGGCTAGGGGGATCACCCCCTACCACTTTTTACTGGGACAAATCGTATTTGACAATCAAAACCTTTCACCATCATTAAGATAGGATTGAGATTTTAGCTATTGAAAACTAAGGGTCTAAATAAATCAGTACGTCAATGGCAAGGAAAGTGAACATCATCGGCGTGATTCATGGGGTATTCAACACATCTCTTACACTATTTCTTGAAATGAATTGGAGGTATTTCGACCTTTACGACAAAATTTCTGCTGCAAAACGCCATTTGTGCAAGCTGAAGACGAGGCCAGTCGCAAGAGTCAAAGGTGAAGATGTCTTTGCAGAATGTAAAAGATGCAGACGAAAATGATTTGTTGGGCTACCACATTTGAAATTGATTACATGGCTCTTCCATCTGTTAAGAAGAATAGTTGCAGGGTGCAGCTAGTCTCAAAATCCAGGCTATCAATAGCCGGCTTCATGAGATTGGCAACTAGCAGTTGCCATCAATGAGCTACTATCGAGGCATCGTACTAGGAGATCTGCCATTCTACATTGTATTAAAACAAGCCTCGTTGAAATAGAACAGCAGTTTAGAATTCATTTTCGGTCAAATCCGGTACTGACTTGCAAAATATAGGCAGTGAGCTATCATTATTTATAGGACTTTCAAAAGCGATCAAGCCTAACACTACATATATCTCGACTCCTCATTATAACGCAGAGTACATCATATCAAGAAGAATAGGTCCACAGTTAAAAACTAACCTCAATCTGAGTTAATAAAATACCAATAAAAAGAATCTCAAAAATCAGTCTTCATCGCAATAAAATCTTGCTTCAAAACAAAAATCACAAGGACGATAGGCAGAAAATATTATGTCCAATGTTCCAAGTTACGTGCGGATATCCCTCCCTCGTGCAATCCTCAGCATGCGGTTCAACCGATGCATCAGGCTCCATTTGTCTTTTTTTTGAAAAGACCGTTCTCTTTCAGATTATCAGTATGCACTGCAATAGATTTTCGTCTTGTCCCGTTCGAAAACATGCGACCAATGGTGGGACTATCTGGTTTAGCATTGAATTCCCGCTCGGCCTGGATGTACAGTGGGTGAGATCTCGTAATTTGAGTAACAAAAGTCAAAGGATGCCGTCTCTGGTCTTTTACCTGAGATATACGCGGGAAAACGGTCAGAAGAGTATCACTCGCGACGCCATGAGCAGTGGTATCCTTCTCTGTGTCCTCTCCGGGGAGATTAAACATGACCCACTCATTGTCGCCCCAGGAAAGAGGATCGAAATCCGGCTCAAACTTTTGCTGAGCACGCTGTATAGGTAGCCAAACCTCAATCGCTCTCTGCGCGACGTTTGCCACACTTTGCCGAAACTCAGTATACTGGGCGTCCAAGAGCAATTTATGCGCGTAGCTTGATACTTCATCAATCACAGCAAGAATTCTGGATTGAAGTGACTCCTGCTGACTTTGTTGATCAATTGAAAGAAGCATTGATCGACAAAAGAATTCTTTGTCACCATCAGTCCCGGAGAGACGATTCATGATGTTCCGCAGTGGAGCATTTTCAGGAAGAAGATAGTTTGGTTGAAAGATGTATTTGTCGATTCCTTTGGCCAAGATAGTCAAAATTAAAGCAAGTCGCATTCCTTTGGCAGCGAGGGAGTTTGAACGGGGCAAAGGGACATGCCGAACCGAATCATCGCCTGACTTTCGGAAGCAATCCAATGATGCTTTATTCTAAATAGAATCAGCAGAGACCTAGGAAGTTTCCTATACCATGCTTACACTGAGGATTGTGATATCAATATCTTGCATCATTATATAGGACATTTGCTCTGTAGCATAATCCCAAAGACCTGAAAACCCATTGATCCTAGAGCCAAATGTCAGCATGTCTTGGTTTCATGTCTGTGGGATATAGACTAACAAGGAATCTTCATCCATTTGGTGGCCTGGGAAGCCGTATCCCTCCAGCTTGTGAAGTCGTGTTTGAGACAACTGTATGATAGACATTTGGGAATGCAACTCTTTCTCTAGCTCCTCATTCCTTTGCTTTTCTGAAGACAAGGTGTCCTTCATGCTCACTTCAGTAACGCGAAGCTGGTCGATGGTTCCATCCCTTTCTTTGAGTACCTTTTGCAAGGACGTGATGTTTAGAGAAAGCTGATTGACTTTGGCTTTCTCACTGACATTCTCCGATTGAGCCGTGTTCCTTTCCTTTTCTAGATTCTTGATCCTCTGAGCTGATTCTGCGAGTTTGCTGTCCTTTCTCGCTACAGATTCTTTGAGTAATACTACCTCGCCCTCAACTCTTGCGTAATTGGCTTTTTCCTTTTGCATTTCGATGAACCATTGATTCATCGCAATACTCTGGTTTTTTTCTTGCTCATCAAGCTTCTTGCGGGCTTCCGACAGCTCATTTTGTTTTGTCTTGATCTGCTCTCGCTGGCTCTCAATCTCATGTGCTATAAACGATGCGGCCTCCATATCAGGGCTGGAAGCAAAGATGCATAGTTGTTTCACAGTGCTTTCGAGAGTCTCGCTGGTGATTTGTGGTACTGTGACATCTTGACTCGTTTTATGTGGTACACTGGGCTCGATAGACATAGACATCTTGAATGAAAAATGAGAGCAAGATAGTACTGCTTGGGTCCTTTGGAGGCAAATACGACGAATTTATAATTTGTTCTCTGTGATTGACTTGTTAACGATCTTTGTTCCTCTTTAGCCCCGCTTTCCGAGTCGTATGCCACAAATGGGTGGCATCTCCAATCATGAAGATGAGAGCTACCAAAAGACAAGGATGAGGTGCACAGCCCGTGTTCTACTCAATCTTCGCCTTAGGTTTGAAATCGCGGATTCAGGCTTGGATTGCTGTTGAGCCTCTTGGTTGCTGAAATGGGAGTGGGTGAGTTGGCTCATGCATGCAAGACACAGGGGTATTTGTAACGTGTCCTGGACTGTACGGCTGCCCGCACTTTCGTACATGCCGGCTATCAGCGATGCGAACTGTCCCACTCATACTATGCGGACGCAGCCGGCCAATGGTCGTTAACCGAGATAAGCGCCTTGTCAAGGCGATTTCCGCCCTGTTTTTAAGTGCCTTAACTATCTATGCCAACACAACAAAATCCTTGTTCAAGAGAAGCATCCTTGAAGACTACATAGTGACGTGGCAGGTTTCCACGAGCATATGTCACGGCCGTCAGATATTGTATCGAAGGTACTGTACCTGGCGGTAAATGGAGAAGCCTTCAAGAACCCGGCTGACTGAAGGATGAGTTCTCCATAGTCACACTCAACAAGGCTACTCTAGTAAGAATCTCAATCTCGTTACTCTTTGATTACCGTCAGGTACTTCCTATATTGCCAACCCTTGTGAAATACTCAAAGTTTGGGTTTGGGCAAACTTTTAGATATACCCGTGGAGCTAGGGTCACGCAATTTGCCGCTCAACTTGCTGTTTAATACTCGGCTGTGCGTATTATCCGGGGCTTACTGTGCATTAGAATATTCATTGGTGGACAATCCGTATCTCAATTGGACTAGCTAAGTTTCGGGATGTAGATTTAGTTTTAGTCTTCAAGCCAAAGTTGATAGCATCCGATCGATTTTCCGATTTATTGCGTCCGTGAACAACTTTTGCTAGCCAGTTGGGTAATAAATAGTGGCTGAAAGACTTGTGATAGAGTTATGTGGTCTTCTTCCGATAATGTCAAGTGATAATGTCAAAGCGTGCTTTTCACCCGGCGGGACCTTGCTCAATGCTGCTGTTCTAGCTCCGGTCGATCCGGTTCCCATGAAAGTGCTAATTCCGCCCCAGACAGGACCAACATATTACCTGATGTGGGTGGCCTGCTGCTACTCTGCTTTTCTGCCTTAGCGCGAGCCGAGTCACCTGATGACGTGCCCCTCCTTCACTTGAGAGACAGAGCTTGTGATTAACTACAAGATACTTTAGACGATCAAGTCGTCGACAAGTCACTCTGGTTTCAACTATGGAGTTCAGGTGGGAATTAATCATGGCACATTCATGACAGACTTCCATCTGCCTCCAGGTACACCGAACTTCTATAGAAGACCTCGAAAACGTAAATATAAAAAAAAGTCAATCGAGTAAAATATAAATCATAAAAAATAACGACCTACATACTCTTATAGTTAATTTCTGGACAATAGTTCCACTTGACGCTCACCTGTTTGACTAAGTTCAGTCTAGTCTCGGTAATACTTGTGTTGTCACGATTGTATCGCCATCAGCGAGTCATCGTCAAAGTACCGCGATAATACATAAGCCCATCCAGAAACCCCCGACACTGTATTTTCCTTCATATTTTTGAAGAACTGACGCAAATTACGGAATTCCTGTCACTCAACAATGTTTGTTTCTGTCATTAATGAACGCAAATGACCCCATATCCTATTGCTAGTACTGAGTGGAATTGAAACATTTGTACAGCCTAACAATTTATATGCTGCTCCCTAGAGAGTCCTAACGCAAGACAAAGATTGCCAGTAGGCTATCAATAAAGAAGAGTACAGTAGATTCAAGAAAATTGACAGAGTCGGAATAAGTCACACTTGCGCAGATCCAGTAGAGATTCCCCGCTTTCGTACAAAAAGTTCTGGGGGTTTGTCTGCTTGAGAGGAACGAGGTTCGATATCGAAATCAGGCAAATCTGATAATAGCCTGCTGAGCTTCGAGTAACCATGTGTGGAAATGTTGAAGTCCGGGTGTTGTGTTGTGAGATGCTCCCTCACATCAGACAGCTTCGCCCATCCACGGTTATCGAGAGAACTATCTGCTGTCTTCCGCTGGTGAATATCTGGGCGATCATCTTTTTGGACTTTTTGGACTGATTTAGGGCTCTCGGGAGTTTCAGCCCTACGTGAATGGTGCGCAAGCCTCGAAGGGTACACAAAGTCTTCCGTAAAGACGAATTTATCGCACGCATTGACAAAAGCTTCGGGCGTCTTGTGCTCCCCAAATCCATACACCTTCAGTCCAGAATTACGTAATCGAGTGACTAATGGAGTAAAGTCACTGTCGCTAGAGACAAGACAGAATCCATCGAGGTGGCTCGAGTACAAAAGGTCCATCGCGTTGATAATCAATGCAGAATCGCTTGAATTTTTGCCATATGTGTACGCAAACTGCTGGATGGGCTCGATAGACTGATTATGTAGCTCCTTCTTCCAGGTTTCCATCCTCTGATCGGTCCAGTCTCCATAGGCCCGCTTTACATGAGCTGTGCCATATTTTGCGATCTCTGTGAGAATCATTCCAATGACAGAGTATTGCGCATTTTTGGCGTCAATCAAAACCGCGAGTTTGGGATTGGTATCACAAGCCATATCAGTAAGCGTGCGCAGAAGAGGGGATTTTTCGTGATCGTTGTCATAGATAATGTTGAGTGTCACTCTCGCATCATATTTATACTCTTACACAGTCACATGCTCGACCATTTAGTGACGTACTTGTTATTGACCACCTGGCTTTTCATAGGCTCTGACGAACGTGAAGTTCAACATGGCGAGGTAATGAATAATCCAACACGAGGCTCTTCACGCCTGCGACCAATTATCCGACTTAAATGACTGCTTCTTTGCACATGATGATACGTTCATTTACGGGCGATGATGCGGAGTGATCATGTTTTGCTAATATCATTGGACATATCTTAAGATATATTGGTATGTTAAACAGTACGACCTTAACCCCTCATGTATGACGAGGTTGCGAAAAGAATTGTTGCAATCTAGGCCAAAACCCGAGAATATAGGAGAATGCAAGATTAGCGAGAAGATATTCTTATACACACGAGTTCACTTGCGATGGTTGTAGGAGAGACAAACAACGAGAGATTCAAGATTGGGCCCGCTTTTAATTCCACGAAATATGACCTTTTGGGCTTCAAACACCTCGAGCTGCTAATTGTAAGCTGCGTGGCAAGAATGACACTTGCCACCCTTTTTTTGAACTGATCACATTGGCGCACCATTTGAAATCTTGACCCGAGTCTCTTTCATGTTGAATCTAATTACGCTTCATGAAACATTTAGGTTTGACAAGAGACTAAAAAACGCCATTGAGCCTGTATCGATCAGACTCGGAGAACGTAATAGTAATGGACAAGCAAAACTCGCAGGGGAGGTAGTATGCGGGGAGTAATTTCGTGCAGGTTAAACTGTCTGGATTTTTGGACACATATGCACAACGGTGAAACTAGTTTCGATCTATCCTGTACACACGCAAAGAGAGATAAAAACCAAATTCTTGCTTGCTTCGTTCATCCGTTTCTAGTACCACTCAGTTGGTGGAAGTCCCATTCGTGAGAAGAATTCTGGCATCGGACGCCCGTCTCAAAACACTCTAGACAAATGTCAAAATCATGGCAGCCCTTACAACGGTAATAGGAGCTGCCAATCATAACATATCGAGTGCAGACATCACACCACCGAGAACCATGATCGGCATTTATTAAAGAACGTTTCATATCGAGACCACTTTCAAGGATCTCGACACCTTGTTTCTGAGCACATTGACGAATGAGCTCAATGATCTTAGTGCGCCCCCCTCTTGTCGCCCACCAAAACAAAGTCCGGCCCAAAGCATCTTGAAAGTCGATCTGGAGTTCAGTTAACGCAATCAAACGCTCAACCACCACCTCATGTCCATTTCTCACTGCCGCGAATAGCGGTGTCGAGTGGTAGCAGTCATGAGCATTAATATCGGCATTCTGCAAAAGCAGTAATTGTACCGCTCCAAGTTGCCCTCTAGCAGCAGCATGGAAAAGTGGCGTGCGGTCGCATTTATCACGAACATCAAGGTCAACTAAATATCGAAGAAGCAGTCGGACTATGTCGTCATGTCCGTTCATCGAAGATGAATGTAGAGGCGTCCAGCCGTCGTTAGTCACAACTCCGATGTCTGCACCGTTCTCGAGAAGGAGTTTCACGACCTCGAGATGACCCTTGAATGAGGCCATATTCACTGGCGTCCAGCCGTCGTTAGTTGCAACTTTGATGTCTGCACCGTTCTCCAGAAGGAGCTTGACTACCTCGAGATAGCCGTGTGATGAGGCCGTATTCACGGGCGTTAAGCCGTTGTTATTTGCAACTTTGATGTCTGCGCCGTTTTGGAGAAGTAGCTTCATAACCTCGAGATGGCCCTTTAATGAGGCCGTATTTACGGGCGTCCAGCCTTCATTAGTCGCAACTTTGATATCCGCACCGTTATCGAGAAGGAGCTTGACCACCTCGAGATGGCCGTTGGACGAGGCCGTATTCACTGGCGTCCAACCGTTGTTAGTTGCAACATTGATGTCTGCACAGTTCTCGAGAAGAAGTTTAACAACCTCGAGATAGCCTTTTGATGAAGCCGTATTCACTAGCGTCCAGCCATCACTGGTCATAGCTCCGATGTCTGCACCGTTGTCGAGAAGGAGCTTAAACACCTCGAGGTGGCCGTTTAATAAGGCCGTATTTACGGGCGTCCAGCCGTCGTTAGTCGTAACTTTGATATCTGCACCGTTCTGGAGAAGTAGCTTGACTACCTCGAGATGGCCGTTTGATGAGGCCGCATTCACGGGCGTCCAGCCGTCGTTAGTCGCAACTTCGATGTCTGCACTGTTTTCGAGAAGGAATTTCACGACATCGAGATGACCCTCGTCTGACGCCGTATTTACGGCCGTCCAGCCGTTTTTATCTGTAACTGTGACATCTGCCCCGTTTTCGAGGAGTAGCTTAACCACGCCGAGGTGGCCGTTAAGTGAGGCGTTATAAAGAGGCGTTGTTCTGTCACTATTCATAACTGTGATATCGGCCCTCTTTTCAAGGAGTAGCTTAACGATCTCGAGATGGCCCTTTGATGAGGCTATATTCACTGGCGTCCAGCCATTATTAGTCGCAACTTCGATGTCTGCACCGTTCTCGAGGAGGAGCTTGACGACCTCGAGATGGCCCTTTGATGAGGCTATATTCACTGGCGTCCAGCCGTCATTAGTTGCAACTTTGATGTCTGCACCGTTCTCGAGGAGGAGCTTGGCGATCTCGAGATGGCCCTTTGATGAGGCTATATTCACTGGCGTCCAGCCGTCATTAGTTGCAACTTTGATGTCTGCACCGTTCTCGAGGAGGAGCTTGACGACCTCGAGATGGCCCTCAACTGAGGCCGTATTCACGGGCGTCCAACCGTCAATAGTCGCAACTTTGATATCTGCACCATTCTTGAGGAGGAGATTGACAACCTCGAGATGGCCGTTTGATGAGGCCGCATTCACTGGCGACCAGCCGTTTTTGTTCGTAACTGCAATATCCGCCCCTCGTTGCAAAAGCAGCTTAACGATATCAAAATGGCCCTCTCGGGACGCCAGATATATTGGTGAGCGCCCCTCATTGTCCAAAGTTGTGACATGTGCCCCATGATCAAGAAGTATTTCTGCAACCCTTAAGTTCCCCCTCCCGCAGGCTGCAACCAACGGTGTCCGTCCGAAATTGCCTTTCTCGTTGGTGCTATGCTTACGGTCATGGATCAAGAATTTTACAGCGTCAGTTAAACCAAGCCATGCTGCATAATACAATGAGCTGACTGAGCTTTCTTCAAGTTTTGACTGGTTCCCTCCTTCCTCATCATTCAAATCGAACCATTCTTTCCACGAAATCCAATGTGACCTCCTTATATCGAAGAGCTGATTCACGAGTTCCACCGCCTCGGCATCCCTTGAGTTGCCAACAGAGATATGTTTTTGCCAAGATCTCACAGCGTAATCCAAGAAATAGCCAAGGACCCGGTCATTTTCCACAGGATTTTTATCTCGCCAGACCCTTGGACAGGTCACGTAGCGGAGACACATTTTAGCGAGTAAGGTGCTTTCAATTGCTTCTGTACAATGGGCTAAGGCTCTGTTGAGCTGCAAAGTTCTCCCTTGGGTTTGGATGTTGTAGAGCAGATACTGTTTGACGGAGAAATGTGCCAAATGTACCGTCCACAATCCAGCAGAACATTCTGCTTGAGGGCGCCGAACTTCGAGGAGTGATCCGCAGTAATATAATATTTCGGTCTCAACGTACTCCACATCAATAGTGTCTGGTAGCTCGTCCAATCGGAGGTCATCACAGTGTTCACTGATTAACAGGGCTTCCGTTATCTCACTGACTGTTAGCGGTCGTAGGGCAAAGGCTGTCCAGCGTAGCAAGGAAAAGGCTCGGTCTCGACCTTCTTCGGGGAGCTGTGACATTTTTATCCAGTTTCGTTCGTAGATTTGATCAATCCCACTTGGTGTGGTATTGATTGCTTGCTCCAGCTGCTTCTGGTTTTTCCCACTGCGTAAGGAGTCCTCCTGCATCTTAATCCACAGGAACTGTCCGTTACAGCGCTCAGCGAGTTTCCGACTGATATCCTCTTTTGCTGTGTCTGTCTTTTTCGGCAGCTTTTTTTGGACAATGCTTCGAGAATATGACACAACATCAGAGCGAACATCCTCGGGCGTTATCTTGTGTTCAAAAAAAGGGGCGCCGTAGACATCGTTGGAAAGACAAGTTCGGATCTCCGGTTCATCGCGGCTAACGATCATGATTCGCGCGGCTGTATCTGTAGTAGCCTGTCTCAATGCATTCATAAAGCCGGCGATTGAGTCGTTATCACCAGCCTTCTGAGTGTCTTTAAGCCAACTGCACTCATCCAACCCATCCAGGATAAAGGTGCAACCGGGTATGGCTATGCAGATTTCTCGCAGAAGCTTAATGACATCCCCGCGTCTCGCTCTCTGTCCCTGTTGGACTACCCACGCCTCGCGGACCAACGCAAATGCGGTTGGGTGAGACATCATTTGAGATAGCCATGACCTTACCACTATGAAGAGATCTTCTGTGCTTTTAAAATCGGACGAACAAAAGAAATGGACAATAGGCGTCTCCAGCACAGAAGATAGATGCTCAACGACTCTCGCACACAGGATAGACTTCCCAAATCCCGCGGGGGCATTGATCCAAAGGCTTTTGACACCTGCTGGAAAATCGGATGAGGACCAGTCCAGAAACCAGGGCCGGTTTAACACCCATTCACAGGTCTGTTCTATCCTCCTTTCGACATATATTTCGTAGAGCTCGTCGGGAGGGTGGCTACCCATAATCCATGTCTGTAGATCTCGCCTTGTTTCGGCTTTGCGAATGAGCCATAGAACCCATCGAACCCAGAGTCAGCAAGACACGACTTACCCTCAATTTCGCTCTCAATCCTACTCAGAATGTGACCGAATTGCGTGGCCCAAGCTCCCTGGCCTATGAAGTTATCTAACACAATGGTCAGTTCAGGCATCGAAAGAATCATGGGGCATCACGTGCCATCGGGCCACGTAGAAGAGTCATCGCGGCTAGTGGATGCTGCGTATCTTGAGACCGCACCTCGTTCTCGGCGGATAGGAATCAAGTTATGAAGGTTCTCCACAAGTACTGAAAATTGCTCAACTTGCGCGAGTCGTTTCGCTTTATCCCTCAACGCCCAACTGAGTTTTTGTCTTTTGGATTCGAGGGAGGTGTGTGGATGGGAATGGCTATTGAGCAGTTGGCCTTTGATGGGTCTCTTGTCTCCTCCTGACACGGTCATTGGAAAATTATCATCGTCATAGCCGCAAATGTCTCTTATGGCTGAAAGGAGTTCTTCGACTATCGATAAGGTTCGCGGATCATCAAGAAGCTTGTCGTGCCCATCCGATAAATCCCTTTGTTCGAAACCGACTGCCTGGCCCCATTTTTCGAGGCGAAGTTTGTGAACTTTAAATTGAGCCGCTAGAGAACGAGACTCACTTCCGAAGTCCCTCCACGAGTCAAACTTTTCGAGGACGTCCAAGCAGGTATTGAAGAGACCAGCCAGTCCTAAGATTCCGACTGCAAGGCCTACTGGTTCCATAGCTGCCTGACAAGTATATGATAGATGGCCTGCTGGACAGAAGTATAGGTAAAGTTTTCAGCATGCCAACCGTGGTTGCGCTTAACGGGCTCAGCTGAATGCGGGGTAATCGGGCTTGGCACATGTACCAGTATGGTGATAAGCAGGGTCATGAGTATTATCTGCAAGTAAGCAAGGTATTGTAAGTCACTGTTCGTGCTATCTGGTACAGAGTGAGCCCCGAGATTGTCGGTTGGGACAGAAGAATGAGAGAGGGAAATGATACACTACTCCAGCTCCTCATGTTGACTTGGTTTGCATCCATATGGAAATTTCTAGCCATAATGGCTACTCTATACAGTGACGATACATGGAGTCATATCCTCGAGAGTAAGAAACTGCCATCACTATTTCTTGTACATGTATCCGGTTAATTGGAGATAATAGGAGAGCTTAGTAGGTTGCACACTGAACCAAAAAGGTTAGTATGACTGCCGTGAAGCAGTCATGCACTCCCACCACATCAAGTAGCGCACTCTGTCAGGCTACACGTGACCTCGGCGATCGTGTACAGCTATCCAGTGCAATCTCTCTGTCAAACCATGCTAGTTCTAACGCTTCTATTAGATACATGTAACGGTAAAAGAAGGTAAGATCCTCCTAGAATATATCCTAGGAATCATCAATATCGCAGATACGCTCACAAAGGAATTTCCTAAGCCTAAATTCGAAGCTTTTCGACAAGGATTAGCTTTAAAGAATTCTTGATTCGTCTATTTATATCCCCGTATCTATATAGCAGATTTAAATTATTCAATAATAAGGGGGTGTATTGAGAATTATAGCCGCTAGCTATGCTTTTGTCCATCAGTATGCCATAATAGCTACTATAATTATTTTTTATCTGAGAATCGAATTAGGACTAGCTTGAGGCAGAGATTCCTAGTATATAAGAAGTTCATCACCCAATAATAAATACCTAGACTTCAACAATTCGATTATTAGTTTAAGAAAATCTTTGTTGTTTACCCTTCGTCGTCATTGTTTCCCTTCAGGCATCGTATCTGTTGTCAGGATATATAATGACAATCACTAACCGATTTGATTTAAATTTTCGTGTTTAATCCTATATCATTACGTATATCTCCTACTGAAAACCGTAAGTGACTTGGACAACTTGCTTATAATTTAATAAAGCTTCGATTAGACCAATAACTCGGTATAGATCTATCCGATGAACCCGACGTCAACGCCAAGACATCGGGGACGGACTCCGATTACTCCGACCGGACATGCAGCTCCCCCCTCCGGTATTCCATCTTGGAACACGCATCATGCATGAACACAACATTCGCAGGCTGATATCTCGTATATCAAAAGAAAGTGTGACAAGATGTGCACGCGTCGCACCTGTTGCTGCACGACCATGTCTTCCTCTACGCTCTCATGTCATCCATTCTCCAATCCGAATCAGTCCTTATACGCGACGAGGATTGATCACATCACCAAATAAATCGCTGCATGTCATGTCCGAAACTGATATCAATCGGGAAACGTCATTCAACCAGGAAGTCTTCAATCTGTCCCTTTCTCTGTCGCGGAATCGTATGAACGAATCTACAGAGCTGCGCTGCATGGCCTTGAATGCAGATGGATCGGTTATACATTCCGAGCTTCGGGGCACGAAAGCTGATGTTGCGAAGAAGTACGATCTGGATGGCCGAGACTTGCGGAATGTGGATCTTGTTTCGGAAGGTATTCCGCATATCTTGGTCCGTCCTTCTACGATATTCATTAGCATGTTTACGCTGAGGCTTCTTGTCAGGGCTGATGAGGTTCTGTTGTTTCTTTTACCGACTGAGGACTCCGATGTCAAGGTGCAAGATGTTTTCTTGAATGATCTCCACAGCAAGTTGAATTTGGGTCACAAGTCAGGCTTTGTAACGAAGCTTCCTTATGAACTACGCGTTGTCGATGCTGCATTGGCTTCTGTTATTGCTACTCTCGAGGCAGAACATATTTTGATCAGGAGGGAGGTCAAAGCAAGCCTGCGCGACTCAACGAGCGAGGATCTCGTGCACAGTGTTCTACGAGGACTACAGGATCATGGAAAGAGGCTGGTCGCCATTGGACAACGTGCTCGACAAGTCCGCTCCGCTCTACAAGAGCTCCTTGGCAACGATGAAGACATGGCTACCATGTATCTGTCTGATAATCTGGCTGGAAAGCAGCATGCAATTCAAGACCACCAAGAGGTTGAATATCTTCTGGAGGCATATTATAAGAATGCAGATGCGATTGCTGAGTCGACGAGTGCGCTGCTGGGGGATGTGACTCGAACGACAGATACGACGCAGTCGATTCTGGATGTGCGCCGAAATCAGATCATGATCTTCGAAGCTCAATTGGAGATTTGCATGCTCGGATTTGCTGTGTCGACTTTTGTAGCGGGCTTGTTTGGTATGAATGTGATCAACTACTTCGAGGAGAGTGCTTATGCATTTGCGGCTCTTGTTGGAGCAAGTGTGATTGGCACTGCCCTTATTTCAAGATATGGGATGTGGAAACTGAACAAATACCGCAAACTACGATTTTGAAGCTTTAGCAGTCCAACCAAATATAGGTATTCGACTAGATTAGTCCCAATTCTTTGGCTGTTGACTGAACTAGAGTCCAAGCTATTTCAATAAATGATACCAGATTTATTGATATCACTATCCAAGAGTTGTACCTTCCTTCTATACTCTTGTGGTCAGCTGATCGTGCTTATCTCAAACAATCCAAAGGCTTTTCATCCTCTCATTCCTCTTCCTCTTCCTTTCATCAACTTCACTTGTTTCCATCACCCAATTTGAACCTACTTGCTCCAATCCATCACCTTTCATCTACCGCAGTCATGCCTGAAGACAACTACGGCAATTCCTACACTTACACCAACTCTGGCGAGAACAGCCAGGTGAGTCCAAAGGAAAATGCACAGACAAACAGAGATCTGATTATCTTATAGGGCAACCACTACTGCACTCGCGACTTTGGCCCCGAGGCGCCCAACTCGAACTCCTACCACTACTCCAACCAGTGAGTCAATATAGACGCCTCTACAAGAGCATGGCTGACAGGTGTAGGGATGGCTCTTACTACTATTCGAACCCTGATGGAAGCACCTACTACAACGATGGCGAAGGTGGTTATACCTACACTGCTCCTACTGAGCCTTCTCAGTCTTCCCAGTCTTCCAACACTTCCGGCAAGTAACGATGTTGTTCAGCTGTGAAGAGTTATTTCGGAGTTTTGGGTTCTTAATTATTTGCTATGAAATGACTTTGAAATGACTTTGAAATTCGGGATACGATGCTTGAATCTGAGTGAATCGGGGATGACGGACCACAAATATTGATACTGGAAACTAGAAATAACAACCAAACACTTTCCCCCGGTCAAACTCATCCAATCAAATCTCTTCAATTCAATATCTCCAAGTAAAAAAAAAAGAGGCGACGCTAAATCCCGATTCCCCGCACTTCGGTAAATTCACCAAATCATCGGCAACACAACTTATCAATGTGGCTTGGGGGAAAGATAACCGTCGCATGTTGAATCTCCTCACCTATTCTCTACACACAATGACTACACGAGGCTGTTGCGCCCGCTGTGCGCATATCGTGAGTGACTTACTCCCGAGACATAAAACACGCTAACTTCAATAGAAACAAAGATGCGATGGTGATTCACCATGTTCACGCTGCAAACGTATGCACTCCATGCACAATGCATTGTCCTCTTGTGCTTTCCTAAAGCTACCTCGGATCATGCACTGATGTCTTGGCTATAGGTCTAGGACATATCTGCAAACCCCGATCTCTAGATGAGGATCCAGTCTTGAGTCGCGGATCATCTGCGCGCCGGCCCCGTGCATCGCGGTCCCGGGGCGGCTGTTTACCCTGCAAGACAAGGTAATATAGTGGAGCAAACAGCATTTTCGGAAGCTAACCGCCTGCAGGAAGAAGAAATGTGATGAGAATCGTCCCAAGTGCAGCGACTGCCGCCGCCTGAATTTCCCCTGTGAGTGGCCAGCTCCGGCTATCGATGTTGAAATGCACAGTCCCCGCGTGGATGATACTTCTTCGCCTGCATCCTTTCCCTCTGTCTCTGCCGATGCCATTCCGATTGATGATTCCGACGGCGGTCCGCCTCCGCTCAGCCCCGTTACCCCTTCCGATGATGAGGAGTTTATTGCCACGCTCTTTCCCCATCCCGTACCCAGGAAGAATACTGTGGCATTGCCACTGTGTCGATCTCCTATCTCTGCGAACCCTCATTTGCGGACAGAAGAAGATCGTTCGCTGTTCAACCATTATATCCACGTCGTGTCAAGAGCTCTATCGCGCTCTCAGGATGTAGATCGGAACCCATTCTTGGTTACTCTTTTGCCGCTAGCTGCAGTTTCGGATACGGTGACCAGTGTGATTTTGAGTTTGAGTGGCTGCCATTGGAAGAGAGTCTATCCGACTATCTGGGGGTGCGCCTTGACCAGACAAGGCAAAGGTGGGACCGATATTACCCTCATGGATTGACTTATGCTGATACATTGTAGCTTTGGCACAAGTCAAAAAACTACTCAGCTGCTCAGATCGCCAATCAGCCTTTGAAGCTTGTGCGACGGTACTTTTGCTATGTCTTACAGAATTGTTTGATGGTACATCTCGAGTTTGGAAGTGGCATCTGAAGGCCGCCAGCGCGATCCTGAAGTCTCCTGCCTTCCAAACTCTCATTTCATCCGACGAGTGGACATTCTGCATAAGTCTGTTCCATTATCTAGACTCTATGTCGACTATCTCTCGTTGCAAGGCACCCCTGTTACAGAACAACGATAATATAACAGATCTTACAAGCTCATTACGACGGAGCAGTGTGGCGGATCCTGATCGAACGCAATCATCTGATGCAATTTACGGTATCTCTCCGGCGTTGTTCGATTATCTCGGGATGGTCAATCTGCTAGCCAATCATCGAAGTAGACGCGTCGACGAACTTTCTGAAGTCGGGTTCAGAGCTGCGGCCAACCATCTTGAAGATCGGATTGATGACTGGCGCGCTGATTATGACCGCAAGTCCCACGCTAATTTGGACCGCGATACGGACCGCGCTACTACTGCTTTTGAGTGGGCGATTAGACTTCGGCTGCATCAAATTGTGGAGGGGTACGATGCCTTGCATGAGTTTGTGGAGCGCTGCGTTATTACTATTTTGGAATCTGTACAGGAGATTCCTTATGCAAGCAGAGTCGAGGGATGTCTTTTATTCCCGCTTGTCATCGCTGGGTCCAGCAGTATTAGTGTCGAACGGCGAATGATTGTGAAGGAGAGACTCATGGTCATGGAAAATACCCTTGGATTCAGTCATATTCATCATGCTCGCCAACTCCTGGAGACAGTTTGGAAAGGGGGAACAGTCCTTCAGACTTGAATTGGGCTTCTGTGAGATATAGTCAGTTCCCTGGTGTAGTGTTTATATAATCTCTTATTTATGCCGTCAAGGCATTGATGATTTGTTTAATTTTGAAAACCCATTGATCAAGACGTAAGTTCCGTTTTATTGCTATTGATGTAGTATACTGGCACAGTGGTCAAAACGCATAATGAATAAATAAAAAGCAGAATAGAACAAGAGAAGTCAACTGGATCAACCCCAGATTTTCAGTCGAAGTGCGTAATGAGTTAGCCCTTCTCAGACCCGAGCCCCTTTTTCCTCAGCAACCAACTCAGCCAAATGATCCCTCATATTATAACCACAAACCTCCTCAATAGTGAGTTTTCCCGGTCGATCCGTAGAAGAACTCCACCCAATTCTCTCACTGAGATTCTCGCGCGCTCTGAAACTTGCTTCTTGCACGCGTGTAGCGCGACCCTTGCGTAATCTCTCATAGAGCTTCAGTCCTTCGAGAACTCCGTAGTCGTCACGGAAATTCTTGTTAAACACCAGTCCCAACGCTCCCGCATCTTCAAATGCCATACATGACCCTTGCGATTGATCGGGCATCATAGGGTGGGCTAGAAATATATTAGCAACCCGAATATATGAACGATCTTCAGACTTACCAGCATCGCCCAAGAGACACACCTTACCCTTCACCCAGTACGGATAAGGCTGGTGCTTGTACACTATTGTCAAAGGTTAGCGATGTGTCAGAATGGAATGGATTATACTCACATCGCCACATCTTGATGTCCTCAGCATTCAACATCAGTGTCTTCATTCTGGGGTCCAAATCTGGGAATGTGTCCACCAATTGCTGTGGCGTGGCACTGATATTCCATCCATCGTCGCGCACATTGTTGTGTGACGCAGGATAGAAACAGTAACAGCTTACTACTTCTCCGTTGCTGCATGGAGACATCACAATCTTGTTGATGCCGTATCCTCCCCAGTACTCGATTGCCTCGTTAGAGATATAATCTTCCAGACCAAGTGAGCGAAGCTTGTCGGCGCCAATAATACAGCGGTAGCAGCATGAAGTTGACATTTCAAAGTCTGGGGTGATTCCTATCATGTTTCTTGTCAGGGACTGTGTTATATCTGTTAGCCTACTGATTCAATTGTAACAGCGTGAGCAATGTCTTACCCGAATGCCATCTGCAGCTACAATAATATCGGCCGACGCTTCAGTGCCATTTTCGAAGCGTAGTACACCTTCCTCTGCATTGACTTCTATCGCTTTGAAGTTCACCTTGAGCTCACACTTAGGACCTTCTCCAGGTGCCTCAAAGGCAGATTTCAAGAGTTCCTTGTGGATATCAATGCGATGGAAGTTGTTATAGTCCTATTATCAATCAGTCTTGTTCTTTTTTGTCTATGTGTTCCTCACTGGATACGCACTGTGCCGAATTTAGACTTATAATCGCCAAGTGGATATGTGCTCTGTACATCCCCATCACTCCAATTATGCATAATGAGTTGTTTGAGAATGACCTGTCACGAATTAACGTTAAACTGGCGGACTATGATTCGCGCAGTGGGAACAAACCGGCTTGGCTCCCTTGACATCCACACCCCATTCTTCCAAAAAGCGAGATCCGTTCGATGCCGCACTCAGCGATGCGCCAACTTCACCGGCAAAATCGTATCGCTCATAAACAGTGACCGCATGGCCTTGACGGCGGAGAGCGACTGCGGCGCCAAGGCCTCCGAGGCCTGCGCCGATAACGGCGACTTGAAGAGGAGAGTCGGTGCGAGAAGGCATTGCTAGATTGATTTACTTTACAACTGGTACCATTCATTCTCTATTGATTTATATTCTTTTTAAGCTGAGCTTCAAGACTTCGGTGGTCTGACGGATTGCAGTTCGGCTGCTCTTCCTATCTCGCGCTAAGCGACGGAGAGGGGCTCTCTCTATCCGACGGTTGCATTAGACCGCGCCGATCTTCTCCTCGTTTCTATTTGCCCGAGAGGAACGGCCACTGGATCTGCGCCTATCATTATCTGGGGAAACTGTCGGGAGTTTGAATCGCTATCTCTATGTCTTTGGTCTGACCTGGCTCTTAAAGGCAATCTGCCAACCGATAATATACTGGGACTGGTATCCTTTTTCAACTCTACGTTTTTGTTTCTTCCAATTGACGGCTACTATGGACAAGAAATCTGAGCTCATGGAGAAGTATGATGCTGCCGAGGACTGTGCTTCGGGCACTGTGGTCATGGATGACAAGAAACTTGTGCGCAAGATTGACTACCACCTCTTGCCCATCATGTTCTTGACCTACTTCTTGCAAATGATTGATAAGATCTCCATTAACGTGAGTATCCAGAAGGCTATCCAGCGTTCTATCTATCTGTTGACACTGTTAGTACGCAAATGTGATGGGCATGCAGGATGACCTGGGAATGAAAGGAAACGACTTCTCATGGCTTGCAACGTCATTCTTCATCGCGTATGCCGTGGCGGAAATTCCCCAGGGTGCGCTTCTACAAAGATTTCCAATTACCAAGGTTCTTGGAGCCAATGTCTTTTGCTGGGGCATCATCCTCTGTTGTTCGTCAGCTGCCTCTAAATTCTCCCATATGCTCGCATTGCGGATTCTCCTGGGATTGATGGAAGCTGTTATTGGTGAGTGCTGATTATTTTACATTCCAGAGTTTGTCTCATTGTTTTGCAGCGCCTTCCCTCACCATGTATACCAGTATGTGGTACACACGAGCAGAGTCCACACCACGATACGGGTTCTGGTACTGTGGTTTAGGTGTTGGGCAAATCGTCGGCGGGCTGATTTCCTTTGCTGCCCAACATGCCCCTGCACACTTGAACTTTGGGGGCTGGCGCATTATGTTTGTAGCAGTTGGTGCTGTGAATGTTCTGGTCTCCCTCCTAGTGTAAGGTCCGATCCAAATTCCCTTTAAACGGACTCTGACATTCTTTGCAATAGAATCTTTATTCTTCCCAACAGCCCAGAGACTGCCAAGTTTCTCACCGAGACAGAGAAAGCACGCATTGCACAGCGTCTAACCGATGATTCAGCTGGTGTTGGATTGAAAGTCTTCCGCTGGCGGTCTGTTCTTGAAGCATTTGGAGATCTGCAGACTTGGATGCTCGTGTTACTCACAATTCTTATCACAATTCCAAGTGGTGTTATAACAACATTCTCTGCTATCCTCATCAAAGGATTTGGATATAGCTCCAGAGAAAGTGCTTTGCTGAATATGCCCTCGGGTATTGTGAGCATCGTGGCAACTATGGTGTCTACGTATGCAATCTCAAAAGGCTTCTCGAGGTGGCTGGCTATTGACTTGCTCCTGCTGCCGACTCTACTGGGATCTTGTTTAATGTCTTTCCTCCCATCTGAGAATCAAGCTGGTTGTTTGGCAGGTATTTACCTCGTTAATACGGTATGTAAACCCAACCCTCTGAAAACGAATGTATCTGACTTCAACAGACGGTTGCACCCCTGGCTCTTATTTATGCATGGACTGGAGCCAATTATCGGGGGTTCACAATGAAGGTAAATGCCATTGCCCATTGATTGCATGTCACTTTGCTTACACGTCTAGGTGTCCGGTGCTGGAATTATCTCTGCAGGCTTCAGCATTGCGAATATCATAGGCCCGCAAACCTTTCAAGCCAAAGATGCGCCGCAGTAAGTCATTTCCTCAATTTCACCTAACTTTGAACGAGCTTGAAAGAGCTAAAATCCAGAACAGGTATATACCGGCAAAGATTACCATTGTCGCCGTTAATGCTGCTGCTATTGTAGTCTCCACAGCCCTAAGGATGCTTTATGCAAGGCGTAATGCGGCCGCTGATCGACTTGGTACCCCAGCACGTAGTTGTATAGAGACACGGTTGGCTAATAAGTTGGCTGTTCGCGATACGCAAGATGATGACAGTTTCCGCTATGTGTATTAAGAAAGATATTGTGTATTTAATGTCCTTACTTCCAACTATTCAATTATTTACAATACTTGCCACAGTACTCAGACTTCAAATAGTCTCTATTGTTTTGTTCGAGCTAACCAGGAACTTTCTATTCCGACTGATGCCGCACTTAGTCGAAAAGTCCAAAGGCCCGTCCAGAAAGAGGACATGTGTCCGATATTCCAAACCATGGTGACACTTCCTTCTGTCTTGTGACTTGAATGTTGTAAAGCCACAAAAAGTTACTTGTACCAATACGCTAGTCCAATTAGCACGTTTTAATTTTCCAAACTGGGCGATGCATATTGGAAAGCAACTCCAAATCTGAGACATGCTAGTCTAATTCCACGGACCCGAAGGTCTAACCTATCTACCCGACGGCCGCGCGGGACTACTGTAGCAGGCGGCTATATTGACTTTGCAAAGTATTTGAATTGTTTTTCTATCTTTTCTAAACTTTCACAGTTGAGCCACTTCCATCACCACCCAAAAAAGCTCACAATTCACGTTGAACTTCCTATCCATTCCCAATTTTTGCATGCAAGACATTCAAAATGGCACCTATTGACCCTGGATCTTTAGTACTGGTCACTGGCGGCAATGGCTTTATTGCAGCTCACTGCATTTCAACACTTCTACGTTCCAATTATCGGGTTCGCGCGACAGTGCGCTCCTTCGAGAAAGGAGAAGCTACGCATGAATCTCTGAGTGCAGCTGGAGTCGTCAATCTTTCTCTCCTTGAATTCGCAATTGTATCCGACCCAACCGATCTAAAGGTATTTGCTGCACAACTCGACGGTTGTCAGGCAATTCTGCATTTGGCATCGGCATTCAATTACGATGTGGTGCCTGGTGAATTCGAAGAAAAGCTTATGATCCCAGCAGTAAAGGGTACACAGGTTGTCTGCTCGGCTGCTCGGCTATATCCGAACATTCGCCGTGTTGTGATCATGTCGAGCTTTGCCAGTGTCTATGATGCAAGCCTGGGTCTGCAGCCAGGGCGCGTTTATACCGAGGATGACTGGTGCCCTTTGGCCTATGAAGATGGCGTCAACGCCTCCATGGTGGTAAGCTATTAGCCAAAGATTTATTATTGTACTGGTTCTCATCAAGTCTAGCCTATTGCCTATCGCGCTTCCAAGGTTGTTGCGGAGCGTGCCGCTTGGGATTACATCCGTGACAACCCAGTTCAATATCAACTGATGACTCTGTGTCCTGGAATGGTATTTGGTCGGATAATCCACCCAATTTCCTCTCTTTCCCAACTCAATGCTAGCAACCAGATTATCTGGCAGGTGTTGAACGCAGGAAAGGATGCCGAGGTTCCACCTACCAAAGCGCCCGGTATGTTCCCTTTCCGAAGTGATACGCATAAACTTACTTTTGTTCTTTTAGTCTGGATTGATGTCGAGGACCTAGCAGAAACAAGTTTGAAGTCATTGATCTTTTCAGGAACTGGAAATGAGCGATTTTTGGTAACACAGGGGTCTTATGATACGCAAGAAGTCGCCGATATCATTCGTTCCGGAGTCCAGGACAGGAATCGTGCTCCGGTGGGTGAACCTGGAAAGCGCATTGCCGATACACACTACTCGTGTGATTCATCAAAAGCGCAAGAACTGTTGGGAGTGAAGTTCCGAACACTGAAGGAGTCGATCATCCCATTGGCACATCAGCTTTATGAAATGGAGGGAACTTATACTAGTGCTATTTAATGATCACAGCATAGCCTTCAATGCAGCATCATGTACGAATGAGTAATTCATAATAAGAGATCCATTCAGGTAGCCCAATTATAAGCATTGCATAGAAATGCAGGCATGGGGCATACGTATTGCTAAACTTTCGTCAATTTCAACTCAAAGAAAGCAAAGGAAACTCAATGCGTAGTTGGAAGAAAGACACATAGCTATATTTCCTTCCATTGCGGAGACAGGTGCACAAGGCTCTCATTTTCAGACAGGATAATTTAAATCCACAGAACAACACACTGGGGTTTGAGAGCTAGCAAATATCAATCGATATATTGTTTTATACATATTCAGCGTTTGCTTGTTCACGAAAATACAGGGAGCTCTCGTTCAACCGGAATATTTTATCTAAGACATGAAAAGAGGAAAAAAGCCATTGTATTTACGAAATTTATTGAGCTGACAAGTTTTATTATCGTATCATTCGTGCAGCGTATTCTTAATATGTTCAGCCGTCATATCAATAAATTCCTTAGCCTGCCATAGATCTGAGAGTGTGTTAGCATAGAAGAAGGACGTGGAAATAACATCAATAACATACCCTTATCCATGTGCATGAACGGGTGGGGAACACCCAAAAACCGCTTCTGGATCACCTCATTCCCAGCCTCGATCAACTTCCTAGCATATGCCTCGCCTTCATCGCGGAGAGGATCGCATCCGGCAGTATAAATCACAGTCTTGGGCAGGCGTGTGAAATCAGGCGCATCGAGCAGATTGGCATACCACTTGACGGCACCGAGTTGTGATTCTCGGTTAGGACCATCGGCATCGATGCTTTGCCATTTCAGGGTATCGAACCACTTCAGTCGCGCCCAGTTGAGTGTTGGCGCGTGTTCCATCTGTTGCATCGAGGGCCAGGGGGCCTCGGAGGCGGATTTGTATGAAGCGATGTTGTCCACAGTTGGTGTGCCGACAGCAATTAGTTTCAGAGGAATCTGACTGTCGCGGGCGAGATGGGCGCATACTAAGGCGATGTTGCCGCCTGCTGATACGCCACCGAGGGAGATCCTCGTAGGGTCGATTCCGAATTTTTCGGCTCCTTCTTTGTGGATGTACTGCAGCGCTGCGAATGAGTCTTGAATGCCAATCGGGAAAGCATTTTCAGGGACAAGACGGTAGTCGACATCAATGACACACACGTTGGCCTTGTTGCAAATATGTTTCAAGATGTGGGACTCTGTATCGAGATCACCGAGGCCCCAGCCTAGTATTTGTGTCAGTATATTCCAAGTCTTATCTTCAGTTGACTGACCTCCACCATGAAAGTCTACATGAACGGGCCATGGTCCAGGTGTTGCAGGCTCATAGACTCGAACTGGAATCAGATCTCCGTTGTGGCCCGGAACTTGAGCATCATAAATGCGTGCACAGTCAGGAGCAGGGCCGGTACCATATGAGTACAGAACCGAGTACTTTGTACGAAGTATGCTCAGGTCAATTGGCCCAGAGGGTGTGTTTGCAACATTATCGTTATATAGCTGGACGAACACAGGGTCCAAATGGGGCAGAACCGAGGGATGAATAGGGTTCAGGGCTTCGTGCGACATGTTTGGAATTGTGAGATGATCGGATCGTAGAAAAAAAATTGTACTCTGTCGAAAGCTCCAATTGGCTTTATATTGTCTGATGTTCCAATATCCGATCTGCTCGAAGCTGTTCTCCGTCGGCAAGCTGCGACGGAACCCCGCTTCTTATCTAGGCGACGGGCTCGGAAGGGAACAAATACGAGAATAAAGGCAAAAGGCCAGAAGTTGGTTATATGTTCGTCGCCAGGCAATTATACCATTGTTATATTCATTACACATTGCCAATTGACTCCATCGGTCAAAATAAATTTCCAGCACTCCTGGGTGTACAGCTTCGTCCAAGTCCGAGCATTTAGTCCTCTACAAACAACGCCATGGATCCTATACTGATTGTCGGCGCCGGAATTGTTGGCCTAACACTTGCGCAAGCATTGAAAAAGAAGGGAATTGCCTTTGAGGTGAGTGGAATTCGTAGATGCCTATAATCACCCGCAGCTAATTCAACCCGGTCTAGATTTACGAACGTGATGTGAACCCCGAAGCCCGTGGTCAAGGATGGGCAATCACGATCCACTGGGCATTAGAATCTATGTTCAAAATGCTGGACGAGTCAACTCTATCGCGCATTCAAGATGTTCAGGTGGATCCGGATGTGGCCCGGAATGACAGCGGCAATTTCCTCTTCATCAATCTCGAGACTGGAGAGCCGAGATACAAAATCCCACCTAATGTCCGATGGAGAGTAAATCGCGAGAAGATGCGGCGTGCGCTGATGAATGGGATTGAGGACCATATTCACTGGGGTCAAAAGGTCACCGGCCTCAATGTACCGAAGGACGAAAATCAAGTCCAACTTCTACTTGAGGACCAAACGAATGTCACAGGAAGCCTTGTCGTTGGTGTTGAGGGTAGTCGTTCTATAGTGAGGCAGTTCCTCCGGCCTGACGCCTTTGACAATCAAAGCCTTGGAATCAACTTCACAGGAGTCGCCGTGGATCTGACACCAGAACAGATCAAACCGCTGCGCGAAATGGATCCACTATTATTCCAAGGCTGTTATCCACCAACCGGAGCCTTCTTTTGGTTCTCAATGCTCGAAACACCACAAGTTAATGGAACAAAGGGAACGCATGCAGAGCGATACCGTGCACAGATTTGTATGTCCTGGCCGGAGAAAGAAGCAGATGACAAAGTAGCGAGCACTGATGAGGCTCGTCTAACCAATATGAAAAACCGGGCACAAGGATTCGTGCCATTCCTACAAGAGGCAGTTGATCGGATTCCTGCTGGAACCCCGGTTACTGAAATCAAGCTAGCAGATTGGGAGTGTCTCCCTTGGGATAACCACAGTGGTCGAGTTACACTAGCGGGTGATGCAGCGCATGCGATGACAATGTGTAAGTATATCTTTCCGGCGAATTGGAGAGATACTGACTTCTTATAGATCGCGGGGAAGCCGCAAATCATGGAATTCTCGATGCATACCGTTTATCGGAGGCTATTGAGGAGATCCATCGCGGGACTTCAAAACCGTCAATCGCAATCGATGGATATGAGAAGGAAATGAGAGATCGTACGAGTCGTGCAGTTCTCCTTAGTCGCCAAGCCTGTAAAGATGCCCATGACTGGAGCAGACTGGATGAGACATCAGCAATACTGACGAAGCGGGCTGTCGTCGCGATTTGAAGATTTTATGTGATATATTCCGCGTCTTCCGAATACAGAGAAATAAAGTTCAAGAAAAGAATGATATACAAATGGAATTGAGTGCTTATAAGATGCCAATTTTATCATGCATTCCCTGCTTCAAGAGATGATCTCAATTGACAAGCCCTCCCAAAATAATTCCAGTATAGAAATCAAGATGAATCGATAAGAAAGTCACACAACCCCGGATAGAAAAAAAATTTAAAGCGCAATCATGCCGACACCCGCTAGGATAGCAGTGGCCAGATAGGCACCAATCTGGAAGGAACCAAAGGTGACACTGGAGTGAATGCTCATAGCACCGCCACTGGACGAGGTAGAGGTGCTGGAAGAGGAGCTGGAGTCAGCAGTAGCGGTGGCTTCGGTGGTGACAGTGCCGGTGCCCGCAGAACCAGCCTCCTTCATCTGTGCGGAACAAGTACCGGTAGCGCTGGTGGTGGCCTTGGCGGTAGCAGATCCATCGAAGCTACAGGCAGAGGCGACGCGATCCTGCGCAACATAGTACTTGTTCAAAGCGAAAGCGAGCTGCTGTTCAGCAGTGCACATGCTGTAGGCACCATACTCGCCAGTGGTCGCGTTGCGGTCGACTCCACCGCAGTCGGTTAGGCCGCAGACAGTGCTGAACAGCTTGGCGTACTTGCTAGTCGAGAGATCACTGGCAACAATGCAGCCGGCGGAATCGTACATGCACTCACACAGATTGACGTCAGCACTAGGGGGCAGGGGAGATGCCTTGGCCGACCAGTCGGATCCAACTGTGGGGCAGCTTTGGAGAGCGGTGTTGGTGGGAGTGTATGATGCCTTGTTAGTACCAGTGGGGTCGGCGGTAGCGATGTGCTTGGAGTAAGACTTGAAGTCGGCCATGGTGCTAACACTAGTGCTGTCGACGACGGAAACCAGACCTGTATGATATCATGAGTTCAGGTTGCAATTTTCTTTTCGGGAAATGACTTACCATAGTTGTTGGTCTCCTGGAAGTACATGTAGACGATACCACCAGACCAGACTTCAGCCATGGTGTCGCCGTACAGAGCAGTCACCTCAGTGAACTGACGAGGAGTGACATCGTTGCAACCATATTCAGCGAAGAAGACGGGAACGGAATAGTCGCGGAACTCCTCAGTGCGAGTGTTGTAGCCGGATTCTGTGTACGAGGAGTTACCGCACCACGAGTAGATGTTGTAGCCCCAGAAGTCAATGGTCTCGTCGGAGCTCTCGCAGTCGAAGTAGTCGGCCATGTTCTCACGGATAGTGGACACATCGGCGGTGGCGTATCCAACACCCATTGACCGGTAGCCCTTCTGCTTGATGTACTTTTTCATATCGCGAACGGCAGCCTTGACGAAGGCACTGGCATCCGAGGTAGCGACGGTGTTGGAAACCTCATTGCCAGCAAAGAAACCAATAGTGTTGTTGTACTGAGACAGCTCATCGATAACGCTGGTGTACCGGGTGTAGAGCGAAGTTTCCCAGGTAGGGTCATTACGGTCGATCGATTGCGATGGGTCAGAGAGGTCGGAGATCAGGTAGATACCGGCCTCTGATAGCAACTTCATACAGGCGGAGTGGTCGGCTGAGGCATTGATGGCGTAGGTACGAATCACATTGGTGCGAAGTTCCTTCATGATGGGAACGTCACGCGCACAAGCAGTGGCATCAGCGAGAGGGTCAGTATAGCTGTCTCCATCGGCAGTTTCTACGAGATGTTAGTTGATAGTTTTGTAGACTGATGCAAGTGACCAACGTTGATAGGCAACACCACGAAGATAGCTGTGACTCTTGTTAAAATATCTTCTGAGATTTGATATGAATAGTGACTTACAACTGGGTGTCGTTGCTGGAATAGAAGAACTTGGAACCCTGTGCGCGAGTCTTAGTATTGGATATATGGATGTCTCCTAGACAAAGGCAGTACCTTGATAACAATAGGATCCAGATCAGCCATAGCAGAGCCGACAAGAGTCGCCAGTGCCACCAAGGAGAACTTCATAGTGAAAAGTTGTGCGGATCTGTCTGCCGCAGGTGTGTATAGCGAGTGAATGAAGTTGGATAGAATTTAACAAAAGGCAAAGATCAAAGAGAGTCAAGATCTGACAAGGAGTGAATGACGAGCGTTTGGTACGTCGCTGAAAGAGGAGACAAGACACAAACAAGAGGGATCCATGGTGGCTTGACGTCCCACGGCCATTAATAGTCCCAACACAGTCACTAGATCAACCCAATTCGCTCCTCTCCCCTGAAATCAAACGGGACGCGTATAACTGACCCAACTCGAATCCACATTGGGTTTGGCTAAGTGGCTAGTGGCCAGCAGTGAGTAGCTTTGGGCTACTGGCGCCCGGATATCAATTTTACCTGGCCGGGGTGGTTGACCGCGTCAACCAACATTAGGGCTTGGGATAGAGCGCATCGGTCAATCAAAGCCGAACGAATAGCAGGTCGTCTCAGCAGAGTTCCACTCACTAGGCGTTTCTTGGTTTCTGCACACTAAACTAGATCTGGCTCTCTTGCTAATGGGTGTGTACCACGTAGCGTGTGCGAGAGACCTCCTGCCAACTCGGGACTCACATGGAGGCAAACCCCAAGACAATGTCTTTCACTGGCCTAATAATAGTTGAGATGGTCGGCTGGGTAAATATTATCGAGAACTAGCGAAAAGTGAAAATATTCACAGGCTGACGCGGTGTGGTGGGGCGTTTTGCTTGGAATGGCGCCGGCAGTGCGTGTCCTCCGCCTGGATATCGCGAACTTCTGTTTTCTGACTAGGATGGCTAAAATTATTCCACGCTAGGAGCAATGAAGACTAAATCGACTTGAGGCGTTGCTTGGTTCTGTTATGGAGAATATCGCAGCCAAACACATCTCGAAGCTGAACCTCCGACCCTCGGACTTAATTTCTCCGCAAGGTAAGGTCCAATCCACTGCAATGAATAGGCAAGAAAATAGTTTTTTTTTTCAAATTTACAGATGGGTGGGCCATGGCAAATGCTTAACTTGTTTCTAGGCAATCAAGCAATGGAGAAAGGTTCCATGGCTATACCTAGTTAGATATTTGAGCAACTAATTTATTTTTTTCGCACTTGTATACTTCGAAGTCGCCTATCAACAGTAAGCTTAACCCAGATCTACGTGTAGATCAGATCGGTAGTGTGAGATTCTGTCTCCTCAGTAACCTATCAAAACCAACCCAGCCAGAGTACCAACCGACTCGGCACTGTAAGTGGGTACATCAAACGCAAATGTTATCTTAGATCTCTCCAAAGTTATCCAGTGTATTGATTGGGGGAGGGTTCACTTTTTTGACTTTGAGTTCGATAATTCAGATCCAAAGCTAGTCAGTTCTATGCCTGATCTCAACTCTCAACTCAACCCGCAAAACCCACCAATGGAACCCGGTACCGGTGAATCCATGCCTATTGGTGACAGCGCTGCTTCTGTCACAGTTTAACTCCGGCTTTGGCCGGCTGTACCAAGCAGATCGCACTGGCCTTCAGCATTTACGATATTTTCTCCAAATATTTGGTTGAAATGAAATAGCATTGAACATTGATATCTCCGTGACTCCATAAGATAAAGCTGAATAATAATACATGAAAACCCCGTTTGCGAATTGATTTTGGCATGAAAGCGTTCCTTCGTTTCGATCTGGCGTGATTTCTTTGGCCCCGGTCCCATCGCTCACATCCTGTTCTGTTTCCGGTGTGCGTCAATCGCTGCGTCGAACGACCGAATTGTGTCTAGGGGACGCTCGAGACGACTTCTGGTGGGATTGGAAAGATCGGGGTCCGCTATTGTCAGGTTAGAATGGTTGTCTGCAGGAACAATGGCTGACTTTCACTTACAGATGAGCTTCCCTTCGCGGTCTTTGTGCTGAATGCTTCGGAGAGAGAATTGAGTGGTTCCTGGTTGGGTATTGACAGCAACTAGGTGGGGTTAGTAAGAGTTGCAAGTGGTTCGAAGGACTAGGCATACTGGGTTGCTCTTCATATAGGGCCATGTTGGGGTCGGCCTTGCTCTGTAGTGAAGACTTGGGGCTGTGGTGCGACTTGACGGAGCCAGAGCGCTCGCTAGAGGAGAATGAGGCAGGCATTGTAGATATGATTTGATTTGTACGAAGTAAAAAGATGTGTATTCAACTGTACTGTATGGCAGCTAAGACTTCAATCGCAGAATCCCGGGAGGCGAATGGGTCCTATATATAACCGACGGATCCCTGTCAGCTGTCAGGCACCTCTAAGAATAGATCTGAAAAGCCAAGATCACGCAACAAGTGGCGAGATTGATCATGGGGCCGATCCCGATCGTCAACCATGGGTGACTTGCATTTGATCCAATTCCGTTATGACGTTGGAGTCCCAATTCAGGGCTAACTTTTAGCAGAATGCTTAGTATGCACCCTGACCAATCTGAACGCTTCGTGCCTGGGAGCCACGCAAGCTCGGTGGCTGAAAGGTCTCGCCCACTCCAGGCACCCACAAACGATGCTCTGATCATCCGCTTGAACCCGCGTTACATTGTGATTGTGCACCTCATGCAGGTACTCGTAATTTACTTGCGGTTTAGATTCAATTGTGCATAATAGTGACGACACATGTCTCGAGTGGGCATAGATCGCCGGTTTCAAAAATGTGACAGAAACAGACCCCCTTCTTCTGCCTATCGGCCAATCATAACCCTAAGGGCTGAGATTTCACATGGTTCTGCCCTGCAGGGTCCTGGATGCCATACACTCAATCCGAGGCCAAGAATGTTGATGCCATGTACCTCGCATGGTTAGAGCAACTCCGATCAGTTTAGAGTTATCAACGCATCAACATGCTCACTTTATAGAATGTTCCTCAACTTTATTCTAATTCCATAGCAAACACAAACGATACATCTCACAACAAAGGGCAATCAGCGAACCAGGCAGCGCAATTCACCTGATTGGCGCACCAAATTGGGGCCGAGGATCATCGCAGCCAACACAATCGAATTACTTCAGTGCGATGTCACAGCCCCCTATTCCGGCGATAGAAATGGCCGAACCTGTCGATCGCCGCATTTGAAACAGTGTCCCCAGCATTCCAGACATCGAACCTTCTGTTTCTTTCGCTGACAAGTCCGGAATGTTCAGCCCCTTGGGGAACCCCAGCCATCGGGAGGTCGGGGATTGGGTCATAATTACGGTACATGCACATGCATGAACTCCGCAAACAGAGCATTGGCGAAGGGCCAGAGTACTGTAGTGTCTCGTTTGATTGCCATTGAAATGCCTGGTGTTATCGGTGGCGTTTTCCAGATGGTACTCCAGAGAGGCTGGGTGGTGGCAGGTGAAGCACGAGGGTGTGCGCATTGAGACATGGTTGCTCAGACTTACAATGCTATTATTCTACAGTACTGTAGTTGCCATTGACCCAAACCACGAGGATCCGACCAATTTGTGTCGGTGATTGAAGCATCACTATAGAGTACGATGACCAGAAGTCTTTACATGCTATTGCGAGTGTCTTTTGTCACTGCAGCAATCGTGGGGTAGACGGGGGATTACTCATATCTTGAACCTCCAAACTCGGTCTTGAGGGGTCCACTGATTTCAAAAGGTCTTGGATCAAGCTTCGACACTTTTGCGTCCCCCTCCTGCGTACCACGACTCTCAACCACATTTGATCATGTAAAAGAATGTGAATGCTAAATGAACGCGAGGCCTTTACCTCCATTGTTGCATTTCTTGTTTGTGATATGGATGAACTCAACACGCCCTTGTGCGAGCATCCTGTCAGATTCTCCCGCTTTGCACTACCACATCGCGGTCGCTGGTGTCCCTTTCTGGTCCTGGTTATGTGTTTCACGTGGCCTCTTGAGGAATTGTATATGCCCCATAGGTATCAACCTTTGTTTAAGCGACGAGGCGATGAACGTTGGTCTCCGTGTTCGCCGCGTTTTCTCTGTTCTGCTTTCGTTCCGGATTCTCTTGTTCCGGATTCTCTTGGTATAGGGCGGGTTTCGCGATGAGGACAGTGACGGGCTAGTAAGGTTAGTGAGCAGAATGCATCGTCCTCGAAACGTTACTTTCGACCAATAGCTGTGGTTCCTTGCTTTGATACCAGGCAATTAGTGATGTTTTGAAGAGCATTACGTAGTGAGATGAGATCCAAGGTCGGAATGAAGGGGTCGAGCTGGCGCTCAATGTGGGAGGCGGTGAGCGGATGTGGATGTACCTACTAGTATGGTCAAGTATGGCCTCATAGCGATACTGTGATATCGCATTACTCTACGAATACACTTTTAAAACGACCATGCCCAGTGTGCAAGTTAAGAAGCAAGTTGGTTGAGTTAATTTGCTTAGATTCAAATTTGATAAAATTGAAACTGAGTATGTACAACTAAGTTTGCGTTTATATATAACGGTTGGTTCAAGTAGTCTAGACTTGTATGTCTATTTAGGAAATCGAAAATTATCCTTTTGTCGAAATTAGTCAGTCTCCCACTTTAACGAAGCAATAATTACCATTTTCAGCCTTCAAATTGCCATGAGCGGTCCTCAAGACAGATTCTGGTCCGATGGCCAGAACCACTGCGGCCCCAGCGAAAACCCCACCACCAAAACGTATTGCAACGTCTAGGATTGGGATCAACTTCAGATGGTCAAGGTCAAAGGCACCGCCAAGTTGTTTCCGCCCGAAGAGGACAGGGAGCTCATAATCTTGGTGCAATTCGCTGATTATCTATCGCCTGAAGTTCGCGCATCACCGTCGACGACGACGGGCTCCTTACAGGAGTTTCGACAGATGTGGAAGAGGACGAAACTCCATTTCTTGCACATATTGCCTTCTCACTCTGTGGATCGCTCGCAGACTGCCATAAAATTCAGTACTCTAAACTCCAAGAGCTCGATCGCCTTGGACCGTTTGTTGATCTTGTATCGTACGAAAACGAATGTGGGGTTCCTCAAAAAGTTGCCTACAAGTCCTATGTTTCGAATAAGCCTCTGAGACTAGAAATGGCCTGGGATGAACCCGATATTCTCAAAAGTCTACCGCCACATCCTAATATAATACCATTTGATCGCGTTGTGCTTGAAGACCAGGAGTCTTGGGTGATTGGGTTCATAACGAAATACATCCCAGGTGGGACTCTCGCCAATCCAACGATCCTTTTTCGATTTGAATGGCTTCGAAAACTTACTCAGGTCGTGGATTTACTCAACCTAGAGCTAGGGATCATGCATCAAGATATTGCACCTCGGAATCTGCTTATCGATCCTTGCACACACAACATCGCTCTCTTCGACTTGATAGGGCTGCATCCTGAAAGAAACGCCTATACGACGGTCGAGATGACGTTACTAGTGTCGTCTTCACGCTCTACGAGATTATTACGAACGATACATCATTCTCGGGTATACCCCACTCGGAACGAAATATAGACATGGTGTAAAGTATGTCAGAGTGGACCAGTAATCGTGAACTGGACTCCGAGGTGTGGGAATTTCGCAACCTTTTGAGCGAATGGGTAGCAACACAAAGTTTCGGAAGAGATATAGAACGATATCTCAATGCACCACACAGACTTACATGGCCGGACCTACCAACAGCGCCCGATTATAGTGTGCCGTTCGAGATGGGAATTATGTGGGATGAAAAGCCAAACTGGATGAAGGGTCACCGATCTAGATACACCGCAATGAAGATGGGGTAGTATTGCTTTCGCTGGGAGCGGCCACCACAGAGCTGCTCTTTGATCAAAGCTGAACAAAGTGTAAAATAGTCGACTTTGGAAAGCTACTATGTGCGAATCGACTCTCTATTCGATTATACGGTGCCGAACTGGTCCAAAACCCTTCGGCCATGAACAATCCGAGCAGCAATTGAGGCTGAAATGAACACGAAACAGGGCCCATTTAAGACGATGCAGGATTTGAGGAAGAGGCAGGGATGACATAGCGGAATGGCAGATAGTGCATCTGCGCGCGCTCTTTGTACCTGGATGCCTACGGCACCAGGCTTTTCTTATGCTTTAAGTTATAGGATTTGTATTCATGTCGAGCTAGTACCCAATCTCTCTTTTGAGGACCAGCTCTCTTTCTGCGTTGTTATCATGCGTACGGTTAAGTTTTTGCTTCAATTAAAACAGAAGCGCCTGCATCGCCATTACGATACTAGTTGGGCTGCAACAGGTTAGTTGAATTTTGATTGATTGATTGATTGATTGGTTGATTAATTGATTGAGGTATAGTGCGATTACTTGAAACCAAAAAAGTCTGAAGGGGAAGAGTCAGAGTCATTCACCTTAAACCCATTAAAGCCATTAAACCCGTCAATACCATAATTCCGACAGCATGACATTATGACCAGTCAGATACCCCTGTATCTGATTTAGTCTCCAGGCTTCATACTTTGGAGGCGAAAGATGGGAACGGCACCTCCCGTTCTATGTCCAGGTGGTCCATATTAAGCTACATTATCACTGACCAATCACAGCGTAGAACGGCACCGTCGATTCCCATATTCATCTATGTAGTCATATACCCATGGACAACGTTGCAGGTATACTGTAGAAAATTAAAGGCGAAAAGTATTTATACCCTACACTGAGACGACTTTGTATTGAATTCTCATCATATTCATTCCCTTCAGCCTCTCAGCAAAATGCCTTTCTATAACTCTTACCCAGGCTTCCTCTATCGCCAGTTCTTGGTCTGCCCTTCCAAGGCCCCATCCACCACCTCCCTCCGCGGTAAGGCAGGTATCGTGACAGGATCTAACACTGGCCTGGGGTATCAAGCTTCCGTCCAGCTTCTTGGCCTTGGACTCTCCCATCTGATTTTGGCCGTCCGGAGCATCTCCAAAGGAGAAGCTGCCCGAAAATCCCTTCTCGCCTCGCTTCCCGCCTCTGCTAAACCCCCGGTGGTCGAGGTCTGGGAGCTGGACCTAGGCAGCTATGCCAGTACAGTCGCTTTTGCCGAGCGCCTCAAGAAGTCCGACATTCAAGTCGACTTTGCTCTTCTCAACGCCGGTGTTGCCAACTTCAACTTCACCATCAACCAACCTACCTCTCACGAGTCAAGTATCCAGATCAACTGGTTGAGCACAGCTCTCCTGACTCTTCTGTTATTACCCATGCTTGATCAACAGGCTACCAACAACCCCAACCGCGCTCGCCCGGTGATTTCCATCGTCGGCAGTGAGACAGCCGCCTGGGCCAAGTTCGCCGAGGCTCATGTATCTACCAAGCAGGGACTTCCCCTCATCGAAGTCTTGGATGAAAAAGCCAATTTTGATATGGGAGATCGTTACTATACCTCCAAGCTGCTCTACCAGCTCTTCTTCCTTGAGCTGTTCCGCAATCGATCCAGCGCTAAGCGCTCCTCGGGCGCCATTCTTAACCTGGTCAACCCTGGTTTCTGTTATGGTTCTGAGTTGCACCGTACAGCTGAAGGTGCATTCGGTCAGGTTCTTGGTGGTATGAAGAGAGTTATTGGTCGCTCTGTATCCATGGGCGCTCGTACCCTGGTTCACTCATCGGTGTTGGCTGGCGAACCCTCTAATGGCAAGTACCTCAGTGACAACAAGCAGGCTCCATTTGCAAAATATGGAGACAGTGATTCTGGTAGAATCACACAGGCACAGGTGTGGGAGGAGACAGTATCCGAGTTGGGCCCTGTGGTTGACATGGACAAGCTGTTGTCGCAGATTTGATTGATTCTTGTGAAGACCTTTGCTTTCTTGATTTTTGAAGTCTTTTGTTCTGTCTAGCTTTGTGCTCTATCTACCCTTGGTCAGATTCTTCTTGTCTTTTATGCTTACCTAGGTAGTCTCCTATAACTTAAACTTAGTTCTAATTGGGATGCTGACTAACATTCCCAATCCCGCCTAGAGCACATGAGTTATCGTGATTCATCAACATTTTGAACCGCGTGAAGCTGACTAGTCATGATTACTGTGCCCCTCAAATGACCTGAATAATATCTTTGATGATTGCTTTTTTTGTAGGTAATCATCATCATGCCTCCGACCTCAGTAGATGGGCTCACTCCACCCGAGCTATTACATTATCTGCCTGCATATCGGGTATTGATCTGTCGACGTTGCAGCTACGCTATCCAGCCTGGTGCAGTCGCTCGCCATCTCAAGGAAATCCACCATCTTCATCATTTGTCGCGTCGAGCATTCATCGACTATGCCTCTAGATTTGAACTAACCCAAGCCGTTGATGTTGTCTTGCCCGATGAAACCCAGTTCCCAGTGCCTTTACTGCCCATACAAAACGGGCTAGCTTGTTCCTTTGCCCGCTGCGCCCATCTTTGTATTACAACTAAGCGCATGAAGCAACACTGGATGACTGTTCACCACATCGCAGCCTCTGATAACGGACGTTTCTGGGACCCAGTGCCATTGCAGAGCTTTTTCCGGGGAAATGCCTTCCGCTACTTTACCAACCCAGCGTTGTTGATGTCGTCGTCATCATCTGCCAATTCCGATGGGCTAACGAGTACTGTAAGTGAAGATGATGACCACCAGCCACTATCCATGAAACTCATGTACCCCCCTAGACTATCACAACTCCGGCTTCAAGTTTGAATCACGGAGAATCAATTTTCTCACAAATGTTGATCACAACCGACGCAGGATTACTCGATCATTACGGGAACCATACCTACAAAACCCTCTCATGCGGCCCGGAGACAGATGATGCATTTCGAATCATTATTCCCCAGCTAGGAACGCAATTTCCCTTCTTACTTCATGGCATCTTGTCCTGTGCCGCCCTCCACCTTGCTTTTATCGACCCACCCAATCGTGTATATTACACAATCCAGTCAATTCGGCACCAAAACCAGGCAGTTCCGGCATTCCGATGGGCAACTATGCACGTGGACAGTAATAATAGCCAGGCGGTGCTGGCTTTTGCATTCTTCCTCGTCGTCTACGCCCTAGGCTCTCAATCCAACGACCAACCCTTGTTTCTTAGCAATGATGACAACCCAGAAGACGCGCCTTTATCAAACTGGATCGAGATACTGCGCAACGGTTGCTCCATGCTCTGTCCCGTCTGGACAGAACTCACTACTGGTCCCTTGGCACCCTTTACGACCCTTTGGCAAGATGATCTCGGCGTCACTACCAACCCCAACGACCCGCTACTAATTACTCTACTCTCTATCACACCAGATCATGAATCGGAATCTGCTGAATGCTTTATATACCGCGATTCGGCTGTTAAATTGGCAAACGCTTTTTCATTTATCAAGAATTGTGGACCGTCGCCGAGTATTTGGGATGCTCTTAATTCATGGCCAATGCGTGTTTTGCCTGATTACCTGGCTTTATTGAAACAGAACAACCCTGGTGCTTTACTGCTATTGTCATACTATGCTGTCCTTCTACAGCCACTTAGGGGAGAATGGTTTCTGGAAGGTCGTGTCATAAGATTGGTAGATGAAATCGCACAACGATTAAGGGGGAATTGCTCGGCACAAATCTGGGAGGTGTTTTCTATGATGCAGGAGGAATATTTTTTATACTGATTTTATATGATTTGAACAATTTGTTTTGAGTGATGATACAACGTTTTACAACTAGAATATGAAGACATATATACATCTCTCGGACAGGACAACTTGAGATTGATATTGCGTGGGTCATGGGAATAGCTTTTCCGCATCATCATAAAATGATTTTGAGCGGTCAGACCAAGGCGTGCCAGAATTAATTCGAGAGGTGCGGATTATTGACTAGGCAACCCCATAGACATTGCGATACGATCAGGCCAAGCCTTGGAGATTCCTGGCGATTGTGGACCTGTAGGGTGCAACCTCGTCTGTTCTTGAGCCAGAATCATCATCTCATTGGGGTCGGTGACAGTTTGCAGGTCATGGTTAGCCGTTCCGAGAGTCAACCATGGCGATTCTTCCTTACGCCGACCTCGAATAGATACCAATACAACCAAAAGCTGCTGGAGTAGTGCAAGGGCTGAATTTATTCCGTCGTGAGAGAATTTTGCCAGCGTATCTGCTCTTGTATCAGGAATGATCCCGAAGAAAGAGGAAGATTGAGAACAGTCTTCTCTCAATGCTTGTTTAGTCTTGATGCCGGCCAGCATTTGAGATTCTAGGCCGTGCAGGGTATCTTGGCTTATCTCGATTTCTCGAATGAGACGTTCTCTGTCCGTGGGTCTAGTCTGTGTGGACGCGACAATCGCTTTGCTCCTGACGAGAAAGCCGGGGCATCGTGCTATCTCATGAAATGCATGCTCGATCAGCACGCCTAAGGGGTAAGATTTTCCTCGTCTCTTTTCGTCATCCAGAGTCTCTGGGAGGGTAGATCTCCATTCTTCATCTTCGAGAAAACATGCCTCACCTTGAGATAGTGCTTCAAATACCAAGAAGCCTCGAAAGGATAATATCAATGTGCGACCGATCCCGAATATATGGGCTTTCGGTCCCCGAAGACGGAAGAGATGGCTAATGCCCCGTGAATGTGTTAACCAGGCTTTTTGTTCTGTTGCATTGATCATTTCATATATGCCGACAAGAATGGCCGCTGCCAGAGTTGTATCCGTGCAGACCAAGTTAGGGTTTTTGATTGCTTGAATCAGATGCTGTAATGCACGTCCATACATTTCCCGACTGGCAATAATTTGTCGTGGATCGTTGTTTGCTTTGCCCAGCTGCCATGTTCCAATACTGCGCAAGGCCCAGTCGAGCGATCTGCCAGTTTCTCGTTCGTTTCGGGCTATGTCAAACCAGTTCACATCCACAAGGCCTTGGTATCCATAAAATATGCCTGGGAAGACGTCATCCACAAACGCACAAAAGCTCTCTCGTTGACGCTGGCTAAGAACTCCAGCAACTAGGTAAGGGGATATAACCTCGTCGATTGATCCCTGTCTCATCATAGCGCGGCGCTGCAGTTCATGTGGATATTTGGCGGGGGGACGATTGGCCGAGGCGATCTCCAGGGAATCTGTTTGTGATGTGGATTCCGATGGCTTGGACTGGCTGGCTGTGCCGTATTGGTGGTAGAACTTCCGCTCTCTTATATACCCAGGACATATCTGTCCTCTTCTTTTGCAAGACTGGCATTCTGGCTGGGTTTCATCACACTGCGGTTTCCGTGCATTAGTTTGCGCCAAGAGAACAAGAAAGAGGGTATCATACTTTGACCCGCCGCCGGAGACAAGCCAAACAGCCTTTGCTGCGTGGTACACCGACCATCGTGGCTCCTGAACGCAGAGTTCAAGCTGCACTATGTGATTATGAGGCACAAAGGGGGAAATATGTTGAGAATACGAGACCCCGCGGCTCAACCGTTGCCGTATCATTTTCTTCCCGCGTCGAAGGCTTTGCGGGGTCCCTTGGCGGCAACAATTGGTGCTCGTTGCGACCCGGTCAATTTAGCATTTTTCCACGAAATGGATGGCTGTGTTCTGACGGGCTGTCAAGCTTCAAGAGGGCAAGCGACCTCTTCATTGGTCCTATTCAAATTATTGAAGCATCCATAGAGTATTGGATGTTTCGATATTGCAAGAAAATGCCACATGTTTGTTAAGATGTAGACTGGTGTAGCATGCCCACACGTCCAGGCGAAAGGGGGCGATTGTATGTTGCGAACCAGACATATTCATCTTGAATATGGCACGGATCTTATAGTTGAATCTCAATCCACTAACCAAGGATTCAAGTCAACATGAAGCAGAACCGCATGCCATTCATTTTCGAATGACTTTGACCTGGTTCAAGACATCGGGAGCGGCCAAGAGAAAAGAGGTAGCGGAGCTCATGCTCATGAACTCTGGTAATCAACCAGCATCATCGAGATACAATGACTGGGACTTCAGTAGAGCAATTTCTCGTGAAAAAGGAAATAAAGGGAGAATGGTGTTTATGCTGCACGGCGTGCATCAAGGGCAAATTACCGAATCACGTGTGATGACGTCTCTTGATCAGACTGGCCTTCTCATGTTTTTTTTTCGCTCTTCTGATCTCTTCTTGTAGCTCGTATGAAGATTCAATAATGGACAGTCCTCAGAGAGTCTTGCGTTGTGTATGACTCGTGGCTATGGATGCTCCTCGGCCGTGAGCATATAGCCGACTCGGCATTCGATGAACCCGAAGCTTTGCCCCACGCGTCTGAGCATCAGGAGATAGGCCCTGCAACGGCATATTTGAAGTCCCTAGTTCTTTGAACAATTGAAAACATCATATATTCAACTCTAAATCGATCATGATAACACCTCTCTCCCTCTCTTGTCGGCCTTTGCGCCTGGTCCAGCCTGCGAGATCTTCATACATTACTTCGCGGCTATATTCAAGTCGCCCAGGAGGCCGTCCTCTTCCTCTTGCTGGCGTGACGGTAGTCAGTCTTGAACAGGCCATCGCAGCGCCCTTTTGCACAAGACAACTTGCCGATCTAGGAGCACGTGTCATCAAAGTTGAACGACCTGGTGTCGGCGATTTTGCCAGGCAATATGATACACGAGTCTCTGGACTAGCATCACATTTTGTGTGGACCAACCGCAGCAAGGAGAGCTTAGCATTGGATCTCAAAGATAATAATGATCATGCCGTTCTCATGAAACTCCTTGGCAAGGCCGACGTTCTTGTCCAGAATCTGGCCCCAGGCGCCAGTGCCCGACTAGGTCTATCTCATGAGAGTTTGAAAGAAAAGCACCCCGGTCTGATTGTTTGTGATATCAGTGGGTACGGCCAAAATGGCCCGTACATGAAGAAAAAAGCGTACGATCTCCTCATCCAGAGCGAAGCAGGTATGCTGTCCGTGACTGGCACCGGAAAGGAGCCCGCGAAAGTGGGAATTAGTATTGCGGATATTTCAGCGGGAATGTATGCCTACAGCAATATTCTTTCAGCCCTTCTACAGCGTGGGAAGGATGGTCTGGGTTGCCATATTGATATTTCTATGCTCGAGAGCATGGTGGAATGGATGGGTTTCCCGATGTACTACGCTTTTGAGGGTGCACCCGGTCCGGTACCGGCAGGAGCTTCACATGCCGCAATTTATCCTTATGGTCCATTCGAAACCGGAGATGGATCCGTCATGCTTGGCATTCAAAATGAACGCGAATGGCAAAGCTTTTGCACAGCAGTCCTCTTACAACCCGATCTGGCCACCGATTCGCGCTTCTCGAGCAACTCTATGCGTGTTCAAAATCGGGATGACCTCAAGAATGCCATTGAAGATGTCTTCTCAAAATTAACATCGGAAAACACTATTGCTCGGTTGGAAGAAGCGTCAATTGCCAATGCCAATGTCAATGATATGCAGAATGTATGGGAGCATGCTCAGCTCAAAGCCCGGGATCGTTGGACTCAAGTGCAGACTTCTGCCGGTTTTGTTCCAGCTCTTCTGCCTCCTGGGTCAACTCAATCGGCCATGGGCCCGGTTCCAAAGGTCGGAGAACACAATGAGGTCATACTTGCGGAGTTGGGCCTGGCTTGATGATCTATGTACAAATAGAATCTAGGAGACACAGAATATTACATCTTAGGTCTTTTTAGAGTTGGAAAACATGCACCGGGTAGGGTATCAAATTGCGAAGAAATATGTAAATTCTGACTATAGAAATCGGTAGAGGAACTCGAGGTTCTGCGGGTTCAAGTGATCCGGGTTTGACAAAGAGCCCGCCATCCCCATCACATCATCCCCCTCCATGTTCAGCAGCTCATACCAATCCATATTTATTGCAGCATCTTCTGCTGGGTCTTGGAATGGCACTCGATTTGTATCTGCCAACAAGGCTTTCTGTGAATTGGGCGACAGCAGTCCGTATAGGCCACTGGTTGGCGTAGCAAGGGAGGTTTCTGCTGGGTTTGGGGTAGCGTCAACGCGTGACGTAGATGGTGGAACTGTGACGTCCGCCAGTCGAAGATCGCGGGCTGTACGGTCATCTAAACAGCAAAAGAATAGATCAAGGACCCAGTTCTCTAAATCCCAAGACTTCTGTAGTTCTTTTAATCCAAGAAGGCAAAGCTTAGCTCGATGCTCTGCCAGCTTGCGGGCCGTGCCAGTAACCCGCCCGAAGTGAATGGTATGAATGCACAAAGCCGAAAAAGTGTGCGTTATTCTGCCCGAGTCAGTTCAGGCCTTTTGGAATATTGGGACCAACGCCGGAAACAACTCACAGATGAAGCGACCCATGTTGGACTAGGTTCTCCGATAGCATATCTTCGAGAACACGCGTGCTTCTTGTTGCAGCATCCAATGCCATATTACCCTCTGCGCTTGACGATCGTCCTGGGGGCTGCAGGAAAAGTGGTCTATACAGAAGTATATACAGATTGCTTTATCTGTGTTAGCCAATCAAGTCGCTGAGAAAAAGTCAGAACAGTCATACTTATAGGCCATATGGAGCATGCCAACAAGAAACATGACTTCCCTATCCATGGGAGTTTGAAACTGCAATTCCATTGGAAGGTTAGACTCCCATTCAACCAACCGTTGATGAAGCATCGGCCTAGCTGGATTATCCAACTTTGAATGGCCAGGTAAATATTGGCTGGAGACAATTTCTCGTACTGATGATCGAGCATTAGTGTTTAGTGCTTGGAGACCGTAGACAGCTTTAGGAAATCATACATAATCTTGCCAGCTGAGCCAATCCTATCACATACGGAATATGAACTTTCGGGGGTGCTCGAAATATTTCGGATTGCTCAATAGGCTCACTATCCTCAAAGTCCGAGGCTTCAAGTTCGGCTGTTTGACAATCTTCATCACGTATCCGGGGCGGTAGTCCTAGCGCTGCAGATGTTTGTTGATCCCGAACCTGTAATTGAATTAGTTCAACCGCTCGCATTCAACAGGAAAAGTACGAGAATCGTACATATAGAGCCCACCAAACTCTTTTCCAAACTTTCTGGTCTTTTGCATTTAAGAATGACAATTTGGACCTATTATGTCAGCTTATACATACTCATTCAGTGGTTCCAATTCGTTGCATACATGACGTGCATCCCTTTCTTCTGCGCTAGCCCAATCGCAGCACCAAGCCAGAACCGGACATCTCGTTCTTCGGTCGGAGTTCCACGCCAAAAACTCAACAGAAAAAGCGATTGCAATCGGATAATCGTATCGGTTTCCCATCCTGAATCGTATATATCTTTTGTCCTTTCGTAAAACTCGCCTTTTGCTCTATACCTATCACGAAAACCAGCAGATTCCAAGGCTGTATCCGAACATAGGCTCACTCCAATGAACAGCATGGACTGCAGCAACAAGGGTGACAGTGTCCCATCTTGGTACCCCTGTTGCACAGATGCTCTGTCTAAGATCGGGAAACACGGATGCAGCCAATCAAAGTAAGCTTGAAGAAGTGTGTTACAGATAGCAGGTGCTGGGAATATCAAAGCCCCTTCGCGGGTAAGGCGATCATGAAGTAGCTTACGACGAGGGGCAAGCGAATCGGCGCTACTCCCAGGTGTGCTGTTAATCTCGGAAATTGAGTAATGAAGTCTTGCTTTTTGAATGGTGCGAGCATAGCCTTTGTCTGGGGATCGACGACCTTCATCCACAACGCAAGTGAGAGGGCTGGATTCGCCAAGAAAGACGGTTTTCTGAATGGGATCATCTGTTGTAACCTGGTGAGAAAGCGGATAATTTGAGCGTTGGATCAATGGAAACTGTTTGTGGGTCATTTGGACATCAGGGCTTTTTGCTGCGCTGTGAGTTGGCGTAGCTGATCGAGCCGATCCCTTTTTCTTGCGGCGGGGATATCTGCCGATCAAAGTAAGCACATACAATCTAATTAATAATTCTATACATACTTCCCGCGCCTGGATTCTCCAATTTCACATGAGAGATTCCATGAGACGCAATTTTGGCAAGGCTGCATGTCAAGCACATTGCAGCGCACGCGACGGGAGTTACATGCTAGACACGCCTTCTTTGCACGCGTCCGCCGCCGGTCGAGACTTTCGGCTTCCATCTTGTGTATGCAATTTATCGAGTAGTCGGCTGTTTCAATGGGATGTTCATGCTAGATGAGCGAGGGTTGTGCTTTTCTGTTCTACTCTGCAGCAAGATTGTGGGGCTTCGGCTTCTTCGGTTATATGCCTCGGTCTTTTGCCACCGCTGATCTCATGTTTAACGTTTTAAGCTTGCAATGTGTTGGTTCTTAAATTCCATCTGTTTATATCCAAGATTTGAAGTTATATATTCAGTCGTGCAGGGCGCAATTCTTTTCATGGATGATGCGTGCTTTCGCAAAAGTATTTCCCCAGGTTTGCTGCATGGGTCTATAATGTTTCTACGTTTGGTACCCAAGCAGTCCGGTTTGTTACGAGTCACATGAAAAATGGCTACTGTAATTCAGAAAATCAAATCAATTCCTGTCTTTCAGGGAAATTATATCTATGGTACAACTGGTCAGTTCTTGGTTGGAAGTTTGAACAACTTCTTAACGAAGCTCTTCTTCTCAGATCCCTCCTCATCTCGAGGAGCATAAAATCTCCTTGTAGAATCAAGGTTGATATCTTTCAGGGCCTTCCATCTTCTCCCGCGGTAGTAGATCTTTGCACCAATATAGAGAATCACAATGGCTACCACAGAGAGGTAATTGGCGAAGAAGTTCTTGGCACTAGGTGAGTCGCCTAAAGGAGACACAGCCAGGTAGAACTCGATGATGATCAGAGCCACACACCAGAATAGTCCCCAATATGCAGCCCAAGGGAAAGCCCATGACTTCCATGGCAGGTCCTCTACGGAGCGGCCTTGGGCCTTCCATGCAGCTCGCATACGGATATGAGACAGGCAGATCATGCCCCATCCGAAAAGAGTGAAGAGGGAGGTTAGGTTGGAGAACCAACCGAACACGTTAGCACCGCTGTTGCTGACATTCAAGTAGGCAAGACCTCCTCCAATGATCAAGGTAGGTGCAAGACCCCACCAGGGACGACCCCAACTATCTGTCTTTTGCAAAATCTAAAGATACGGGTTGAATATTGTTAGTAATGCTTGGACAGAGAAAGGAACCGACTAACCTTGGGGCCCATTCGCAGCTGTGCAAGACCAACTAGTACCCTAGATCCGGCGTATCCAGAAATTCCACCGGTGGACAGAACGGATACCAGAATGACAGCGTTCATAATGTGAGCCAGCGGAGCCACGCCAGCGTTCCTGTACATGATAACGAAGGGACTGGCATTTGTACCAGAGCCACCGAAGAGATTTTCATCCTTCGGACTGACGTTAATAGTAACGATCAAACTTCCTAGGATGTAGAACAAGCTCAATCGAATCCACATTGACTTGACGGCCTTGGGAACAGACCGCCGGGGATTGCTGGTTTCTGCCGCGACAAGTCCGGCATTTTCGGATCCAGACAGAGCGAAGATACATGTAGGCATGACCGAGATGAATCCCTTGAATCCATTGATGAAAGCCATCTCGTTCCAAAATTGGAAGCCAATGGTGCCGTGTGGTCTCGCTGGATAACCCCCCAAGGGGCCACCACCAGCGGACAGAACGATTCCGGAGATGATCACAACAAAGATAAAACCAAACTTGATGGCGGCAGCCACGACTTCAATCTCTGCAAACCATTTGACCGCTCCAACGTTCATCAAGACGATGACGAGCCAGAAGATAGTGATCAAAGCAGCGGTGGGAACGGCACTTGTCCAGAACCCGAGAACAGTGATGGCTCCTTGTACCTCGTTCGCGATGGTGATCCAGTAAGAAAACCAGTATGCCCATCCCAGTGCGAAGCCGGCGGATTCGTCGACGAATGTATTGGTCCATTGTACGAACTAGCGGGAGGGTGTCAGTAGAGAGCAGGCCATGTGAGACAGATTATTCAACTTACAGCACTAGGAAGAGGATACATGATGGCCATTTCTCCGATACTGTGACTGACACTCCAAATGATGGTTCCGGACAGCAAATACCCCAAGAAAATGCCAGCCGGACCAGCATTCTTCAACGAAGTTCCAGATCCCAGCCAAAGGCCCATGCCAATGGACGAGGCAAGACCGATCATGCTGATATGTCGGGATCCTAGCTGGCGTTTGAGCCCAGAATCCGCGCCATGGTCGACCACATCGTAAACCTCTCCTATGATTGTCTCATCGGTGCTTTTGTCCTGACCATTCTTGGTCTCGCCAACAGACTTTTGAAATGATGGGTCTGACATTGTCCCGGTGGATATGAGATCCCAGGCAATGAGCAAAAGGCGAGAAACCGATAGTAGATAACACTCCCTGCAATTGCTGTAAGGAAGACTCAGGGGAATTCAAACTTATATACTATGCTGTCGGTGCCCAGCCGCATAGCTGGGCAATACATGATCATTTGATCCAATTAGCTTGCTTATCTTGGTTATCAGTTTCATGGGTTTGCCCAAATAGGAAATTAAGGCTATCTTATATCGTCTCTGCTCATTGGACAATGAACGCGATAACCATAATCGCCAAGGTGGCCACCCTTGGAATTGAGCTTGTTATCGTGCTCAGGCAATCCCTTATGGAGACGAGCCTACGCCCGGTTAGAACAGGCTATCAGCCTATTAATATGTTGTTGATTGGGTTTCACCCTGGCACGACAGCCCCGTACTTTGCCAAGACGCCGCAGAATACTACCTGAGTGGATAGATGTCAAGGATAGGAGTGGATGAAAATGGCGTGTGAGATCCCGACTACTGTACGTGTTGGGGGCAAATTGATAGAGGCGTGCGAGATTAGTACGCGTAATTCAGCCCCAAACAAGTGTTCAGCGCCGAAGCAGATTCGGCCAGAGGATCCATCGTCGATGATGAAACCGCAGATGCAAAGGGATATCAAATGACGATGATCAGCTATTCTATAGTCCAGATCAAAAGCTCCAGAAGAAGGGAGAGAACCGACGCAGGCAAGTGACATGGTGGCTGATAAGGAAACAAACACAGCCCTATCTGGTAGGCGGTGGGTATATGCAGAACCACCGGAACCTGCTGAAGCCAACGTGTATCTAGTCAGTAGATCATTTATTTGGCCAATCGGCACGTGCGAGAGTCAAACCGGGCGAGAAGTGCGGCCAAGATCAAGGGTCTTGGCACCCCGTGAGTTCATTGGCAAGATTGGTTCTCTTCGGAGACCCCGAGGACAGATATGATTCTATTTGTTGCCGCCTGAACAGGCCAAGACGGTCAATGCTACGAATGATATATGTGCTCGCCCTCAGATACAAGTCGAAATATGAGCCAGTAACACCATAACAACACGCTTCCATCCCAAGCCTCTTGGCTGTGGTTCTGCCTTTACCCAGGCCTTTATTCCAATCTCCGATGTTGGCATGCCGCGCCAGACCCCTTGGCATATGACCAAAATGGCGAAGAAGGTCAAGTTGGACGGTTGGCGAGCTCCTTGGCATGGATTGGCAGTTGTGAAAACTTCGCTCTCATCCGCTGCGAAGGCCGATGAGCTGACTTGATCACTTTCCACATTACACTGAATGCGTATCCCCTTCAAAACTGCATGAGTATCGCGGAAGCTTCAAGATATCCAAGTCGATTCAAAGGTCCATACAATAGGGATAATCGTGATGCTGCGCCAATATCTCACAAGAATCGTTGGCGGGAGTCAGCCTCTCACCTATTACCCCAGAAAGGTTGCTCACTGGATTGCACCTCCTCCTAAGAAATCAGATGATGACCGTGATCAGTGGCCTTCTCGAGCAGCTTTCTTGCTGGCCGCCATGGGAGGCTGTGCTGGCCAAGGAAACTTGCTGCGATACCCGTCAGTAGTCTACAACAACTATGGACTACAGTGGTTTATTCCATATTTGTTGGCTGTCTTTGCAATTGCCATCCCAGCCCTTATTCTGGAAATCGCTATTGGACAAGCCTATCGTGGCGGGGCGGTGATCGCGTTCAATAACATCAATAATCGATTGAAAGGTGTCGGCCTTGGTCCAGCCATTGTCAGCTTTGTCGTCGTGCAGTATTTCACGGTCAACTTAGCGTGGATTATGAACTATTTTCGCAACTCCTTTCACAGTCCCCTACCATGGGAAGGCCGAATAGAGGAATTCTATATGGGCAATGTTGTTGCCAATGTTGACCCCGTAGTGGGAAGTCTCACTGCAGACAATAGTGCTATTACAGACTACACTTCTTTCCCCGGCGTTTCCTTGATCGGTGAGACGGTCGGCTGGAGCGCCTTCATCTGGTTTCTCATTTGGATATCCATTTTTCGTGGTGTAGGTCTGACCGGCCGTGTGGTATACTGGACAATGGGTTTGCCGATTGTCACAACCATTATTATCGTTGGTCGTTCTTGTTCACTTGAAAATGCAGGTGAAGGTATTCGACTTCTATGGGCAACATGGAGGGGTGACCAACTTGCCTCGGGGACCGTTTGGCAAACTGCAGTTGGACAGGTCTTCTTTTCCACTGGAATCGGCTTTGGATATTTCACTTCATATGCTTCGTATAACTCCAAGCACTCCAATGCTGTCATGGATGCGATCCTGATATGTGGTAGCAATGTTTTGTTTGAAAATTTTGCTGCCTTTGCCGTATTTGGCGTCATAGGCTACCTTCGACGATGGCCACAGGATGGTGAGCGATTAGGAGCATTTGTGGTTGGCTTCTTGACACTTCCGGAGGCTGTGCTTCACATGCCGGGCGCGAATTGGTGGGCTATTCTTCTCTTCTTCACACTGGTGGTTCTTGGGTTCAGTTCTGCCTTTGTGATGCTTGATGTGGTGGCTACCCTAGCTGTGGACGCTGGCGTCAAACTGTCACGACCAGTAATTGTGACTGGACTCACAATACTGTCATTCCTCATGTGTCTGCCATACTGTACCCAGTTTGGATTCTATCTACTGGACGGCATCGACCGATGGATCAACAACGTGGCTTTAATATTTGTTGTGTGGTCAGAACTAGTCGGAGCTACAACGGTATATCGGTGGCACGATGTGGTGAGCCAGACTGGCTTTCCAGCTTTTGTTCTCTATAATTTCGGATATTTTGGTGCTCAAATTCTCGGAGTTGCAGTCGCACACGGAGTTTCTAGTCCAGAAGCTGGTGCCGGTGCAGGGTTTGGGCTGTATATCTTCTGCTCAATAGTGTCAACAGTGGTGGCTACGACTCCCAACATCAAAGCTCCCAGCTTCTGGGGACGAAGTCTACTTCTCAGTCGATTTTGGTATTTAGCTTTCTACTCTGTATGTCGCGCTGAGAATCCGTCCGTGAGTTTTGGACATTAACATCCACAGGGAAACCAGTTGAGACGCGACTTGAACGACGTTGTAGGCGGCAACGGAAACTGGAACATTCCTCGTTTCTGGCCCGGTCTCCTCCGGTACATCAGCGCGCCTATTCTGGCCATTGTGTTTAGCTTTGCATATCCTGAATTCTACTCCCTGCGGTATGATCCAATGATGATTGCAGGGTTTGTTCTGGCACATATGTGCTTGTTCTTGATTTTGCTTGGTGTGGTGTTACCGCGATACTACAATGTTTTCATTCCGGTCCATCGGCGGGGCGAAGGAAGCGAAATTACGGTTGTCAGTCAGCCTAAAGAGCAGTTTGTAGACACTTCTGCGTTTGACATTGAGGGGGGCATTGCGGGTCTAGAGCCTGTGAACATAAGTTCCGACCGGACAAGTTCCGAGAATACGACAAGAAAACACGGGGTTTAGTCTGTGATCCTGGCTTCTATACCGGTCGAGACAATCACTTGTTTCAGCTGTCACTTTGCTATCATACATCTCACAGAGCGTAAATTTCTCATATCTACCTATTCGGTGTTACATTTGTCAAAACATCACGTGCGCATTGATATAGAAAACTGAGCATTTAATAATATACTAGTCTTATGGTACGCTCTTCCGATGCACGTGAATGCATTCCCATCTGGAATGAAGAAAAACCTTCCATGATTAACTTACCTCTAGGGACCAAGTGTATCTAACAATGGGTGTTCTGACACTCGAAACCCCGGACGGCAAAGCGCAGACGGACTAGAAGACAGCGGAGCTTCCCGCTCACATGATCGGGGTAACCCCGATTCATAAACTTTATTGGTGACGACGCCAGTCAATCAACTTGTGCTAGGATATCCTCCGATGCCAGATCGTCAGGGACTTGTGGTAAGACCTCAAGACCGGTGTCTTTCCCGGCGGGTTCATCCGCCTGAGCTGCATCATGAATTTCTGGGGTGACCGTCCGAGAGGAGATCGCGTGACCGGACAATAAAGCATCAAAAAAGATCCAATATAAAGATAAGAAAGCTTGCGAGATGGTTTCTCAACGCGGAATTCTGTTTGGCATCTTTGGTCAGGTTATTCATCTACATTGTCTACCATGACATCAGCAATCTCATCTTTGTTTGGGTATGCACCCAAAGTACTTGGGATGCCAAAGCCTGCCCAGGTGCCCCCAAAGGCTCTCCCGGCTTCTTGGTATTCCTCACCTGAAATGTATGAATTAGAACGACGGGCGATCTTTTCCAAGAAATGGATCCTTATTACACACAAGCTACGTTTCGAGAAACCGGGAGACTTTTATCGATTCGAGGAGGCGGGCTTCTCTTTCTTCCTTTGTCTCGACAGGGAGGGAAAGCTCAATGGATTTCATAACATCTGCCGACACCGCGCCTTTCCCCTGGTTTCTCAAGATGAAGGTAATGCCAAGATACTCTCCTGCAAATATCATGGATGGTCATATGGCATGAATGGAAAATTGACCAAGGCCCCACGGTTCGACGGCGTTCCAGGGTTCAAGAAAGAGGAACAGGGACTTTTCCCCGTGCACGTCCATGTTGATGACCTAGGGTTTATCTGGGTGAATCTCGACTCCTCCAAGACACCCATCCCTTGGCATGAAGACTTTAAAGGAGTCGATACGCAAGAAAGATTCCAGAAATATGACTTTAGCCAGTATAAGTTCGACCACACATGGCATATGAATGGTAATTATAACTGGAAAACACTTGCGGACAATTACAATGAGTGCTATCATTGTACCGTTGCGCACCCTGATGTGGCGAACCTTGCAGATCTCTCCTATTATTACACAGTCTCAACGCCTGGACACATTCAACATTTCTCTCGACCGAAGGAAGACAAGGTTGATGCCGATATTCAGAATGCGAGTACCTATTACTTTCCCAATGCTTGTATGACAGTTTCGTAAGTCAACACCCTTGTTTATCTTGGAGAATTACAAGGGAAACTGATTATCGAACAGACCTCATTTCTTTTACATGATGCGATGCGTGCCAACTTCGGCGGGCACCTGCTCCATGGAATACGAAGTCTACCGTCACAAGGACGCTTCTGACAAGGACTTCGAGCACATTGATGGTTTCTTCAAACGAGTATTAGACGAGGACAAGCATCTTTGCAATGCTGCTCAGAAAAATTTGAATGCGGGTGTTTTCGTGAATGGACAGCTTCACCCGGAGCTCGAGAGTGCACCACTCTTCTTTCAGAGCACTGTCAGGCGTCTCCTAGGAATTCATCGCGATGAGGAAAAGCGGCATAGAAAGGAAATATGGCCAGCTCGACAGCATTCGGCCGGCTCGGCTACCGCGGAGGATCTAGAATTTTGCTCTGGGCTAGCATGCGGTGAGGGTTCTGATAATTTAGAGTGGTAGTTCATAATCAACAAAGTATTTTACAGAGTGGAGCTGCCGGTTTTCAAAGTTGCAACAAAAGTATGCCGGGCCACAAAGGTTTGGAGATAAAGGGTGGGATCAACTCCGTATGGCTACGTGGATGTGGAACCAAATAACCCCGCACCCAGCCTATTTAAACGCATCTAGATACCGCGATATCATTTGCATTCCCCTGTTGTCGAATATGTCTCTCACAGATGGTCGCGTGAGCAAGAGATCTCATCAAGCCTGTGAGAATTGTCGGTGAGTCAGCGACTGGCGCAATTCCAAGGTCTCCGAAGAATATACATCTGACGGAGAATGAACAGACGGAAGAAAACACGTTGTCCGGGAGAAAAGCCGGCTTGTTCAACTTGCACTCGTCTCCATCAAATTTGTCAATACAGCAGAAATGTCGACTCGATGGAAAGACCCCCGGGCGGAGACCGAATTTTGGTTTGTTTCGTATCTGGCACGAGTCTGGTGATTCATATAACTGACGATACATTCAGGAAGACCGATTACAGAATCTCGAGGACAAAATAGAACTGATGCTGGAGAGATCAATGTGAAATCCTTGTCCTTATCTTGAAAAATAGACTAACAAAAACAGAACTGGCAACCAGACTGGTACGCCAAAGTCTTTCTCCTGTGAAAATATACATGCTTCAAAAGCATCGGAATCCCCGCCAAGAAAGACAGACCCCTCAGGCTTTGCGAATCATCGAGAGAAATCTAGCGTCTTCGAAAATGTTCCATCCTTAACTATGCCCCCTGCTGAGGTCATAGTTGAAGCATTCGGTCTTTATCGCCAGTATTGCCACAAGCAGCCCCTATGGCTTTTTGATGAAAGTGATCTCCTTACCCCAGAGTTATGCTCACAGGAAATCATATTCGGTATACTCGGACTTGCTTTACGTTATTCGAGCAGTCCCTTTGTGGAAGGACGAGTGGATGAAATATGTCGACAACACAGTGAGGCAGCCCGTGGCAACATCATGCTTCAAATAGCGCGCGGAGCCGTCCAGCTCTCCACAATTCAAAGTCTTTGTCTGATAGCGCTAGCAAATTTTATTGGTGAGTGAACTACTTACTACATATCACCTAGTCGAAGGAGTTAATACCCAATAGGCGACGATGTGCGGATGGCTTGGCTACATATTGGGCTTGCAACAAACCTTCTCAAATGTGGAGGACTCGATATTGAACAGCATAAGGATACGCGCACAAGTGTTATAGAGGTTCACCGAAAGTTGTACTGGAGCATTCATTTCTTGAACCAACAGTATGGACCAAGGAACATGCAACTGGATATTTTGCGCGACATTGGGCGACCGACATACATGGGGGTCAACCGATGTTCTATGCGAGAGATGGGAGTTTCTCCACCACAAGCTCCAGAGGAACCAGGAGGCCCAACGCACATCGAAGGGATATGGATATACATGGTGCAACTGTCCACGCTGTGGAGTGAGGTGCAGAATTATGTTTCTCATTGTGCCAGTGGCGATCCGACACCTCCTTGGTCACTAGAATCAGGTTATTCTGTCATTGGGGCACATCTCATGAACATTGAGACCAGATTTCCCACTCGTCACAGGTGGGACTCTGTTAGGTTCATGGATCACTCGAAAGAGGCCATACATCAGAACCGTGGCTATTGGAGTCCCTGGGTATATCTTCAATTTACATACCATGCTATACATAGCGTGTTGAACCATCCATTCCTTTATTCGTGGAGACCACAACAGTCTGCGCAACTCGCGATCCCAAACACATTTTGGAAGACCTCGTCGGAACTCGCTCTCATTCATACAACTTGGACAGTTCGTCTCATTGACATGGTATCAGAAAAGGATTATCAAGTCTCTGACCCTTTTCTCGGTCACCTGGTAGCCATATCTGCGACAATTCATCTCTATTATTGTCGAGCAGGAGATCCGTCAGTCCGGGAGTCTGCACATAGTAAGTTGGATGCTTGTATGACATTTCTAAGCACACTGGCGGCCAGGTGGCCAAGCTGCAAGATGATAGTAAGTCTGGCTCTATAATTGCTCGTACTCATCGCTGATAATATACCAGCACCAAAAGTTAGAAAAGCTTCTTCGTTTCGCTTTCTCCCCCAGTCCAACTTCAAGCCTGCAAAATATACCCAGAAGAACTATTTCTATCAATACTGCACTCATGTGGGACATACTTCTACAAGGCTCTCCAAAACCCTCATCGACTTCACCAGGTCGAGGTCTTTTCAATGATGCCTTTTTTCAAGATACTGAAGAGACAACCAACGAAAAAGAAACAGTTGAGACGGAAATATTTCATCATTCAACGAGGACTGTCGACACATCAGACGGGGGACAAGCCTTACCGCCATATTCGAGTGTGGCAAATTGCCGGCCTTCTCCAAGAGATTCAGACAATGATACTGAGCGGATAGCAGACCAAGAATCGTCTGCCTTGATAAATAGCGATGATTACCACATCTCGTCCTTTCCAGAGTCAATGATGTGGCCGGGACCTGGTTTTCGTGGCGATGTGTCTTTGATGGACGTAAGTCATGATCCATTTTTCCAGTTTCAGGACCACCAAAGTCCTTATCCAGGAGTTTGGGAGATTGGAAACCTCTGATAGCAAAACAATAATGCTTAGTTAACGACTACCTTTCGGCGGGGGTAGTGACATACATCTGTAATGCTTCATTTCTTCATTTCTTTCGAGCGAGCTTTCCGTTACTTAGAATGAGATTACGACCGATGTCTTTGGCACATGCATTTCTTGCGGGTAATCATGACACCATTGCAATTCAAGCGGCCTTTCCATTACAAAGTTATATAAACCGCAGAGTGCACAAACTTGATCAGGTAGATTATAATGTACGATGATAGAAAATTCAAACAAGATTTCACGCACAATTCTGGTATGGACCTTATACCGTTGCACCTTCGTGTACTTAAGTTGGCTTCGCTATTCACCGTTTAACACTTCTTTGTGTACGCTCTGCTGTATGGCGGTTATGGTTTGAAGTATAGTTGTTCGAAAACGAATGAACAACATGTTATTTGTTTATATACTTCTCCTTCCACGTGATTCAAGTGGGAACATTATCGACAGTATACCACACAGGCCAAGCAGAGCAGCACATACATAAATGGGAATTGAACTTGAGGTTGATGTAAATGCTCCGATGAGGGCAGATACCATTCCCATCAACCGATTCAATGCAACAGCTATACCGTTACCAGTTCCTCGATGCGCTGAGGGTAGAATCTCGACTGTGTAAGCGTACAAAGTCGCGTAGTATATGTTAATGGTAACCGAAATCGCACATGAGAATCCAAGATTTTCTGCGCTTGTGCGCACAGATGTGTAACCGAAGAAAAATGCCACTATAAATACTGTCAGATAACTTCATATCTCCGAAGAAGATTCAATCTTACTTGTAGCGAACGCTCCGAATGCCATTGTCCGCTTTCTTCCCAGGAAAGGCACTTCGCACATCCCCGCTGCGATTATGGGGCCTGGGATTGCACATAGATTCGTAATCGCATAGTTCCTCCAGGTCAAGTATTGAGATGACTCGCCCGTAGATGCATCCCGAGATGCTAGGTATTCCGGTAGGTAAACATAGTACAATGCATATCCGAGGCCGATGAATGCCCAAGAAATCCATACTAAGGATGTTGAGAATGCCATCTTCTGAGTCGCGAATAATTGTCGGATATGTAGAATCACCTCGGAGAAGGAGGCTTTGCTTTGTGCATGAGCGGTATTAATTCGACCACAGCTTTCAAGCCGGTCAATCGTTAGGTTGCATACTCGACCATGTTTCTGTGCCAGATCTTGAAGTGTTCTGACGACACCCTCGTCATCCCCTTGACAAAGAAGGAACTTTGGTGTCTCGTGAAAGCGTATGACGAGAACTCGAGCGATGCTCAAGATGAAGACGAGAACTCCGCAGGTGTAGAATAGGTATCGCCAGCCCATATTGTTTGAATTATTGCACGGGGCAGAGCCATCTGTAGGGCAACTGTAATTTGCTGTCTTCAAGTTAGCCAAAATTGAGTTTCAGAGCAAGAAGAGAGAAAATACCCATAAATCCCCACGCCACAAGACCGGCTACCGTTTGCCCTACACCCCACCATCCAGCTAAAAGAGTCAGGAGCCATTGCTTGTTAGATGGCAGGTATTCCAAGAAGACAGTTGTATCAAGCACCAAATTTCCACCAGATCCAAAGGCCGAGATTGCAACAAAGGTTGCCCATACGGCATAATTGGGGGCAGCCCCGGCAGTTATGGCGAAGATTGCACTGATCAACAGAGAGAAATTGAAGGCCCATTTGCGCCCGATTACATCTGCTGTAGTACCCCAGAACAAAGCTCCAACTAACAGTGCCAAATAGAAGCCGAGTTGTGCACCTCTTGTAAATTTCGGGGGATATTGCGCGACAACTTGTTCGGCCGAAATACTCATGAGGAACAGCAGTAAAGAATCGACTCCGTAGCTGATCATAGGGGGTCAGCAAGTGCTTTACAATGAAACTGGGTTGGGATTTTAGCTATACGAACCCAAACCCATTGAGAAAAAAAAGCTTCGCATGGTAGCGTGTGAATCCAATTGTATCGATTGTCTGCCTCAGTCAGTAGAGTTTATGTGGTATTTTCGGAAAGGACAGACATCATTGACAAGGTTCATTTTAGCAGCGAGCGCCAAATCTACTTGATCGAGAGAAATGACATCTCCTTGTCCAATTGAGCTCGAGTCTTTCGTTGGCTCATCCTCGCGTCTTGCCTCGGGCTGTATAGCCCCAACACTATCGGATTGAATGGCCATTGTTACGGAACTTAAATGCAGTCATTCAAAGTGCTTTAGTATCTTCAATTGACAGAAGTATTGAGAAAGATAATTGCAGAACGACAATAGGGATTCCATAAGAGAACATAAAGCATCTTTGGCGGCTTTTATAGCCATTGAGCGGCTTATCAGGTCGATCTTGTCTTCCAATTGTTGAATACTTGCTTCATGACGCATTGTTCTCCAACTCGAAATACAGTACCCAAATTCTTCTCATGTCGCTGATACTACCCCTTTCCGGGGCTCCTGATTGGAAAGGTGTATCTGTGGATCTGGATTAGGAATGCGGGCACGAATGAGAAGTGATTTGGATTAGACTAAGTTGTCGGCGATTTGAGTCCACGGTGGGGGTTTGATGGAGGGGTTGAAATGGCTGTTTGGTGATTGTTGTTGATAAGCAACTCCCCGCTCAGGTGACCGGCGCGACGGCAATTGTCGAATATAACGCCAGGAGTGCTCGAGCGGGGTAAACCAGGGATGGCGTTATTTAAGTTTGCATCTGTCAGTGTGTATAATACGTCCTGTAATTGGAGTCACCACTTACTCATTTCTATTGTTTTCCGATATCCCATCTATAACCACCAGTGGTCACAGTAAGATATCGTCTAACAAAGCGCTTTGACGAGCTTATTCACCTACACCACCTTGCCCAGGACTAACACCACTCCTGATGTGCTTTCGATACTGCTAAAGAGGTTCAGTGCCGCGTGAACAGGACTAATAGTCAAACGATCGTGTAGAAGGAGAGCAACAGGAAGTTCAAACTCAACGGAGTATTTATCTAAGTATGGGATTGTGATGCGATCTGGATTAGATAGAAATCACTGCTAAGACGGGTTAAATATTGTGTGTTTTCATGGTTTTAACTAGCCGCCTTGAATCCGCAAAATCAGAAGATTGATGAGACAGGCCTCAAAGTAGGCCAATGGTAAACATCATTAGGTAAGTTACTGGACGAAGTGAAGAACTTGGCCAGAGTGTTCAAGTTCCATTAGAGAAGGTTCCTTCACTGGGTTGGTTGGTGTCTCAGAGCTCGACCGCTTTGAAGAATGTGTAATAGTGCCCTTTCTCTGGAGTATGTCAATAATCTCTTGATAGCCTGTGAATGAGGCGGCCTGGAGAGCATCGCCGAAGCGGCCGCCTTGCGCGTTGATCTCCGCTCCGTTGTCTAAGAGAAGTTTGACAATCTCTTGATAGCCTTTAGATGAGGCGGCCTGGAGAGCGTTGCCGTAGTAGCCCCCCTGTGCGTTGATCTCCGCTCCGTTCTTTAAGAGTATTTTGATAATCTCTTGATGGCCGTAAGCTGAGGCGACCTGGAGAGCGTTGCCGTAGTGGCCGCCTTGCGCGTTGATCTCCGCTCCGTTGTCTAAGAGTCTTTTGATAATCTCTTGATGGCCGTAAGCTGAGGCGGCCTGGAGAGCGTTGCCGTATTGGCTATCTTGCGCGTTGATCTCCGCTCCATTGTCTAAGAGAAGTTCGACAATCTCTTGATAGCCTTTAGATGAGGCGGCCTGGAGAGCGTTGCCGTAGTAGCCCCCCTGTGCGTTGATCTCCGCTCCGTTGTCTAAGAGAAGTTTGACAATTTCTTGATAGCCTTTAGATGAGGCGGCCTGAAGAACGTTGCCGTAGTAGCCGCCCTGCGCGTTGATCTCCGCTCCGTTGTCTAAGAGTATTTTGATAATCTCTTGATGGCCGTAAACTGAGGCGGCCTGGAGAGCGTTGCCGTGCTCGCCGCCCTGCGCGTTGATCTCCCCTCCGTTGTCTAAGAGAAGTTCGACAATCTCTTGATAGCCTTTATATGAGGCGGCCTGAAGAGCGTTGCCGTAGTAGCCCCCCTCTGCGTTGATCTCCGCTCCGTTATCTAAGAGAAGTTTGATAATCTCTTGATGGCGGTAAGCTGAGGCGACCTGGAGAGCGTTGCCGTAGTAGCCGCCCTGCGCGTTGATCTCCGCTCCGTTGTCTAAGAGTATTTTGATAATCTCTTGATAGCCTTCGGATGAGGCGGCCTGGAGAGCGTTGCCGTAGTAGCCCCCCTCTGCGTTGATCTCCGCTCCGTTATCTAAGAGAAGTTTGATAATCTCTTGATGGCCGTAAGCTGAGGCGGCCTGGAGAGAGTTGCCGTGCTCGCCGCCCTGCGCGTTGATCTCCGCTCCGTTGTCTAAGAGAAGTTTGACAATCTCTTGATAGCCGTTAGCCGAGGCGGCCTGGAGAGAGTTGCCGTGCTCGCCGCCCTGCGCGTTGATCTCAGCTCCGTTGTCTAAGAGAATTTTGACAATTTCTTGATAGCCTTTAGATGAGGCGGCCTGAAGAACGTTGCCGTAGTAGCCCCCCTGTGCGTTGATCTCCGCTCCGTTGTCTATAAGAAGTTTAATGTTCTCTTGATGGCCTCTATCTAACGCGGCCTGGAGAGCATTACTGTAGTAGCCGCCCTGCGCGTTGATCTCCGCTCCGTTATCTAAGAGAAGTTTGATAATTCCCTGATTGTCGTTGACTGAGGCCGCCTGGAGAGCGTTGCCGTAGAGGCCGCCTTGCGCGTTGATCTCCGCTCCATTCTTTAAGAGAAGTTCGATAATCTTTGGATAGCCTTTAGATGAGGCGGCCTGGAGAGCGTAGCCGTATTGGCCGTCTTGCGCCTTGATCTTCGCTCTGTTGTCTAGGAGAAGTTTGACAATTTCTTGATGGCCGTTAGCTGAGGCGGCCTGGAGAGCGTTGCCGTGCTCGCCGCCCTGTGCGTTGATCTCTGCTCCGTTGTCTAAGAGAAGTTTGACAATCTTTTGATGGCCGTAAGCTGAGGCTGCCTGGAGAGCGTTGCCGTAGTAGCCGCCTTGCGCGTTGATCTCCGCTCCGTTGTTTAAAAGAAGTTTGACAATCTCTTGATAGCCTTTATATGAGGCGGCCTGGAGAGCATTACTGTAGTAGCCCCCCTGCGCGTTGATCTCTGCTTCGTTGTCTAAGAGAAGTTTGATAATCTCTTGATTGCCGTTGACTAAGGCGGCCTGGAGAGCGTTGGCGTACTCGCCGCCCTGCGCGTTGATCTCTGCTCCGTTGTCTAAGAGAAGTTTGACAATCTCTTGATAGCCTTTATATGAGGCGGCCTGAAGAGCGTTGCCGTAGTAGCCGCCTTGCGCGTTGATCTCCGCTCCGTTGTCTAAGAGAAGTTTGACAATCTCTTGATGGCCTCTATCTAACGCGGCCTGGAGAGCGTTGCCGTAGTAGCCGCCTTGAGCGTTGATCCTTGCTCCGTTATCTAAGAGAAGTTTGATAATCTCTTGATAGCTATAAGCTGAGGCTGCCTGGAGAGCGTTCCCGTAGCAGCCGCCCTGCGCGTTGATCTCCGCTCCGCTGTCTAAGAGAAGTTTGACAATCTCTTGATAGCCTTTAGATGAGGCTGCCTGGAGAGCGTTGCCGTAGTAGCCGCCTTGCGCGTTGATCTTCGCTCTGTTGTCTAGGAGAAGTTTGACAATTTCTTGATGGCCGTTAGCTGAGGCGGCCTGGAGAGCGTTGCCGTGCTCGCCGCCCTGTGCGTTGATCTCTGCTCCGTTGTCTAAGAGAAGTTTGACAATCTTTTGATGGCCGTAAGCTGAGGCTGCCTGGAGAGCGTTGCCGTAGTAGCCGCCTTGCGCGTTGATCTCCGCTCCGTTGTTTAAAAGAAGTTTGACAATCTCTTGATAGCCTTTATATGAGGCGGCCTGGAGAGCATTACTGTAGTAGCCCCCCTGCGCGTTGATCTCTGCTTCGTTGTCTAAGAGAAGTTTGATAATCTCTTGATTGCCGTTGACTAAGGCGGCCTGGAGAGCGTTGGCGTACTCGCCGCCCTGCGCGTTGATCTCTGCTCCGTTGTCTAAGAGAAGTTTGACAATCTCTTGATAGCCTTTATATGAGGCGGCCTGAAGAGCGTTGCCGTAGTAGCCGCCTTGCGCGTTGATCTCCGCTCCGTTGTCTAAGAGAAGTTTGACAATCTCTTGATGGCCTCTATCTAACGCGGCCTGGAGAGCGTTGCCGTAGTAGCCGCCTTGAGCGTTGATCCTTGCTCCGTTATCTAAGAGAAGTTTGATAATCTCTTGATAGCTATAAGCTGAGGCTGCCTGGAGAGCGTTCCCGTAGCAGCCGCCCTGCGCGTTGATCTCCGCTCCGCTGTCTAAGAGAAGTTTGACAATCTCTTGATAGCCTTTAGATGAGGCTGCCTGGAGAGCGTTGCCGTAGTAGCCGCCTTGCGCGTTGATCTCCGCTCCGTTGTTTAAAAGAAGTTTGACAATCTCTTGATAGCCTTTATATGAGGCGGCCTGAAGAGCGTTGCCGTAGTAGCCCCCCTCTGCGTTGATCTCCGCTCCGTTCTCTAAGAGAAGTTTGACAATCTTTTGATGGCCGTAAGCTGAGGCTGCCTGGAGAGCGTTGCCGTAGTAGCCGCCTTGCGCGTTGATCTCCGCTCTGTTGTTTAAAAGAAGTTTGACAATCTCTTGATAGCCTTTATATGAGGCGGCCTGGAGAGCATTACTGTAGTAGCCCCCCTGCGCGTTGATCTCTGCTCCCTTGCCAATCAGATCGTGTGCTATATTAAACAGTCCAAGGAAAGAAACATAGTAAAGTCGGGATCCTCGCGGAGGACCGGGGTCAGGAACCCGCTCCATATCAGCCTGATATAAACGACCCCACCGTTGAAATGTAGCTTCTTTTTCCAGGAATCTGACTGTCATCCGAACCATATCTTTGGAAGCCTGAGCCAATGAAATATGGCCCGTCAAAAGTTTTGCTGCCCACTTTGCCATCGGAAAGTCCCGCTTGATTCCTTGGTGGCTACCCGTGATATCGGTCAGATAAGTCATGCACGTCCTCGTGATGGAAATACTGGTAGTCGTAATGTCGAAATGATCCTCCTTGATAAGATACTCTTTCACGGAAAAGTGGGCAAGGTGTAGCTCTTTTCTGTCATCGTGAATGATTACCAAGCCAGGACAGTAATCCATAACATCATTCTTGCAAAACAGTCGACGCTTGATATTAAATCCTTGTGACTCATTTTGAACCTGGGTCGCTATTATTTCAATGGCGTCCGTAACCCTGAGAGGTTGCTGAGAGTGCACTAAGAATTGTAGCAGGCGTATCGCGTCACTTTTTAGATTTGTCGGTATGCTTGCGATCATGCGACGGTATGTCTCATTCAGAGTTTCTGGCAAAGATAGGAGGGCCTCCTCCATAGCTGCCTCATGATGACATCGAGCCAAGCTCTCTAATTGACAGAATGCCCACCGGAACCTAGGCGCATTATCAGCAAATTATCGATATTTCGATACATGTACTTAGTAATATCTCACATTCCATCGGCCCCGTCTCCAATCTTTGTCTGGATCTCCTGGAGAAGGTCTTGGGATAATGGCTTCTCTGTAAAGTCTCGTCGTTGGGAAAGTTCTGCTGTTACCCACGATCGGATATCAGAATTGACATCCTGGTTCAGCAGAGGTAGGCAGTTTTCTTCTCCTATCAAAGAAGGAACATGGCGCTGAAATTCAGATTCAGGTCGACTGGTATAAAGAAGCTGGATGTGGGAAAGGTCTGGATTAGATAGCATGCTGCTGATCCATATAATGACATCGTTCCTTGTTGTTGATTCATCCAATGCGTCTAGAACAATAAAAGCCTTTCTCTGTGCTGAGAGCATCTTGGAAACAATGTCCGATAGTGTTTTTGTTGAAGGTTGATTGCCTGTATTTTGATGTGCTTCGAATATAGCATCAAGATCACAGCCGACCCCGCGTTCGTAGATTTGAAAGGCGAGCGACCGCAGCATGCCATCCCATGTTTGCTTTGTGGAGTCTCCAAAGTCAAAGAAGAAGCTGAGGATAAGACCTTCGCTTCCCTCCGCGAGATGATCCAGCACAGTTGTGCTAAGAACCGTCTTTCCACATCCTGCAAACCCGTGTAGCCATAAATGCCGACTCGACCCCGAATGCCACGACTTAAAACCATGGTTTTGGAGGAGCCACGAGCCTGTCCCCTCATGTCGTAGCTTTCTCGCTTGATTGGCATTAGTAGACGGGTCTGCGGGACAAAGCCAGCGCCTGATATTCTCTGTACGGAGATCAGACCTGATAGAATCAGTTGCAGCTTTCGTCGCAACGGCCGTCTGTTGTAGGCCATCAATATCTTGTTTAACTACTCCTGGTTAGAACATATACAAATTTCAGATATATTCCAGTCTCGCGTATTTGCTGGTCTAGCTAAAGAACAAAACAAGACTAACCTGACTGAAGCACTTCCAGTGCCCTTTTAGTCTCTTGGACCTCCGCGGCCGGCACGTACGCCAGAAGCTCCTTAGCATACGCAGCCGCAGTGGCTGAGGCGTAGCGCTGCCATCGATCGTTCTTATGAGCATCGGCATAGTCGCAGATCCCTCGGATCACAAGACAAGGAAAGTGGTTCATCAAGCCGGCTGCTTCCATCTCAAAGCAGATGCAATCCTCGCCGATATCAGCAACTATCCGATCGCGCGCAGCAGCATCTTTAACAAGCGTATTTCCGGATGCGATAGTCCCGTAGTGAATTTCAGGGTCGGTATTGTCTCGAGTCTCGCGTTCAATTTCGTCAGCCGTACCGCAGTCTCGACAATCCGAACCTAGGATGTGGTCGCATGAAGCTTTAAAGAGGCGGTCATTCTCAAAGCCCTGATGAGTATAGCCAGGATTTTGTTTAGATTTCTTGCGCATCTTCGGGTTCTTCTCTAGCATTTCTTGAAGCAAGCAGGGAATCCTAGAGTCTTTCCGCTCGTGGTAGGCCTGGATTCTACTAAGCGCATTGAGAAGGACCGTCGGAGGCCGGCCGAGGAAGCCTTTACGCTCACGCTTATCGCCAGACTTTGCCTTGAACAAGTCGTACTGGCAAACCCCGCCCATTGTCCCAGAGGGCTGGCTCACGACAACGTCGCCTAGGCGGATATCGTGGTCCTCATCCGGTCGAGGAATACCACCACCTATGCCGACCAAAAGGCCAACACGAATGGATGGCAAAGAGGCAAGCATGCTCGAGGCCGTGGTCGCAGCTGACGTGAGTCCGTAGACCCCAGAAGTCAGAGAGGCGATGACGATATTGTGGTGTCCCACACGACCCCACGTGTAAACATTCGCGTCGGTTGAGTGTCTAGTGAAGCCGGTTGGAGCTGCATGTTCCTCATCTAACATCGCTTCTGCAGCGGCCCGCTCGATGGGAAGAGCAGCGATCCAGGCGACTTCATAGTAGTCAGGGCTGTCGAGGGATGCCATGGCGCAGAAGATAGCACACTAGGTTTCCAAATAGGGGGGTGGATATTGGGAGTCCCCAGTTTGCCTCTGTTGCAGGGAAACCTAGACGGAGAGGTGACTCCAGCGTAGTGTTTATCACAGTCGAAGGCCTGATTCACTCGTGATATTAGACAAATATTGGTGAACCGTGGGATGATCGAGTGAGTTGCACTTCTCTCGAATACGGAAGATGTGTGATAGCATGTTAGGCAGAACTTCATGGCCCCCAATACGGAGTCTTATGCAAGGCACACATCTCAGCCGCAGGGCGGCAAGAGACCAAATCCTATTGGTGGTAGCAGGTTGCCGCTCAAATAGATGGGGCGTGCCGTTCCGAGCCGTCGCTTGAGAACAGGCACAAGTGGCAGCCCAATTCTCACTCTTACCCCTGATCTTTGACCTTATTGCATCTCTTAGACAATTCGAGCTACCCCATAACTTACATTGTAAAGACACGAGGATGGGTAATCTAGCAGGAATATTGATATTCCGTGTCTATTCCCAATACGGTATGGTATTTCTTGGCGTTGGGGCTGGGGAAACAATGTTTGAGCGAGATGTACTCTACTCCAAGTCGTAAGATTTCCAAGGTTGTGTTTCGATGTGCATAGTGTAGATTGACATTAGGTAAATGGTATTGTACTGTTGAGACATCGGTGATGGCATGTGATGGACCAGAGCCCTTTTGGCATGAAAAAGAGCTTCTCTCTATTTCTCTCTCTTTCCTCCTTCTCTCTCCAATTCCATTCCTAGCAATTTACTTCTTCCATTACTACTTCTCTTTTTCTTGTTTTGATACCTACCGGCTGCGTATCCGAGCCAAAAAGAAGGCATCAACCACCACTGAGGCCGTAGCCGACGTGACAGTCACGATATCGTGCCATGTCATCAGCAAAAGTTCAATCAAAGAAGGCCCGCAAACGAGCATTCAAAGACACGGGGCAAGAATTCGGCCAAGTTAACGTGAACCCGACCCCCTCTGATCGGTCCAGACGGAGCTCGACGACTTCCTCGGCCAGCTCGATCATTATTCGCACTGAGGCTGAAGTCCAACCAACAAAACGGACCACACAAGCGCGAAACGGGAGGCCCTAAAACTGACCATGTCCCCCAAATGTTTTGGACCGGACTGTAGGTGGTGCTCACGCCCGTGGGATTCCAGCCGCACGAGAAATCCTTCATTCCCGTGATAAACGGAATCAACGACCTCCTACGGTCGTTGCCGATCCTGGACCTCACAGGCCTGAAGCATGTGAGCATTCGGGAAGACGGGCGGGTAGTGGAGATGCATTTTATTGACACTTTCAAGCAGATCGCAGGGAATGAAGTCACCTTCGAGGACTAAGAGGGAAATCTTCGTGTGGCTAGAGTCAAGCCCTACTACACCGGCGGTCTTACCTCATTCGCCACGGACAAGACAGAAGTAGTCACCAACAAGGAGATTATCATCAAAATTGCCACCATGATCCCCAAAGTCTTCTTTGTCATAAAGAAATGCGCATCGGGAACAAAATCGGCCCAAGCAAGAAAATCATCTTCGCGGAGCCCCCTGGCTTCCAGAAATTTTAGCTATCTACCTGTGGACCCTTATAGGACTGCGTAATCAAGTTCAGAATGGAGGACTTGACGGGACCCTGTCACTTCTGTGGAGACATCCATGCTTCCAAATCCATGCTCAATGACCTCATGGATGGAAACGACTTGAGACCTAGAGTACTACAGGCTACCCAAGGATCGTAGGATAGTCAAATGGAATCCAATGTCAAAATTCCATCTCTCAACTGTAACGATCTGAAGTCGTCATAGTACACGGAAATAGGAGGTCTCCGAAGGCACATTATAGCTACGGACGCGAATAGAAGGCCGATAGCCACCACTATAAAGTTTAACGGCGCGTCCCGCGTAGTAGCCGTCTCATGTGTTGGGACTTATGTCTTGCTTACCGACCTAAACCAAAACACTGTACTCGGTTTCGCATTTACCCTTTGCTGGATGATTGTTCCCTTCGAAATGCCTATTAATAAAACACTACGAAATACAAAGCCCTCAAGGGTGTGGTAGGTGCAGCCGGCTGATACTCTCTTTTTTTTTCGAAGTCCAACTTGATTTGTATGCTGGCGCGCGGTACGGAACACAAGTTCTTGCTTTAATCACAAAATCGCATCTGGATGGCCAATAATAAATTGTTCCAGCTGTCACAGGTGAGTGGTCCTTTTAATTAATCGAGACACCTATTCTGACTACTTGCCGAAGTTCCAGATATTAAGGGCAACTTTCCATGTGGCGTTCCCCGGATGTAAGCTATTCCGGACTATCGGCAATTCCCCCAAAGTGGCAACTCCACTCGGAGTTAATCTGATAAGATCTACCGGGGTGGTTCCCTATAAAGATCCCGAATCCCTCGAATCCTCATTTCAACCTCTTTACAGAATAGGAAAAATGAACCCAGTCAAGAACATCATTGTTGTGGGCGGATCGTTTGTGGGGCGGGTGGGTACTCCTCATCTTATCCATGAAAAAGAACACACTGACTAATGACTTCATTATAGACCACAGCCCAAGAACTTGCCCGTGTTATCCCTTCGACTCATCGGGTAAGTTGTGATCAGGCCAGTGCCCACAATTGACCAAATGCTTATTGTGTGCGCAGGTGCTTCTTGCCGAAGCTCATAGTCATTTCCACCATCTCTTCACTTTTGTAAGTCAGTATCTACAATCTGCTGTTTCTGCTGCTGACTGTATTGATAGCCTCGGTTTGCAATCGTTCCGGGCCAAGAGCACAAAGCCTTTATCCCATACAGTGGAATTTTCAACAGTGCACCAAGCCCAGCTTCTCATGGTGTTGTCCAAGCTCGAGTGTTATCTGTCAAACCTACTCATGTAGAGCTTGACCGCGATTGGCAAGGCTCGAAACAGATTCCATTCGAATTTGTTGTTCTTGCTACTGGTACACGACTCTCAAAACCTGCGGGAATGGAACATGACGACAAGCTTTCTTCTGTCGAGTATCTGCAGAAACACCAAGCCGAAGTCAAAGCCTCGCAGTCAATTATGATCGTAGGCGGAGGTGCTGTCGGTGTTCAAATGGCTGCTGATCTCAAGGAATATTACCCCGACAAGGAGGTCACCGTAGTGCAGTCACGGCCTTACGTGATGCCGAGCTTCCATCCTCAACTACACGAGCTCATCAAGCGACGATTCGATGAACTAGGTATCAAACTCATCACTGGTTCACGTGTTACAGTTCCACCAAATGGCTTCCCAAATGACGGTAGCACTTTCCAGGTGCAGCTCACCAATGGCACTACCGAGTCGACTCAATTTGTGATCTTGGCTACTGGGCAAACTCCGAACAACCAGCTGGTCAAAGATCTGGAATCGTCTTCTTCAGACACAGAATCAATTATCAACCCACAAAATGGGTTCATTCGGGTCAGACCAACGATGCAGTTCTTGAATGAAAAATACTCAAATCTATTCGCTGTCGGAGATATCGCCGACACGGGTGCTCAAAAGGCTGCCCGCCCCGGATCAGCACAGGCAGCGGTTGTCGCGAAGAATATACAGGCCATGATAGAAGGCCGGAAACCTGAAGAAACATTTGTCAAGGGACCCGGTGCGATCCATTTGACATTAGGAATGGTATGTCGGTGTTGATGCAGTGGTTTGAGATCTTTTGCTAATGAATTGGCAGAAACATAACGTGATTTTCAGAAACCCCAATGTTGCTGAAGGTCAGACGGAGCCATGGATTAACCCAAAGGATGAGTAAGTTTGTTTTCTAATCCATTGACTGCCCGAAACTGACTTTTCTCCGCAGTGGTCGAGAGGATATGAATGTGGAAGCCATGTGGGAGAGACTGGGAATATCAGTTGAAACTCCACGTGAATATCACCTGTAACAAGTTTGTTTGTATACTAGAGACATGGATACAAAATACTAGATGAGACGTCAGTCTAGGAGTGTTGACTTCGATTTTCAAGCGTCTAGCTGATCATGAGAATGGACTCGTTGACAAGAACAATTAAAGATCTAATGTAGAAGGCAACGTGTCACACAGTTATCCTGCCCTAGAACTGTGATACCGTGAGATTTGAGATGTGCAACCTCTGGGTGTGTTGGGTACCTGGGTCTGACTTGAGCTTCTAAAATGGTGTTGTCTAGCTAAGCATTACCCCTGTTGAAAAACGGAAGAAGGCGCACATGTGCTATTGTATTAGGCGAAAATGGAATCGCTCAAAGATTCCTTCAGGCGGGGTGCCAAGTGACCGTCTTCGCAAGAGGCCCGCCTCGGTCATAAGTTACCAACACATTATAATGATCGAGTGCCATGATTCCAGGCCAGAAGCTAGAGGCGGGTGAGACAGGCGAGGCTTGAGTCCATTGAATACGTCCTTCTTGCGGTCGCCCAGCAAACACAACCTTAATAGAAGCATTCTTCACCCATTCTACGTGTTTAGAGTCTTCATCCGTCATGAAGACCACAGCCAGTGACCCATCAGCAAACGATGCAATCTGCGGCGAACCAGCGTTGTGGCCCTGACGTGGATGGTAAACCTCATGACGCCAGCCCCAAGTTACGCCGTCGTCATATGAGAGAAGTGCTTCAACGTTGAATTGGCCGTATCGAGTGGTTTCAAAGACCATGACCAGAGCCTCACGGCCATTGTCAATGGTTCGTGCAATTCCAGTCATCCCATCACGAAGTGGGTCCTGGTCACCATGAAGACAGGTCGGTTGAGTCCAAGAACTTCCGTGGTCCCGGGAAACGACGAGCATGGTGCATTGATTGTTGGGGGCGAACTCCTGGGAGAAATACAGCTGAACCTCACCCTGACGATTTAATCGCATGAATGGCTCCCAAATACCCATGGGAGGCCGCTTCTCTGCGGCTTGGGAGGCAAATTGCCAAACTCGACCACCGTCCGTTGACCGGCAGACAGTGATACGGAAATGGGTAGGACCGTTGGGACCCATGTCATGATTGCGGAACGCTGCTAGCACAGTTCCGGGGACCACCTCACACAAAAACATGTTATCCACGTCGCCTGCAGCACGAGTCACTTCGGCGAAGTCTTCGAACGTGCGACCGTTGTCTGTACTTTTGGCGACACGCAATGAGCGTTGTCCGTCGGGGAATCGGGTAAAAGAGGAGAGTATAGTCCCATCTGAGAGCCTACACAGACGCGGGTATGTGCCATTGTTGGGGGGCGAAGACAATCCACGTTCATCGCTGTTCACTGCAAATCTGCCCTGAAGCTGAACATCATTGGAGCTCTGGTGATGACCACTTGGATCAATTCCAAGGGTCTTGAGGACTTTTTGGCCAAAGTGTCCAGGCATATTGGCTGATGAATAAAGGTGAGAATCAAGTCAATGTCAAATCAACAGTTGTCATTGTCAGGCTACCACATTTCCGGGGAGCTGTTAAGATGACATCATATGAGTCAGGGTCTTGCTTACCTCAGCTTCTGCCTCAGGTGTCAACCGATCATCATGCCGGGAAATATAATAGCCGGGCCTAAGTTGTCACTTGACTCTGTCTGTGGAAACATATCAGCCTAGATCAAGTCTTCGGATTGCTAATGATAATCAAACGTTTTCTGGTCCTCTACATTTGATATCTAAGAACATAGTCTCACCTCAGCCGCCAGCCAAAATTCGCATGACTCAGTGTACAGTTAGAATCCAACATATATTTCATTGATTGGGAACATCTATACTATTATAATCAGGATCCTCTCATGGCTTTATGGTCATGACTTGTACTAGCAAACAATTCTGATCTCCAACAGATTCACAAGACATCATTCCATTATTCAAGAGTGATCTTGACGACCTTGGCTGGCTCCTTGAAAGTACCCAGGACGGGTGCCACCTGACCCCCACTAGTTCCAACATAGAGAGTCTTGCGATCATCACTTAGCCGAGTTGATGTGGGACCTGGCATCTCTGTAGACAGCTGCCCACCAGCGACGAGTGAGATTTGTCCTGAGGGAGTGATGCGGACGACAGAGTTCTGAGGATCCGTGGCGATATAAGCCATGCCGTCTTCGTTCACGTCCAAGTTATCAGGCAAAAATCCGCTGGCGATGACCTCGTATTCCCCGATCGGCTTGACCTCCTCGTCTACCTTGACGCGACAAAACTCCATCCGCGTTGTACTAGAATAGTACAGGTAATCTTCAACCATTTTCAAACCATTGATTCCCAGAGGAAGTGCCTGGCCCTTTGCTGGAAGCATGGTTGTATCGTTCAATGCGACAGAATAATCGCCTGTCTTGGTGTTGACTTTCCATACTGCACCTTTGGGACTGTCCGCAATGAGAACCAAATCTGGGTTTTGCGAAAAGGTGGTCATTCCATTCAAAGCCTGAGCATCCGGCAGTACCGCAATTTGGGAAGCATTTGGGAATTGTGAGGCCCGTTCGTCCATTTCGCTGTTCGTCTGGCTGAAATCTATTTTTTGAAGGGAAAAAGAACCAGCGTCGGGCTTGTAAGTCGTCGTTGAGAAATTGCCTACTACCACCGCAAATATGTCGTCTGCGATCTCACTGATCCCAAAGCAGCTGGTGACATTGGGGAATGAGTAGGCAAGAGTCGCGTTTCCTTTAGTGGTGTTGACAGACCAAACTTCTGGAACATCCAGACGCGTCAATAAGAGGCTCCCATCGGATCGAAGGACGAGATTGTCGATCCAGGAGCCATTCTCCGGGAACTGGAAGAGCGTCTCAACTTTCACGCTGGGCTCATTGTTGCTGAACGGACTCAAGGATACTTCGGTCCCATATGTTGTAGGCCAGGAGGCTCGAGCCAGTGGAAACAGTACCAGGCTACTGAGCCAGGTAGCGAAGAGATGCATGGTGTTTAACCTGGACCGCTTAGTAGTTGAGATTATTTAACATTGATTGTGAAAATCATACCGTGACCCCAACGCTACTTACCTTAGGCATAAGCAAGGGACTATTCTTATCTTGCATTCCGACGTCCAAATCCATTGACATATTCGCATTGCTGACATCCCTTCATTCTCATTCTCCTTGTTGAATTTAAGCTAATCAAAAAGTAGAATTTCAATATTTGTCAGAAGTTGGGCACAACCAGTTAGGAAATGAAAGTAAACGCGCTGTATAAGTAGAAGCTCTCTTGGTACTGAGGAGTACAGAGCAATTCCCTCGATAATGACTCAGATTTCTTGATTAAAAAAAGAGTCTGTACGATATCATCTGTATGGTGAACCCAATGACATTCTGCATGTCTGATGGTGGCGTGAGGTAGTAATCAATGCTGTATGGACACGAGTAAGAGGTACGGGCCTTTCGAGCATGTGTCGGTTACAGACAGCCGAACTATGCCCAACGCCAAGGCTTGGGCGTGAATTGATGATAGAGCAAGCCCTAAATTCCCAGGCTTTACTGGACCAGCCCCGTGGGATAGAGAAGCAACTACGGAGATTCATCCCAAAACTTTAAGCCTATGCCATGCTTATATTTGCTTTTTTAATTAAAACACTAGCCCATAACGGTCCTACATTGCCCTATATATCCTACTCACTCCCTACCCTCCTTATATTCATTCCCACGTTCCATTCCAAGGCAAGAATTCTCTGAATATGGAAGAAACTCCTCACGATTCAAACATGAATCTGCCCCTGAGGTAATTTATTCAATGCTTTCTCTCAAACCTTGATTGCCTCAGTTCTAGATTTTGTTATCCCCTTTTTCTAGTATATCTCTTCAACCAAAACCAGGCGGGTTTAATCATGTTTAAATCAAGTGAATTCCCAGATCAAAGAAAGTATTTCATACCCGCAGTATCAAAGACCTTCTACTCAAAGTGATGACAGTGAGAAGGGGCTTTGTCTGCTTAAACAATCATGCCCCGTCGGCTCTTCAACTATTCCGAGGCAAAGGGTAAAAGCCTCAGAAAGAAGATAGTCATATAATATCGAGTCTATTCCATTCACTTTTCGACTTAGATCGAGAGAGCTTCTCGTTTCTCGTTATTCGTCTCCGGCCTCTAATAGTGACAAGGGCCATTCTTTTTGTAAGAATAGCTACCCCAAAACACAAATCCAGAAGCACTTTTCTCCAAACCAACTTCGAGAAAACCGTTTATCCTTCGTAAGCTACATTCGGTATCCTCCACGACGGTAAAGTAAGATCCCGGAAGTTTCATCGGTCTATGTCACATTTTCCAAAATTTCCAAAGTCCAATCGCGGTATTTAAACAAAAAGAAATCTTGTCCTACGCATGGTTTTCGTCAAGCCAGGCTTCCGGATAGACTTGGTTTCGTAATCCAGCTTTCTTCAAGATTCGCCAGGTCGTATTGGAAGACATCTTAAACCCTTCAAGACTAATATCTCTAGCAATATCAGCGCAACTCCTTTCTCGCCCATAACGATTATAGCATACTTTCGTAACTACTCCATTTTCTAATTCTAACGATAAATTTTTCGGGCGCCCAGAGCGAGGGGCATCAGCAAGCATAGCGTCAGAGATATTCCAGGGGCGTAGGGTAGCGTCGAACCCCTTAGCAAGAGCTCGTTCATAGATCCGATCAACCGTACGTTTCGTAAGGCCCACAATCTCAGCAATATCTGCGGATCTAACACCAGCAGCTTTGCTAGTTACCACAACAGAGCGCTTCGCAATATCGTGACCCATGACGTAGGCAGGAAGGTAGGTAGGCGGGTAGACAGGCAGGCAGGCAAGCAGGCAGGCAGGCAGACAGGATAGTAAATAAGTAATAGGCAGAGAGGTGTGTAATACAGAGCAGAAACAGTCAGTTAGAACCACCTTACTATATTAGGCCGAAATCTATACTAGCGTCAAAATGATGGGTCAGAAATTTTGGGACTGACCTCCGTACTCTGACAGGCATTCAAGAACTCAATTTCTACTGTTAATGGAACCAAAGCTTAGCCTCCTTTAAGCTCGTCCAAATTATTTTTCTGGCCCTAAAACCAAGAACCGATTGGCACATGGATCTCATCTATAACCAATAAGCGCAGAGAGAAGTCGAACCCTGCACTTCCGGTTTTTAAAGTATTTTAGATTCTGGTAATGGGCTAGCGCTCTCATTGGTTTTAAGAAACCATTCTAAGTTCCGCATTGAATCATCATTAAGTGTCCGGGAAACAAGGTTTTATATTCAACTGCACAATGATAAATTTATTTTGACACAAGGCTCACCATTCTGTGTGTAATTTGCTGGAATAGCCGCAGAAGTAGATTTCTTGTCTGCTTGAAAGCGAGAAGAATATCATATAAGCAACGTGAAACGTCGTATTTGATCACTTTCGAGTCAACCAGCGGCAGGTTGGATGACATCGAGCACACAGCCTCCTCTAGGAGAGCCTGAGACATGTTTGGAATGGTTTCGAAAAACTGCCCCCACCTACTCAAGAACCATGGGCTCGGCACAATATTGATAAATGATTGGTAAAGATTCTCAACAATTTGTGTTAGAACCTTCATACACAGTGCATATGCTTATACAGTGCGCAGACCCTGTAGAGAGACGAAATCATCATATATTGCATAGATACGGCGACGCACGATATATCAAGAAGAGTAGTCTATAGCGAACTTTCCTGAAAGAGTAAAATTAGGTCATATCCGGCCTCCCTCGGAGGTTGGACAGTATTTCCGATTCTGTGATTGCAGACTATAATTTTACCATGTGATAACATGCACGATAAGCAATTTGGCGCACTTCGCATCCGCTAAGCCAAAGGAACAAAGAGCGGTGTCTCTGTTCTTCTCCTTTCTCATCTGCCTAAATCCATTCCCTGTTTCCTGCTAAGGGAAACACCAAGTTGACTCTACAACTAATGCCCGATCAAGCTGCAGTCAGTCTACGGAAATATCGCTTTGCTGTTCTTTTCGGTGTTCTTTTCGGTGTATTACCAACCCCTCTTTGCTGAGCACTTTATTGTGCATCTGACCATACGAATGATTAGACAACAGGAGCGCTCTATGCAGACAATGGCCGACGCGGGGAATAGAACTGATGAGGATTGTCTTTCCACGCCGACAAAACTGGAAGAGAAAAACCTTAGACGTGTTTGCGATAATATCCCTCGGACGATATTCTTGGTAGCTGTGGCTGAGCTGGCCGAGCGTTTCACCTACCGGTGCATCACAGCTCCTATGCGTAAGCTATTCCTCTCGTGAGACTAACAAATGCTCTAGTTGACCTCTCATAGAGAACTATATCGAGAATGCTTACAATGATCCACTGCGGCGAGGAGCTTTGGGCCAGGTAACTATTGACTCATAGTTGTAGATGGGCGGCTTCCTAAAAACATTGAAGTCGGTGCTGAAAGATATCCAACAGGGACAAGCGACAGCAACTAGCATCAACTATTTCTTCACCTGCTGGTGCTTCATGGCACCTATCATAGGAGCCATCATAGCAGATGGCTTTCTTGGTCGATTTCGGACCATTTGTCTGGGCACTGGGTATTTGCGCCCGTTTGCTAGAAATACACCGACAAAAAGCTCCCTAACAACCTTGACAGAGTCGCAATTGGCGGGGTGCTGATTCTTTTCGTCACCTCGTTCCCTTTCAGTATCAAGCACGGCGCCGGCTTACCGGGTCTCATTGTTGCATTGATCTTGATTGGTTTAGGGTCAGTGATTCGTAGTTGATCAAAAATTTCTACCTTCTCACCCTGACTCTCTTTTACAGCTTTGGAGGTATAAAAAGCAATGTTGCTCCACTCATCGCTGATCAATACGCCAGAAAATCCCCCAGAGTTAGGACTCTAGCAGGCGGAGAAAAAGTCCGTGTAGATCCAGACCTCACAGTCCAGACTATCTACAGTCGTTATTACTGGTCAGTGCCCATTGCAGAGGATTGAAAAGCCAACAAACTGAATTTGTCAAAGGGTCATCAATATTGGTTCACTCTCCGTGATACTTGCATCCGTAAGTGCACCCAGGTCTATACATTGACTGATATATTGAACGTATAATTCAGTGGTTGGAATTAAAAGTTTCATTCTGGGCTGCCTTTCTACTACCATTCTGCTTCTGGATCTTACCAGTGAGCGCTTTGATAATGGGCCGAGGAAAATATAGTAAGAAATGACCCGCACTGAACCATTCGCGCAATATGCGTACTAAGGTGTCACATCTAGCTGTTCAAAAGCCAAAGGGCTCGGTTCTTGTCAAAGCGATGCGAGTCCTCTGGCTCGGCTTCAAAAGAGGCCGCAATCTCAATGCTGCAAAGCCATCGGCCATGGCACAAACGCATCCGGAAATTACTGTTCCCTGGGACGATGCGTTTGTCGACGAATTGAAACGAGCGCTCATCGCATGCTCTGTTTAGTGAGTTATCTGAACTGAGAACGAGATTTGGTTATATTAGTGCTGAATTTTGTCGCGCTTTTACAGTTGTGTATTGTAAGTCTTCACTGTCCACATGGTCTTAAGATTTGGATTTCAACATGCTAATCTGAACTGCAGTCCCATTTTCTGGCTTTGCTACGGACAATCCAACAGCAACCTGGTTAGTCAGGCGGCGACCATGAAAACCTATGGAATTCCAAATGACATGAGTATTTCATCCTTATTTCTTCGGCGGTTTAGAGCCACTGATTGATAAATACTGCAGTGGGATGTTTTAATCCTATAATGGTTTTGATATTTCTCCCAACAACGTACGCATTCTCTCAAATCTTTTAAGCAAGCTAATATATCATTCAGGGAAAAATTCGTTTATCCAACCCTGCGACGATATCATCTTACCTTCAAGCCGATCAGTCGAATCGCTGCCGGCTACCTGGTTATGGCGTGTGCCATTGGGTATGCTGCCGGGATCCAAGACTGTTAGTGATATACTGTTTAATATGCTCTTCTGCAGCCTACTGATCCATGTTGCAGTAATTTACCGATCGCCTCCATGCTACAACCATCCTCTGAGCGGATCCTGCAGCGACGGTGGAAGAATCCCAAATAATGTGAAAGAATCTCCACGAGTACTCCTGCTCCTCGACAGAGACTGACAAAGGTCTAGGTTAGCGTCTTTCTGCAAGTCCCTTTCCACGCCATGACCGCCCTCTCCGAAGTCCTTGCCTACGTGGCCGGCATGGAATACGCATACACCAAGTCTCCCAAGTCTATGCGTAGCATCGTATCATCCCTGTTTCTCGTCACCTGTAGTGTCGGGTCACTACTTGGAATTGCACTGTCTCCAGTCTCGAAGGACCCAAGGGTGCTTGTAGAATATGCCTCGCTGAGTGGTGTTATGTTGGTGACATCCCTTTTGTTCTTCATCATTTTCAGAAAACACAACAAGGCAGAGGAGAAAATGAACATAATGAATAGCGAGTCAAGTGAGATTGTGCAGCAGACTCCGACAGCCGAGCATGTTGAGAAGACCATGTTGATTACTGAAAATCGGTAGAAGAGTATCTAGACTAGATTTCAATCAATCAAAAGGCAACGAAGCTGCAGATAGCAGCGCAAATTGCACAAAAAGCACAAACGCTCATCGACGTTTGTCCAAAATAACAAACTTTACCGAGGTCCGTCGTATAAAGGTTAACTAACTAACTAAGTTAATGCGTATTAGTCAACCCTTGCTGAGGTTCCAAGGTTTTCTAAAACCTCGATGAACTCGGACCCGCGGCGAGAGAACTGCTCAACCCACAAAACGCTTGGTTTATTGGGCGAATAAGAAGGCATTGAGGCCATACGAATGGCTGCGGAAATCAAGATCCTCCATCTTAATTCAGATGCGGTCGATGCGTATTGCAATATGACACTTCATGTTAAAAATCAAGGAATCAGAAACTGACCGATGCCCCTGCGGAGAGGGTTTTCGGACTCCAAAACACGTGTTTCTTCCATGTGAGCGGGAACCAGCTTCTTGAGTCTTGGTAAAAGGTACGGACTATGACCAACTAGTCAACGACCCGCAGGCCACCCGCTACGTGGCCAAGTTCTTGCACCAGAGTGGTCTCCTTGCTCAGTTTCAACACGCTGAGTTTGACACCGATGACGACCAAGAAGGCCTCGATATCGTTGAAGCTAGGGAGAAGAGTCCCGAAGACGCTGCGTACTCATCAATGCTTGCAACTACGGTTGAGGATGGAGAGACTACGTCCCTCGATTCCCTATTCGACTATAAAGTGCGGAATTGGTCTAAAGCCCTTCGGTCATGACCAATTAGAACAGCAATTGAGGCTAAAGTGGTGATGAAACGGGGTCTGATCTTGCCGATGCAGGATTTAAGGGGAGAGGGAGTGAAGGAGGAGTGGGAATTAAGGATAGGGGGATAGTAGATGATGTATCTACGTTAATTTTATACCTGGCTCCTTTTAGCACTAAGTACAAACAGCGCTCGCAGATGCAACATCTGCTTTTCCAACATTCCACTTCCATGTCTCCCTATCTCTCTATCTCAGTTCCTGCATCGTCGTACACAAGCCCCTTTTATTCTCACTTCAGCCTCAATTGCTGCTCAGATTTGTCATGGCCGAAGGGTTTTTGACCAATTCGGCACCGTGTAGTCGAATAGCGAATCGAGGGACGTAGTCTCTCCACCCTCAGCCGTAGACGCAAGCATTGGTGAGTACCCAGCGTCTTCGGGACTCTGCTCCCTGACTTCTCGGTCTTCTTGGTCGTCATCGGCGTCAAACTCAGCGTGTTGGAACCGAGCAAGGAGACCGGTTTGGTGAATGAATTTAACAACGTAGCAGGTTGCTAGCGGGTCATTGACCAGTTGGTCATGGTCAGTGGCCTTTACCCCAGCTCCATGGAGCTGGTTGAAAAGCCTTTTACGGAGATCCCCGTACGTCTCACATTGAAGTAAGACGTGTTTTGGGGTCTGAGAACCCTCTGCGCAAGGGCATCGGTCTGATTCCGGCTCCTTAATCTTAAACAGGAAGTGCCGAAGCGCAATACGCATCGACCGCATCTGGATTAAGATCGAGGATCTCGGCTTCGAGAGGCACTCGAACAGCCGTAATACCTTCTTTTTATTCGGCAAATCAACCAAGCGCTTAGTCGGCTGAGCAGTCCTCTCGCTTACCCACTGCTTCTCTCACCGGTCTTGAATGCGCGCTCGAACCGTACGCTTGGCAGCTGCGGCGAGCCGGATGGTCGGTTGATCCGTTCTGAGGTCGTCACTCTCGCCGGTCGCGCCTATCGCATGCTGGAGAGCCGCGCACTTTGCGCTACTAGGCGAACCCCGATCTCAGCTTGTTAGTTCAAGCTAGAAAATGTAGGATAGCAAGCGCCCACTCCTTGCTGGTCACCAATTTCCCACCCGGTACTGCTCCGACACCCCGCAAATGAACCCCGCAAAATAGAGGCTCTAGCGATCGTTCGTAGACTGACTCGGCGATTTAGCCGAGAGTTCTCTTTCCCCATAAAATCGGTGTTTCCGCCGACTCTGTAGGCCAATATACCTGCATGATCACTTCTTACCCACCATGAATAACAGTAACAAGCGAGCTAGAGTGAACTCCACTCGGATCAACCCGAATGCGGTTGCAAAGTCGCGGTTAACTCGGGCATGTAAGTCACCTCCCTGGCGCCCCGCAAAAAGCACGGTAGACTAGGCTAACTATGCTAAGGTGCTGAATGCAAGAAGCACAAGATCAAGTGTTTTGTACAGCCTGGTCAGACCGCATGCAATAAATGCCTGAGAAGTGGTGTGCATTGTGTTCCTCATAACTTTGCTCAAAAGTTCATAGATGAAGATTCCGCGTAAGTGACCGCCTATGCAGCCTGATCCAACCCAATTCTCATTCGAAATGTAGATGGAAAGCAGAAACTACTGCGACGATAGAGCATCTCCAGAATACCATCGAATGCCTCCTCCGCCATAGCAAACTCCCAGGACTGCCAAATCCAGACGCCACAACATCAGCACTACATTCCCTTCCAGAACAAGAACGAGATCGTGGCCCACCATCATCATCCATGCAGGAGCTGTCGCCCCTGGCTACCGTCCATTCAGAATCTGCAAGAGCAAATTTCACTCCAGAAGGCCCATCTGTCGGACTGAGTGGACCAAACGACGATTCCGACCTGGTCCCCCTCCCCATGAACCATCTCTACAACCTCACCGACCCAGATAAATCACAATTAATTCGGGTTGATCCTGCTGAGGTCAATGGGCCAGATTTTATCAGCCAGGGAGTACTGCCAGTCTCCGAAGCTGAGTTTCTCTTCAACCACTATCGATGCTATATAAACCCTCTTCTTTGGGACGGAATGCTGTGCTCGCATCAAACCCTGCACGACGCACGACAGTCTTCATCACTACTAGTCGCCGTGGTACTCACAGTCGCCGCTTTGCACATCCCAAACCGGGAAAAGTCCCTGCACGCAACCTACGGAGCATTCGTATCCCTAATGAGAGGCTCCTGTCTGCTACGATGTCAAAATCTTGACGTGCTTCGCGGTCTCTGCATTGGAGCTTTCTATCTAACAAGTTTAAGCTGGGCACTCTGCAGTCGGGCCGTCCGCGTAGCAACAGAAATGAACCTGCACAAGTCCTCCCTCCAGTTCGCCCGAGGCTCACTTGAATCTTACGAGCGTGTCCGTCTCTGGTATGTCCTGTACATATGCGACCACCAGTTTGCACTCGCGTACGGACGCCCGCCCATGATGCACGAAGACGCAGCCATCCGCAATTCCGAGAAGCTACTCACAAGCGGACTGTCCTCGAAAGGAGACACCAGTCTCGTTGCACAGGTCAAGCTCTTCCGCGTCTTAGCGAGTGGGTACTTTATGCATGGGTGTGATCCAGATCTGGAACTAAGCGGACAAGACTTTGAAAGACTGAAGGAGTTTGATATATCTGTTGAACAGTGGCGGCTCGAATATCAGATCAAGGAAGTCGGTTCTACGCGAGCGAGCTTGATACCTCCAGCAGCAACGGCACTATATTACCATCTCGCCCGGTTCCAGCTCAACTCTATTGCTCTTCGGGGCATTAGCGCCAGGGATACTTCTCAAGACAATAACACCGCAACAAATCTAACGCTAGACATGAACTGGGACCGCCAAGAAGCATCCAACATCGCCATTCGTGCAGCGATGAGCACCGCAAAATTGATCGTAGAAGACGCCGGTCTGCAAAAGGTCCTTGTCTGGCTACCGATATTCACACACGCCATGGTTGCTGTTTGCGCATCATTCCTGCTCAAAATGGCGGTCGTGTTTGGCGATCCCGTCGCAGGAAATGATGGCATTCTATTACTCCCGAAGGACCTCGCAAAATATGGACTAAACTTTCACACAGAAACAGCGTTGGATTATGTCGAGCAACTTGTAAGGGTGTTGGGTCAGATCGCTGATAATGCAAGTCAACGCCATGTTGCCAGACAGATTAGCACGGGGTTGGGGGAGCTGTTGCAGCGGTTCTCGCCTGGTAGGGACCAGGATAGTTTTATCTATTTCTTGCGGAGGAATAGGGAAAATATCGGTTCAATGCAAATCAACGGCATGATAAGGAATGGAGCTACGGGAGGGAGCGAACGGAATGAGATCATTCACAGGATGGAGCGCAGCTATAGCACTGATGCGTTTGAAGGAGATGGAGATGACGGGGTACACGGTGAGAATGTGAATGGTCGGCAACAAGACCCATTTGATCTTACGGGGGACTTAGATTGGCGGTTTGATGATGGATTTCTCTTTGGCATTGATGTGATTGACTTTGAATTTGACGTTCTGTAAGGATCGGTCTTAAGCGAACATCTATATTGTTGGCGATATGTATATTCATGCTACAAACTCACGTTTTCAAAGTCACATCATTTTGTCAATGCATGATTAATTCAATTACTATTCACGTCTCCCATCTCAACCCCATACGATCATACGCCACTATGTTAAACCTTCAACTCCTCCGGTGCCTCCCTCCTCACCCGCAACTCATTGGCCATAGCCGTAGCATGATCAATTTTCTCCGCAGGATATTTGTTAAAGAAGTAAGCGAAAACAGCTGCAGACACACACAGAACACCTAGCCAGGTAGTCGTAGTCGCAAACCCAGGAATATACCTCGGTGCATCCTTATCCGGCCACAGCCATGATGAATATATAGACGAGGCATTACCAATCGCGTTAATGAGCGCAATAGCGATAGATCGTTTCGCGGCCGGTTGGGGAATAACATCTGCGACCCACGTTTTCACTAATGGCGAACAGGCGTAAATAGTCCCAAAAGCGAAGATTGTGAGTATGTATTGCGCCATTTTATCTTTCACGGTGATGACAGTGATGAAGAGCACGCAGCCGACAAAAGAAAGACCGCATATAAATTGCCATTTCTTCTTGTAGCGATCTGCGAGCCAGCAGCATAGCACTACGTAGACGAGGGCAGCCATATAAGCAGGAATTGTGTGGTCTGTTTACCAGGTTAGACGTTAGCTGCAGCCTGACTCGCGATTAAGGAAGGAAATATTACATTGGCCATCTGGACCTGTCCACCCGAAACTTTCCACTAGCGTAGGGATGAAATATTGAATCGTCTGAGACCCCGTCACGAGTACGAACATGAAGCATTGAGCCCATACCCTCCAGTCACTGCAGGTCATCTTGAAAGCCTCCCAGTGAGGAATCTCCTTGACGCCGCTGCCCTGTGTTAGGCCAATGCCGTCGACAGCCAGTCTGTTACAGGCGAGGATGCTGTCCTCCTCCGATAGGAACCGTTTACTAGTGGAGGGATAATCGGGCATAAAGAAGTAGATAATCACGGATGCAATGATTGATGCGATGCCTTCAAGGATCTACTTCACTCAGTTGGTCTTCGCATGGTATCGAGAGGGAAATGGAAGAGAGGGGGGATACTAACGAAAAGCCATCTCCAGCCTGCCAGTCCACTAACCCCATTCATGTGATTAGTGATCACACCTGCGAGTAGCCCAGATACAGCCCCAGCAATTGGCACAGAGGTGTAGAGTATAGCGTAACGTGTTGCGAGCTCATATTTCCGGTACCAGGATGAAAGGAAGAAAGCACACCCTGGAGCAAATCCAGCCTATTGATAGTCAGAACCAGAATCACGAGTCCAGACTACTTTACAGACCTCAGCAATACCAAGCAGGAATCTCATTCCCGCCAATTGGGTCCAATTTTGTGTCGCTCCCATGAGAGCGGCAAAAGTGCCCCATATAAGACCCAATCCAGGGAGAAACACGCTAGGTCGAACACGAGTCAAGATCATGTTGGCTGGAACTTCAAAAACAAGATAGGACAGGAAGAAAACCAGCACAATAATTGAATATTGGGAGGAAGTGAGGCCAAAGTCGTCTTCAAGACCACCTGTTTTGGCGTTGCTAAAACAGCGTCAGTCAACAATGCAGGCTACTTCAGTATGAAGGATGCGAAGCACATACCTAACATTCGCACGGTCAAGGAAGCCAAGCAGGTACAGTAGCCACGTACAAGGCAGAATGCGCCAGTCCAGCTTCCGAGCAAGTCTCTTCTCTTCATCTGTCCCATTCACCCAATGCGACGCAATCTGTTGAGCCTCCGCAACATCGGCCCCGTACTTATCTTCAGTATGAGTACAGTCGAGGTCTTTTTCGCTTGATCGATCCCACGTTGCATGATGGTTGAAAGTAGCGTTCTTCTCCCCCAGTTGAGACATATTGATAGGAAGACAGCTTGAGTATCGCAAGAAATGAAGTCCTGGGATGGAGCAATTGAACCATTACTCATACCGCTGCGCCAGGGTCTCTTTTAAATTTCGCCGCAAGAGGGACCTCCAACCGCGTTGTGATCAAAACAGAGGATTAAGTTCATGCCAAGGACGGTGTACCCCATGGGGAAAGCTAGAGAGCTTGTTAGTCTCGGCGAAAGTGCCGCGACGATCGATTTATCGCTTTGCCCCAGGGTGCAAGTCCCCAAGCCATCGCCAAAGTGCCGCGATACGGCGGTTTCGCCGTGATAACTGTTCGTTCCCCTCTAAGTCTGTTGCTCGCATGGTACGTACTATGGTATTCGGTCTCGAGTTTTCCGAGGCCGAAGTAGTGCCGGGGTAAGAATACCTATAACTAGAGCTTCCGCCACATGCAATTTCATCATTCCGAGACACATCAACATGCCGCAAGCACTTGACACCCCGCCCCGCCGCCCCCGTATTGCCGTCACACTAGGCGACACATCAGGCATTGGCCCAGAATTAATCGCAAAGCTGCTCAGTAACCCAAAAAATCACCAACGAGCTGATATTGTTCTCCTCGCAGACGAAACCGAGTTTCAATCCGCAGTTTCCGACGCAGGAGGAGTTCACGTCGCCATCTCTACGGGTCCAGCTGGCCCAAATGCCATTCGAATCTTCGATGACAACAGCGTCGCACAATACCCCTCGATCCAGGGGGAGATCTCTCAGGCCAGTGGGGCACGCAGCATTCACCAACTCAAACGGGCATTGAGCATGGTTCAAGCCGGAGAGATCGATGCGATCGTCTTTGCTCCGTTGAATAAGAGTTCCCTGAAACTTGCGGGTATGACCGAGGAGGATGAGCTCCGTTGGTTCGCCAATCAATTGGACTTCAAGGGGACGACTAGCGAGATCAATATCGCTGGTCCGTTGTGGACCGGTCGAGTCACGAGTCATATTGGACTCGAAATGGTCGCAGAGCGGATTACCAAGGAGTCAACGTTGAAAGCGATCGAGCTTGTACACCGATTGAGGTATGTTCATCTTTCAATCGACCCCGTTTCCCCCTCAGTGAATTGACATTAACAGATGGGAATCCGGGATCGAGTGCCCCCGACTCGGCGTATGCGCATTGAACCCCCACAACGGCGAAAACGGCGCCTTTGGACGACAAGAAATAGATCATATCCGACCAGCAGTAGATGCCGCTCGGCAACGCGGGATTGACGTGCAGGGCCCATTCCCCTGCGACACCATCTTCCTGAAGAGGGAGCATTTTGACGGTATTTTGACAATGTATCATGATCAGGGACAGATTGCCATGAAACTACTATCCTTCAATGGAGGGGTAACAGTACAGGGTGGACTTCCTATCCCAGTTGCCACGCCAGCTCATGGGACAGCTTTTGATATTGCCGGGAAAAATCTGGCAGTTGTCACTAGTACCCAAAATGCATTTGATGTGGCAGTCACTATGGTGGAGAGGAGGGTATTGAAAGAGACGCGTGTTGATATTGACACTATTCCTGTCAAGACCGGGTTGTTGTCAATGGCTCCTACTGTGGAGGTGCGGTCGTGTTGTTGAGTGCGAATTGGGCGAGATTACCAATTATGGCCGCTGACGACTGCCGTGATCAATCAATCCATCAATCAATCAAGGTTCAATTAACCTGTTGCAACCTAACTGGTATCGTAATGGCTATGCAGGTTCTTCTCGAGTACAGCGCGAGAATAGAAAATGATTTCCTTTTTACAGCCCTCCGACCACGTACGCGCCAAGCACTGGTAAAGACTTCTTTCTTACTAGCGAAGGGTCTCGATCCTAACCAAATTAACGCTGAATGGGGTACTCCTTCAAATTATGCTGTCTGGAGTGGTCGTCCTGATCTTGTCAAAATACTACTTGATGCGGGCGCAGACCCTACGTCGCGATCTATTGGTAAACGTTATTGTGGCGAACCACCCTTAGCAGCAGCAGAGTTTATTCGAATTCCCAAGTATACGGAGGAAACAATTGCTCTTCTTCAGTCTTACCAAATTACGAGTCACGGATAAGCTGCGGATGCTATATTGAATGTAGTAAATTATATCTTTCACGTCTTTGTAACTATGATCTCGGACTAAGTCTTATAATCAGCACACACTGTCGAAAATTGAGTAATATTTCGTCTCTATCATTCTAATTTACGCTAATCTAAACAACCCGCCATTATGATATATCATCGACCGGAATTGTCTATCCAGAGTGAGATTAGGGAAAAAAGGGACAAAGTCTGGAGAGATTATCAAGAACTGGCAAGGCAAATGTATCGCCAAGCAAACTGCACACACACTGAACACTGGACACAAGAAACCCACAGACCAACCGTTTGTTATCATAAAAAGTGGTGGAATCGCGTTGAGGGGCGCTTCAGATATAGCCGTTGCATGGAAGAAACTCGGCGGTTTGCTTTTCATTGCACTGGGTGTAAGAAAATGGCTTGCGCACCCTGCAGGGATGTTCTCCGACGGAAATCTTGCTAATTTCCGAGCAACGCGAAATGTAGCTTCCATATTGGGATTTCTCTAAAACATTTCTCAGACTCGCAATACGGTCCGTCCTGAAACTAGTGGGACCACCTGCAATTTCCATTAACTCTCTTTCCGCAGGAGTATTACAAGTAATGGCGGAAAAGAGCAAATGGAAGGATATTAGGGTGTCGAAGTTACTCAACATTCTGTACGTAGTAGAGACAAAACAAATCTGAATATGCAAATGATCCGATTTGTCTGGTCCCAATCCAACAAGTCGTACCACGGTCACCTCAGTCAGACAGTCTGTTCGTAAGTAATATATTATGTGAGATGCCCTCTTAGTACGTTTACCTGTAGAAGTATCGGATCGGGAAACAAACTGGTGTCTTTCACAGTAGATCCCTATAACAGCCTTATGAGAACACGTGGTGAAATTCAGCTCGTTTTAATTATATGGCAAAGTAGATAAGCAAGAGAGAGACAAGAAAGAGCTGAAGTAAGGATAAAAGGACTTTTGAGTTATCTGATAACGCGGTCATTTCATTACGTGGCGATATGCAAGCAATGCCGGTCAATGGCTTCCTCCATCAGCTCAACATGTCCAATTGTAAGGCTCAAGCAATGTAAAACATCCTCCTTCAAAGTCGAGCCATCTCGAGACATTGTGCATAAAATGTTCAGGTTTTCGGTGCCAATGTAAGGGGGATCGTATGTCTCAATCAAGTGATCGCAATCTTTTCTGAGGTGGTCGGTATCAAGCAGGGTAGAGAGGGCTTTGTCTGGGGCAGCTGGTTGACTGTTCTGTCGAAGTTGATTTGAATAAGGACCGAATTGGCCAAATGGGTTGTGTTGTCGATTTGCAACGGCAACAGATGGCTCGGATGGATTTGTATCTGTTGGGGAGGTCACAGATATAATAGGACCGGCCTCGGCTTTTTGGCAGCTGAACGGCGAGGACAGGAACAAAGTCAACAGGAATAATGCACAAAACATTTTCCATGTATTGATTTGAAGGATGTGTGACGTTGGATACATTCCACCAACTGGGCTCGTCGGCTATATAGAGTCGTCCCAATCGTTATTTCCAGAGACTTTGGGCCCTAGTCACACATCTTGAATGTACGAAGTCAAGAGTCAGCCAAGACTTACTTGCCTCTGCCAAGCAACGCTAATATGTGAAAGGATTCCTCCGTCCGGTCTTTCCAGAAATGTCTGGTCAGCGTTCCCGAGATACCATGCTAACTCCGGGACAGAGCAAGGAGATGGTCATAACCGAAACCCAATATGGGATTAGGAAACTGCAGTGTAGAATGGGGTACCAGTGATTGGCTGCCGTCAACGCTTGGCATCTCTGGGCCCAATTGGTTTAGGTTGTCTCCACAATAAGAAAATGGGCCGTCTGCATGCCGCTTATCATACGTCATATGTCTTTCTTGATGATTGTGGTTCGTATTTCTCAACTCTGCTGGATCATGCCAGAAGAGATTTCTGTTCGCTACCAGACTGATAATGCATCTCTTTGTCGCAGAAAGAAAGATCCTCAGTGACTGGCTATACTGTAGATCTTGGGTCAGTCATTGCCTTTCTAAATGGGCCATAACCATGTTTCTTTTGAAGGCTATCTAGAATCAGAAACTTATTGGACCACTCACTTAGCAGTACTGGCTTCTGTATACCCGATCACAGTCGCCCGTCAAATTCTTTAACTATCCGTCCCCACGGCCGTGGAGCACGCGGAGATCGATATTGAAAATGGTGCCACTGACGAATGTATGAGGGATTCCATGATCAAAGCTGTACGCTACCTCGATCTAATTCACCTCCTCAATATTCATCTACAAGTGCAATATAGCAATGTGTCCTCGGGGATACTCAATCTTCCTCCCACCAACAATCGAGAAGATATAAGGTGCTTTACGGCGGACGTAGGCAAAGGCAACGCGCGTGATATCCGTTCCATTTACATTATCAATTGTCACCGACATCTTCGCGACACGTTTGCTTACGCTTAGGATTATAAAACTGCAGTTCCTTGTAATATAACTCTAAATGGGAACGGTCCCAGATTATCCAAAACTGCGCCACCCAGGTGTTGACGAAAATCAATGCGTACTCTGCCAAACTACAGATCAACTTCAAATGCTGAAACAATGTGAACAATGAAATATAGCCCCACATCTTATGACGTATGATAAGCAACGCGCAATACTATTTAGATGCAGACATTCTTATGTTGCATAAAATTGGAAGTGCAATGAACTAGTATAGCCAAGAGAAAGCATTTGGAAGTACGTAACTCCACCTGATGACCGATATTTTCAAGGCTGTTCTTCATATCCGTTAAAGATGCTTTTTACAAGCCAAGAGTTCTGCCTATTGTCCCATTGATAGTCAGGTACAATCTCCCTGTTAAGTTGCATTCCATACAATGCAATCTGCCAAGATGGCACCAACGGAGGTATCATATCTCCATGATAAGCAACAGAACCAACGGAAAACTATAAGTATAGAATGCAGCATCATCCCATTGAAACACCAATTTCTTTCATCTTTCCTCGACCACTCGTTCCTTAATTCCTTGGGATCTTTGCGCTCAATTTGAATCTCTTTATAGCCCAATATGGCATTCGCTACACTTCTCAACGCGACACTCAATGCTACCATGCGGGGAGTCGTGTACCAGGGGAATCCTTTCCAGATGGTCGTGCAGGACCTTCCAATGCCAGTCATCCAAAATCAAACGGATGCCATTGTTCGCATCACAATGTCAGCGCTCTGTGGATCGGATCTTCACGTGTATCATGGGGTAGCCGGTGGCACGCCTCCTTGGATCATGGGTCATGAAGCGGTTGGCTATATTGAGGAAATTGGGAGCGCAGTTTCAGCATTCAATGTTGGTGACTATGTCATCGTTCCAGATACAGCAAACCATGGCCAGCTCCAAATGGAACCTGAGGCGCTTGAGTATTTTGGAAACGGTGCAGGTCTATCTGACGGTCTTCAAGGTGTGTTATTTCAATCTAGAAGAAGTTCTTAGTGCCCATGATAAATGATAAAGAGGAAAGTGTGACTAACTGACTTTAATAGCTGAATACGCCCGGGTCCCATTTGCAGATGCGAATCTAATCCCAATTCCAATCACTGCAAATACCACAAATGCCACCATTGAACAGGATTATCTCACGGTTTCGGACATCTTTGGTACTGCATGGACGGCACTTGACTTTTCAGGGTTTGAGCCTGGTGATACCGTTGCCGTGTTTGGCGCTGGACCTGTTGGCCTGCTCGCTGCTTACTCGGCTATTCTGCGCGGAGCATCGCGAGTATACTCAATAGATCATGTTCCCATGCGTCTCGAGCGTGCAGCATCAATTGGGGCTGTTCCTATCAATTTTGCTGAATCCGATGTGATCGAACAAATTCTTGCGCATGAGCCATCCGGTGTTATGCGCTCAGTTGACTGTGTTGGTATGGAAGCGCTGGACTCTCACTTGGACCATCAGCAGGACATCATTGTCAAGCAAATGATTGCTGTCACTCATATTGAAGGCGGAGTCGGACAAGTCGGCGTCTGGATGGCCCAAGAAGATTCTCCAGGAGCCCCCCTTGGTCACACTATGTCTCCCAGCATGGACTTCCCCTTGTCCGACTTTTTTTCTAAGAGGCTTAAGTTTCAAGCTGGTCCGGTTGACCCCAAGGGACTTGCACCGTACCTTGTTAATCTTATTCATACCGGCGCGGCACGCCCAAGCTTTATCGAATCCGCAACAGTTGGCATTGAAGAAGTCCCCACTTACTACGAGCGGTTCAACCGCACGAAGGAACTGAAGGTATACATCCAATTTCCATGAATAGGAGGGTATCATGAGCGTTCTGTTGAGGATTATGGCTTCAGGGATCGGCCACATGAATTAGACTAGCCTTGGCCAGCTTCATGTTGAGCCGATCACCGAGTGCCACGATTGATCATCATACGAGCATTCGAAGTTGGGATTATGTATAGCTCAAGATAGAGTATTAGTGTATATAAGGAGTCTCACATATACCGTGAAATCCCTTTCCATAGAGACATCAATTCTTCCTGACACATTGCTATTGTATACGATCATTCCCATTCTTGGCGTAATAGTTTTCAACACGCTCTGGATTAAATTGGACATAATCATTTTGGCGATTCGAGATAGCCCCGTCGATACTTACTTCTCTCCGTTAACAAAAACTGTCTAGTTTGCCCATGGTAATCCAATTTCATCAATGAAGATTTGAAAGTATCATCAACAAATATATATTGTAGTGGGGAAATCACGAGATTTGTATGTTTACTGCCTAAGGCAGTGATGTCCTTGAGGAAAGGATATGGACAATCTACGACTGTAGAGAATGATGGAGAGTTACAACAATGCCACTCATTTCCTGATTCAAGGTTTATGATCATTATGCTCCTTGATATAGCATCCGATTATCACTGTTAAGACTCATTAGCCTAGAGTCCCTAAGCTGACTTGTTGTTGGGTTTTCTTGCCACCATTTGTCGACCCGTCTGTTTCGACCAGACTGCCATCGAGCATCTCCCATTCCAATATATTGGTAACAGAAAATGAACCCTTCAACATCCACCCTGCTCCTCAAATTCTGCATGAGTAAGATCAGACCCCTTTATCGATTTTCAATTCGGCCTCAATTGATCTTTAGCGATTTTAGTGGCCTAAGGACACTGGACCAATCATGAACCGTGTGGTCAAATAGTGACGTAAGGCTCTCTCCAGGAAGCCAGCTTAGTGTATAGATTCACCAACGTAACGGTTTGCTAACAGGTCCGAAACAATGGTACCATAGTCAGTTGCTATTACATACCTCAGCTCTGACAAGCTAGTCAAAAGGCCGTCATGTAGTTATCCGTAGAGTTCACGTTTAAGTAGAATGCGTTTTTGAATCTGAGAACTTTCCCCGCGGGGTTATGTATCAGAGTCTGACTGATTCATTTTGAATCAGAAATGTGGCAATGCAATACCCATCTACCGCATTTGTATCCAAATCCAAGTCTTTGGTACTGGTCAAGACGCAGTGCCTTGCTATTCGGTCATTCTACTAAGCGTTAGATGCCACGCGGATCACCGGTTCGATCCGCTCCCGCGTCCGCACTTTCGACTCCCAACATCACACTAATCCAGACATTGATTAATTGTCTATTTACAGCTACTGTAATCGATATATGGCACTAGTCAAATAACGTGTTAGTAACCCTCATTTCCAGTACGGGAAAACAATTGGCCGTGAGATCATGATGCCTCAGCCTCACTTCCCAACCCCGCTGCTCCTAACTTTTGGACTTCACTCCAATCCTGAGTTCTCGTGGTGACGCGAATGCAAACATCAAGAACCATTGAAGTAAGAAACGAGCTTCTAAGTCTTAAGACAAATGTTGATTATTTCCCAGAATGGCTACCAGGGCCCCCCTTTCTCAAGAACAATACACGGTCGGGTGGATATGCGCCCTGCCCCTGGAGATGGCGGCTGCGTCTTTAATGTTGGACACAATACACCCCACCCTTCCAAATAAATCCACTGATCAGAACACGTATACTCTGGGGAACATTGGTGAACACAACATTGTCATTGCCTGTCTCCCAGTCGGTGCATATGGCAACGTATCTGCTGCAACGGTGGCGATGCAGTTGCTCTGGAGTTTCCCTTCTATACGCTTTGGTTTGATGGTCGGTATCGGTGGAGGTGTACCGAACAGGAACGCAGACATCCGACTAGGTGATATTGTGGTGAGCCAGCCACGGGACACATCGGGAGGCGTGATCCAATACGATCTTGGAAAAGTGTTACAGAGCGGTCAATTTCAGCGGACGGGGATGCTGAACCGGCCTCCGAAGATTCTACTCACTGCTCTTGCTACACTGCAAGGTGTTCATCTCATGCAAGATAGCAGGGTTGTTGAGTTTATTTCGAAAATTCATGTCAAAACTACGCCGCGCAAAGCTGCAAATTTTGCACGTCCAGCACAAGAGGATCATTTATACCAGTCCGACTATGACCACGGGGAATCTGCTACATGTGTGAACTGCGACCGATCAAAACTCACTTGCCGACCTGTACGTGACTATGAGGAACCAGAGATTCACTATGGGCTTATTGCATCTGCGAATCAAGTGGTGAAAGATGGCAAGCGGCGAGACCAACTGGCTGAGGACTTAGGGGTGTACTGTGTGGAGATGGAAGCGGCAGGCCTTATGAATGACTTTCCGTGTGTGGTCATTCGAGGTATCTGTGATTATGCAGACTCACACAAGAACAAGGAATGGCAAGGTTATGCAGCAGCAGTAGCAGCAGCCTACGCTAAGGAGCTGATTTTGGTGGTTCCAGTCAATCAGGTCGATAGTATCCCTACAGCACGAGAGATTATCGTCGATGCTGGTAAGACTCTCTAAATTCCATCTTTACTTTGATGTCCTAGATCGGATTTGTTACTAAATCAATTCCTTCTTTTTAGCCGATCGCTTCAAAGTCTCTCTAGATCTAGCTGCTATCCCTGTGATCGAAAGCTTTGTGGGAAGACAAGCGGAGCTAGATCAACTGTGGCAATACTTGAAGCCAACAGATTCTCAAGCACGCAAGGTTGCGGTTCTTCACGGACTTGGTGGAATGGGGAAGACACAACTGGCGGTGCGATTCGCACGAGAACATAAACAGGACTTTAGCGCTATATTTTGGCTAAGTGGCAAAGATCGAGGCACGCTGTTGCAATCTCTGAGCTCTGTCCTGCCCCGGTTACCAGGACAGCCCTTGAAAGGCGAAGCCACCAATGATGAAGAGCTCGAACAGCGAGCGAGAGAGGTGCTAAAGTGGCTAGCACAAGATGGAAACTCGCGCTGGTTAATCATATTTGACAATATCGATCAGTACTTCTCTATTGATGGCGGCTATGGCGGCGTTGGGAATGCCTATGATATTGGAAAGTTCTTTCCTACTGCGGATCACGGCTCTATTCTCATTACTTCGAGACTGTCAACTCTTTTCGAACTAGGAGAGCCCTTTCCAATCCAAAAGCTTGACTCGAAGGAGGCCATTCAACTTCTCTTGAAAAATAGCGGCTTGTCCAAAAGCAACTCCGTTAATGAGATTGAGAGAGATCCGAGTAAGATAATATCTTAGAAATGGACCTATGAAAGTAATGCTGATATAGCTAGATACCCTCGCACTTGCCGACTGTCTTGATGGACTCCCACTTGCGATTATCATTGCGGCAGCATTCATGCGCGAAACTGGGACAAGCATCACTCAGTACTTGAAGCATTACCGAGGGTCATGGTCTAATCTACAGGCACTTTCGAGTCCTGGACGTCAGTACCAGCAAGGCAACATGCTGGAGACATGGCAGATCTCATTTTATGAGATTCAAAATCGAGATCCAAATGCAGCACATCTTCTACTGCTACTTGCCCGTTTTGACAATCGTGATATTTGGTATGAGTTACTAAAAAGTGCTTCTAATTGCTCCAATATTCCTGGTTGGCTTGAAAGGGCAATATCAAGTGAACTACAGTTCAAAGCATGCCTGAAGCCCCTGATAGGGTTTTCTTTTCTTCAAGAAAAGCCACAAGAAGGAAGTTATACAATGCATCCTGTGGTACAGGATTGGTGCTTCCACATAACCAGCATAGACACAATTACAAATGCGATCCAGCTTTCCGAAGTTGCATTTATATGTGTTGGATACTCAGTTCCTGCCAAAAGTGAACGTGATTATGCAGAACTAGAGCGACGGCTTCTTCCACACACGATTGGTCTGCAGACCGCGCAATTATCTCTTGGGGATAATGCCATTTTAGGAGGGTTTCATAACCTAGGAGATCTCTACTCTGACCAAGGAAAGCTGAAAGAGGCAGAAGAGATGTACCAGCGAGCACTTGCAGGCTATGAGAAGGCCTTCGGTCACGATCATACGTCCGCTCTTGATATAATCCACAACCTTGGCCTTCTCTACTCTAACCAAGGGAAGCTGAAAGAGGCAGAGGGGATGTATCGGCGGGCACTGGTAGGCTGTGAGAAGGTCCTGGGTCCATATCATACCTCCACCCTCGATACAGTTAACAACTTTGGCTTTCTCTACTCTCATCAAGGGAAGCTGAAAGAGGCAGGGCAGATGTACCAGCGAGCACTAAAAGGCTATGAGAAGGCCCTCGGTCCAGACCATACATCCACCCTCAATACAGTCAACAATATTGGCCTTCTCTATTCCAATCAAGGGAAGCTGAAAGAGGCAGAGGAGATGTACCAGCGATCGCTAGTAGGCTATGAGAAAGCCCTCGGTGAAGACCATACGTCGACTCTCGATATAGTCAATAACCTTGGGAGTCTCTACGTTGACCAAGGGAAGCTGAAAGAGGCAGCGGAGATGTACCATCGATCACTGGTAGGCTATGAGAACGCCCTCGGTCAAGATCATATATCTACCTTGAATACAGTCGACAACCTTGGGAATCTCTACTCTCACCAAGGCGAGCTAAGAAGGGCAGAGGAGATGTACCAGCGAGCACTGGTAGGCAAAGAGAAGGCGCTCGGTCCAGACCATACCTCCACCCTCAATACAGTCAACAATCTTGGCCTTCTCTATTCCAACCAAGGGAAGCTGAAAGAGGCAGAAGAGATGTACCAGCGATCACTGGTAGGCTATGAGAAAGCCCTCGGTCAAGATCATACGTCCACTCTCGATACAGTCAATAACCTTGGAAATCTCTACGCTGATCAAGGGAAATTAAACGAGGCAGAGGAGATGTACCAGCGAGCAATATTAGGCTATGAGAACGCCCTGGGTCCAGACAATACGTTTACACTCGATGCAGTCCACAACCTTGGCCTCCTCCATTCTGACCAAGTGAAGCTGAAAGAGACAGAAGAGATTCACCATGGAGAGCTCCCAGACATCCCGAAGGTCGCAAATCTCAATAATAGCAGGGCACGGCGTGCTAAGAAGAAATTTACTGGATGGCTTAAATACTGAGCGAATCAACTGTATACTCAAAATGGGTCTGGAAAGAGCCGCCATGTCACTGCAAGATATCCTCGGTGTTAGTTTACTACCGTCATTATGATTGCACCCCATCACCGTATATAAGGGCCTAGGTGAAATCCCTGATACAAAGAAAAGGTCTGAGTGATTATATTATTTGTAATGAAAATTTACGAAATATACGAGTTTATTGATTAGCCATATTATACCCAAAAGCCTTTTTTTAACGCAACTCGCTCTAGATTCTGTCACTGGGTGACTTGGCAAATTAAATAGAAGGCGATAGTTGTCAGATCTGTATAGCAAGCATATAGCGCGGTAGATTATGTTAAAAGTTACGATGCAAGTGGGGAAACGCTGACAACGGAGGAGAGTACATATAGATAATCTTTGAATCTATTACCAAGTTGTTTAAGTCCGGAGATTCTCATTTGTGTGAGAACCTCCTTATATAACAGAAAACTCTGCCTTAAACTAGTCCTAATTAGATTTCCCAGGTGATGAATCACTTTGGTTGCCGTCATGGCTCATTCATGGCATAAACCATGGCTGGCCACCATAAATCTCAATAGACTAAACCGATCTGATGGTATTAATATCTGTAAAATCATAAATACCCCAATTGGTATTTCCTGTTTTCCAGGCTATAGGAGTAACCATTGAGATAGGTCTCGAAATACAAGACTAACCAAATCTGAATGAGCCTGTATGTGTTCAGGAATCAAAGAGTTCTGTTTTCGTCATGGAAACCGACAGTGGTTGGTAATTTCTTTCTTGCGTTTACTATTTGAAAATGAGATCATAGGGTTCAGAAGGAGGCTACATATAACTTGCAATCGGGCGTGATTTGGAAAACGACGTTCGCGTTGAAAGGCGTGTTTTTTTGAGCTTCCAGACTACCGGCGGCTTTTGCTAGAAACTCTTCACTAGCTCAAAAAGCATCTCAGTTTCTGTACTCGTCATCAGGAGTCGCTAGCAAGCGCTGCAGGTAGTGTGGAAGCTCTACGCAGTATCTCACGTCGGGTGAAATAACACTTCTTGTTATTGTGCCTTCTTCTACCTAAACCGCGATGAGTAATGCAGCTAGATTTTTGGGACAGTTTCTCATAGGAAACCGAGAGAAAGCCCGTATCAATCACAAATAGCACAATGTAAATGATATTGTGATGTCGAATTCCCAATCTGGACTAGTGCAGCATTGGGTTAAAGCTGACTAATCTTGTAATCATCATGGATGCCGAGGCGGCCTGGGCGACTACTTGCGAGGTCTTGCAACCCTTTCCACTATCGTGACCCCAAACCCTTTTCCCAGATTCTGACCAAAATTTTTTGTTTTCAAGTCGACTGATCTAATATTTCAACATCGTTCATGTTGTCGGAAATCCCTTCGAGGACTTTCCGCCCTTGTTTATCAAGATGAACCACACACCTTCATCCATTAACTTCGGCACTTTTTTAGAGGCCAGGTCTACTGAAACCGAGTTTCATGTTACCAAGAAGAGAAACAGAGTCCCGCTAAGTTGCTACCCGTGCCGAACTAGAAAGTCACTCAACCCCGAATTCTCGCACCCTAAAAGAAGATTCTAACAACCAGCCGCAGATGGTAAAGCAGACCTGTAATGGTACTTTGATCATTTAAACTGATCTCCTCACCAGGAAATGTGATAGGAATCATCCTTGCAGAAATTGTGTGAGACGTGAAGGTCCTGACGTCAGTTCGTGCGTCTACGCGACGTCTCCACCAAGCACACGGAATGAAAGCCGAGGTACGCCGCGACCTGAGGATATGCAAGATCGTATCGGTCGCTTGGAAGATCTTATCCTGGCTTTGATGCGTGGGAATGGTAATGCCGATGCCTCGGATGTAGCCACTGCCACCACTGTAGCCAACACTGGAACAATTGACAGCACACCACACTCTGCAATAGCTGGCCGGAGCAAGGAAGCCACCAGTGGTCAGGATTTGGATTCTAATGTTGACGAGAGCTTAGCCGGTTCGCTGGGTTACCTGAATGTGAACGCTGACAAGGGAAAATCAAAATATGTCGGTCAGGAGCACTGGCATACTATGTTATCGGAAGTTGCAGAGGTTAAAGCTTACTTTGCCAATCACAAGGAGATAGAAAACAATCAGGAGAATGCCAGTATGTCCTCGCCAGCGAATGCTAGAGAAGGGCTCACTTTCCTCCTCGGCGCCGTGCCTCCCGCGACCGAGGTCGAGCTACGGGCTGAGTTGCCTCCAATGTCGACTGTGCTCTCCTTGTGCGCTCGATACTTCAACTCGCCGGACAATCCTATCGTCATTGTCCACTACCCAACATTTCACCAGCAACTACAATCTCACTGGCAAGACCCGTCCGCAACTCCAATCATGTGGTTGGGTTTACTTTACTCAATCTTGTGCCTCGCAATGCTGAGTTACCACAAGCTTGGAGACGAACCTAGCGAATGGGAAGGACAGACCTTCAGGATGGCAAGCGAGTACCGTTTACGCACCGTGCAGTGCCTTATCACGGCTGACTACACGAAGCCCGTTGAAAACACAGCGGAGACGATGCTGCTTTACGTCTTCGCAGAGTATTCGTCGCGGACCGATGTTGATCTGGGACTTTGGTTGATCGTCTCGTTGGTAACTAAGATCGCCTTGCATATGGGATACCATCGTGATGCCAAGTGGTTCCCATCATTGACTCCGTTTCATGGTGTAAGTTGAGTGTTTTGCATGGGTTCTCGTTTACTACAAGCTAACATCACGCAACAGGAAATGCGGCGACGGACATGGACTTTGTTGAGAATCGCCGATGTCATGTTTTCCCATCAGGTCTCGCTGCCTAACACGATTTACAGTCATCAGTGTGATACACAGGTGCCTACCAATCTTTTCGATGAGGATTTTGGCCCGGAAAGTCTGACTCTGCCTCCATCTCGCCCAATTGATGAGCTCACACCAACTGCATATATGATCGCGAAGGTGCAATTATGTAAAGAGATGAGCGATGTCCTGCAGACAACAAACCGCGTTGATGGTCAAGTTCCGTACGAAGAAATCCTGCGCTTTGATACCCGACTTCGTGGGATCTACCAGAAGTTCCCCCAGCACTTGCAGGATGTGCCCTTACAGGGATGCCATGATCCAGTCACGGTGATCATGAACAGGTTCAGCATCAATGCGCTGTACCTCAAGATCATTTGTTTATTGCATAAGAGATACGTGCCTCGCGCACGACAAAACTCACAATACGCGTACTCGCGCCGAGCTGCTGTCACAGCTGCGTCAGACACGCTACGAAGCCTAGTCACTTTGCATCGGGAATCAAATGATACCCAATATCCTCGATTGCTTGAATGGTTTGTAAATTCCATGGCTACCAAGGAATTCCTAGTATGCGCCATGCTTGTGGCGCTAGATCTTCATTATGATTGCATGGCTGAGGTTAGCAGCGACGAACGACTGCGAGAGACAGCCCTTTTCTGGACATCTGAACAAAGGGCGGAGATGTTGAGCAATCTCGAAATGGTCAAGGATTTCTGGAAAGGACTTGCCGATGGCTCAACTGAGGCACTTCAGGCATCAAAGGTACTGGAGATTATGTTAGAAAAGATCAAAAGCCCCTCATCGAGACCGAACGCCGCAGGGGAGACCAGTCAGCCATCGCTTGTCAACTCTTCTTCTACTGAGCTGCCGGATCCCACGAATTCAATGATGCCAGGACCGCTTTCAACCGGCCTGACAACAAGCACCGGCGCGGCAAATCACGGGACGCATGCTTCGGGCGCGCTACACAACATGTACTTCAGCAACCATTTATCCGCCTCAACCATGATCCAAAATCGTGGGGAAGGCCACGAGGACACCACCACGGCGGGGTCTTATCTTCCGATGTTTCCAAATCTCATGACAGATGATTCCTATGGCGGGAACTTTGATTGGGTAAGTTTTCCAAGGAGGCGACATGAATGGATTCCTAAGTATCTTCTAGAACGCTTTTGAAAATTACACACAAAACGTGAACTGGGGAGGTATCGACACATTCCAGATGTTCCCCGGGTCATAAGATGCAGACAGGGCAGGAGATGAACAAAAGAACTGTCAAGCAGGACTTGCATCTTGAGGGAAAACGTTTTTGGAGGAACTTGTGTTTAAATTCTATTCAAATCTTTCGCATTCGAAACACTTGCGCATTCAGGGACTTGCGTGAACGGTTGATCTGAGGCTAAAGTCCTAGCGCTGCGGAGATAAGCAAAAATTGGACCTCGGGATGACTTCGGCTTATTCATCCAACACAGAGCTCCAGGGCCGGGAACTGATCTCAGGAGCCATGAATGACAAGCTTAAATCCGATAACTCTAAAAGTCTCCCTAATTGAATCAGTATATAAGACACGATGAAGAACTCACTGATATTATCTCTTGTGACTCGTTTAAGATTCCAATCACACTTTTCCGTAACACAACAAATCCACCATGTCTGTCATATCCATCAAGAAAGGTCCCATTGAGCTAGCTGGACTCCTCTTCACGCCTACCACCTCCAGTGACAAATTTCCCGCTCTCATTGTCGTTCACCCGGGCGGCGGAGTGAAGGAGCAAACTGCGCAAGTATATGCGAAGAAATTTGCTGCCGATGGTTTCAAGGTAGTCTGCTACGACGCTTCCTACCAAGGCGAAAGTGGCGGCGAGCCGCATTTCCTCGAGGATCCCAACGAGCGGGTCAGCGATATCTATGCAGTAGTCGACTACCTGCAGAACGATGAAACCGTTGATGCGGGAAAGATTGGAGTGGTTGGAATCTGTGCCGGCGGTGGGTACGCCGTCGCCGCGACAAAAGCTGATCACCGCCTGAAAGCAGTCGCTGCGATCAGCATGGTCAACATTGGTGATTCAGCGCGACTGGGCTGGTATGGCGATGAAGATTCGAAGAAGCATGTCGCGTCCTTGGAGCAGGCTGCGGCTCAAATCACAGCAGAGGTTCAAGGGTCGGAGTGTGCTGCCGCACCGTATGTGCCTCCCCAACTAGATGATCAGACACCCTATGATCTGAAAGAGGCGCATGACTACTATCTTGGTCCAAGAGCGCAGCATCCCCGCGCAGAGAACAAGATGTTGTTCCTCAGCTTCCCTAGGGTGCTTACATTCGATGCATTTCATCTCGCTGAATTGTTCCTCACGCAGCCAACTCTACTGCTTGTCGGTGAGAATGCTGGGTCCCTGTGGCATACGGAGAAGCTCAGCAAGATCTTGGACGGAAAGGCAAAGAAAGTCATTCTCCCGAAGGGCACGCACATGGACCTTTACGATAAGGAGGAGTCTGTTGGACCAGCGGCAAAGAGTGTGGTTGAATTCATGCGAGCGAGCTTGTCGGGATAAGTGTTTGTATCTAGCTGGACCTTGACACTGGGCAGAACCCCCGAGCTTGAAATCATATAAATCATAAATCTTTCACTATGCCTTTCATACGCATGTAAATTATGGAGTTAAGATCCTGGATGCCTGCCGTACTAGTCGAGCGGAAGATTTGTACTTGATTGACCGGTCTTGGTGTATTTATGTAACGCTGTCTGAGCTCCAGCAATATGGATAAACATGGTTCAAGATTTTTTCCAGTCCACTAGCAGTGCTTAGGACTTTGCAATAAGTGCTCTTAAAAGCGTTATATAAGTTTCGTGTCATGATATATCAAATCGACGTCAGCAAGAAGAATTCTAAAACTTAATGCATAGAGCTTATGATCTTGGATAAATACAATAGATTTCTTATACGCATGGAATGAATAGTAATACTAACACTTTCTCGAAGAATTTGCCAAGTGATAGAAAACATCCCAGGCAATCTCAGAATTACTCTCCAGGCTGCAGACATTGCACATTTCCATGGTTTATCTTTTTATCCGTCTAAGCTTTCTCGGACTTACTTCAGAACTGACTGTCCGTTAGACAGAATGCTTTATGTACACTGTACGGTCTGCTATTGACCTTTCGATTGAATTTCCCTCAAACTTGTCGGAAGAAATCGGCGATGTGCTGAACAGAAGGGTCCACGTATGCTGGGCGGTCGTAGAAGTCCATGTGACGACCACCTGGAATAACAAACCGACTTACTCCGCTGTTTTCCCCCTGCAATCTGTTGTAGAGCCTCTCCGAATGCCACTTGCTTTCTGCCAAGTCGCCATAGATGATCAGGGTTGGCTGAGTGAGGTACATATCCGTGAAATCCCATGCGTCGAAATTCAGGATCAGTTGTTGAGATCGTGTAAGCATCTTGTTCTGAGCGTTGGGATGCTGCGCCCGAGGAGTAAGATAGTAATCGGCAGCATCTCTGAGGTCATATGGTGTGTTTTCATCCGGAACTGGTGGGACGTAGTTGATGTATTCCGGTTTGGTACCATTGGCTTCAGCTTGAATGGGCCCGGTGATTTCTTCAAGAACCGAAATCTTGCCAGCCGCATCCTCGGTTCCAAGCCAGCCCTCCCGATTACCATCGCCAATGTTCACTGCACTGACCGTCGCAACAGCTTTCAGGCGATGATCGGCCTTGGCTGCGGCAGCTGCATACCCTCCTCCGGCGCAGATTCCAACCACGGCGATGCGATCCGGGTCAACATAGTCGAGTGTCTCGAGATAGTCGACCACGGCGGAAGCGTCTGTCATTCTAGAGTTGGGGTCTTCCAAGAAGTGCGGGACGCCTCCAGAGTCACCTTGGTGAGCAGCATCGTAGGCGATAGTGACGTAGCCCTGCTGCGAGAGCTTCTCGGCATACACACTGGCAGCCTGCTCTTTGACTCCTCCACCCGGGTGCATGATTATAAGGCCAGGTAGAGTGCCAGTAATGTTTTGTGGCTGGAATAGGAGTCCAGCTAGGGTGATAGACCCTTTCAATATCGAAATTGGTAACATGAGGTTTAATCTTTTCTTTGGGGTCGTTCTGTAGAAGACATCATAAACTGCTTGCTATATATATATCCTAGAAAATCTAACATTTAACGGTGGAACACGAACATTGTTGACTGACGACTCTTCCCTGCGCCAAGAATTTAGCCAAGAATATGTTTGTACGTACAATTTGCAGAGTTGACATAGGTTTCATTGCGTCGACAGAACTTGGCAAAGACTGGAGTATCGGCGATGACGATCGTCTTCGCTGCGAAGCATGGAGCCAATGGCGACCGCTCATTTCTTTCACGGGATAAGATAGGCTCTAAGATAGCAGATAAGATAGGCAATAAGATCCACTCCGAGTCCGCAACAGGAAAGTTCCAAATATCTCCACCCTTCAATGGCGTTCCACCCTCAGCTCCAATGCCCCATTTGCAAAGACAAAATTTTCAGTATGTAATAACTGCTACTGAAGTCGCTCAACTCTGTAGATTCTTTCAGCCGAGGGAGCATCGGTACAATCGATTTATTCTAAACAAAAAACTCCGATTGATTCTAGCAGGTATTGGTTCTGATTTCCTCGAGATTGATCATACTTGAACGATTCGCTAGCCTGTAGGAAATCTGCGCTTGAACTTGGTGGATACTTGGTGGCTGCGTATAATAGGTAGGTTTGATTCAGTAACGTTACTTCATTGAGGGACATGTAAAACCTACTGGCGACCTATCCAGTGCAAGGGTCAAATTGCCACGAGCGAAGACATATTCAAGGATCAGCGTTGTAAACTTCATAACTCCGCGAATAACTCCGTTCATGCGACAATCCGATTGAAGAAGACCCAGTCTGTTCCTTCTCAGTGTAACTCGCATCCAGCGCTCCATCTTATTTTCAATCATATCTCCTTATACCCTAGTGCTGACACCTACAATGACCGAAAGATCATTGCCAAAACTCGCTAAGCTACACTCTGCCTGTAACGATGATCTGCAAGCGGATGATACCTGGGCTGGGCTGACAGACCCCAGCGAACGGCGTCGGCGGCAAAATCGCATTAACCAGAGGATACACCGTAAGTCATACTTACTCGATCGAGATTGACAGGAGCTAATGTGTTAGGCAAGCGAAAGCGAATAAAACTGCAACAAGAAGATATCCACCTCAAAAGCCTAGTTGTATCCTCCAGCTCGATCTCTGCTACTCAAGCACAAGACACGACCCGGCCAGGAAACAGCCCCACAAATGTTCATTTCAAGCAAATACTTCGGCAGTTTATACAATCAGCGTATCAAAGCTATTCAGAGGGAGATCCAGCCGCCGAGCATCTCTTCACATTAACAAAAGTCAACGTCTTCCTCGCGTTCACGCAGAACATGAGGCTAATCGGGTGGCCACCGGGTTGGATGAACGACGACCCTAATTCCCGATTAAGTAATTCTTTGTCGCAAAAGAAATCCACATTAAACGACTACAGCCACATTCCTATCAACCTTCGACCGACTCGGGTCCAAATAACAGTTCCCCACCACCCCTGGCTTGATCTCTTCCCTTTACCCAAGATGCGCGACAATCTCATAGCAGCCGGCCAAGCTTGTGATCATGACCAGCTTTGTCATGATATCATGGGATTTTGGGGTGAACCAAATCTCCAAGCTGGACTACTGGTGTGGGGGAAGCCTTGGGATGTACGCAGTTGGGAAGTGACGGAACCATTTTTGAAAAAATGGCAGTGGGTCATTCGGGATTGTCCTGAACTAATGAGTTCGACGAATACCTGGCGTGCGAGGCGAGGGGAGCAGTTGATATTTCGCTACCTGTAAACATTTCATTCCCTGCAGAATCACGAGGCGGTGCTGTCTAGAATCTATCGGCGTGGCGATTATACCAAACAGGATTAGTTGATGGAGAAACCAAAGATTCCTGATCGTATATCGAAAACTTGACCAAAGCTGGGTAGAGATTGAGCAGATCCACTAACTATTCCTAACCTGAGTCAAGGATCTGCTCCACGGGTGTGGCCGTGGATGAGTTCAGATTCATTACTTTAAAAGGGACATGCTGCGGCCTTGGCTGTCCTTTTCGATATAAATTATGCCCTCGCTTCAAAGAGATAGTTGGGAGTTAGGATCTATTTGCCCGTTAAAAATAATAGGCGAGTCGTCGACTGCATGTTTGAAGCTATTGCATCTAAATAAAGGGGTGCTAGAAAGCCACCCCCATCCCCCCCCATAATTAAATCTGACTAATACCCTGTGGGACCCTAACGGCATTTTAGCGCTTTTTGGGCATGGAATTTACATCAAATTTTACCTCAAATTTTACATCAAATCCTTAGTATTTTAATGAATCGGATAAATCATCAGTCCTCGCTTAGTAATCCACCAAAAAACCGATATTCGCCAAGGGTGTAGGGTCCATGCACGTAGGGTACCTGAGTCTACTAGTAATCTGCTACGTAAATCATGTACCCTGAGTGTTTAAGTCCCCTAACCCCCTTGCTCCATCAGATGCAAGTGATAAAACTGCAAAGAAATGGAATGCTTTGATTGACTTTAACTGACAGAGGGGTGGCCTTTTAGCACTACCCTAAATAAATGGCACTAAATGACCAGATGAATCGATTTTGGCCAAGTTTCTCGGAATAAGGATTGCGCGTTCCCCCCTGCAGAGGCAAATGGTATGACCCAGGCCTTCACAATTCGTTGCAGAGGACTTTTACAACTTGGCAGGACCCTTTCACTCATTTGAGGGCTTGACAGGCTGGAAAGTGTTAGCATTGAGGTAGTTCACTTTCTGCCAAGTTCACGGGGGACAAACCGGTTGATGGTCAGGGCTATCCATGAAGCTTGCCATTCGATATTGGAAATTGTCCGCTGGTGTTAGACCAACGCTGTATTTCCTGTCGCCGCCAAATGTGTACAGAAATGTCATGGGAAACAGGGGATTGAACGGAATCGCGTCTTCGATGAATTCAAGATCTTTCTTCGACAAAGCAATCTTCAATCCGTCTTCCAGTACCTTGACATGCTCTACCGTACGGGTGCCAACCATTGGAAAAACATAAGGCGTCTTTTGGAGGAGGTATGCAAGAGCCTGTAGTGGATGTGGATGTTAGGATACAGTGATGATCAGGGACTGCATGAAAACTTACCACCGCTTGCACGGTTGTATTCTCGCGCTGAGAGATTGTTTCCAGCTTCTCGGAAACCTTGAGCGCCTCTTCCGCTGGCGGTCCATAAATGCGGCCCCCTTTTTTGGCTTCTCGTTGCTCCTTAGACAAAAACTTCCCTGTACCCAATGCTTCCCAGGGAACGATGGCCATACCCTGATCGCGGCACATTGGAATCACTTCGGCCTCCATGTCGCGATATCCCGCGTTCCATTTTCCTTGGTATAATGAAAATGGCGTCAGACCGTGCTGGCGAGCATAAGAATTTGCCTTCATCACCACCCAGGCAGGGAAATCAGAGGCACCGAGATACAGGATCTTGCCTGCCATGACAAGAGAGTGAAGTCCGCGCATGATTTCTTCAACGGAGGTGACAGAATCCCACCAGTGAACATAGAGGATGTCAATGTATTCAGTCTTCAGTTTTTTCATTGAATCACGGACGCTGACATGCATGGCCTTCACTGAATTTCCAGTGAAGTTGGATTGTATAGGCTCTTTATCACGTTTGTAACTGCGGTATCCTGCTGAGTACTTCGTCGCGATGACCATTTGATCTCGATTGCCTCGTTGTTCCATCCAAGATCCAATGACCTTCTCTGACTCTTCCGATTGATACACGTTCGCTGTATCAATGAAATTGCCGCCTTGTTCGAAGAATGCGTCAAGAATCTTGTAGGGATCGTCTGATTTGCCCATGAAACCTTCCCTATAGCATTACGTTAGAAAAAGATTCAAACTTAAGAGTTTTCTTTCGTTCACAAGCCCACCATGTGTTCGTCAAGCTCATGGCCCCAAGGCAAACGGGTGAAACTCTCACGCCGGCATTTGGTGAGAGCACTCGGTGACGACCAAGCCACGTCTTTGGCACGGGGCCTGCCTTGAAAACTTCACTCATGATAGGTACTGAGATACAGTGAAAAAAAAAGTGATAGATCGAGTAGAGCAGACAGAAGTATACAGCCTTTGTGGCAGGTTCAGTCCTTGATAATTGGCAGGTATTATATCCATTACATGAATCAAGTTATGTCGTCATACACCTAGTATCTAGTCAGTGAAACTTGACCAGACCCACTCGGGGTTTGCGGCGTTACCCTGCCTTGATGGAGCCAGGTATGCAAGTCGCTGACCCATACACAGATAAGTCTTGCATTAGCGGGGACCGGTCTTCTTAAACCCTAGTGCTGCGGAGATTAGCCAAATAATCAGATAAAATTTTTATTTTTTATCATTTTGTTTTTGTTCTCTGGAAATAGCTTATTTAGCAAAGGTGTGGTAAGCTATATATTGGAATAGAACCCCAAGGATTTGGATCTCAATAAAAAGAAAGTATGTCCATGTGACAGCATTGGCGTCCAGACTTGAAAAATGCACAGAATGCACAACAGCGAGACAGCTGGCGTAAAAACCTGCGACCTTAGCTCAGTTCTACCGAGAGAGGCTGATGCGTATTAGTCAATCCATGCGTCGCTCTGAAGCCCTGAATATCTGACCAACCTCCGATGAGCTAGTGCCCGCGCTTAGCAGCTACTGAAAGGATATTAAATCTATCCGTTCCGTCGCAGGGGAAGAGATGGGTATAGTGAGAAAGTAGATGGTGCATCTGCGCGCGCTCTTTGTACCTGGATGCCTACGGCAACAGGTTTTTCCTATGTTTTGGGTTGTGGGATTGGTATTTATGTCGAGCTGGTACCCAGTCTCTCTTTTGAGGACCAGTTCTTTTTCTGTATTTACATTATCAGGTGTACGGGCAAGTTCTTGCTTCAACTGGATAGAACCGCCTGCATAGCCATTACGATACTAGTTGGGCTGCATCAGGTTAATTGAACTTTGATTGATTGATTGACCGTTCTGTCGCATATCCCGTTCCTTGCGAGTTCTGCGCTGCTTTCTCCAGCTTTGTTGCCCGGTATGCGGTCGTGGGTCAGGATACAGCAGAGGCTGATGTTTGTTGAATCTTGGGAATGAAGAACCTGTATGTTCTCATGAATTCGCATGAGAACGTACTGGCTGGGCCGTCTTTTGCACGCTTTACCTATGGTGCTGTTGGTTGGTTTGGCCCTTTTGGCTACGTTGGCTTGTTTGTCAGGTCCACGGCTGCTACCCATGGATGTTGTCTCTTCGGTGTTGGATCCAAGCTCACTGGCTCCCTGCTCGGCTGGCGTGGGCCGGAGCCCGACCCTAAGCCTGAGCCTGCGCTGCTGACCCCCGCAGTTGGCAACCTTCCGTTCAGCAATGGCTGCGCTGTCTTTTCCCGGACAGTTTGGAGAGAGACGAACATCCACGCAGTGAACGTATCGTGAAGCTCTGGAGCAGGTCCTTCCTATGTGGTCGTATTCCTGGCAACAGTAACATTTAACGGATTCTTGCGGTTCCATTGTATGGGACAGCAGCGAGCATAACGGAGTCATATACGACAGAGCTACAACAATCCATCAATTCTATCGTTGCTAGAATTTTGGACACATAGGAAAAGCCTGCTCCAGAGGTCCACGATGCGGTCATTACACGAATGGCGATCTCTCTCCAAAGCATCCAGGCACTGACGGCGCGACTATTAGTGAACGGAGGTGTGCTGACTACGGGGGCACGCACACTAGGGTGAACCGGAAAGTGCAAGGATTTCCTAGCAGAAGTGGACAGTGCAAAGCAATTAGAACTGCGCTGCGAACTTTTTCATCGGATTCCAGCTTTAATCAATCAATCGACCAAATTTCAATGAGCCTGTTGCAGCCTAACTATTATGGTAATGGCTATATAGGCACTTCATCCAGTTGAAGCGAAAGCTCATCAGAACACCTGATAATGCCGTACGGGAATTAGCTAGTCCCCAGAACATGCCAACTCTACATTTAAACCCCTCCTCCTCAAATCCTGCATCAGCAAGATCAGATCCCGTTCTCCGTTCTCACTTGAGCCTCATTTGCAGCTAAAAGACTTACTCAGCCTCAGGTTGAAACTCTCTCTTATGCTGAACGAGCTCAGGTCTATATATCACACGATATCACCAGATGTCTTAACAAATGGTTTCGAAGAATACTCATAGCGACGTAAAATCTTCTTATTTGATCATTTCACCAAGCCTTTGGTAGACTGTGCAGTTCTCTCACAGTCTGACTACTTTTTCCGTCTCTTCTAAATACGATATTGCACTATTCGCTCGGCAGTTGCGACAAGGTGGACAGTCGATTTATCCACTCCAGTTCCATTGCTAGTCCCACCTCCCAAAAAATCTTCGAGTGCCGCGCATTTCGCACTGCTACCTACGGCTTCATTCCCAGGCACGCCAGAATGAGTTGGGATCCAGCGTATGGTAGCCAATATCCAGTATCGATGTAGAAGTGTCCTTATGTGGTCATGAAGACTGCGAACGTACAAACCTGACGGTCTCTGTGGGTTCTGGACCGCCTAAATAGTGGCTTAGCTACCAGAGAGACTGATCACCATTGAACCATTTCATATATTGGGTTCTCTTTATTATTGCCTCTTTTCTAAGCTCCAATGCTGGCAAATTGCATATCTATACCGCTAAGCTCAGCAGCGTACATCGTAGACCGGCTTTCCATGCTAATATGTCTATGGTCAACTAATATCTTAATGCTTTTACTAGGCGGTGTAGGCCATAAGAGAAGGCGGTAGCTAATTGGGTCTGAAGGGGGGTAAAAATGTAACGATAGTTGCGCATTGAAGCTGCGCCCTGGCAATGTGTACACAAGCCACATGCTTCTTATTGGTCGGCTGATTTTTCCCCTCAAATGATTTTCTCGGAAAAGGTCTTGGCGTGCGGCTCACTTCAGTGGGATCAGTTATCTGCCATCCGCGTGGCAACCCCTTTGTTCCTGGGTCGCGTACCTGCAACTGTTGATCACTGATTGGCATACAAACATATTACTTGAACTGCGTGAGGATTTTAAATGATAGAGTGTCATATCATTAAGTAGATATGCGGCTAGAAAATGTCCAAAGCTTACAAACGGTAACTGTATGTCTGTTCCTGTGTTTTGGAGCACATCTCCGCGGAATGATTACTGTATTTTTAATGCATTCATTACATTAGAGGCCGAGCGAATGATTCAAATTAGCTCTTGCATCCTAGCCTGTGGAACTCAGCCACATCATTGTCATTTGACGGCTATTTTATCCCTCAAAGGTAAAAGCGCGAAGGGGTGCCTTGTAGAGCTTGACCGCTTTGCCAGGCGCCAGTGGCTATAATCACAAAGGCGCAGAGAGAAACTTCAAAACATGAAAAAATAACGGCGATAAGCTCTGACTGGCAGGTAGATTCATGAATATTTGGCCTTTCCCACGTAAGATGCTACATAGGCCCGGTCCTTTTTACTGTGCCGACGACCGAGGGTGCAGGGGAAAAGAAATTGCTGAGGCCCATACTGTTCATGTCTTTGGATTCCAATGGAGAGTTCCAGCATTAAATTTAGCATTTTACCTCCCTGCCATTTAGACCCAGGGGTTTGAAATGTTGATTCGCCCACGATTGGTGAGCTCACGTCGACCATTCCGTTCAAGCGCCGGCTTATTTTTCCGTCCCTCGCAGGGAACAGGGTAGCGAACGCTAAACGACAAATCATTGGCTGAGACGCAAACCTATGCACTGGTAACCTGCTGCGACCAATAACAATGGGTACGTTCCCCATCAATGCTCAATAATGATAATATAATACACATAAGGCAGGAGATAGTAACGCTCGAGTCAAAAGTAAGACATGAGCGCCGGCAGCTTGCCTTATCTCCCAAAATTTGACATTTCAATAAAAACCGAATTGATTCATTCAAGTGGGCTGGTTCTAGCGAAATGGTTTGTTTCATTCATCTACTTGAGCCCTTGTATGGCTTGTTTCTGGAAGATATGGCCCTGTATCAGTAGTCTTCGTATCCCCTAGTGATTTTTTTCAACCACATCTGGTAATTACATCCTACATAATTCTTACCACGGGTATATCTTGTAGAGTCACTTCAATACAATGCTGCAACAATACCTCTAAAATTCACTACATGTTAGTGAGGGGGTACCAAGAACGAGAGCGCAACAATAAAGCCTCGTAAGCTGGTAATCGACAGATAGATATACAAGATGATAGTGCTTGCATGTTATGTCTCTTTGTTCGGCAGTTTTCTATCAACTTGGCGATCGATGGTACTTTGTTTTTAGCTTACTGGTCTGAGCGTCGAAACGTAAGGATTGTGATTTCACTAGCTGAAATGGCTGATCGATCGCTTTGGATTGTGGAAGGGATGAAAGATGCATGCTTTTTGACACTTTGAATTGTCGCATTTTTTCGCCAAATTCGTGTAGTGAAATTGACTGCATGCAGGGAGATGCTCGAAGTCGGGAATGTTAACCAAAGATCTGCAGATCCTCGATTCCTTATGAATATAATTCAGCGGGGTCACTCTATGTTTTTTAACACCTTTAATCGATTAATCGAAGCTGTCAGGCAGCAGCCAGTCCAATGACTGGGTACCCAAACTCCCATCTAGTGCCGTTCCTTGGAAGCAGTTCAGCATCAAATATGCTCGCTCTAGGTGATCACGAACTTGTTGAGAGTCCACATCTCTTTGATTTTCCCGTCGACTATTTCTTCGATGATTTTCCAAGCAATACCGAGGGGCCGTCCAGGAGACTCGTTCTCACTACAAACCATCACAACCCGAATCCTAAGGTTCCAATATCTCGCATGAGTACCCCGATAAGCTGGAACAACAGAGCCCGTGTTAGTCAAGCATGCAAAGCTTGCCGCCAGCTTAAAACCAAATGCAGCGGCCAGCGACCGGTGTGTCAAAGATGTGAAGACCTCGGGCTTGACTGCAACTATAGTGAGCGAAAGCGGGAGGTGGTCAACAAGTATGAAGCACAGAAAAATCAGTATTGAATGTTTGAAGCTGACTTCAACTATCAGAAAAATGGAAGACTTGAGCGCACATATTGATACGTTAGAAAATCTGTTGCGTGATGTCTACCCCAAGCTTGACAGCACCTCTGCCCAGCATGTTGACCGAACACTGAACAACGTGAGCTTAACCTTTCCTCGGTTTGACTTCGTCTATATCCTCAGTTTAGACCAGCTCATCTCCGCAGGATTTCTGATTTTCTCTCTGACGATATACAGGGTTTGAGCCACGATCGGGCTAGGCTGAATTTGTGTCCCCTAGCAGCAGAGCGCTCCAATACACCAAAGGCTCCACCGACTACTTTCGGTCACACAGATGAAGATTTCAATCGTAACGGGGAATTACAGGCACTAGGATTTGTGGGTGAGCACTCAGAGATGGCATGGCTGTACAGAATCAAGTCTGCACTGGAACAAGCCTCCGCCACACCATCTACGTCGCAGGAAACTACGCGTCGACTGTCCATCGCTTCCATAAATTATTACAGAGCTGACTGGAGGATGGAGGTGCAAGATGAAGTTAGTGTGTTTGAGAGGCCAGAGAAGTCCGAGGCGGACCAGCTCATCGACACCTATTTTCGAATCATCCACCCATCATTCCCTGTCGTTGGCAAAATGACTTTCCTTGGTCAATACAAATTGTTTTACGCCGATACAACTGCCCGACCTAGGAAGCAATGGCTAGCTATTTTGAACTTCATGTTCGCCATTGCCGGAATGCACTTATCACCCACGCAGAATATTACCGAGTGTGACGAATTCCCACATCGGGTTTTTTTTTCACGGGGATGGATACTTAGTATGGACAAGGCATCATTGCGAGATCATTCAAGCTTGCAGCAAGTACAAGTGGAATGCTTAGCAGCGTTCTACCTCCTTGCTAGTGGGCAAGTCAATAGGTGCTGATATCCCACTTTCAGACTCAATCTTCCCACGAACTTCCTTGCTAACAAATTTGTCTCACAGGTCTTGGAAGTGCTGCGGCATTGCAATCTGTTCTGCTCTAGCTATGGGGCTCAACCTCCGTAATGAAAGCCAGATTGTGGCCCCTTTATCGAAAGAGATTAGATATCGGGTGTGGTGGGCACTGTATGTACTTGATACTTCGCTTGCAGAGATTACTGGCCGTCCCTCGAGGATTAACGAGGCATTTTGCACAACACCACCCCCAGTTCCCTTTGAGGAGGGGGATTTGGATGTCCGGTTTGCCCAGAAGAACTTCAACGAAAACAAGGATTTAACTCAGTCGGCGTTAAACTTCTTTAACAACGTAGGGAGGAGTTCCTTGAAAAATGATCAGGACAAAGATGGACTACTGGGACGCTCAGTTTCAAGATGTCAATTGCTTAGCACCGAAACTATCGTCCTTTCCATCCCAGAATCGCCCCAGCCAAGCGATTCTTTGTCCTTTTCATATGGGGTGGAATTGACAATACTCATGCGTGAAGCAATTGACAAAATTTACGCTCCTGGTACAACCCATAAACAATGGGTGGAAGTGGAAAGAATTATTGCTTCATTCAATACCAAAGCCAACACTTGGCTCGCCTCGCTTCCGGCATCTTACCAATTCCAAACGATCTCTGAGAACGAGCCACTGAGGCATCAGCTGTCTAGGGTTGCTCTCCAGTTCTACTCCGTCAAGCTTGTCATCACACAGCCGTGCCTTCAACGAATTCTTCATAGTATCACAACGACTTCTGACGCATCTGAGGAGGTTTCCGATCCAATGGCGGAAACCTGCATTCGGGCCGCAGGTCAACTACTGGACTTGCTGCCAGATGAACCAAACTTGACCTGGCTGCATGGGGTCGTTCCATGGTGGTGCGCTCTCCATTATCTAATGCAGACCATCACTATCAATTTGACTGAATTATTTCTCTGTACCAAAGCTGGCACAAATGAAAACATTGCAATCTCTATGAAGTTGCAAAAAGCTTTAGCGTGGCTCAAAACATTGTCAAAAGTGAATATCTCCGCTCAAAAAGCCTGGCTTATTTCTTCGGATATCATCTCACATCCAGGGTTGAAACTTGGCTCGGTTGCTTGAACAGCAAGATTCCAGAAATTGATTATTTCTCGTCTAGCATTACTACTTGAGCTCACAGATTTGGCTATATCAGCCCCCAAAAAGGGATTTTAATAGCGTGATTTGAACGGCAAAGACTTAAAACCTGAAACCCTCACAATGTAGTTTCATTATTGCTGTACTTAGTAAAGTTCCAGATCCATGTATGTTAGACTCATTTCATCAAGTCATATAATGCAATTTTCAGGAGTCCCACGTACTACGAGGCAACGGCGCCTTTGCTGGTCGCACCGGGCAACACGAGCCTCGGGGCCAATCACCATGTGAACAGTAAAGCCAAGATAGAAATGCGAAATAATTACAATTCAAATGCGGATTTTTCAAACACGAACTCCAGTTACATACAATATTTCAACCCCGTAAGGATTTTCCATGCCCGTGTTGGATTGGGCCTGTACGAAGTCGTTCAACTGAGTCTACATGTCAGATCTGACCGCAAAATCCCTGCTTGCGTTGGAGATAGCCCAAAAACAATATCACACCGCTTTAGAAGCTGTGGGATGCCCAGATAGCTTGTGCCTCCTGCTGAACTTGAATTACAGCCATGAAATATGCTGGCTCGGTCGAACTCTCTCTAACTTTTTTGAAGCCCCGATTTCAATTACAGGCCACTGAATTTAGTGGTGATCATTTGAAGTTCTTGTAACATGTGATTTTATTATTGTACCTATGACTATTAAATTGCCAAATGAGTGGACGATTGCTGCAAGAGCAATCAACAGAAGAAGAAAACAATTGAGAAGATCAAACATGCAAACCAGCAAATAATCACACAGGCAGTTGAAAGCTTAGTCATGTGGCTAGCCACTTGAGCAGACCCTCTGGAGTCTTGAAATTTGGAAGGGCAGGGTCCATGAAGACTGGCATCCCAGTTAGACTTGAAGATTACCATGCCCAAACGAGGAATCCTCTCCGTTACTAAAGAAGAAACAAATCCTTTAATGGATCACTCCTGGTCTTTCGCGGAGTCACGCTGTGCCGTCCAAGTTACTTGGCGGAAATGGCATTGCACTATAGTTCTCATCATTAGACAGGCGAGTTTTATCATGGTTCCAATTGCGAAACTTACTTGAGTGCCAGTGCAGCAAGCAAGGCTATGGTTGCATTGAACGTTTTCGTTCTTCTCATCAACCTTGCCTTTTGATATGTTAATGTCTGTTGATAGAATCGGGAGACTAATCATGACTCACCAAGGATATCGATGTTGATGTGACTGAGAACCTCGACGGGAGAGCACACGACATTCAAGTCAAGAAGCTTGAATTTCTTGAGAAGGGACAGGAATGAAGAAGGGTCTTCATCGTTGCCGTCAGGAGTACAGCAAGAAACCGTTCCTTCCTGGCACTGGTCACCAGCCTTCGCGATAGAGACGATCTCGCCCCTTTTGTGGTTGACCTCTGACGGGGGCAAGGCTGCAACAGCGACAGCAAGGGAAATAATGGAGATAATGGAGGCCTTCATGGTGAATGATTGGTCGATTGGACTGGTGGAAGAGAAGACTGAAAGTTTGGTTGATTGTTTGAGAGGAGAAGATGTGTGTGAGATAATTCAGTGACTGGCGGGATCCTTCAACCTTTTATAACTTTTCGTCGTACTCTCTGAAGCTCCTAGAATACATAGTCTCATTCCAAGGGGCCGACTTCATCAAGCTCGACCCTTTCAATTGTCTCAAGGGATCTTCCTGAAAGTCCCTCGGTATTTGACGTAAGTTTCATTTCACATTACTGAATGTCTGAGCCACAATACTTTGACATGACTAGATTTCTTCATTCGTACATGCTTTAGTATCACTTCCATTTGCCATTTAATTAATATAAGTCTGGAAGAATTGGGGCAGGTGACTTCTAGAGCTACCCAATGTCATCACTGAGCTGCTGAATAAAATCATCGTGGTAGCTTTAAGAGATTGTTGAATATGCAAGGCACACATAGATTTCTCGCAGAACTATGTAGCATCTCTATTCAAGCATATGCTGAAGTTTTGTTACTAGTTTCGATATTAGTGTATCCCCTGCACCAGAGCATCAAGCATTCCTATTTCCCGGTCATGACAATATCAAAGCCCTCATTCAGTATATCCTTATTCATAGAGCGAATTCAAGAAAAGCGCATTTTTAGGCGTTATTCTCTAAGGGTGTTTGCGGAATAGCTAATGTAGTTGCTGAGTAAACTTTGCTATGCGACTGCTAATTATCAAAGCAAACGGGCTTAAGTAACGATAACGTCATCTAAATGCGTATTGATCCGACCTAGCTATTATGTTTCAAACATGATTTTCTATATCGAAAAGTTAATTTCTATCCATCTTATCTGACGAACAATGCAGGGAGGTGTCACTGTGTCTTTGTTGATTGAACCAGGTAACATAGAAGGATGGACCGCTCATTATGCAAACAGGACGGAATATCAAGATATCACAATCTTTGCGTTAGCACAGATTCCTAAATTCCAATTCTGTTCGGGTATCTGAGTCCATTCAGACTCATGATGCCACAAGAATGAGTAAGACCAAGGTTTTATTCGACGGCCCTAGAGCCGTCCAGCGGGTTGACACGTCAGAATGCACTCGGCTAGGGCGCTCAAATTCCGACGTTTGACAGCTACAGAATGCTGTGATTCGCCCCATGCTTTCGTTTGCGACAAGGACTAGCTCACACATCGAGACCGCACCAATAGCCTGTTCGTCTTTCAATATCGCCCTTTCTACTAACCACTTTTAAGGTAAATTAACTGAAACATCAAATAATTTAGTTAATCTATGATGGGGGGAAATTGAAACAATTGACATATTCTGTAAATTTCTTGGTCTGCTTCTATGAAACATCCTTTCCGATTCATCATTCTTGATTGAACACGTCCTTACGACTGGGGTTAAACGAACAAATTCGAACGCCTATTTGGGCTTTAACATGCACAAACAAATGCGGGCTGGGAAGAGATAGGCTTGGCAAACGCCACAAGGTTAGTGGATTGGTTGGAAGGAGGGCCAACCAACCAGCTAACTAAGGGATGATTTTTCCCCCCTCCCTTGGATCCTTGATTGAACTTCATGTTCATGTGTCTACCATATCGTATCACACTTTTCGCAGCATAGGATTCTCATGCATTAGAATCATGCCTAGCGTATCTCACAAAGTACTGTGTATAACATAGCTGCCAGGATGACTTGAGTAAAGACCTGCTGTGACTGACAATATTATTTGCAGTCATAATCCAGACTGGGTAGCGAAGGTGTCCACTATGCGATTGACTGACGCCTATTTAAGATTTATTCTTTTGGGCTGCTCCATCTTGAATTAGCTGTGATATAACTTCTTTCTGTATTTCTCTTTTTGTCAACAAAATATTCATTGTGAAATTACGTTGTCAACTGAGAATACTCCCGTCAATCCCATTTTCATGCTATCGCACGATGCCCTATTATCAATCATTTCACCGGCCTGATGTAGCTTGTAGTGTGTGGGTTGACTCAAAAGTAATCAAGCTCAAACATCATGTTAAGGAACAAGTACGTTCATCGCAGGTATGTTCTTGAGTATTAGCCTAAAATACATTTCTTACTCAGTGACTCTTCTACTAACTCATATCTATCGCGAAGGGAAACACGCAAAGAGTCCAATTCTACAAAATGCAGTTCACTTTTGTTGCTTTCTTTTTTGCTTCACCACACGAGAAGATAATTCATGATATAACCTTTGAGGTTGTGTAATGATTTATGAAGCAGAAAGGAAAGCACCAAAAGTGTACCGGATTGCGTAGATTAAGCTGCCTGTATATTCACAGCCAAATATTCGCTAGTCTTTCCCAAGCAGTTTGTGGGAACTATATATACTTACGCTTTGGTCATTCGACACCTCGAATACAACTTTCTTTGATAGTAGCAAGATAGAGACATTCTTCTCTTCAGACCACCCCTATGTGCTCTCCTTTCCTATAGCTCTACCTCTTGTTGGGTTTTGCCTATGATCCCATTGCTGTTGTCGACCCGTCTGATTTGACCAGACTGCCATCGCGCCGTTCCCTTTTCACTAGTTAAATTTCTTCTAAGCGTGAATTCAATTGAAAAATTGTCTTGAAATTTGAATGTCTATTTATTACTTACATACAGATATTAACCGATTATCATTACCCACTACTACCCACTATATTGGCCCAACAACCATCATCAATTTTTCTTTTCTCTCCTACACCTCCCACAACAGCCCAACTTTAATGAAATTGGGACCAAAAGAGCCAGGGAAAGCTCAGCTTTCTACTGAGCAACGAGCCGCTATTGTTTATGCCTATAAGGTAGGTAATATTACCCAGGTTAAACTAGCGGCCGATTTTGGCTGTACCCGCAAAACTATCTACAATACGCTTAAACGCTATTCAATCAACGAGCAGCTCGAAAATCGTGAGAAAATTGGACGTCCCCCAATCTTGAATAGACGCGCTTACAAATTAATCTATTTACAGGCTCGCCGGCATCCGTTTTAGACGTATAAACAGCTTAGCGCTGCGTCACCCGATCATCCATCACCTTCCACAATTCGTCGGATTTTAAAGCGATTCAGACTCTCGAAGTGTCAATCGAAACAGAAAATCCCTATTAGGCTATCCCTTGCAAAGAAGAGGTTGAAATTTGCTAGGAAATAGCGACGTGAGGACTTTAAATCGTGGATCTTTTCGGACGAGTGTTCGGTGCAACGAACCTCGAACTTTGGACCACAATGGTGCTTCCGTAAGACCTCAGAAGGCCTTCGAAAAGACTTTGTCAATGCAAAGGCACACGTTAAAGATATTTCACAAATGGTTTGGGGTGCAATCTAGCTAGGAGGTCGAACAAAATTGATTATCATGGAACAGGACCCTTCTTCACGGTCGGGGAGGGGATATACCGCAAAATCCTATATTAAAACGCTGGAAAAAGGTCTATTACCCTTCTATGCCCCTAAGATAGTATTTCAGCAAGATAACGCGAAGATTCATACAGCGAAAATGACGAAAGAGTGGTTTGAAACCCACGGGGTATACGTCGAGGATTGGCCTCCACACTCACCTGATTTAAACCCGATCGAGCCCGTCTGGAGATGGTTAAAAGTCAAACTTTTTCAGCTATTTCCTGAGCTTATTGATATAGGAAGGTCTGAGAGAGATTGGGCCTATTTTAGGCAATGTTTGGTGGCTGCATGGGAGGCATTAGATCAATGTAAGATAGATGCGCTGATATTGAGTATGGGGAGACGTTTGGGGGCTGTACGGAGCGTTAGGGGTTATTATACAAAATATTAAGCGAGAAATCTGTTATGCCCTAATTAAGGTTTTATTGGTTTTAAATATAATGATATAAACTAAATGATGGTGGTGATATATAGAAGGTAAGTGGTATATATATATTTTGACAATAGGCCTAAAAAAGTGGGGTGGGTAATGCTGTCGGGAAGGGGATGTATATGCAAGACCGTATATTCCGCAAGTAGTGATAAGAAGGCAGCTCTGTATTCATATACTACGCTCTTATAGTGCATATTGCTTTCGTGTTTCGGGTCCACCTGTTGATGGCTTGCCACACAAGTTTCACTTTCGTAGACACCTATTGATTGGGGTACTTCAAGTTAAGTCAGCTACATAAAGATTGTAAACTCCTATTATCGCGAATGCTCATATCTATACCAAGGGACTTGACTGCTACACTTTCTTTGCTTCTTGAAAATGATGGAAAATAATTCGACGATTAAGTGTGCCTCATAAACTGTCCTCATCTTATTAGAGTTTAATTTGTTATCTTGTAATTTCAAAGTTCAACGTCCGGATCGAGAAATAAAGGTATACTGATTCCAGGTTGTTCGCTATTTTCTCCGCCCGGTGCCTAGCTAGTCACCCCTTACTGGAGGTTAGGAAATGTCAGATTTTCGCTATGCATAGATTCTTTTAGAGTTTAGCCTCATATTCTGCGATTCCCGGATCTCCTACCCGACTGGTCGGGCCAGAACCCTTCCACCAATATAAAACGTGGCTACAGCCACGGCATTTACGCCGGAATGTTGGGTTGTTTCAGGGGGTTAATTGTCTGTCATCTCAAATTCCATGGGATCAGACTTACAAAATCACTCACTTATTTCATTCTCACAAGGTCATAGACACACAACATATGTTGAGTAGAGCTAGCGCAGCATGGTTTCACATCTATGCAAGATGACTGTAGACTAAGGTAAAAAACGCCCGACCGGCAGTGAGAAAGTAAACATAACCTTTCTAAAATGTAAATTTAGAAAAATAACTGGTCCTCGAAAGAGAGACTAAGTATCAGCTCGACATGAATACCAACGCCATAACCAAAAACATAAGAAGGCCTGCTGCCGTGGGCATTCAGGTACAAAGATCGCGCGTAAATGCACCATCTGCATCTCCAATATCCCACTTCCATGTTCTCCCATCTCTCTATCTCAAATCCTGCATGACATCAACAGGCCCTATTGTCCATTGTCAGTTCAACCTCAATTGCTTCTTAGATTGGTCCCTCTCCTGATGGCACTAGACCAATGAGGGATTTTGTAAGTGAATAGCGAATCGAGAGACGCAGTCTCTCCACCCTCGATCGTAGGCGCAAGCAATGGTGGGTACCCAGCGTCTTCGGGACTCTGCCTCCTGACCTCTCGGTCATCTGGTTCGTCGTCGGCGTCAAACTTAGCGTGTTGGAACTGAGAAATGAGGCTGGTCTGGTGCACGAATTTGGTTACGTAGCTGGTGGCCGGCGGGTCTGAGACAATAAAGTCGTAGTCAGTGGCCTTTACCCCAGCTCCATGGGGCTGGTTAAAAAGCCGTTTACGGAGATCCCCGTACGTCGCACATTGAAGTAAGACGTGTTTCATGGTTTGAGGGCCCTCTCCACAGGGGCATCTGTCTGATTCAGACTCCTTGATCTTAAACGGGAAGTGTCGAAGCGCAATACGAATCCATCGCATCTGTATTAAGATCGAGGATCTCGGCTTCGAGAGGCACTCGTACAGCCGCAATACCTTCTTATTCGGCAGATCAACCAAGCGCTTCGTCGGCTGAGCAGTCCTCTAGCTCACCCACTGCTTCTTCCACCAGTCCTGAATACGCGCTCGAACCCTACGCTTGGCGGCTGCAGCGAGCCGGATGGTGGGCTGTTCCGCTCCGCCCGTCGCACCTCCCGCATGTTGGAGAGCTGCGCACTTTGCACTACTATCAGCAGCTTCGCTGCCCGGTACACCGACGTGTGCAGGGATCCAACAGAGAGTGGTATTCATCTGTGGGTCGGATCGAAGGGCCCGTACGTGTTCATAAATGGTCTTGAGAACGTACTGGCCCGATGGCCGCTGGGGGTTTTGAACTGCCTGAATGGCAGCCTAGCTGTCGGAGAATAATTATACTGCTCATGTCTTCACGTAAAGTGATATAAATATGCAGATCAATGATGCATATACAAAAATATAAGAAATATTTGAGCATCATGAATTATACTTTCCCAGAAAACCTCGCTGTCGGAGAACAATTATACTGCTCATGTCTTCACGTAAAGTGATATAAATATGCAGACCAATGATGCATATACAAAAATATAAGAAATATTTGAGCATCATGAATTATACTTTCCCAGAAAACCTCGCTGTTGGTAGCTCAAGCATATGATTTGCTTGAAGTTACAATTATTTTTGAGCTGATAACAAATGAACATGATGGTTTTGCGACGTGACATGAGCAAATAATGTCAAAGATACGTATCTTTTCCTTAGATGAACAAGTTTCTCCGCGGAAAGACAATATTTTTGCACGCAATGCGGTTTAGTTTACTCTTCCTCTGATTTTGATACAATTTCGGGAACTGAACCTTTGCTTTGGCTCCGTTATTGATCTATGCATTAGGCTTGCAGCTTGTTGTTATTTTACTATATCACAATACAGCTGTGGCGCAAATAATATTTCGCACAGCGTATAACTTGAGTCAGATGAATTTTAGGGTTCAAGAACGAGCGTCTGCATGTTCATCGTCAATTTATATAATCCAGCCCGGTGTATTGAAACAGTTAACTTCCTCGATGAGGTTCTCGGCGCCAACCTCAGAATCTCAAAACCTGCGTCATTCTCGGAGATCTCAACCTTCATCACCCTGCTTGGAATACGGGAGGGAGGTAATGCCGTACAATATGCTGCTGCGGATGCTCTCATTTAACTCACTGATTTTGCTGATCTATATCTTTGCCTTGTCCCCGACCAAATTAGAACAAACTAGCAGTATCATGGTTCCATTCTAAAACAGTGTACAGCATCGCTGAATCAACGGATGAGAAGGTTCAGGCACTCCGCCAGGCTTTCTTCTCAGCAGCGTCAGAAGCTGACTTATCGGACATCATAATTAAAATAGCGCAAACCCAGTTCAACTGCTCACTCATCTCTCAGCAAGAAATCACAGATGCAATACAGCGAGCCCCTCTAAATAAAGCACGCTGATCCCCATGACTACAGCCTGCCGAAGTTCTACCAGTCAGTCGCCCTGCTCAACTCCTTTGGTAAGATCCCTGAACCCATCATCTCTACTCGGATAGCCTGGGCCTTTGAAAAACATCTTTCACCGCCAGGTACGCATCTCGGTTGCCGAAAGGGCGTACCTGCGGATTATGCAATTGAGCTGATGCTTGACCACATCCACACTGCGTGGGGTTAGGGAGATAGTCAAAAAGTGAGCATGCTGCTATGGAACGTTATGTCTGCTCAGCAATATGCGCCAAATGAAACTCGGCCAACTAGCCCCATGAACTGAGACCATTGGTGAAAGGGCGTTCTCTACTTTCATGATACGGGAGTACTGAGGCATCTGGATGGGTTGACAGTGTCTGCATTCGAGAACTTTCTAATAACTATGAAGAGAACGTCTGGCTTATTGAGAAAACTCCTCATAGAGCTCATAAAAACCAGACGTTTTGCAGCGAGGTTTCCCCCAAAAAAGTTTGAAGTTATCCATTTTAGCAATCCAAAGAAAATTGAAACCAAGACAGTGGTTCCCAATACCAATGCAGTGGTTTCTAGTACTACCGATTTAATCATGACAGTAATGAGTCCTCTACACAACTGCCTTCTTCGATCTCTCCCCGACCCTCCAACTCCCCACCCCTAACATCTGGGCTATCCCAGATGACCCCTACGGCCATGATCAGATGCATGTGGCCATGCTAGATGCCTAGTCGTTCATTTCTAGTCATCAGCGCAAGCCAAATACCTCGGCATTAGTCTCGACAAAAATATCTGTTTGAACTCCACAGAGTAGAGATAACGCCACTGACTACGATCCCATTGTTTCAGACCCGCTGGCAACCTGTTACGCTGTTAATTAAAGCATCAGACCGGCCGTCTTGCTCAGTTCCAACATGCTGAGCTTGAATCCGATGACGAATCAGAAGGCCGAGAGGATAAGAAATGAGATATAAGGTCTCGAGAACAGGGAATGGCAAATGGTGCTTCCGCGCGTTCATTTTGTACCCAA